TCACTAAATTCACGAACCAACATTGTAATCCACTAGGCTATTGTTGTGGAGTACAACAAAGATGAGGACAATAGTCCAAACCTAGTGTAAATAGTAATAACTCCTCATCTCAGAAATTCAAACAGAAATTATCCATGATTGTTCGTAATCACCTCAATACTAAAGGCAACTAGTCTTGCTTTAATTTTCTTCTCATCTTTATATTACGTAGATATAATCCACTGAGATGTTACAGTAACTTAATTTTTAAAAAGGAATTACTTGAAACACTTCATTACTAATGAAGCTTTTCAGTTCTCTGTCCCTAGCAGAGGCTTATGGATACATCGTGTTGAAACACTGGTTCCTGTATGATCACCAAAGTTAAACAACATTGAGCCTGGTCAGTACCTAGATGGGTGACTGCTTGGGAATACCAGGTACTGTAAGCTTGGATGTGCAGGTGGTGTAATTGGAGAGCCAAGTTCCAATTCCTGTTGGGTTTGTTATATTCCCGTATGTGCAAATAACTTTGGGAAAGGTATGAATCTACCACTTCTCCCACCAGCTATGGGTTAATTAGTAAGACTTGTATGCTAAAACCTTTATCTAAAAAAACAAAAAAAAAAAACAAAACATTCTTACAATCTAAAGATATTTTTTGTCTTTAAATAACCTGCAAAGTGTTGATAAACCGTAACAAATGAATCAATCAAATTAAATGAAATCTTTTCCTAGCATCTATAACATCTGCAAGAATTTCTTGATCATCATTAACAATACAACATTTTCAAGATAGTTGGAAAACTTGGACCTTTGTGCCTGCAAAAAACCAGAGTGTCAAAAGAATGCTTTTTCCAATGACACCGCTATTATTTTAACTACCTTCACTCCTCAGCAATGTTTATTATTTTAAAAAGTGATAATTAGAATTGCAATAAAATCTATTTAAATACTACAGTGTAACCCGGATATAAGAGACCCAGATATAAGGGAAACCTGGATATAAGAGAGATTTTCTTTGGTCCCAAATTAGAGCCTGTGTTAATGTATATAAATTAGACCAAACCCGGATATAAGAGAAACCCGGATATAAGAGACTTCTTCTCCGGTCCCGACAACTCTCTTATATCCGGGTTACACTGTATTTATTTATTAGATTGTTTATTTGCAAGAATAATTTTATTTTTACAACATTCTAAAAACAAATACAATTAAAACTAATGCAATATTTATCATTTACCAATTTATAAAGAAAAAAATATGAAAACAATTTATTCATAAATTTATAAACATTTAACTAAATTATTAAAATATGTGAACCAACTAGAAAGAAATCTTTATAATTTACCATTTTATAAAGTTTGAATTGATTGGAAATTATCTGATGTTTCTCACCAATCATTCCAATAAACAATCTAATAGTGTTTATTATTATTTCTGTTACCAATTCTCAAGAACAAAGAAAATGTATAAATTCTCTTTCATATGTTTAGGTTTAATTATAATATTTATAGATTCTTGATAAAATCTAAAGAATCAGCAATATTATTGGTCCTGACCTGGCATCTTGACTTCAGTTACTTTCCCACTGCCATAATGTGGGTTCATTGTGCCTTTTCTATAAATACTTTCATCGTAATTGTTCTGATGAACTTTTCTCTATAATACCTAGACTTTATGAATTTAAGCACAGTACTAGATTGACAGTTAGGTCTCATCATTTTACAGTTGAGCTGACTAGATTCAATTGTACGTTCTATGCTAATAGTTCCTTTTTCTTGCACTTCTTGCCTGTGAAACACTTTTATGGCTCCATGCTTCCCAATCAACTTTAATCTTCAAAAATTTAAATGAAATGTCAATCGCTATCTACTCCCTTCCTGATTACTCTTTTGTTCTCGCTCCTTCATTATGTTTTCTTTTTCTTATTCTTTCACACTCAGTAATCTCTTCTTAGTGGCTTTACTATCTTGCATAGGGTGAAATGATTAAAAAAAATGTCATCATTTTTTTAAAACAAAAAAACATTGTCAAGGAATGAAAGCAGATAAAATAATAATGGTGTCAAGGGAAAAACCATCCTTTTGACACTTCATTTTGATAAGTTTTCCTCATAGTTCATTCCATTCTTCAACATAATCTCAATTCACACATATTGCTTCTTCACCCCCCATACCCCCCCCCCATACCCCCCCCCCCATGAACATTCATCCAGTCAACATTTTCCAGTTTGGGCTGCAGACATATTATTTTAGTTAATTTCCGTGTTTCCGCATCGATCATCTTGTAGCTGGTAAAAAGAATTTCATACCAGTTCATTGTAATTATGAACAATTTTCACCCCAACCAGAAGTTGTCTCTTTGCACAGAATCCGTTTCATGTCACATAGAATTTTAATAACCCTCATCTTCACAGATGATAGTCATAAAAATGGTTCCTCATATAATGTATTTTATTTTTTATCTGCCTCATATACAAGGTCTAATGAATGGTAACAGAGCTAAAGTGTACAGGGTGAAGCCGTTTGGCACAGACTGACCTTGAACTCTTTTGTGCCTGCACACTAAGTTATGATGTTTTCACTCCCTTCCGTTGTTTATGTTGGTGCTTGGAAGGAAAGTTTGTCGAGTGTGGTTGTCTCACCACACCATAGAGATTCCATTAGTTACTATGGCTTGTGCAGCACTTTTTGTCAACAAAAAAAATCATATTCCCCAGATCTCATGCTTTGTAACTTTTTTCTCTTTGAAAATCAAATCCCACAAAAGGAACAAGATTTCAAGACATTGAGGAAATCCGAGAGAATGTTACTAGGTAGCTTCTCACTATCCTAAAAAAGGATTTCCAGAAATGCTTCCAGTGATGGAAATGATGCTGGATAAAGTGTGTGGCTTCAGAAAGGGACTACTTCGAAGGAGATTAAATGCTGAATGGATATGTGTTGTAGTTTTCTTTTTATAGCACAAGTTCTGATACTTTTTGATTACACCTTTTATATTACAATTATCTTTTAATTGCATTAACATGGATGAAAATGATCGTAAACTCCTCTATGATCTATCAAACACAAATTTCCCATCTTTTCCAAGTACAACTCTAGGATTTTCCCAGTCTTTAAAGATTTTTCTTTGATAATAAACTTTATCTTCATTATTATTACAAGACTTGAATAAGCACACAGATTATATGTTATCACCTCCTCTGTCTTCTCTTTTCTTTCACTCTGTCTTCTCTTTTCTTTCACTCTGTCTTCTCTTTTCTTTCACTCTGTCTTCTCTTTTCTTTCACTCTGTCTTCTCTTTTCTTTCACTCTGTCTTCTCTTTTCTTTCACTCTGTCTTCTCTTTCACTCTGTCTTTTCTTTTCATTTTCACTCTGTCTTCTCTGTCACTCTCTCTTCTTTTTAACCCTTTCTATCTTTCACCCATTTTTTCTTTCTTTTCCTTTCATTCCCTAAAACAAAACAGTGTCGTCTTTTCTTCTGTCTCTGCTTGCAATTAAACAGGAATGGCTCATTATTTATCAGAGGTAATGAGGAGGCATAACATGTGAGCTAACTAAAGAACAAGCCGAATTCTAATATGGTGTTTCCCACAATAATATCAATAAGTGGAAATTTAAGAACATGTAAGGCAAAAACTGGCATAGCACATAACACTCAAAATTTAATATTTGCTAAAATAAGGAATTGATACACAGCATTATAAATTAAATTTTAAGCTCACCTGATCAGATTCTGTGGGAAAAAATACTTAAATCTAAATTCAGTGTTTTGCAAAATTAAATGGTTCTGTGGATAAGTGGTAGGATTTTCTTTACTGGAAACTTTGAAATAAAACAAACTGACTCAAGGATATAAAATAAATAATATATTTTTATTTTCTTTAGAGTAAGTCCTTTGTTTGGTGTAACAAAATGTTTGTTTATAAGGCAGATATTGGTAGTAGCTTGGAAAAAGTTCAGTAATGGTAGTTTCAAAGTCAGACCATGCTAGTGGTAGTAGTAATATTAGAAATAGGTCAGTGTCAGTATGTTTTTTTTTTTTTTTTTTTTTTTTTTCAGCCCAAAACAGGACAGAAATATCATTAGCAGATGACCTCTTAGCTTCTTATGTGTCACATCTGGCTGGTTTTCCTGGCGGCCGCATCTCTTGTTGTTACCCTCACCATCCCTTCTGCCATCTAGCTCAGAATGTGAGCTTATGTCATTTTAACCAGGCTCCAAGATTCTAGGACAAGCATTGGTTTTGACTAACATCAAAAGTCTCTTTTGTGTCAATTTTTTTTGATTGACCAAAATTATAACGGAAGTTATGTGTGGAGCCTCTCTAATTTTTGTTAGTTTTCAATCATAAATTAGTAGGCTCTGTTCCTGTAAACTTTCAGCATTTTTTTGGACAGGTTCAGTCTTTTCTTCTTTCTCTTTATATTTGAGGGTTGCCTTCTTGTTAGCTGAGAGAGAAGTTTAGAGATAGAAAGGGATGAGGTTTTTAAAGAAAAGTGCAGATGCCATATTTTAATTCTTTTTATTTTTGTTTATATATTTTATTTGGTTGTTATCAGGGCTCACTATAGTTCCAAGCACTGAATAAAGTGTTCCAGTTTTCTTTTTCCAAATGTAAAGACCATTCTGGTTCAAAAGTAGTAGTATTCACCATTCAATTTTTTATCAGTTTTCCCTACATAAGTATATAGCATTTTAACATAACTAATAAAAAAAAAAAATCCTTGAAAATGGGTATTGTTTCTCTTGAAATTTTTTTTTTTTTTAAATCAAAATTTTATGTTAAATTCAGGTTTTTGTTTTTATTTCTATATATTATGTTTTCTGCAATACTGAAAGCTTAAAAATATAGTAATTAATAAAATAAATATTTTATTTTTTTGCTGGATGCATTCAAAACTATTATCTTAATTCTTTTTGATATTTTTTTCTTTCTTCAGTATTGCACAATGAGCAAAGAACAAAAATTACTAAGTAATTCCCCAGATATTGAGATGGGAATCTCGAATCCGTCAATGGTAAGTAAACTTCAGTTTACTTCTCTTGCCCCTCAGGGGCCGGGTATGTTTGTTAAATTTCCATGATGACAAGCAGTATGTTGTAAAAAATGAATGTTTATTGATCTTGATTGTGAATCCATCATATATCCTGTTACCTCGGAAAGCTGAACACTTCTTATCTAGCTTTATATGTACTTATGAATACATTTTATTTTAATTACTTAGTTAAAACCTATAATGATGAAGGCGGCTACAAAAATCTATCAAAATGATTTGGAGTGTATTTCTTCACCATGCAACAAATTATTTATGAATGGAAGGCATTTGGTATGATGGTCTCACAATCAAGAAGTAGCTGTCCACAAAAAATAAAAGCAAGTGCAAGTAGACATCTAGTTCGGCAAGCCCAGGGTAATCCTGCTGTAACCTTTACAGTTCTCCAATGCTCACTGGCCAATGTTGGAATCAATGTGCATACATCTACAGTGTGACAAAATCTGAACAATACCAATCTTCATGGCAAAAGGCCTAGAAAAAGCCACTGCTTACAAAATAGTACAAGCATGCTCACCTCAACTATGTCAAAGTTCATATTAATAAGCTGGAAACATTCTGGTAAAAGGTTTTATAGTTGGGTGAGACCAAGAGCTTTTGGGAGGAACAACAGGTATGTGGCACATCTGTTGTGCTTCTAATATGGCTTTTGAAGAGACAAATTTGATACCATCTATTAAACATATATATATATATATATATATATATATATATATATATATATATATATATATATTCATGAATTATTCATACAAAAACAAATACAAAGGTCAATGATTTAATTGGCGAGAAATCCATCGTTGCGAACAATTCAAATAATATACAAAAACCCCGAACCTGTTATGAATGAAAAGATCCTTGTTTTTATAAATTTCTGTTGCATTAGTTCTTATTTTTACTACAAGCTTTCGTCTGTTCCTACAGACATCATCAGGTATGGAATAGATGTTGTTCTTGTTTTTTCTCTCAGTAATAAGAGGACAACGAAAATATATGTATTGTTGTATCCGAAAAATGCTATTAGAAATGAGTTATTGTTTTTGGAGCGTGCAGTAGCAACGCTGAGTTTGATTTTAAATTTTACAATTGTGCGTTCTTGTACAAATATGGTGATAAGCGAATTCTTTTTACTGGTAAATTTTCTGTCAAAGTGGCATGAACTATATTGTTCAATAATTACAGTAATGTCGCACTTATTATCCAAAAGTTGCACTTGGATCAGTTATTTTAATTTCAATAAAGGTGCAATTAATTTTTTGTATGAATAATTCATGAATTTGTAAATTAATTGCACCTTTATTGAAATTAATATATATATATATATATATATATATATATATATATATCAAATAAAGAGAAAGAACAGACAGATTAAGAATCTGCAGTTCTTTAGCATTTACTTTTTTAAAAAAGTGCTTGATACAATGTAGAGCAAAATATTATAATATTTTTATTTAAAAAATATTTTACATTGCTACGTAAACATTTCTATGTTTTGGAACTTAAAATTGTTGCATCAGGTGATGTTATGGTGAAACTGATTTACTTTTAAAAACAAAAAAAGAATACGGTAGCTTATTTAAGAGTTAAAAAGGAGTGGGGAACAAGATTCCAAAATTTTGTGGGTATATCTTGGTTAACCAATCAAAAGAATATAAAATTAGTATTAACTAATGATACTTATCTTGCTAGATCAACTCCAATTGAGTGTTGAGTTCAGTCCTCATTGGGTACCCCATATTTTCGCCTTTATGGCATATCTAACATACATTTATATCAGGCACTTCAATGTGATGTAAAGCTTGTTTTGCTAGATCAATTACAACCGAGTGGTGACTTTGAATCTCATTGGGTGCTTCATAATTGTGGCACATCTAAGCTACACTTAGTAAATCACTGTATTGGGCACTTCAATGTGGTGTAAAGCTTGTCTTGCTAGAACAATTATGACTGAGTAGTGAGTTTGATCCTCACTTGGTGGTTCATATTTGCGGCCTTGTACCACATTGAAGCTATGCTTAGTAAATCATTAATTCTACTTGCCTAGTGAATCCTTGTCTAGGCAAAAGACCTTGTCCTCTTATTTGATACCCTGTTTATTTATTTGAGATGGAAAAGTGTTTTTTGATCTAAAGCTTGTTTATGTTTTCCTTTCTCATAAAGTGAACAATATGTACAAGTCTAATTAAATTCTTATAAGTTTGAGGTTTATGATAATTTTTTTAACTAAATTTATTTTCAAATTCAGTTTTTCAGGATTTGGCTACTATTTTTAAAACCATATTTCTGTCGGGTATTTGATGATGGGCAGTGGCAGACTGGCCCACTGGGATTCCGGGAAATTTCCCGGTGGACCCCAAATTGAAAGGTCTATCATAATAACCATAAAAAGTAAAAACTAAAAAAAAAATTTTACATAGATGCTGGGAAGATTTAAATAAGGCTTCTTTGATGCTATAATTTATTTCAGTAGGTAATAGATTATCCTCAGTTCTTTGTTTTAGGATTAAGTTGGTCCTTTTGATTGGGCACTTTTATAAGTTTTCCCAGTAGAAATTTTCAACCCAGTCTGCCACTGATGATGGGCCTTACTTGACTCTTGTTTTAGTTACTAAAATACAGCATATATTCCTCACAACAAAGTGAGACATTTATAATATATAATAATCTGAAGGATTCTGCTGTACAAGTTTGGTGGAGTAAGAAAGTTCTTGTAATGTGGTTGCAAGTAGAATATTTCTGGTTTGTGTTTATGTTGGTGAATGAATAGATTTTTGGGAAGTGATAAGTCTATCAGTAAAGGCGATATTTAACAAGAGAAAATGATATTTGGGTAAGATGACTTATCTGTGGTCTTCATGTCTGGAGCTGCTCAATTCCATGTACTCTCCTTGCAAGATGCCCGACTGAAAGGAGGAAGTGCATTAAATTTCCCAACAGTAAGACAATTACCTTTATTCTATGTAATCATAGGAATTAGAGATTTTTAAAAAAAATTTTGTTGAGGACTTGCTGGTCAGTGCCAAAGCCTCAAACATACAAAATTTATCATTTACAAGCAACAATTTGAAACAAAGACAAAACTTTGTTTAATCTAAAATAACATTTATTCAAAAATGACAGTATGTATGACTGTGTGTGACTCACTTGTGTGCAGTATTAGTGTTTGAGTATATAGGCAAAAGTATTTTTCACAGTTGTGCACATGGTGAAGAGTTCGAAACGTCTTTTCCTTAAATACATTTGCAAGATAGTAGAAAGAAAAGTGTCAGTGAAACTGTACTTAACTGGTGTTGCTAATATGGGATTTTTGTGACCTGGTTAACATGGCAATGTTATGAATCGGTGAGTTCATTCTTTGTCTATGGTCGTTGAAGGAGTGGAAAAAAGAAATGAGTGACTGCTTTCTTTCCATCTGCCGACATGAAGTTCAGTAGCTGGCGGATTTCTCTCTCCTCAACTGAAAATTTCTGTACTATTTATATGTTTATGACAGCTGTCGATAACGTAGGGTGTGGATGTAGTTGTAAGCTAAAATTCACACCTACTTGAGATAAATGCTTGTGATGAGGAAAATGAGTGGAGGAAAAAAACGTATTTTCCAACCAATCACTTTTTATATCCGCTATAATTTTGTTTTTATTTCACATGAATGTGAGATCACTACAAGTATTTAATTTTATCTTAATATTTACTTGCATTTGCTAATTATACTTCATTTAATAATAATAAAACCTAATACTGATACAAAAATTTTAATTCCTCCTTTTTTAATTCAATTTTCCTTTACACAGGAGGAATCTTCAGATGAAATTATTCCTGTTAATGCCACAGATGAAAAGGTTGGTTATTCTTATTTTATTTAAGTCATATTTCTAAAATCTAGAAAGCATTTTAAAATAATCCTGAAAAACATCTTAACAAGTTAAAACTTTTGATACAGTTAATACAAATTTTTTTGATGTAGATACCATTGCTGTTTTACAAGGGCATTTTAGAATTTGACAAAGTGGAAAAGGTTTTACATGACGCAGTTTGTCCTGATTTTGTTTCAAAAGTTTTGTCACAACAAATTTGTTTATGTTGATGTGACATAAACTTAAATTTAGTCCAACAAAGTCCTAAAGGTGGAAATGCCTCACACAAAACCTTTTTCAACTTTGTCATACTTTCTTCCCCTTAAAATTGTTCTTGATAAATAAAAACAATTATATATCATCATCCTGTACAGTTAATAGTTTTTTTTATTGACTTAGATGCCATATTTGTCAATCGACAAGATGGATGTTTCACAAGGGCATCCTCTACTTTATGATGTCTGCTTGACTTTTTAGCAATACTTTGGTGCTATGAAATATTTGAATATGAACAATGGTTATATCTACCATGAAATTTGAAATTTATTTTGTAATAAATTCCTTATTTAGTGCACATCTGTTGTTAAATCTTCATCTATGCATGAATGTTTCTATTTTGAAACCTAGGAACATGGATTTCTCTTCTGAATGAATAATATTTATTAGTTAAAAAGAATTCTTATCATTATTTGAACATTTTTTTTAATATTTTGTAGATCCCTGATGAAAATGAAGCCGAGTCCTTTTTACACAATTTGTCTGCAAGACGGAGGCGCAAACAAAAAGAAGTGAGCCAGTCGTTTTTAAATAAGATTTAACATTATATATATATATATATATAAGGTAAAGAACAAATAGGAAACATTTATTGAACCTATTTCTTCTTGTTCTGACAGATTCAGATCTATATTTGATCACAACTCATATGTATGTATGTGTGTGTGTGTGTGTGTATATATATATATATATATATATATATAAAGAAATATAGTCTTAAGGTGTGCTATATTTATGGAATAAAGTGCTCAATATCAGAGATAGAGCGTGTGTAAATATAAAAGTGAACATAGAAGTCAACACTTAGAGGCGACAGTCTGTTTCAGGCTATATGCAATCGTCAGGCCACATATGCTGTTATTTTTCTCGGCTATTTATGTATATACGGGTTAGTGGTGCATCGTGGGTATTCTATTATGGCGGTTATTTTACCAGAAGTCGTTTGTTTATTTATTTGGGTCAAGTTATATTGCTCGTTTTTATTTTTGTTTCTTATTTTATTTATTTATTTATTAACGTAGTAAAAATTTGTTTATATCACTTATTTAACAGTTTTGTTTTGGTTTGAGAATTTAATTAAAGCTATTTGTTCAATTTTGGGGTTGGTTGTTGTAGTTCATTCTAACTATTATTTTGGCGGGAAGAGTTTTTAAACAAACAACTTCCGGTAAAATAACTGTCATAATAGAATACCCACAATGCACCACTAACCCGTATACACATAAATAGCCGAGAAAAATAACAGCATATGTGGCCTGACGATTGCATATAGCATGAAACAGACTGTCACCTCTAAGTGTTGACTTCTATGTTCACTTATATATGTATGTACATTTCATTGAATATGACAGACAAGGTGCTTTAATTTAGTTTTTTATACAATTTCTCATGCGATCTAATAAGTTTTCTTTTCAGATGATAAATTTATATAAAAACTGTCCAAATATTCTTTTTTTTTTCCCCCCAAGTGCTTTCGGCTATGCATTTAGCCATTTTCAAGGACGAAATATTTTAACTGTTAAATAGGAAATAGTTTCTTGCATGTATGTATTTATATATTGTTTTCATTTTTCATGAAAATGGCACAATATCTTGACCATGTTTTGAAAAATGAAACCATTATATAAATACAGGCATGCAACAATCACCATTTTAAAGTACTTGGATGGATCTAAAAGGTTATTTTTTTTTTTTGTTTACGAATCAAATAAGATAATTTGATCTTAACCTTTGAGCGTTAATTTCTCAAAAAGCATATCTTTTTTTTTTTTTTTTTTTTTAATCTAACAACAAATTTGTTTGCTTTTTGGTAAAATGTGTAAAAAATTTCGTGGTGGACTTTTGACTGTGGCCTGAGTTACAAGGGTTTTACTGAGTTGTTATTTCAGTATGAACCCCTACATAATTTTTTTTAATATGTCAACACATACATGTATTTATACAAGGTCTGTGTAAAAGAACATCCATCCAATAATAACAAAAAATAAAATAACCTACCAAAGAAAATACTACCACTTCTTTCATGATGTGGGTAATCAGGCTCTCCACAACTTCCTATTTTTTGTTGTTCTTAGTAACTTTTGCACCTTTACCATTCCTCTTGGTCCTTATTCTGCCATTCATTCAAAAACTCATTAAGTTAATTGCTGTTTTTCTCTGCTTCTTTTGCTTTCCTGTAAGTGTTAAATTCTCCAAGCATTCTTTCCTTATTACATATACCAGAAATTTGAACTGTCTTTCTGATTGTTAATATCAGTTTACTTGTAATTCGTATTTTTTCTTGAAACTTCCAGACTTCTGGCCACATCATGTTGAAACAAATACAATCACTGAAGTTAAGCAACATGGAGCATGGTCAATACATAGATGGCTGACCACTTGAGAATACTAGATACTGTAAGCTTAAATGTGTGGGTGATGTAATGTATAAGGGCTCAGAATTGTTAATCAGAAAGCAGTTGCAATTACATTGGGCTTGTTATATATTCACTTATGCACAAATAACCTTGGGAAAGGTATGAATCTATCTCTTTTCCCCTCCAGCTAAGGGTTAATTATTAAGACTTGTACTACTAAACCATAATTATCTCAAAAAAATTGTTACAATTTAAAAATATTTTCTTGCTTTAAATAACCTGCAAAAAGTTGATAAGCTGTAGAAGACAAATCAATCAATGAAATACTGATTAGCTACACATGCATGTCTTTTAGATTTATTTACATTCTCTGCAATATTAATGTATAGAAACTACCCTGGTCACAAATTGAGGGATCAGTTTATATGTTGACTAATATAGAATTGATCCCCCATCTTATATCCACATTATAATTTCTTGATTGTTGATGAGCCTTAAAAACAATCAAAATAGTGATTAGCTACACAGGCATGTCTTAGATCTATTTGCATTCTCTGCAATATAAATGTATAGAAACTACATTGGCCACAAAGTAAGGGATCTGTTTATATATTGATTGTAATATAGAATTGATCCCCCACTTTATATCCACATTATAATTTGTTTGTTTATCAAATTCTGATTAGGTATGAATTCACCTTTCCCCCCCACTATGGGTTAATTAGTAAGACTTGTATCACTTAACCATTATTATCTCAAAAAAAATTCTTACAATCTAAAAATATTTTTTGGCTTTAAATAACCTGCAAAGAGTTGATATGCTAAAGAAAACAAATGAACAAAAAATAAATTGAAACTTCTTTGTTGCTCAAATGTACTGTTCATGGTGTCCTCAACATTTGTCAATAGAACAACATCTCTGTCACGTCAAATCTCTTCTTCATTTGTGAGGAAATTATCCAACATCAAGTGCCATATAGGAGATGCAGTTTAGTGCACTTTTCTTTATTTTTAACAGCATTTTTCTCTCTCTTAATACTTTGCTTAGTTTCTGAAAGCATTTTTCACTATTCATGCCCAGACAGTTAAATTCAGTAACTGCTTGATTTTCATGTCCCCAGTATGTAGCTCACTCTTCAAACTGCCTCTTTTGCTGACAACCACACATTTTATCTTCTTGCAACTAGTCTTATCTTCTTCTTTTCCTCACCTACATTATATAATAGTTCTTTCAGTTTTCTTTCTAAATCTGCTATCAATACAGTGTCAACTGCATATCTTATGTTGTTAATAATTGTCTTCTTCTATGTGCTGTGTTCCTTCAGGTTGTAGACGTCCATGGCTTTCAACAATTTCCTGTCCTTCATATCTCTTAGCAATGTTTGTCTTTTCACTATATCTTCTAATCCCTGTTATGCCAACCATTTACACAAGCTCATTAGGTAGGTTATTCACTGCTTTCCTCTGTCTTTCTTGCCTTCAATATGTTATGTGAGTGTTAAATTTTCCAAATCTTCTTTCCTCATTACATACCTTAGAAATTTTAATTTTCTCCTTCTGATTCTAAGTGTCCTTTTTGTTTCCATTTTTTGTAAAATCTCATTGTTGCTGACATGTTTGGCATATGGTATTCTCAGCATCCTTCTGTAGAATCATATTTCTATTGCTTCAAGTCTTCATCTTGGAGAAGATTTTTCAGCAGTTACTGCCATATAGGAGGATCAATATTACATAATTGTTTAGTACTCTTTCCTTTCTTTCCAACAAAATTTTTCTGTTTCTTAATACTTTGAAGGCATCTTTCATTATTCTAATGACCCTTTGGATTTTGGTATTGCGTTTTTGGTAAACACTTCCTAGATATTTAAATTTTTGTACTTGATTTTGGTATCTCAAATTCATAGTTTGCATCTTGGGCTGTTCCTTTTGCTTCTTTAGTCCTTTCTTCTTGCTTTCCTTCAGTACCTTCTCTGGAAGTGCCTGTAGTTTACTTTCCATGTCTGCTATCAACACTGAGTCATCTGCATATCTTATGCTATTAAGATTGTGGCTGCCAATAATAAATCCTAGTAGGACTTCTAATTCTCTCAGAATTGTCTCCTTGAAAATTCTGGTAGGTTTTTTGATTCTTTGGTGAGGAAATACATTCTTTTTTTTATGTATTCACATAACTTCTTTTCTTTCCCCCTTGTAAACTGTTTGTTCTCAGTATAGCTTACATATTACTCAAATATCTTTACCCACTGTCATTTCTCAACTGGGTATCTATGCTGATGACACACCTATTTACTCCTGTCTTAATGGTTAGTCTAATCAGTTCAATAAGCTCAAATTGGAAGCTGATCTCAAAAATGACCTCCAAACTGTTGTTAAATCGGGCAAGAAATGGCTTGTTAATTTTAACACCTCCAAAATAAAACTGTTCTCTTTTAAATCGTCTTAGAGAAACTTTTTCGTCTTCCATCATCATGGCTGATGCTAACCTCCAGGTGAGTGACTCATTGTACCTTCTTAAAGTTTTCTGCTAACATTAAATGGAAATATTATTTTGAATCAGTTGCTGCTAGGAAAGTTGATTCACTGTTTCATGCCAACCAATTTGTCTTGCTGGAATCTATCTTTTATCTACATCCATACATTAAATATTGTTACATCTGGTCTGGTGCTTCTGCTATGTATTTAGAGATTCTTGATAAAATACAAAGAAGAATATACCATGTTATTGATCCTGACATGACATCTTGGCTTCAGTCACTTTCTCATTGCCATAATGGAGCTTCTTTGTGCCTTTTTTTATCAATATTTTCATGGTAATTTTTCTGATGAGCTTTCCTCTTTGGTTTGTTTAACAGCATATCAACTCCTTACGGCTTATTTAATGCTGAAATTTTATTTTCTTGTGAGCTTTGGTAATTCTTCCCACATTCCCCCCCCCAAACAATGTATTGCTGGTAATTTTTTTTTTTTTTTTTACTATGAAAATCTATTGCTGGTAATTTTTTCTAATTTATTTTTATATATTCCTAGTTTGGAAGTTCACTATTTGCCCATAGTTGGGACCCTAACAGGTGCTACCACCCTGTTCCTCTCTGACACCATGACTTTAAAGTGCAGTATTAGATTGGCAGCTAGGTTTCATCATTTTACACTTGAAATTGCTAGATATAACCGTAAGTTCTATGCTTACAGTTTCTTCTTTCATACTTCACTTGTGGAACTCTTTTCCAGCTTCTTGCATTCCAGTCAATTTTGATCTTCAAAAATTTAAATGTAATGTCAATCATTATCTACTGTCTTCTTGTTTTTTTTTGTTTTTTTTTTATTGTTCTCTCTCCTTAATAGTAGTTTTTCTGCATATTCTCTCACTCTCTGTAATCCTGTGCATCTTAGTGACTTTATTTGCTTGGGGTGAAATTTAAAAAAAAAAATTCTTTAACTTTTCAGTATCCCTTTGCATATACTTGTATGTATATGAGATTTTGATATATTAATGTTTTTACTAACATTTTTTAATTTTTTTATTCTTTTACCTATATACAGCTTACAAAGACTCTAAAAACACGTGAAGATTTGGCAGAAGAAGTAAGGACTGTAAAACAGAAAAGTCGCAAAGCTCTTGAAGAATCTGTTGATCCTTCTACGGAGACAACGAGTTTGTCTTTGGCCCAAGATAGCACACTACTAACACCATCTCAGTTGGGTGATACTGTTGATGCAGTGCCATCTACATCTTTGGACACCCAGAACCTCCAGGCTGCTAAACCTCCTGTCTCACCAAAAAAATCAAAAAGGATTAAAAAATTACAAGATGATATAGAAGGCAAGGAAACTTGATATCTCAAGCATTTGTTCGTACTTCGTCTCTTGTCCTTCCCTTTAAAAAAAACACAACGTAGGAGAGTTTGATATTTATTTTGAAAATTATTTTCTAATCATTTTTTTATTTTTGTTTTTATTGTTTTTTTAAGTTTGGAGTAATCCCCTCTCAAGTGTGTTTTTTCCTTTCTTAAAAAAAATCTCATATTTTTTTTTTTTTTTTTACAATTTTTTTTATGAGAAAATTTACAAATTCTTAGCAGTTGTAGAAAGCTGGAAACCACCTTGATTCAAATGTTTTAGCAGAAATAGCAAAGAAAAAATCTTTATTTTAAAATACCATGTCCTTTGAAGATGATGATGATGATGACACTTTGGAATGTGATAAAATATATATTAAAATCGAAGTAAGATTTTAAACAAACTTGGAAAATCTGTCTCTATTTCTGAGATACGGTTATGTAACTATTTACACTGTTTGGATGGATGTCCTCCTCTTTATTGCCACATTCACTGGGAAAAAAAGTGGATAAAAATAGTGCATAAATGCGTTGGTTGATTTGATCCAAAAGTAATTCAATCTAAAGAGTTGCAAGTTCAATCCCTGGCCTCAGCAGGGGGAACAAAATCTTGGAAAGTTGAGTTTTCAAGGCGAATTAACTGAAACTGACATATACAAAAGGCATGGCACGTGAAATTAGAACAATCTAATCCTGTGGAATAAATAAAGGTTTCAGTTCAAAATTCCAAAAAATATCACCTGAAGAAGGCCAAAGTGTTCAACAGCTGAAACAACATGAATGTGGCAATGAAAATGAGGACAAAAGTAAAAAAAAAAAAAAAATGTAAATTTGAAAAATGTGTCTGAATTTCTGGGATGAGAAGTTACCATATTTAAAAAAAATAAAAAATTATAAATAATTAGACTAATATCTTCATCTTTGTCATTGTTATCACATTTTGACTCTTGTACACCTCCACCCCTGTCAGCCTTCTGCAAGTATCTGTCAATGTTGGAAACCTTCAGGGAATATCCCACAGAACACAGGACAGTTCTAGATTGGCAGCATGGTCACATCAATTTAAAAGTTGAAATGGCTAGATATAACGATAAATTCTATTTCTTCTCTTGCACTTCTTGCTTCTAGAACTTTTTTCTGGCTTCTTGCTATCTAGTCAACTTTGATCTTGAAAAATGAAATGTCAATCAGTATCTTCCATCTTTGTAATTCTTTTTCTTTTATTGTTCTTTCTTATTAATGTTTGTTTTTTTCCTCATATTCCCTCACACTCGGTAACACCTTATTTCTTAGTGGCTTTATTACCTTGCTTGGGGTAAAATTATTTAAAAAAAAAGAAAGAAAAAGAATAAAAGTGTTGGTTCATAAATGTTTTGGCATAGTAATTGTGAGTTCATTCACTTGGCAAGGTAGTACAGGCTCAGAGGAAACAAGATTAGAAATAACTAAGCAATACTAAAAAGAGGCTAAGACAAGATATTCCTAAATAAGGATGATGTAACAAGAACAATCTATTCCCATAGATTAAATAAAGGGTTAAATTTGAAGTTCCCTGGAGATTGCCCGGACAGACAGACACCTCATAAAGACCGGAAGGCACAATAGCTGAAATGTCATGATAACAACAACAAAGATGAGAATATTCTCATGTTTGTTGTTGTTATTCTTATTTCGTAACCAATTTAAAGTCCACTTGTAACTAATTTAAATAACTTGGAAAACTTTAGAAAATTACAATAATCCATCCAAGATTAAATATTTCTCTGACTTTCACAATAAATGGTCTACTCTAATGGATAGAGATGATGTTTTCAGATTTCTGATTCTTTGACCCAACATTTTATGTCAGAAGTTTACATGAAAGCCATTTCTGTAATCTTCTAATGTCTAAACATTAATAAAAATATCAGAATTTTTTTGCATTTTGTTATTGTAAATGGATTTCCATTATAATAATTATTTCATTAATAAGATTAGATTATTTTGTTTAATAAAATTAAGTCTATTTTTATTTTTTTTTTTTTTTTCAGTATATTTGATTGTCATTTCTGTAATGTTCCAATATCTAAACATTAATAAAACTGAAATAATGATTAACTTTTAATGTAAAAATAACTCTTTGGCCATTTTACCTTTCTCTTTAGTTGTCACAGAAGAACGAAATGATATTGAAGACATGGAGGACAGTGACCTGGAAAAGGGGGAGCCTCACCCAGGAAAATCGTCAATTCGGCTTCGGATTAAATCTTTAAGGGAAAAAGCTAAAGTAAGTTCCATAAAATCTATTATTTAAATATTTGAATTATTTAATTATTTTACTAGGGATCTCTTCACTTTGTGTGTGATCATGGCTCTCCACAATTTTCTATTCTTTGTTTGTTCCCTTACTATCCCACCTCATTCATGTTCAGAAATCTATTTGCAAAAGCTGATTATGTAAGTTAAAATCTCCTCATCTTTAAATGGTTTGTCTATAAAAGTTTAATAATTGCAATGAAAACACACATACAACAGCAAAGAATAACAAACATTTTGTGCTGAGCATAAAGAGGTAAATTGAAAAACAAAAATGAAGACAAAAAAAAATTACAAAACCATAACTGGTTTTAATTAAATATGCACAACAAATAAAATAGAAAAACATCAAAGACAGGATATTATTATAGATAATCATCAAAGGTTGATTATATTCAGGTCTAAAAACCATTCCTGCTTATAAATGGACAGTTGGAAGGACTATATATATATATATATATATATATATATATATATATATATATATATATATATATATGAGGCACAGTGGAGTAATGGATAGTGGCTTGAATTGAGGAATCTGAGTTCAAATTCAGTTACATCCATTACATTCACTTACGTGCTAATACCCTTAGGAAAGGTATGAATCCACTTCTTCTCCCTCCAGCTATGGGCAGAAACCCTGAATTCAAAACCTGCAGAGGGTCGTTTGGGAACCTTGTAGCACATAGTGTACCAGGTCTCTTTATTTGGCTCTTCAAAAAGTGTGGATAGTTCTGCATAAAACCTTCACCATTATAATCAAATTTCGTGCTGGTGTCAAACTGGTCTGCTTGACCCTCATACATTGAATTTGACAGGAGAGTCAAATGTATGCATGTGTGTATATATATATATATATATATATATATTATATATATATATATTATATATAATGGACTCTCCCGTCGGTTTCGACATATGAGGATCTGACAGCTTAATTGATTCAGTTATGAAATTTTGTGCGATAATCTTAAGTGGCATTTAAGACCTGCTAGTGATTTACAAAGGAGGCCACATATGGAGCAAGTGTGAGGATTGTGAGATGAGATCATTGTTAGATTGGCTGACCTTTTAGATCTTGCTCTCACTTCTTGAAGATGATTGAAAACAGCTGAGTCCACTAAAACATGTAGATCTCCATTCTACCCGCTCCAAGGCTAAGCACTCAAGGGTGTTATGTGGTATATTGACTGCTGACAAGTTGCTTTTCAGCTTCTTTGTATCTTAGCTATGGTTGTCCTATATTCCTGTAGCCCTCATCTAACTGGCTATACATTAGGATCTTGGGTATCCTGTGATCAGGCATTCTCAAGGCATGACCAGTCCACCGTAACTGAGACTGTATGAGAAAAGTCTCGATTCCTCCAATATTACACTTGTTAAACAGGTCTACATTAGATGTCCTATCTTGAAGGTTAACTCCATATATATAGTCACTTAGGGGAATTGCCTTAAACACACTTCAAACCTCAACCTTGTGTCACATCCAGTTGCAATGTGGTCACCCTGGTAAATTCCTATAGTCTCTTAGACCTTTATGGAGAAATCCAAATGAACCTTCCTTAGTACCAGGAATATGTCCTTGTTATAGGACTGGGCACACTAATGATTATTTAACAAGTGCTCAGTTGATATAGGTATATTTATGCACCTATGTAAATTAACCCAGTTTCCTCTCCAAATATTGCTTGATACATGGTGGTTTATTCTTACTTCCAACCTCTGAACTGTTCTACAATTATAATCAGCTGATATTAAAAATGGTAAATTATGGAAATAATATGGTGGGGGAAGGTAGAGCATTCTTATGTATTGATCCTAACATTGGTTAGACAGTAAAGACAATGTGTGGATTGGTAGATGAATAAGTTTTTCACACTAATGGAAATTAACTTAGCAAATCTCATTTTAACATTGCCAATCAACAGTAGACATATAAAGACTGGACACTTTTGGCAACTAATTAGCTTGGGCTTTCCAAATTGTGACATTTTAGCTGAATGTTAAACTTCACATTATCAACAGAGTATATATTTTCAAAAAAAAAAAAAAAAAAATATTGAAATTTTTTTTTTTTTTTTTTTCAATTCTGTTTTATTCCATTATTTTTTGTCATACACTGAATAATTAGTCAGTCATTTATCGCAATTAGATTGATTAATTGATTGCTTTTGTTTTTTATGGTTTATCAACCCTTTTCAGGTTATTTAAAGCCACAAAGTATTTCTCAATTGTAAAAAAATTTTTTAGAGATAATTGTGATTTATATACAAATCTTACTAATTAGGTGGATTCTTACCTTTCCCAAGGATATTTATGTGTAAATGAATATAACAAACCCAACTTGAATTGGAACTCAGCTCTCCAATTTCCAGTTATGAGCCATTATCCAATCCATCACCCACACATCCAAGCTTACTTTCCCTGGTATTTCTAGGTGATCATTCATTTTGTTACTGACCAGGCTCAATGTTACTTAACTTTGGTGACTGGATGAGAACCGGTGTTTCCATAAGACTTGAACAGTTAGAATTTTTATTTACTGCTCTCATAAGTACATTATATATGAAACATTTTGATAATATTCAGGTGTGAAAAATGTCATGTTTATAGAAAGTTGTACAAGTTTGATGGCTGAAGCATGACAATACTCTTTCAGATCATAACATGCTTTTGGCTGCTTGAAGAGATCTTATTTATATCTTCCATGTTTTCTCTGTTTTGTAGTCAGAAGCAGCATCTGAAGTAAATGAAGAAGTGCGTGAAAAGAGAAAGAAAATGTTACAAAAGTCTTTGAGACCATCTGTTTTGGTAAGGGATTTTGCAGATGTCTTTTTTTATCCATTCCTGTTCTTTAAAATAGTTGTTTTTTTTTTTTTTTTAAATAACATTCACCCAATACAAAGTCCAAGTGCCACTCAAGCTAGAGGATTACTGCTTGGAGTTGTATTAGCATAAGAAAGGGCAAGATAACAGGAAATATAGACAGCAAATTCTACACTTGAAGATGTCAAGGTTTAATTAGTGAATAACATTTCAGAGTTCACACGTCGACGTTAAGAGTATGCAGTTGAAATAGAATTTAGAAGGAACAAGAAACCCAATTCTAAACAGGAAACAAGGGATGAACCTCTACTCCAGTTCAAAAGATTGGGATCGAGTGTGAACCGGATGATAGCTGAAAAAAAAATGTATTTATTAAAAACTTTATTTCCTTATGAGAATAAAACCAATTATTTTTAATATGGATATGTCAGACTTTTTATACCCATTGCGTTTCATTACGTAAGGAACTTTATTACAGCAATTGGGTAATTTTATTTTTTATTTTTTTTTTTTTTTTTTTTTTTTTTTTTTAAATCATTTCATCCCAAGCAAGGTAATAATGTCACTAAGATGCAAGGGGTTTGTTGTAATTGTTACCGTTACATAACAATAGGATATAAAACATGACCAGTGGATTATTGGCGAATAAATTTTATTTTTTAATAGTTCAATAGGGAACTGTTGCTGAGTTGCTGTAATTCACTCCTGTTGCTGAGTTGCTGTAATTCACTCCTGTAACACCAGCGGTGTCCGTTCAAGTCTGACCACAGTATTAACAAAGGCTGGCTTTTATGGCATCTGGCAAAATCAAAACACAGATTTTTGGTCACATGTGACATTATCTAGTCCATGCAGATTGAGCCTCCTGTACAAAGCATAGGCAGACTGTGTTGACTACACTCCTCCCCCTGATCTCACTATCGCACAGCCTTTTACATCTACTAAGGTGGCAGCTTTTACATCTACTTCTTTGAAGATGCAGCCTGGCAGGCTCTCTTGCCTCTTGAGGCGGCCCTGTCACAATCTGCTGACCTTTTTTGTTGTCACCGTCACTCAGTTTGTTAGAATCAACATCAATTGAATGGTCGTCTTTGTCATTCGTTACAGGTATGTACATCTCATCATCACTTGACACAGCAGTTTTGTCTTCCACAGAATTGCTCACCTTATGAGGATAAGGGCAGAGATATCTCACACGGTGCGGCATTCCATCCATATAAACTGTTTGAGTACTCACAAATCTGGTCACTGTCCCCATCCTCTATCTACTCGTACATCTGTTTGGCAGACTCGTTACTAGTACAACGCCCCCTTTCTTGTACATACTCTGCTTGGACTCAGACTTTATACTGGTACAAAGCATCAATCTGAGCAGTTGCACCATGGACACCATCCTTTGGCATAACATTGTACCAGTAAACTGCTTCCTGGACAAAACATTGTTTTCTGGCAGCAATCTGCTATATGGATCTGTGAGATCGTTCAACAATGTTGTTTCCAGATGGCACTTATATACATTGGAAACACAGACGAACAGCCCCACCTCACAGCAAATGTTCTAAAGCTACTGTTAAATGCCATATCATTATTTGTCAAGATCTCTTTAGGTGGGCCTCACTCAAAAAAGATAGATTTAAGACACTGGATCACAAATCTTGTTGCAGAGGTCACCAAATAGACTGTGAACCTTCCCGTTTTTCTATCAGAGTCAGATAGTGAGCACACCTGTAATGAGTGATATTCATCTCTAGTCTCTGCCATATACCTGCTGTCTCCAGATTCCCTTTTTGCCATCAGATTGGTGCCAGATCCGTTGACAGACATTCCAGGCAGGATTTACAGAAGATCTTACAGCCTCTTTTGTTATAGACTGAGCGATTTTTCCAAGTCCATTGTTTTACACTATCGGCTGTGTAAGTGTATTTGCCTTATCTGACCCGATTCCATACTGCTGCTAGTCACAGCATGTACCTGTAGCACAGGTTCTGCCTCATTCTTTATTGCCTTCAGTCGCTTCTGCAGAATTCTGGTGCTTCTCTCTGCTTTGTTTTGATTTGATGAGAATAACATCCACCATTAACACATACTCCTTAACTAACTCCAAGAAGGTTTGCAACCAAGGTGATCAGGATCTGACTCGCAGTCGCCCCCTGATCAGCATCAGTCGCCGCCCCCCGATCAGCATCTCACTTGCAGTTAGCCCCTGATCAGCAATTGCAATTTTTGTAGTGATGTTATAATGCATATGTTATAATTTTGAATGAATATATATATATATATATATATATATATATATACACACACACACACAGTGTGGTGCATAATTATAAAGCCAGTTGAATTTTATCTTTAAACTTTAGCAATGGAGATAATATTTTAATATTTTGTATATTATATAGTATAAATAATCTGAAAGTTTCAAATAATTACTATGAGTAGAAAATCAGTTATTGTAAAATTATCCAAAAACTTGAAAAACAATTGGTGCATAATTATAAGGCCATTTTATAAAAAGAGCACTTCAAGTTAAAATAATTTAAAATCAACAATTGCTTAAAATTTTATAAATTATTATAAATAATTCACCAGCATTTGCATATAACGTAATTGACATAAACTGTGTCTTTGTGTACAAAATTAAGTGAATTTGAAAAAAGTCAAATAATTGCACTCAAAAATGAAATATAAAAAAAATTAGCTCAATTGCTAAAATCTAAAGATAAAATTCAGCTGGCCTTATAATTATGCACCACACTTTTATATATATATATATATATATATATATATATATATACACACAGAGAGAGAGAAATAGCTTTTCTTTTCTTTTCTTTTTTTAAATTCAGGTGTTTGTTTCCTAGGTTAATTGCCAACCAAGGCTAGAAAGTACAGCCTGCCCTGCTATTTAACCATAGCTCATTAGTAGAGAATGGGTTCATGCTCTTCCCAAGAGCATTATTGTTAAATAAAAACAAATTGTTTCCCTCAGAATTTGAATTTTGCTCACCACACACCTCCTCTTCCCATGATATCATCAGCTCCTGTTTTTGATTTCTTTACAGCCTGAAGATTCTGAGATTGAAAAACAAATGTCTGCTACTTCTAAGAAACTCCACCAGAAATGGAAGGAAATGAGACATCTTCCTGTTCAAAAGGTTTGTCTAACTAGAATTTCAATTATAGACTTGTGGTAGGCATTTCACTTTATATTATGAAAAAAGTCTTCTTGTTTCTTTTTTTAATTATTTTTATAGCATAAATATCATGCTAAAATAATAAATGCTTTTATCTCTGTTGTTTTTAAATATATTTACTAATGTCCTTGTTTACACATGTATTTTTCATCCTTGTTGAGAACAATGCATTGGATATTATCTGCTTGTCTACTATATAATAATTAGTGTGTATTTATTTATATCTTTCGTGTCATCCTCTACAGTGAGAAGGGAGGTAAATCGACTTAAGGTAGTAGATTTATGAGTGGTTACCTAGTCATTTTACTAATCTAAGCAAATAAAATATTTACATTTTTATTTAGATAAAATTAATTCCCAAGCAAAATGAACCTTTTAATTAATCTGTTCCCTTGGGACTACATTCCATAGGCTGCAGTCTTATTTGTTGAAGCTTTTATTGCCAGACACTTAGATACTTTTGTCTACTAAGTAATCGTCTTGCTTCATCTTGATCTTGAGATAAGCTTTGTCATTCACTTGTTAATCTTTTGAGAAGTGTTTTCATATTCTTTTATTAGACACCTAAAATTTTAAACATGAAAAGATTTTTTTATGTAGATATTTGTTTATCTAGTGAAATAAAGATCAAAATTCAGTCTTTTTGGAGTGAGACTGGAAAAACCTCTCAAGGGCAGAGGACTAGATGATGGAATATGGAAGTCATGCACTACCCAGACTAAATGGACCCCCCATGTCACAGATGTACTGACAAGATCCAAAGGAATGCAGGGAATTATATTTACTGTCAAGGTAGACTCCAGTTTCAATAGTGGTTCTTGAGAAATTCAACATACAAACCATGTCCTTACTATGACGATAAACTACATCTGGCAGCAAGGCCTCTGATAAGGTTTTCAAGAGTGTGGAACCATCTCTTAATTGCTGTTATTCCCAGGTCCACCCTGACCCGGGGTGGTAGCACATGTTAGGGTCCCAGCTATGGGCAAGACACTATGAAATTGTAAAAATAGACTTTTATAGTAAAAATACCAACAATACATTTGTTATATACCATACCTATGAACACTAATGGGTATGTCCCAATCCTAATAAATACGTAGGACACTATTGTAAGTGGGGGTAATATACTGTCTTAGTCCACCACTTGCAGTGGTTTACCTACTTCACACCACTGGCGAGTATTTTATTTTGTTGATGTTATAAAGGTTACCATTTCATCTCCAACCTCTGTTTTGGTTATTCCTCATCCAGTAACCCTTTCGAGGTTACAGCATCTTTGGAGAAAAAAATATTACCTTACCAGTAATATATTTTTGGAGAAAAAAATATTACCTTACCAGTAATATATTTTTGGAGAAAAAAAATATTACCTTACCAGTAATATATTTTTGGAGAAAAAAAATATTACCTTACCAGTAATATATTTTTGGAGAAAAAATACCAGTAATAATATATTTTATATTTTTGGAAAAAAAAAAATATTACCTTACCAGTAATATATTTTTGGAAAAAAAAAATATTACTGACAATACAAAAACCCTCTTTAGAAAAATGTCAATGAAACCTGATTTACAAACTGATATCTTATAAAGAATACATATTCTGTTCACACAAATCTATTGTAAAAATCTTGTCAGCATTAAATAATTCATTGAGGTTGATATGCTGTAAAACAAACCAAACGAAACCAATCGACCCAGAACCCATCCCATACCATTATAGAGCCACTACAGGCATGCACAATATCTTTCCATGTACAGTCTCCTCCATGCAGGATTTTGACTGTCTTCCTAGAAGTTGGTAACACCTGACCAGATTACATGGTACCAGTCTTTAATAATCCAATATTAATGTTTTCTAGTCTAGGTGAGGTGTAGTAACTGATGTTATGGTGTCGTTGACATTAGTATTCTTAGTCAATGACTATGAAACCCCATCACATACATTGTCTGATGAGTTGTGCAACACCAGGGATGTGATTTTGATGCAATATTTCCCCATTGTCAGTTACCAGTGGTCCCCTTTGTGTATTACCAGTGAGTACCTGCAGTTTTTACATGCCTTTGATGTTTGTCTGGTATTTACATATTCCTCTTAGATTCTTGGTCCTATTGCTCAAGAAAAGCAATATATTTTTGTAAAAAAATTACCAACAATAAATTTTTGAAGGATTTTTTTGAAAAAATATTAACAGCAATACATTTTTTTAAAAACAAAATATTACCAGCAATAAAAATCTTGTCAGCATTAAATAACCCATTGAGGTTGATATGCCACAAAACAAAACCAAACTGAACCAAAAACTTTTAAAAACGCTAAAAATATTAAATTAAAACTCTTCAAAAACAATGTTATATCAAGAGGTCAAAAATGACTCCCTGAGAAGAGGCAATAAAATATATAGGCAGCAATCAAATTGACAAATTACAGCATAAACTTAACACCCTCTGTACCAACAATGATTGCCACAAGGAATACATAGGAGAAACCTCAAGGAATTTAAAGAAAAGACTATATGAACACAAAAGGGATCTTGTACAAAACAAGATGCTCAATGAATTATTTGCTCAACATAATGAATCTAACCATAATTTCAAAAGTGCTGCTTTGATTAAAAGAGGAGGTAATTTCCTAAGACGAACGTATATAGAAAGTGCTTTGATCAGTAGATCACCCACAATAAATTTATGTCTACATTCTTACAATATTTCACTTTTCTTTGCAGATCTTTTTTCTCACAATGTGGGATACTTAATGATAGAAATTATAAAAAGAACAAGCGCATAAAAAAAATGGAATGAAATCTAGACTACATGACAAGACATATTTAAAGAAAAGAAAAAGAATTTTAAAATTTCAGCATTTTTTGTCTGTGCATAATTATAACCAATGTTTGTTATTATACCCCACCCCCCTTACTCATATATGATTCTATCAAGAAAACTCTTGCTTTAATCCAATGAAGTCCTAAGGGACAAAACACATCACATAGAATATTTTCCACTTTGTCATTAATTTACCTAACAATCTAATAAATAATAACTTTTTTGTTGTCATTTCTCAAAGAAAAAAATGTATAAATCCTGTTTGAGTTTTATTAAAATTCTAAAACAACAAAAAGTTGCAGAGAGAATATACAGTAATAGCAGAAAAACCATCCTTCTGACACACTGGTTTTTGTAAATATGTTTGTTAAACTTTGCCATTGCTTTTTTTATTATTATTTTAAATCTTTTACTTTGTCTTAACAGAATTATGATAAGCCTTCAGCAAAACAGTCAATGGATTTCTTTACTCACATGTTGGAAGAAGAAATTCCAATACCTTCATGTTCAGCAACAATTGAAGAAACGGGGGTTTCGGCTCCAGAACCAGAACCTGAACCAGAACCAAAGGTAAGAATTTATTGATGACTATTGAAAAGAGGTGATGTTGATAACATCACCATTGACAAAGAATTTTAGATCAATAAAACTCAGTTTTATGTGTATGGGCCAGGGTAATTATGTCAAAATATTCAAAACTGTGACATGAGATATATGCAAATTTATCATATCTATCAGTATGTGTCTTATGTCTTGCCCAATTTAGCTTTTCTTGCTTAATAAAAATAATTAATTTCTATATTTAGCTTTTATCATTTTTATCTACAGTATGTCTCTTATATTTTGCTCAATTTAGTAATTCTTGCTTAATGTATGATAATTTATTTGGATACATAATGAAAGTGGAATTTGCAAGCAGAGTTAAGATTCTGTGCCAGTCTTTTGCATTCACTTTCACACTAATGCTCCTGGGAAAGGCGTGAATCCAGTGCTTCGCTTCTCAGGTATGATTAAAATAGCCGTGAAGACTGGTTGCCACCCAAGATTAGAAAATCAATCTGTAAGGACTATAATGAATTACAAAAAAGGTAACAAAAAACAACTCCATTATTTTTTTTTTACCAAAAATGTCATTGTGATTCACAGATGAAGAAAAGGAAACTGCAGAGGACTATGATCACCTACATTTTGATATAACTTAACATTAAACAAAAATAAATAAAAAAAAAAGAGTGAAGTACAACTGTATAAAAGAAAAGTGACAATGTTAACCATTCTTTCACCCTCAATAACTCCTTGTATCTTAATGGTTTCACTGCCTTGCTTGTGGTGAAATTATTAAAAAAAACAATTATACTGTATACAAAATAAACTCAAATATTTTAATCCTGCTGAGCTGTTTTAATCACAACAATTTTGTTAATATCAATTTACAGAAGATGTAAATCAATGGAATAAAAAAAAATTTATAGAGCAATGGAAAGGGCCCACACAATGCCAGGTATCATAGCTAGTAATAAAATAAAATCATTTCAAGATTTATCAAACATCTGCATTCTCTATAACTTTGAGAAGATTCCTGAATATTGTTCCAAGGCTCCAATCTATTATTTGCATTTGTTTATCAAAATGCCATGTTCCTTCAGGCGGTAAACAGTCGTGACTTTCTGCAGATTCCTTTCCATTATTGTCTGTGAATTGCCATGAATTCTTAGGAAGAATAGTCAAGTGGTTTCCCCTTTGCCTTTTCTACAGTTTGAACTTCGGAGTTTTTCTTCTGGTTGCTACTTAAGACTAGAGGACTTGGTCTACTCTGGGGGAGAGGAAGAGATGGATTCATGCCTTACCAAAGAGCATTCGTGTGGAATTTGAACTTTGCACCCTGACTGTACTTTCTGCATCAATAACCATTAAGCACACATCATCTTCTTTTGTATAGTTGCTGTTATTAGCCCAGTCTAAATAGTGGCCATGATGGACACATTGGCGATAGTGGCTGTTATTAGCTCACTGTTAATAATGACTATGATGGACATAGCATTTCAGTCAAACTGTTCTTCTGCTCATATCCTTGAGGAAAAAAAAGGAAATGTCTTTTCTGAAGAACAACAGGTGACAGGAATTTTCATGAATGCATTTGATGTAGCCACTACTTCAATATCTATTGTAATGAGTGGTGTAGTTTGACTCTTACTACATTCAGAACCACCTGCAATCACTGCAAGAAAGTTCTGGAAAATGCAGAGTGTAGCTATGCACATGCAGTCCAGGCCAAGTTTGAAAACAAATTGAATCTCAAGACTTCTGGAATATCTCCAAACAAATTATGAATAGAGGCAAAGCAGCTGTGCCTACTTACAAATGGTCCCAGGGTCATATCTTCCTTGACAGACAAGACAAAGTTCTTTGCCTCAAATTCAACGTTAGATGACAAAAGCCATCCTCTTCTCACATCTCACTGAGCACAATCTCAGCAATATTTTCATTAGCCCAAGAAGTTTTAAGACTTATCAAAACTCTTGACTCTAAGAAAACCACTGACCCTGACAAAATCCCAGTGGTCATTCATTAAAAATATCAACATGGAATTATCCCTGATCCTAATGAAGTTATTTAACCAACACTTGAAGGAGAAATCCTTCCCAAGCCTGTGAAAAGTGTCAAGTGTATGCCTGGTTTTCAATATAGACCCATCAGTTTCCTCAGTATCATTAGCAAGCTTTTTGAGAATATAATCAACAAGAAGGTTTTTGAGCACCTTAATAAGAACAGCCTCTTGAGTGACAAGCAGTACAGGTTTAAATCAACCTGATCCACTGCTGATGTTCTAACTACCATCAATCACAAAATTGGTGAGGCACTAGACAACAAATACACCCCAAGGACAATAGCATCAGATATTTAAAGGCCTTTGACAAGGTGTGGCGCAAAGGATTGCTGCTCAAGTGCTCTAGCTATGGAATCACTGGAAGAGTCTTCTCAATAATAAAAGTCCTTCCTAAAGGGTAGGTCCTTGCAGGTAGTTGTTAATAACCAGTCCTCAGGAGCCCTAGCAATTAATGCAGGCATGCCCCAAGGCTCACTTCTGATACCAACTCTCTTTTTTACTTTATATAAATGATCTTCCTTAAGAATATACTTTGGTCATGTGTGAACATCTATATTGATGATACAATGATATATGGGTGCATCTCCAAAACTAGTAATTGCAGCAGATCTCTCATCCAATTTATCTCTAACATCTCTGTGGGAAAAAAAAAACAGGTTGAAAACGAAATTAGTTACGTCCTATCATTGCCGATTGAACCTTGAACTACTACCAATCATGATGAATGGGTGTTCCCACAGGGAGACGCTTTGCCTTAAGCACCTCTTGGGACTTAAACTCACTGAAGACCTCAAATGGAAATCATACATAAGATCAATTAATAAAGATTTAGGAAAAATGGTTGTACCATTCCAATAAGTACCTGATTCCTTGTGTTATGCTCTATGTTTACAAGAGCCACATTAGTAGGACCCCCAATTTTCAATTTCTAATTTTCCTTGATTTTGTTTCCATTTTGGTAAATTCCGTTTGTACTTTTGGGAAATTTCATTTTTTCCATTTTATGGTATTTTATGAGAAAATTACAATACAATATGCTATAATTATTATTAAAACTGAAAACGAAACATAATTCAAAATTTTATTGCATATAAAGAAATAGCAAATATCTGCCAATTTTTTTTAATGTTAAAATCCAAGTCTAAAAATAAATGACATGTAAAAATAAAAAAATGTGACATGACTAGGCAATAAAACAATGGAATGTTACAGTACATATCTTTGAGGTAGAACTTTTAATCAGAGCTTCCTTCTTAAATAACATGTTCAAATTGCTTTTGTTTTGTTTTTTAAGTAAAAGGATTTAGATCGATTTATAATTGATTCATAATATAAAAATCACATTTAAAGTATCAACAGCAAATAACTTAAATCTCAATAATAAATATCTGAATAAAACATTTTGACAAAAACTTTGACAAAACTTTTATAAAACAGTAATTAAGTCATAATCACTGAATCTTTGTAACAAAATATCAAAAAACAAATTAGACATATTAATTGAAAATTTAAATAAAACAACTTATTCCAAGCTCAAATTTAAAATTGATAATTTCTTAATTTGAGAAGTATCTAATCTTCAAATCTCTCCTCTAAATCTCCATTGTAATACAACATTGTGGGTTGCTTGGTGTTCTCAGGGGTAAGATTTTCACGTTGTTTATTGAGTAAATGTTTTTACTGAGAAAATGAACATTCAGCATCTATGCTGGTAACAGGCATCCATATGACCTTATTGGCAACCTGTTCCAGAAGAGGAAATCTGATCTTATTTGCATTCCAAAATGATGGAAGATTAAAAGGATTTGGTAAATCATGGTAATTCACATACATTTGGAATTCTTCAAGAAGATCAGGACATTGCAAGTCCTTGATGGCTGTAAAATTATCTAAATCATGGCCTATACAGGGTAGCTGTCTAGGATCAAACAGGTGAGTTGCCTCATAAAAATTATACACAGGTAGGGTATCCAGGTATTTATTCAGTTTCAAAAAAGATGTGTGAAAAAATCTTGGAAATTTGAGATAACTCTCTCCCTGTCTGTGTTTTCTAGTTCAAACAGAAGATGATCATTTTCTAAGACAAATGTTGATTTTGATGTACCAGTTTGCAAATACTGTTTTACATCCTCCATCATGTTATATACAACACATGCAAGTGGAGACTTAGTTTCTTCAAAGATGTTATTAAACGAGTGCAGTTCTCATTCATAAAATGCAGATTTAGGTGCAAATTATTGTAAGAGGCATGATGTAGTCAACCATCATCTACTAATTCTAGAATCCTATCTATGGCAAGGCCATGGCTCTTTTCTTGCTTAAAAATCCTTCATAAAACTGTACAAAGGATGAGTGATATTTGGCTGCATTGAAGCAGGATTTCCATCTGGTTGCCACTGGTACAGGGGGTAGTTTCACTTGTTCCTTAGGCAAGCCATTTTAAATATCGCTTTTTCTGACTAGGCTTTTTTTAAAAAAACAAAAGAAGCTGACTTGATGAAAGTAGTGAGCTGGGTAACATTATCAAATGCTGGCCAGTGTGGAAATACTTCACCAATAAGACTTAAAATATGTGCTAAGCACAACACATGGCAACTGTTAACAAAAAACATTTGACAATACTTCCTTATGAGCTTTATTGCAATAGGCTGCAGAATCTGTTACAAAGGCAGTAATATCCTCAAATGCAATATCCACATGAGTTACAGCTCGGATGCATGCCTGACTTACAGTTTGATGATTGCATTCTTGCAAGGTGACAACATCAATGAGAAATGACTCCCCACAAATGCTTGCAATTACATTTAAAATGCTGTGGTTACAACAGTTGTTTTGTCTGTTTTGATGCTGACTGATTGATTAGAAAGCTTGGCTTTTAGGGCAGCAAACAAGCAAACAATTTTGGTACATGAAGTTGCCTAATACAATTGACACTTGGAATAGCACCATCTTCTTTACAATGTTTTAATATGAATGATCTCATTTTGTCAATTTTGTGTAGGGGAATATCAGTCAAAGTGCACATTTTTAAAATCATCTCATACCTCTTTACTCTTCAAGAAAGTTGTGATTGTCTTCTGTTTCAGTTGAGCAGAATTTTTTGAAGACTTTTTGTCAAAAGAGGTTTTTGATTTGATGCGATCTTTGATTGTGTCAAGCTTAAAAATGTCAACACTATTGTTGTAAAGTAGTTTTCACAGTGGAGGCTTGTATTTCAATAAGTCTGTCCTAAAAGGGTCTGACGTACAAAACGTTAGGAACTTGCAATAATAGTTAATGACGCAGCAATCTAGTTGTGGTCATTGATACTTCAATGTCAGTCATCGACTCAACTCCACTGAGTTCAACTGGTGACTGCTACTACTACTTATTATGTTATTACAATAGAATAGGTAATGTTCTAGTATAACAAATATGGAGACAGAATTTTCAAAATAACATATTTTCTTCTGCATAAGTCATCAGGAAATTGCTCTACTCTGGCTTTAGCACAAATTTTAGATACTGGTGTTTTTGAGAGGAGTAGGCCCAAATTTTGAGGTTGATTCATTATATTGACTTGATTCAGTCATCTCGGCAATTTGTTGTTTAGTCATACAACTGGTTTAGATTATAAAATATAAATAAAATATTAAAAAATAATCATTGACAGTTAATATTATTAAAGGATTTTTTGTTTAATTTAAATTTGTTTACAATGGTGAAGCACTGAAGATAATGCAATTATTAATCCAGGAGAATCGCTGTAAGCTTAGACAGGCCAATCAATTCATAGAATGGTGTTTCTGGAGAATTGGTTTTTTTTTTTTTTTTTTTTTTTTTTTTTCAATATTTCTAAATTGTATGGTAGGCACGTGATAGCATTTACTTTTTCATATTCATAAAACAAGCTTACAAGTTGTTTAGAATATTTTATTTGTAAATTGTGTGTCTGAAAAGAAAAGAATTTGTTAAAATTATTGGTTTGATCTTTGTCTCTCTCTCTCCCTACTCTAATTTTCACATCAACTAGTGTCTATCTTCCATTTCCACTTTAGCAATGGATCTCAGTTGCCATGACCTTCTGACTTTCATCTTGTTTGCAACATACAGTTTCTTAGAAAAGTTATAAGATATTTAAAAATAGATTATCCAACATATTCTCAATAAATCGACATCCCACAATTTTTTTTATGTAAACATTTTTGTTCTTAATTATTTTTTGGGTTTTATAAGAAAAATACCTACAAAGATTTATAAATTTTAAGGAAATAACTACATTACATTATTGTTATATTAAAATGTTTAACAAAATCGGAGAGACAGTTAAGTTTCCAAGTCTTTGTGGGTGACAAAATTATATTCCACCCTCCACTCTCTCTCACAGATGGAATGTGACAAGCCTTTCACTGCTCTGTCGCTATGTTCATGGAAAGTGCTTGGACAGTCTACATTCCTTGGTTTCACCAGTTCAACATCTCACAGCTAGGACCTGCCATGCCACTCAGTGTTGCAAACCACCCTCATTCCCTCTGTATTCCTTTGGTGAGAAATAAGTTCCATGCAAACAGCTTCTTCCCATGAACCATTATTCTGTGGAATTGACTCCCAAGAGGATCTCCTCCCCACCACTCCCGAGCACTACAATTTTAACCTGTTCATGTCTAGAGTTAACCATTATCTTCCCCACTTATTCACATAAAATGTGCTTCTTACTCTGTAACCTTCTACCTTGAGTTGAATGAATTAAGAAGACAAAAGATAACAATTGCCATTGCATTTAAATCTTTAAAAATCAAACTTGACTGGAAAACTAAGAAGCCAGAAGTGACAAGTGAGAAATGCAAGGGAAGAAACTCTTTGCATAGTACTTACGATTACTTACATCTAGCCATTTAAACTGTAAAAATGATGTGATCTTACCACCACTCTAATACTTTGCTTAAATTCATAAAGTACAAAAGAGATAGCTAGACTTTATTAATCAAATAAACACTTCGTTTATTTGAATCACATTAACATTGCTATTTAATTCTTTGTATGAATTTTTTTTTATGATATAAAATATAAGCTGCACACACTAATATATATATATATATATATATATATATATATATATATATATATATATATGTGTGTGTTAAGGTAAGTGCTCAATTTTAGTGATATTTATTAGATAAAACTAAATACTGACTTGATCCTATGTTTTTTCTCTTTCAATTTAAAGATCCTGCCTGAAGAAACTGATGAAGGTGAGTTCTTTTGTTTCTCTTTGTCAGTCAAAATCAGATTTTCCTTATTTCAGATTATTTTGGTTGTCAATAGAAGACATTGTGAAAACATCTAATGATTTTGTTTTCTGTTTCTATCACAGACACTGTTCTCCTGATTGATAGTATTGATGATGAAGAAGGCTTTGCTTTGATTACATTAGTAAAACCAGATAAGACACTGTACTTGGATCAGGTTGAAGCTGAAGCCAAGATGTATTGCATACCATCTTCTCAACCAGGTGAGTCAGTATTTGTTAATTTAAATATTGCATTTTTGTAGCAAGTTTAGTGTAACATTTTTCGGCTTGGATTTCTGGGATTTACACACAGACAAATATCCTCATCTTTATTGCTATTATGACACTGTTTTTACCATTGATCTACAGGTTTCACTCACTGAAAACCATTTTTAAAACCTTAGAAAGCTGTTATATACAGCTGACAGTTTAGATATTTCTAAACAGGTTTTTTTGTTTTGTTTTTTTATCATTTCATCCCAAGCAAAACGATAATGCCACTAAGAAACAAGGGGTTGCTGGGGGGTGAAAGAAAATGAGAAAACTTTAGGAGTAGGAACTGGAAACCCAATCCTAAGCAGGAAACAAGGGATAACCCTATACTCCTGTTCAAAAGACTGAGGAATGTGAACTGGGTGATTGGTAAACCTATCTACTCCTACTGAATTTTGGCACCATGCAACTCAAAAGATAACATTGACAAAAAAAGAAAAACAAAATTAAACAAGAATTACTAAATACATTATTTTCTATTCTATTAAAAAAATCTACCAATTTTATGAATTTAGTTACATTTGAAATGTTTTTCTTTTTCAATCTATTAGACCCAAACATAAAAAATTTAAGCAACTTTAGTACTAATTAATGTACAAAATCCTAAATTGTTTATAAAAATCTTTTCATATCAAAATTTAACTAATTCCATATTATCATCATCATCATCATATACTAGAGTTCTATTCATCACTTCTATCAGAATGAATGGTTCACATAACTCATTCTATAATGGGTAGGGTTTATGTAATAAATATTGCCATATTTCTTGTTTACACTGACTACATAGGGACAGTAATTTTCTGGTTGGCATGGGGAAAAATGAAACCAAAATTGCAGTTATATTTTGGTATGAATAGCAAGATTTTTAGTTTTCTTATATCTGCCCACTGGCTTTGCAACTACTCCACCATTTCTTCAGTTAATTTTTTTCCTGCATTTACAAATGAAATATTTCTGTGAGGAGGGGAAAATTATTAAGCACCAAATCCTGCAATTTTTTAATATAATTTACCAAGTTTTGATTCTTGTTGTGCATGGAAAATCAAGAAGAAAGGAATTGTCAGAGTCCAGGAATTAATGCAAATATCTCTTGATAGAATAAGGCTATTTTATGTATAATGTAAATGCATTGCTTATGATTTTACTATAGATATAGAAATGCATTAAAATCAGGAACAAAGGGATTATCAGTGGTCAGGAAGAAATGCAGGCGTTATTGACCGGATTATTATATGATTATATAGTGACATGCTTTTTTTTTAATCATTATGATTTCTGCAAATAGCATCAGTGAAGAACACATTGAAGATGGGAACTGGTTTTAGAAAACTGATGTTTTGTCAGATTTGCAAATCATATAATGAATTTAAATAAAAAAAAATTAGCTAAATGACTGTTTCATTGTAACAAGAGTTGCACGCACTTTGTAATGGTATAAATGTTGTTTTTTTTTTTGTTTTTTTAAGAAAGTCATAAGGATCATTTGATTAACTGCTTTTTTTTTTTCTTTTTAAAAAAAAAATGATTATTTCTTTTAATAGTGCCATCACTTGAGAAATTAGATTCTACAACCCAAGAGCCACGTTATCTGGCTGATGAAGGCTTTTATGTTGGTACACCCCCTAACATAGCTTCCAGTAATCGTAACCGAATGGAGCAACGCTTGATGCTAGACAAGGAACAGGTGAGAGCATTGTTTTAAAATGTGCCAACTTAGGGAAGGTAAATTATATTTATATACACACTATTTTCCCTTAGTATGACAAGTTTTCATAAGTGTGCAATAGAGATCACTGTAGATCAGAAAGTATATGAAGGATTTTATTGGGATTTTTATTTTTTTCATTTTAATTTCACTTTTATTTTTTTTTAGCACAACTTCTCAGACTGTCAATGTATCACTGGCAGCAACAGAAATTGAGACAAATACTAGACAAAGGAATTGATTATGACTTGTCCTAATCAGAGATCCAATTTAGTGTAAATCAACATCAAAGAAAAAAACCACAAGTTTTACATCTAAATATGCTGATTATATGAAGGTTGATTGTTAAATAATATCTCTATTTCTATAAAACAAGTTCTAGACCAGGCAGAATAATGAGGCTGCTATCAAAATGAAGGTTGATTATTAAATAACGTCTCCAATTTTGTAAAACATCTATAGAGCTCACTTGTGGTTTATACTGCAACTATGCTTTGCAGACCTTAGTAATAGTTTCTGGGAGAGAAGCATGTTATCTAGTGTGATCAGCAATCTGAACAAGACAGTCACGATGACTTGTGACTTTGTGCTAGAACACACATCGATGCCCCCACCCCAAGTGTTCCATCTATCCAATTTCACTCACAGGGCTTGGGTCAACACGTGGTATGGTTTTCAGGCAGTTTCAAAAGGTGTTGCGCACTGGGATCCCCTCCTCCAGACTGATAATATCAAAAAGCCTCACAAATTGATCCTGGTGAGATTTGAACCTGGGTCTCATGGTCAGAAAGCAAAAATTCTAACCATGTGGCCCGGTGCATATATATATATATATATATATATAGAGAGAGAGAGAAAGAGAGACTACCAAAAAAATATATGCACACTTCAGGAAAGGTAAGACTTGTCTTTTGTAGTTTTATCACATTGCGATATGCAATATTCTTTAGGTTCCCCCATAGTAATGATGTTGTGTATTAGAAAAGTAACTACATTGGCAGCTAGATAAGATAAGAAATTGAAAATTCATGTGTAGCAATCCCACTGGACACTTTGGCCAATGTTGCCTAAGCAGTAGTTTGCCATACTAATAAATGTCTGGGAGCTAAAGGCCACTATTTTGAGCATCTCTTGTGATTGTAGAGTTCAAAGGTAACTTGTATTAATCTTGTGATGTCTGAATAAATTTAATATTACAATATCTATACAAGTTTTTCCTTTTCTAAAGTTTGTATACATTTTTGGCAGACTATATATATAGTTTTAAAGGTGTGTATATGTATGTATGTATGTATGTGTATATATATATATATATATAAAAAATCCATTTTCATTGAATTAATTGCTTTGATTTAACATTGAGCTCTCTGGATTTCATCCTTTGGGATTATCCATATGGATTACCAAGATTTTCATTATTATATATATATATATATATATATATATATATATATATATATATATATATATATATATATATATATATAGTTTTAAGGTATGCTATATTTACGAGTTAAAGTGCACAGTATCAGGATAGAGTGTATGTAAATATAAAATTGGACATTGAGGTCAATACCCAGCAAGCAACAGTCCGTTTCATGCTTAAATGCAACCATCAGGCCATGTGCATTGGCAATTGCATTTAAGCATAGAAGAGACTGTGGCCGGTGGGTGACCTCAATGTCCACTTTATATATATAATATGATGATGATGGTTGAAATATGTCTTTCAACTCATTAGATGACCATTACTAATAAGTTTCCATTTACTCAGTCTGTGGAATTCAGTTTTCCTTCTAGACTGGTTACCAACCAAGGCTAATGTACCCAGCCTGTCTTACTATTTAAACTATAGCTAGCAGAAAAAGAGATTGATTTATGTCTTTCCCAATGGTATTTGTATGAAAAGAAATATAATGAATGACTGGAATTCAAGTTTGCCAATTTCTCATTCTGAGTCACTTACAATTACATCAGCTGCACACACTGGTTACTTTATTATTATACTCTGCTAGTACCTTAATACTTAGTATTCATGCACATGATAAAACGGTGACACTATTTAGTGCTGGTAAATGAAGAGAAGGGTTAATGACTAGAGAATGATGGATATACTGAGAGAGTGTTGGTAAATAATAAGAAAGGGTTAACAGACAGATTGTGAGAAAGAGTGAAGATTTCTCTTTTCAAAATAGTTTAATTCACAAGAAACCAGGAGAATTACTTAAAGCGATATTTTCACAAGAGGACCATGTGGTGATCTTTTGACAGTTGATTGATGACCTATCCCTAAAAATACTGGTCACAAAAACAGAGGTAAAGAGAAACAGATAAGATTTGATCTATAATAAAAATCCAGGAATAAAGTTCCTTGTGGAAAGACCCTGGCAGGGAGCCATATGATCAGTGTCTAATTCTGAATAGAAACAAAAAGCTGGTATGTGAAATTTTACGTTCGACAAGTTTGAATGATAATTCTTTTGATTAACAACCTTAGAGTTGAACCACGCCAAGCAGTCTAGGGCAATTTGTCGAGAGTGGCTAAGATGGCAGGCACAGGTGAAATATCGAGGGTGCTGGAGCTTATGCCCACACCCATTGGGAAGTGTTGGTATGAGATGTAAGAAGTAAGAAGTTATTGGGATGGATAAATATCTTCAACCGCTACCCATGGAAAAGAGGGAATCTCCTAATTTGGAAATGTAATTAATTTTCAGAACCCAGACGGCAGAAAGGGGTTCTTGTTGGAAGATAAGGAAAATACCAGATTCCCTAACTGTGTCATGCCCCACATCAGTTTTGGGTGGATGTCAATAAATATGAAGGAGTCGAAGCGACAAGACAGATTTTGTTCCAGACACTGGACAAGAACGACCTGACATGACTATCTGCCTGAAGAGAGCCTCCAACATCAGCCTTGTGCCAAACTTCACCAAACCAGCAAAGGTGTCACGCCTAACTTAAGAAGTGGGTTGGATCGATAACTTTCTGCATGTGAACTGTTAACAACAAAACTAACCAACTATTGTACAAAGGAACATATATAAAAACATTTATTTTTTTTTACTCAAGTTATTCTTGCATCCTCATTCCACTTGGACCAGCCCGATACAAAGATACCCAATGACGATTCGATCCTTGTCAGCTTTATGATCAAAACTAAACACAATGTGGAATAAGGCAAGGTCTGGATCAAAGCAATCATTTCATTGATCAGCCATGGGTGTTGGACATTTGGATGACTGGGAAGGAATTGAGAGCAACATAAAAAGGACAGGTTTTTACCTTGACACCACTATTATTTTAACTACCTTCACTCCCTCGGCAATGTCTGTTGTTTTGAAAAGCAATGATTAGAATTTTAATAAAACACAAAAATACAAAAGTGAATTTATGCAATTTCATTGTTTTTTTGAGAATTTTCAATGAAAAAATATTGAACTATTTATTTATTAGATTGTTTATTTACAAGAATAATTTTATATTTACAATGTTCTAAAAATGCGAACCAACTCTAATACAATTCAATGTTTATCATTTGTTATAAATATGAAAATAAATTTTTTTATTCATAAATTTATAGAATATGTCTAAACAAAAAAATTTAAACAAACATAATGATTTGACCGTAATCATAAATTTTGAAAAAATGCATTTTCTGAGCATTTCTTTGATGCTGTAATTCATTGTTATTTTCCTATATTTATGAATACATAATATTGCATTTCTAACCTGTCAACTGCAGCAGAAATTTCATCGTTTGCAGGTGAACCATCAAAATTTTCATCATGTGCACTTGATAGATTGATAAAGTGCTTTCATATAATCAGGGAAATAATATAATGACTTTTCAGTCAGTAATGTAATTTTTTGTTTTTCAAAAATTTTTGTATTTAAATTTTTCTTTTGATGGAGGTGAGAAAGAAACAAATTGTTTTTTTTATTTATCAGGGAAAGAAGTGGTTTGGTGAAGATGGCCGAATCAAGTCACTGCCAGACCCACTGAAAAAGATTTCCTCTCGAGTCCCTGTGCCTGAAGAACAAGAACTTAATCAACATACACTTTACAGAAAGGTAAATAAATTTTCTTTGAGACAGTGTTGCATTCATTACAGTTTTTAAAAAATATATTTGGCAGTTAATGTTTAGAACAGACATGTATTGATATGGCAAGTGTTTTTTTTTTCTTTTTTCTTTCTTTTTCTTTCTCTTTTTCTTTTTCTTTTTTTTCTTTTCTTTTTTTTTTTCTTTTTCTTTTTTTTTTTTTTTTCTTTTTTTTTTTTTTTTCTTTTTTTCTTTTTTTTTTTCTTTTTCTTTTTTTTTCTTTCTCTTTTTTCTTTTCTTTTTTTTTCTTTTTCTTTTCTTTCTTTCTTTTCTTTCTCTTTTTTTTCTCTTTTTTCTTTCTTTTTTCTTTCTCTTTTTCTTTTCTTTTTCTTTTTTCTTTTTTCTCTTTTCTTTTTTCTTTTTCTTTTTTCTTTTTCTTTTTTCTTTTTCTTTTTTCTTTTTCTTTTTTCTTTCTCTTTTTCTTTTTTTTCTTTTTCTTTTTTCTTTTCTCTTTTTCTTTTTTCTTTTTCTTTTTTTTCTTTTTCTCTTTTTCTTTTTCTTTTTTCTTTTTTTTTTTTCTTTTTTTTTTTTTTCTTTTTCTTTTTCTTTTTTCTTTTCTTTTTTCTCTTTCTTTTTCCTTTTCTTCTTTCTTTTTTCTCTTTCTTTTTTCTCTTTCTTTTTTCTCTTTCTTTTTCTTTTTCTTTTTTCTCTTTTCTTTTCTTTTTCTCTTTTTTTTTTCTCTTTCTCTTTTTTCTCTTTCTCTTTTTTCTCTTTCTCTTTCTTTCTCTTTTTCTCTTTCTCTTTTTCTCTTTCTCTTTTTCTCTTTCTCTTTTTCTCTTTCTCTTTTTCTCTTTCTTTTTCTCTTTCTCTTTTTCTCTTTCTTTTTTCTCTTTCTCTTTTTCTCTTTCTCTTTTTTCTCTTTCTCTTTTTCTCTTTCTCTTTTTTCTCTTTCTCTTTTTCTCTTTTCTTTTTTCTCTTTCTCTTTTTCTCTTTTTTTCTCTTTCTCTTTTTCTCTTTCTCTTTTTTCTCTTTCTCTTTTTCTTCTTTCTTTCTTTCTTCTTTTTTCTTTCAGCAATATCTTCAACTTTTTAATGTTCTAGCTATCTATTCAACACTGGTGACACCAAGTGGCAGTGTCTTCATGACAATTACAACCTACTCCAAAATTATTTTAAAAAAGAGGTGAAAAAAAAAATCAATGATAATTGTTTGAAAAATATATTTAAGCACTTATATATGCAAAACTAATATCAGTTGTGGCAGAAACACCTCCTGCATAATGGTAAGACAGTAAGAGGTATTTCTGCCACACCCTCTAGTAACAGCTTAAGAAAAGATGCTGTCATTTTTCAAGTCCTGCTTATTGATGTATGATTCTACTGGGTATAAAATGGGAGATCGGTTTTCTATTGTTATTAAGTAATAAACTGATCCCCCATAAATACTAAGTATTAATATCCTGGAAAAATATATTTAACCCTTTAGCTTTCGAAACAACCAAAACCCACCCCATAAATACAAACTTTCAATGATTAACACACCATAAACCACACTATGTATACTCTGCCATAATATATGATGACATCATCACAAATAACACAGGAAGTCATGTAAATGGTGAGATTTTTTACTACAGAGTGAGAGCCAATATTTCCAGGGTAGATTTGAGTGTATTAAATGGTAAAGGGTTACATGTTAAACACTCTTAATAACTAAGAATGTAACAAAGGATACCATCATATTAGAAGGCTTCAGTAAACTAAAATTAACATGGTTCTGTTGGATATAAAGTAAGGGGATCGACTTTTTACTGTAATTAAGTAATAAACTGATCCCTCTTGAATTACAACAAACAATATAGTAACTGGAGAAATATATTGAAAGATTTGTATGTTAAAATCTACTAATAGTAAGGAATTAACAGAAGATACCATCATTTTATATGGCATGTGTAAACTAGTATTAGTATAAAGTTCTATTGTACATAAAAAAGGGGATCTGTTTCCTATTGTTATTAATTAAAAAAACAATCACCGAATTACTATATATTAATATAATAATTGGAAAAATTAAAAAAAAAAAAAAAAGGCTTCAGTATGACAATAAACTACATCTGGCAGCAAGGCCTCTGATAAAAAGATTGGAGGTTTTGAGGAGCATGGAACTACTTCTTAATTGCTGTTGTTCCCAGGTCCAACTTAACCTGGGGGTGGTAGTGACTGTTATGTTCCCAGCTATGGGCAAATAGAGAATCCCCCAAACAGAATAAAACACTATAAAAGCATAAAAAATACATTTTTATAGTAAAAATGACCAACAATACATTTTCATATAAAAACAAATGACCAACAATACATTTTATCTGTAGATGAAGCCATAAAATTGTGTCCAAAATATTTAGATTTTGGCATTAACTAACCTGCAGAGGTTGATATACCACTAAACAAAGTTAAACAACCAACATGAAAGAACTCTTTCATGACTTTAATCTGTTTAATATCCTACAATTTCTCGAAGAAATCAAACTGTATTCCAAAATATAACTTCAACAAAACTACAGCATAAAACACACATATCATCGCCTCCCTAGTAATTATGTCCACACCAACTGTCTATTCACGAAATTTGAATATCATCTACCACGTAGTCAATCGTGAAAGCAGACTGACATGTATCATATTTTTATTACTTGAAAACACCCAAGAAAATTAAATTTTGGCATTAAATGACCCATAAGGAATTGATATGCTGTTAAACAAACAAATCAATCAATTAAAAAAAATTGAAAGCTCACAAGTGAAAATCTCATAATAGTAAAAAAAAACTATGCTGTTATTTTTCAATATATAGTTAAACTTAGTTTTAAAATGAATTAATTTTGGAAATAATTTATAATTAAATAACGATTCAGTAGAAAAAGTATTCAAGTTTAACTAAAATTGTTTTGAATATCTCTCTCACTCTCTCTCTCTTTCTCACTCTCACTCATGGTTGGAGATTCAAAGAGACTCATCCTAAAGTTGGATTTTATCTCCCCATGCATTCTGCTGTTGTTCCATATTTTCTAAATGCCAATCCTTTTCAGCTAAAAAGGAGCCATGATGAATGATGAGCAGAAGAGTTATTTGTGATATTTATCATTTTGCAGATGTTATAGAAATTTTTATTTCTTGATTTAACAAAGTCAAATCTAATCTGCTTAATATTTTTTTTCTTTTGACATCTTTTATAAAATTATTTAAACTTTAAATTCTTTGATTTCTACTCAATTTTTGTAATGATTTTTATAAAATTCTGAACATTTGTTATCAAAAGAGATGTTTCATAGTTACAGCTACAACTCCTCCCACCCTCTTGATATATATTATCTTTATTTTATTCCATTGGTGTCATGAATTTGAAAATACAAGTTCATTTTTTAAGCTTTCTCTGTTTTAGGTTTAATTAATTTAGAAATTTGAACTATAAATGTTGAGTTCAACATATCACTAGTTTAAGAGCTTAAGAATCTGATGTTATATGACAGTTATAGTTGTGTTAACAATGTTTGAATCCACCAGAGTAATCACCAGATTGTGGCACCAGATTGTGGTTTCATCAAGCAATTTTTGGGGGAAATCAAGCACAGCTGAAAAGGAAGACTTTGTATAGAAAAATTTCTTGTTTATTTTTTATGCCAAATTAGAAAGCAAGACTGCTTATTTTTCAAAATCTAAAACAGTTATTTGGAGAGCATGTATGATGTTGAAAGACCCCAAACTTAATGATCCTAGGCTGAAAACATCACTGATATGTGCCAAAAGCATCAAACCAATGTATTTCACAAACAGCGTAAACAGTAAGGAAATACATGAAAGACAAACTTGGCTTTGAATAGGTGTGATATTTATGCTGCATTTCTCATTCTGCCTCTCAGCTGGCCTATCCAAATAAGTAACTTTTTCTATTAAATCTGTTGGACCAATCCTCTGGATGTTCTGGTTAATCATAGGCAGAGATGCTTCCCAGCATATCCTGTTTGCCTTCCACCAACTTACCAATCAGAAACTTCCCTTCAGCCATGTCTGCTACACTTATAATGAAAGAACCTTTTTTGTTTTCCATCAGTTTGGCTGTATTGCTAATCCCCATGAGCGCAACTTAGTCTCACGTTTTCCGTCAACATGAAGTGGAATGATTATATTGAATTAATTGCTAAGTCTGTTGCTAGAAAAGTCTGCTCACTATGTTGTGCTAAACAGTTTTTCTTGTCAAAATCTATTTTGCACATTGATAAGTCTATCATTCATCCATGCATGGCTGAGTGGTTAGAACGTTTCCTTTCTGACCATGAGACCCGGGTTCGAATCTCACCACAGTTGATTTGTCAGGAAGGAGACTCTTGATGTTATCAGTCTATAGGGGGACGATCTCAGTGTGCGGCACTTTTGGAAAGTGCCTGAAAAGCATGCCATGGGTTGACCCAAGCCTTGTAAGTGAAATTGGGTAGATGGAACACTTGAGGGTCGACGATAGCTGTTCTAGCTCAAAGTCACAAGATATCATGACCGAGTGTTTGAGTGTGCTGGCCTTGCTCAAATTGTCTACTCAGCATAGTTACAGTATAAACCACAGGTTGGCTCTGTGGGTGTTGAACAAACACAAATGTGCCTGAGCAAGCGTCTGCAATAGGGATTGGCTAGCCACCCTAATAGATGGGTATCCTCGAATATTAGTGGCCAGGTATTATTATATAATTCATCCATGCATGGACTGTTGCTTCTGTTTTATAGAGATTCTTGACAAAATCCAAGGAATTGGCAATCAGTCCTGACCTGGTATCATGGTTTTGGTCACTTTAATGTATCTTCTCTTTGCCTCTTCCTTAAATATTTTCCAATAATTGTTCTGATGAGCTTTCCTTGATGGCACTTCAAATTCATGAATTTAAGTGTAGTACTAGATTGGCAGCTAGGTCTCATAATTTCACTCTTGAAATTATAGTTGTTATTTCTTGTGCTAATAGTTTCTTCTCTGGCATTTCTAACTTGTAAAACTTTCTCCCAATTTTGTGCTTTCCTGTCATCTTCAAGAATTTAAATACAATGTCACTTGTCATTTTCTGTCACTTTGAATCCTGTTCTTTTATTGTCCTCACTGTTTCTTTCACTCTGTGAAACCCTCTTGTGTCCTCATGTATTTTATTGTGAAAATGATTAAGAAAAAGGAAATTCTTATTTCAGATATTCATATTAATTTCATTTTCTCTCCTGTTTAGGCTCTTCTCAAAGAATTTGACAGTCGCTACATTGATGGCATGGTTGAAAGTAAGGGACGTTATCAGCTGGATATTGACATCAACACTCTCTCTTTCAGTCAGCACCATTTGTTCAGCAAAGAGCATGTCCTTGTTACAAAACTGTTATCGCTATATCAAGAATATCTGACTGAATCCAAGAATAATATGGTGGAGTTCTACACAGGAAAGGTGAATTCACTTCATTGTTTGTTTTATTCCATAATCTGAAGGTGGTTGAAGTATAATGGTAGACGGTCCTTGGTATAACGATAAACTACATCCAACAGCAAAGCCTCTGATCAGGAGGTTTTGAGGATCGTGAAACTGCCTTTTAATTGCTGTTGTTCCCAGGTTCACCTTGACCTGGGGTGGTAGCAACTGTCAGGGGTCCCATTTATGGGCAAATAGTCTCCCCACCAAGAAGCAAAACACTATGAAAGTATAAAAATACATTTATATTGTAATATGACTAACATTACATTTTTAAAGCAAAATGACCAGCAATACATTTTATAGCAAAATGACTGACAATACAATTAAATTCAATCTGTAGTTGAAGGTATACAATTGCATTCAAAATATATTTAGTTGAAGCCATACAATTGTGTTCAAAATATTTAGATTTTGGCATTAAATAACCCATAGAGGTTGATATACTGTGAAATGAAATCCCCCAACCAACATGAAAGAATTCTTTCATGACATTAATCTATATAATATCCTACAATTTGTTAAAGAAATTGAACTTTATTCCTAAATATAACTACAACATAAAACATGCATATCACTGCCTCTAGTAATTATGTCCACACAAACATGTATAGGCACAAAAGCTGAGTATTATCTACCATGTATTCAATTGTGAAAGCAGAATAACATCTGTTTTAATTACTTCAAAGTTGCCAAGAAAATTAAATTTTGGTATTAAATGACCCATAAGGTGTTGATATGCTGTTAAACAAACAAATAAATCAATCGACAATGCTAAACTTTTCTCCCTCATGACATCCCAAAAGTCGAAGGGAATTAATTAGTAGTGCTCATATTTCTTTTTTTTTCTTAATTCACCCCAAGCAAGATGATAATATGACTAAGATGCAATGGGCTACTGGAAGTGAAAGAGAATGAGAAGACTTTAGAAGGAACCAGAAACCCAATCCTAAATTGCGAACAAGTGATAAACTCCTACTTTTGTTTAAAAGACTGGGGGGAGTGTCTGGACAATAGATGAACCTATCTACTATGAAACAGGTCTGTGTTGGTAACATCAGCATAGATGAATCCTTGATCTGATTAAGATCTTCTCCCTGTCAACCATTGTGGCATGCTAGTGTCAAGACAGCTCAAAAAGAGGTGGATTCATGCCTTTCTCTAGTGCAACCTAAAAATAAACACCCTTAACCAGAATTTAAATTTTGTTTGCTAATTCCATTTTATATGATAACTAGTCAATCTACCAGGTGTTGCTTGAAAACTAATTTTGTCTGAATAAAAAGACAGACACTTCATTTTATTTGTATAGGTTATTAAACTGACAAAGGGAAGTAACCACGCATTAATTTACTACAAAGAGCTAAATTACCTTCCTTATCACTTTATTTTTCTTCTTTATGTGCCATGTCCCCAAAGGGCGTAGGCGATCATGGCCCTCCACAACTTCCTCCCTTGTAGCTCTTAATAAATTTTGTCTTTATGCTATTTCTCCTAGATCCTGATCTACCATCCATTTACCCAATGGTGATAAATATTTAACATCCGTGGCATATGGCTTCTCTGATCTTATTTTTGACCTTCAGGGTTGACCTATGGCTACTTTACATAGTCTATAACATATCCCTTGGTGATAGATCATCTAAATACCAAGTCTGGTTGAAATCCATCTAGTAGTTTCTGAATATACCACAGACAAACACTTCATTTTACTAGTATAGATAATCATTATGCCACCTAAACCGTCTTTCTGATTTTACTCAGTTAGACACTGATTTCTTTTTGCAGTCACTATCTTAATTTTTTAAATATATAAATATATCATGCAGTGTCTAATAGAAGTGAGGCGGTGTTAGGGTTTTTCTTCTTCTTTTTTTTTTTTCTTCTTCTTTTTTTTTTTCAAGGTAAATTTTCACTGATTCCACCAAGCTTTATTGTGACCATCCTGTTTATTAATTTTGCATTTTTTGACCTTTTAAGTCAGTGGTTCTCAACATTTTTACCCAATGTACTGCTTTTACCATATGCCAGGATGTCATTCCTCTCTTTTCCAAGATTGTCTAACTCAAAAAGTGCATTCCAAATAATATGCATATGTTATTGAAAATCTTTATTCTTTTCCATATTAGTGCATATACATTTATATGGATTAATTTTATAGATGATTTTTAAAAACTTAATAGCAATAGAAAATGTTCATGGATACTTGAATATGTTTACAGTAATTTGTTTTAATTCATAACTAATTATTAAATTAATAAACTGAAATATACTTCAATAAACAAAAAGTTCAATAGAATGCCAAGGTATTGTAATTCAATAGACTTAAAAAGGTTCAATAAAGGCTCAGGGTTTTTAAATTGATTTTATTCTGATGATGATTACAGTCAATGAGAAACTTGTGTAAAAGTAAAAGATCGTCTCCCTCCCCTCCCAATTAACCTGAAAAGAATTCTCTCCCCGGTTGAGAACCACTGCTTTAAATGATTTTTCACCCCCTCCCCACCTTTATTGTATATTGGGAGAAATCCCCCACCCCCACCATATTAAGTACATAAGAATATTTACATATGTTAAAATTATTCCAACATCTTTGTCTTCTGGTAATTGTTAAATTTTAATTTTTTAAGTAAAATATGGATCCTATTAACATTATAAAAGTACTTCTTTCAGAAATTCATTTTTCTTAGACCAAATTAAAACTTGATATTTTTGATTCCACATGTCACATAATTTTATAATCCCACATGTCACATAATTTTATAATCCCACATGTCACATAATTTTATAATCCCACATGTCACATAATTTTATAATCCCACATGTCACATAATTTTATAATCCCACATGTCACATAATTTTATAATCCCACATGTCACATAATTTTTATAATCCCACATGTCACATAATTTTTATAATCCCACATGTCACATAATTTTATAATCCCACATGTCACATAATTTTATAATCCCACATGTCACATAATTTTATAATCCCACATGTCACATAATTTTATAATCCCACATGTCACATAACCTAATTTTAACCTAAATTTTTGTACTTATTTACATTCCCACTAATGTTTTCATCTTTGTTATTATTATCACAATGTTTTAACCATAATGCTCTCTGCTATTCTTCATGTGTGTCTAGATCTAGGTGGCCTTCAGGAAATTTCAAACTGAAACTGATGTTTAGCTGGATTGACTCCCATGAAGAAAGTCCAAGGGAACAATGACCAAAACATGACCGTAACAACAAAGATGAGGATATTAGTTCATATGTAAATAATAACTCCTCCACATCTCAGAAATTAATACTGACTTTTCCTTGTTAATAATTATAATAAAAAAAAAGTTTGCTTTTTTCTTTTCTTTTTTCTTTTTTTTTCTCTCATCAAATACATTTTACAGTTTCTTGCTACAGATCTCCTTTTCACCCCAACCATTTATTCCTGAACAGATGACATGTTCAGCAGAGGAGGGGCATATTCAACAAAAAATCGATTATTGCTTTTTTGACTGTAAATTATTCATTATATCATATCCAATTATTTTACAAAAAATTAGAGCCAATTACACAATATTTCAGCTCAATTTAGGTTTATAGTTCGTAACCATGCAATGAGATGAGTCAACATAAACCGTAGATTTGTCTGTGGAATATCATTACATTATTGTTACATAATTATAGTGAAATCATTAAGGTTTCTTGTCTAAATCATTTTATTTTTGGCCCTATACTAATTAAAATATTCCTTTTTACAGGCTTTATTTTTGAAATGGAATAAGATAAGATCATTTTAAATTTCAGAATTTCGTTATTGCCCATCAAAATGAGTGGAAGAAAGCAATCTAAAAACAACAATGGAAAAGAGAGATAAAGTGTAAATGAAACAGCTCCAGTTTGTTCAACTTAGGAAACTTAGCATTGCAGCCAAAGTATTGTAAAATGCTGCCAATAACAAAAGAGAAAATGAAAAATACCTAACAACAAATAGAATACAGCATCAAAATATATATTATTTTTATTTATTTGTTATGTAACTAAATACATAATTGTCAATAATGTTTCTATACAACTTGATATTTTCTGTAATAAATTCTTAATAAATATTATTATTGTTATTATTTTACTTAAGTATAAGGTAATCCTACATTTATAGTTCCTTATGACTAACCATGAAAAGAAATGTTCATCAGAACTACCTAAAACCTTTAAGTGCATATTGTTGCAAAATTATCAAATGTTGAATACACCCCTCCTCTGCCGACTGTGTCATATACTCTGTAAATTTCTGTCTGAATTTCTGGGATGAGGAGTTATCATTACTTGCACTTCATCAGGTAAATGTTGACCCAGTTAACTTGCAAGGATTCTGAACTGAACACTTTATTTAATTTACGTTCTCATTATATCCCTAGACATGCGCAGTGGAATGAGAACCGTCTACCTCCATCGATTAAATAAAAGGTTCAATTTGGAATTCACCATAAATTAGCCAGATTGATATACACCTGATGAAGGCTGAAGGGCACAGTGATCGAAATGTTATAACAACAAAAAAGATGAGGACAACAGTCCATATTTGAATAATGAACATATGCTCTGCTATATTTCTATGTATTAATATATTTTGTTTTGAAATTTTCATAGCTAAAAGCTGCAAAAAGCTCTGCCCGTTACTTTCAAGATCAGCTCTTGAAACAAAAGGTAAGAATTGTCTTTTATTTTTTATTTAGATTTTTTAAAATAATGGCAATAATCCTGTAATATGACGAAACTGACACTTCACTCAGTCATTGCTAACTTTTGAGAACTTTATAATTATTGACCAGGTTGATCAGTTTTCCTAACTTAAATGCATTTACTGTATATCCTTAATGTTGATTTTTCCCAATATGCTGGGAATGATTGCAAAAGTTCCCCCCTCCACCTCTTATGGTCGGAAGGACACAAAAAATGCATGCTGGAACATTTTTCTTAACCAATAAAATGGGATTGCTTGCATTTTGACATGACTCAGTCCAGATCTGCCGTTTCAGGCAGTTCGGGCTGAGTTGTCGAACTCTATGCCTTTGGGCATATAGGAACCAAGATGAGACTATGCTGAAGGGTAGAGTCATATCAGGAGTGGTAGACAAACCTGAGCTCATGTATGCGGGGTCTATGGAGAATTATTACCAAAGCCTTCAGGCTCAGATTTGTACCGCATAAAAACGGCCTTGTTTTACATTCTGTCTTGTGAGGAGGGGTAAGGTAAATAACCTCAGTCCAGATCTGCCTTAACTACTAGACAGACTTAATGCATTTACTTGTCCGACCTTGCTTTTGTGTACAAACACCAACTCATGATTTGTGAATTCCTTGGCCTTTTATCAATTTTGATTTGCTTTAACTATATTGTTTGCTTGCATGATTGATAAGTCTGAATAATGTAAATAATGTAAGTAAATAATTTAGTGTTTGATTTTTTTTTGATTTTTCTTTTCTTTTTTTTTTTTTTTGCCGAAGGTGGGAGTAATCATTTCAGCCTCAAATAAGGAAATAAAGCCACTAAGGCACAAAGAGTTACTGAGTATGAAAGAATGAGAAAAAGAAAAATATTATTAAGGAGACAGAATATAATTGACATTGCATATATCTAGAGCTCCTGGGTAAAATCCAAAGAAGAATCAGCAATATTATTGGTCCAGATCTGGCATCTTGGTTTCAGGCACTTTCCTACCACCATAATATTGCCTCCCAGTGCCTTTTCTATAAATACTTGGTAATTGTTCAGATGAGCTCTTCACTATGGTGCCCTTTTTATTTCTGTCCCTATTTTTCTTTACTTTTTTCCCCATCCTCTCCCTTGTTAGGTGGTCAGTGATGTCAGTTCTCTGGTGGATGTGGGGTGCCTTTCGTTTCATGTGTGTTTTTGTATTTGTTGTTGTGTTTGAATGAGTGCGCGTCTGTGTGAGTGCTTGGGATGAATGAATGTTTTATATTATTACAGTCCTGCATTGATTTAAATGATGTTTCTGACACATTTAGTGATTTGGGGGGGTATTACTAACCTTATTTTCTTGTAAATAGTTTTGTTTCATATTGTAAATACTCATTGAGGCTAGTTTTAAAATTGTTGTTTTACACCCCCCTCCCCCCAAGACAATGACTTGTACATATGGGGACTAGTTAGGATTTTCATAGACAATGAGGTATTTTAGTGGATGTTGTAAGAAAGGTAGGTAAGAATGTGTTGTTTTGGTGTTAAAAATATTGTTTCTGTGTTTGGGTCAGTGTTTGGGGCTACCTAAGTTTAATATTAAGACAGATGAAGACCATCCTTTTCCCCCATTCCCCATTTTGGCCTTGTGCCATATTTTGTATATGTTACAAATAAATATCACTCTTTGCTATGGTGCCTAGACTTCTTGAATTTAAGTACAGCCCTAGACTGGCAATGAAGTCTTATCAAGTCACAGTTGAGCTGGCTAGATGTAACCATAAATTCTATGCTAACAGTTTCTTTCCTCACACTACTTGCTTGTGAAACTCACTTCCAGCTCAATGCTTTTCATTCAGCCAACTTCAAAAATTTAAATGTAATGTCAATCACTATCTACTGTCCTCCTGATGACTCTTTTGTTCTCACTCCTTAGCAATGTTTCTGTTTCTAACTTTTCCACACTCAGTAAAAAAAAAAAAAGTAATAATTTTTTGAAAATCAATGTTGACTGGGAAGGAAAAATCCTGAAGAGAATTCCACAATCAACAAGTCAGAAAAGAAACTGTTAGCATAGAACTTACAGATACTTCTAGATTCTTCTTTGGATTTCATCAAGAATCTCTAAATACATAACAAGCATCAGACCAAATGTGGCAACAATATTCTAATCATGGATGAATAGTAGACTTGTATCAAGAGATCTTTGATAAAATCCAAAGAATTTGCAATATTATTGGTCTTGTCCTGGCATCTTGGCTTCAGTTACTTTCCCATCATTGTAATGTAGCTTCCCTATGCTTTTTCTATAAATAATTTCATAGTAATTGTTCTGATGATGAACTCTTCTCTGTCATACTCTATAAATTTAAGCGCAGTACTAGATTAGCGACAATGTTTGATCATTTTACAGTTGAAATTTTCTTATATTCTTCCACAATCAGTAACCCCTTGCATATTAGTGGCTCTACTGCCTTGATTGAAGTGAAATGATTAAAATAAAAATAATGCCTTTATTTTGATATAATTAGACTTTTCCCCTCTTTCAATATTCAGTAGTAAATGTCATTCTTAAATGTGAGCTTTTGGTTAAATGATTGGCTTAAATGTTGAGTGAAATTTTCTCATGAAAGTTTTTTTTTTTTTTAATGTAAAATTCCTATAGTATAATTATGAACTGATTATAACAGCAAAAAGCTTGACGCTTAAAGGGAGATAACTCATCACTCAGCATAACAAGAAATAAAAGCAACGTTGTCATTTTTACTTGATAAGACAACATTCAAATCTAAATTACAAAATAGATAAGACAACTGTATAAAATACTTCGAATCAAAACATTCTATAAATTTAATATGTATTTTTTTTTCACTTAGACACATCTTGCCTGCATTGTTTAATTTAGTTATATATTTTTTTGATTATTCATTTATATTCTTAAAATTTTGGAATGAAAGCATGGATGTTGATACCCTGAATCCATCATAAAATTTCAGAATGTGGAATTAGTAAGTACTAAACACTTCAAATACCTTGGCGTATGGATCAGTTATAACAAATTTAGTATAGGAGAAAATGAATTTGAACATAGAACAGGCTACACCAGAGGTATATTCTCCCAACACTAAGCTGCTACAAAACTAAAACATTAACCTTAAAACTTGAGTCATGTTCTTAAATAGCCTCATTGGATCAAGACTTTCTTATGGATGTTATGCATGGTGCCAAACCAGTTCAGAAACATGTAAATTGTATAAAAATTACTTTCTAAGATCAATGGTTAAAAATGACTTTGAGTGAGTAAAGCCTGAGGGTTTTGGCAAAGAGCATCCCTCTTTGAATATTGTGGACTGGCACTACAGAATCACAAACAAAGACCTGTAGTAAATAACAGAAACTACATCATTTTAGGACTACCAACATCAGCAACACCTGGAACAAATAGCACATGTCACTCAAAGAGAAAATAATAAAAAAAGGTTTGCAAGGAAACCCCCATCAAAACCAGAGAGAGTAATAACAGCTACTAATGAACATAAGGAAATTATTTTAAGAGAAAGATTATAAATTTCAACTGAAAGCAGTATTGGTTGTTTGGTCAATGAATGCCAAATGTTTCCCTGTAAGTCAACAGCTAATATTACCATCATCTTGTATGATGACTAGCTTATCAGTGCAAAAACCATGAGTCTTAAAGCAATGTAACCCAGTCTAAAAAATAATTAAATAAGTATGTAAACATACAACACTACCTTCACCCAAGCTTTCAGTGACCAGACAATAACCCCCATGTTGTTTTCAATCCTCTTGTCAGTGTTCACCTAAAGCTGGGAAAGGTCAAAATGTATCTTCATTAGGTAATACAATGTCAAAAAATAAGAGAGCAAACTCTGTTTCCCATATTATAAACTAAATGTTTTATTCAGGGCTTTGCCAACTCGTCCAGGTGAGTAGGTAGGTTATACTTGGGACAACTTTGGCTATGTCAGCACCCCCCACCACCACCAACAACAACAACTCCTTGCTCATTTAATCATTTCAATATGATGGCTGGCAATACAAAATGGAGGCTTCAGAATTGCATGGCAGACATGACAGTCTCCTGCTGATGGCAGATCAGAACTCTCCCCAATCCCAAGCATAACTGTTAATATTGATCAGCACCTGGATATGGACCATTTCCAGTTTTGTTGCCACTTGATCTCTGAAAATTTCTTTACCTCCCATTGCCTGTCAGTTAAAGTAGATGTCACTTAGAAGACTGAACTTCAAAAGGAATCATCCACTGGTCTATCAAACAGAAAGACTTGAGTTTGAGATAAAACTTCCTCTTCCCCTTCTATGTGTTTTTCATTAAAATTACTGTGTTGATGAAGATCTTTCTTAGTCTATAGTAATTACTATATGAAAGATCATCTTATATTGTCATCTATATCACTGGTCTTTGTGCAGCATTTGAATGCATATATATATATATATATATATATATATATATAAAAAAGGCTCAAACACTAATATTTCATAGTTATAATTTATTACATTGGAATTGTAATCACGATCCAATTCATCAGACCTACAAATTCAAAAAGAAATTGGAAAATATAACTCCAGGTATAAAAAACAAAATTTTAGTGAAGTGTATGTGTGGAAAAGGGAAACAAGTGTGAGAGGGAAATGTATGAAAGCTCTAGAGAGAGGTGTGACGAAATAAAGAAGAACAGGAAAGGCCTGATGGTGAAGGTGGGGATTAAAATTTAACAGAGAAAAGTTTTAAAGAGAAGAGTTAAATAACGGTTTAAATGAGTGAGATACAGATAAATATGAATTATTTTCAGATGCATAAACTACTACCGATTCGCTGACCTAAAGTTAAAAAACAAACACCGGAAACGTGTGGATACATTTGTGGTGACACTACACACAATAAAAAACAATATGATCTAAACTTAAAATTCAGCCAATTCATACTGCCGATGTATGTGTGAAAATTTTCCGTCTACTTTGCATTACTATAATATATATATATATATATATATATACACACACACACATCTCTAGATAAATATTTGCTTTTCTAACAGGAAAGGTTTAATTAACTTTATTCAATTTTTGAAATGTTCATTAATAACTGTAACCTGAGGAATCAGTTTGAAAAAAAAATAGTTTTCTTTAATGTGACAATATATTTATGTAATTTAATGGCAGTTTTATTTTTTAAATGATGTTCACCCTGTACAAGGCCCAAAAGCCACTCGAGGTAGAGGCTCACAGAGTATGAAGCACAGTTTATGAGCATATGCGGGGAAGATAACAGTTCACCCTAGATTTGAATAGAATAAGATTGTAGTGATCAAAGAATCATCCTCTTGGAAGTCAGTTCCACAAAGTGGAACTTACATCTCACCAATGGAATATGAAGGGAATAAGGGTGGTTTGTTACAATGGGCGTGTCATAGTAAGTCTTAACTGTAAAGGTTAAAACTGGTAGAACTAAGGAATGTAGCTCATCTGAATATTTTCCATAGAAACAAAAATAGAGTAGCAAGAGGCTTGCAGCATTTTAACTGTGACAAAGGCATTGTAAGGTTGAAAATAATTTGTCACCCACAAAGATGCAGAGACCCTTTTGGTCTCTATCCAGACTAGAAATTGAAGACTGGGCAGTTCTGCCCATATATGGCAGCAGTATTTAGTTTTCAGCCTGATCTGGCTCTTGTAAAAGTAGAGGATAGCAGGAAGAGTCCACTATTTACTGGAGTGGTACAGAGATGTGACCATTATTTATTTATTTAATTTTTTTTCAGGTATCTTTAGTGATGGATCATATGTATGAATTTTAACTTGAGATCTTGATTGAATTTAAGGCCCAATAGTCGCTCAAGGCATGGAACCTCCCTGTGGGAACACCTGTTCATTGTGATCGGTGAAAATTCAGGGTCTGCTAGGTGATGATGGAATGTCACTAGTTTGGTTTTCTAGGCATTGAATGTAATCAGTCATTTTTCCCTCACTGAGTTAGATCAGAGGAGAGATCAGCTGTCATAGGAGAAATCCACTATTCTTCATTTCACAGTACTGATGATTGCAGTTGTTACATTTTGCCTCATTTGTGAATTTACTGCTTGTAGTAAGCAGTGAAGGGGGAGGCATGGTGGAGTAATGGATAGCGGCTAGGATTGAGGAATCATAGAGCCAAGTTCGAATTCCAGTCGAATCCATTACATTCACTTATGTGCTTATACTCTTGGGAAAGGTATGAATCCTTTTATCCCACCAGCTATGAGTAAATAGCCTTGGATGGCAACTGGTCTACTGCAGAAAGAAATGGCAACCTACTGCAGGAAAAATCTGTCTCGTCAGTCATGTATCCAAAGGTGCATGATCGCCTAAGTGTGTATCAAGCAATAAAACAAATGGTATGTATGCAAAAATCTTCCCAAATCAGCACATGAAAAACAAGCAAACATAATGTCTACTAGACACACCTACACACACAAACAAATATACATTATCATAAATTTGGATGTATTTGTCCATAAATGAACATAACAAACCTAATTGGAATTCTAACTTAGATCTCCAATTTCTCATTTTGTGCCTTTATCCATTACACCACCTGTACATCCAAGATTACAGCACCTGGTATTCCCAAGCAATCGCCCATCTAGTTAGTGACCAGGATCAGTGTTTACGTTTCATGATTCTTTTAATCAAAAAATGTTTTACTATCTTTATTTTCAGGCCACACTTTCTGACGAGACTGTTTCGAATTATGAGAAAAGACTTCAGGATTATTTGCTGGATATCAGGTAGGATGTCTTTTTTTAATTAATTTTAGTTTTTTTGTTTTTTGCTCATTTCTTACCTAATGTTCTATCAATACTCAAGATTTATTTTTCCACCTTTTGCAGGTTGTTTTTAGATTTTTGCAGAAAATATTTTTAGATTATAAGAATTTTTTTTTTTCTTTTAATAATGATATAGTGATACAAATCTTACTAGCTGGGGAAGAAGTGAATTTATGCCAAAACCTGAATTTGATAAACAAACAAATTATAATGTGGATATAAGTTGGGGGATCAATTCTATATTACAATCCCTATATAAACTGACCCCTCACTTTGTAGCTATGGTAGCTTCTATATGTTTATATTCCAGAGAATGTAAATAAATCTAAAAGATATGCCTGTGTAGCTTATCAGTAACTCATTGTTTTCTATGTCTTATCAACCCTTTGCAGGTAATTTAAAGCCAAAAAATATTTTTAAATTGTAAGAATTTTTTTTGAGGTAATAATGATTTAGTGACACAGGTCTTATTAATTAACCCACAGCTGGGTGGATATAAGGTGGATTTATACTATTTCCAAGTGTATTTGTTTAAGTGAATATAATGCATGAGAAAACTTCTTGGCATTTTCTATTGGGAACAAAAACCCAATGAGTTTGTGCAGAAAAGGGTTGTGGGACACCAGGAACCTCTTCTTGCCACTGTCACACGGAGAAAAATGGCGTGGTTTGAACATATTATAAGGCACGACAGCCTGTGCAAGACCATCATGCAAGGCAGCATTGAAGGTGGACGTAGAGGAGGACGGCAACACAAAAAACTAGCTGGACAATGTCAAACAATGGACAGGTATGACTGTACCAGAATTGCTGATGGCTGCCGTTGATAGACCATTGTGGAAAAGAGTTAGTATGGCTTCTGCACTCGAATCATCCCTACGATTACAAAAGTCTAGGAGATGATGATGAATTTAATGAACCCAAGTGAAATTAGAACTTAGCTCTCCACTTAACAGTTCCAAGCCATTGTCCATTACACCACTTGCACATCCAAGCTTACAAAACCTGGTATTCTCATGCAGTCACCCATCCAGATACTGACCAGGCTCAATGTTGCTTAACTTTTGTAATTGTATGGGAACTGGCGTATCAGTGTTAAGCAGCCATAAGCCACCTTTGCTCAATACAGTGTTTGTTGTTGATTAGTTCTGCTCAAAATTCCAATCTTTCTATTGTCAAGTAAATTAAAAAAAAAAAAAACAGAACTGCACTTTTTTTCTTTGTTTCTGACATTTCCCTCTCTCTTAATATTTTGTTTTGTTTAAAATATTGTTTATTTTTATAATTGATTGCTAAATATGTCAAATTTTATTCCTCATAATAAAATATAAAAACAAAATCTTTTCAAATTGCTTTCAGACATATCAGAAGCCAACGAGACAAAGAAGACGAAATAAATATGAATCTCTTGAAAAACATTATTCACACCTGGAAACAAATCAAAACACAAAGAGAAAGACAAGGTTTTATCAACACACCTGTAAAATTACTCATTCATAGGTAAGACATCTATGTATCATATCTTTCCCTCCAGATGATGCCAGAATAGAAGTTGCACTCTGTAATGAACCAGACCCACAAGTGAACCAGGTGCTGGGTTGACCTACCCAAATGCAGAACCTGATGACTACACATCAGCACATGGTTTTGCAAGCATAGGAATGAGTGGCAAAACAAAGATAGATATATAAACAACCACCCAGAGGTGGGTGGGGATCACATACCCCCCCAACACACACACACACACACACACATTATTTATTATATACATACATATTTTTCACCCCAATCAAGGCAATAAAGCCACTAACATGCAAGGGGTTTTGAGTGTTAGAGAATATGAGGAAAAAAAACACTATTAATGAGAGAGAGCAATAAACGAACAAGAATTAAGAAAGCAGTGAGCCGAAAAAGAGTTCCACAAGCAAGAAGTGTGAGAAAAAGAAATTGTTAGCATAGAACTTACGGCAATATCTAGCCATTCCAACTGTAAAATGATGTGACCTTGCTGCCAATCTAGTACTGCATTTAAATTCATAGTCTACGTACCATAGAGGAAAGTTCATCAGAGCAATTACCATGAAAGTGTTTATAGAAAAGGCACAGGGAAGCTACGTTACAGCAGTAGGAAAGGTCTGAAGCCAAGATGCCAGGTCAGGACCAATAACATTGCAGATTCTTCTTTGGATTTTATCAATCTCTAAATACATAGCAGAAGCAGCAGAACAGATATGGCAGTAATATTCAAAAAACAATTAATTTCAAAATTTTAAAAGTTAATAAAAATTTTCTGGAAAGAACTTGTTGATATTATTCAACCAAACATGCCTGAAAGACTCTACAGAAATGAGGGTGTAATTCTCCTCCCTAAATCAAGCCCAAGAAACATAGATTGATTAAGAAAGGAACTGATTAAATTCTTCAAAAATCACAAATTAAAAATTACCACAACCACCACCAATGCTGAAGTGATCAACTTTCTTGATGTGACCTTAGACTTATGTACTGGTTATTACAAACCATATACCAAAAGCCCTACATAACCATATATATGTTAACGCTGACTCCAATCATCTACCTTCAATTTTAAATAATTTGTATAAATCCATACAATTTAGATGATCTAACTCCAGCAATAAGGAAATATTTGATGAAAATATATATAAAAGCATTAGAACTAAGCAACCATAAAATAAATATAGAATATTTAGAAAAAAAACAAAAATGGTAAAAATAAACACACTGTAATGTGTTATGACTTAAAGCCCCTTATAATTGTAATGTTCAAATGAATATTGGAAGAAACCCTTCAATCATTCTGCAGTATTAGAGATTTTTAACAAAAATAATGTAACAATCAGTTACAGCTGCATTAGAAAAATCGATATCCCATCATAACATTATATTGAATAACTATATCACCGACAAAAACAACCATGTTAATAAATTTACAAAAAACAAATGCAACTACTGAAAAGATATGATTTGCCCCTTAAACAACCAATGCATGACTGAAAATGTTGTATACCAAGCTAGCATACATTCCGATAGCAATATCAAATTTTATATCGTGTGCACTGAAGTCCTTGGAAATTTCATTTTTATCATCATCAAATGACTTTAGGTAATGTAAAATACTTGAATAGCATGGATCTCTCCAAACATTTCTGGCAATTAAATAATGGTGGTAATACACTCATAATTATGCTAAAATATTATGATATATTAACTAAAACCAAATTTTACAATGGGAAAGGTGATAGGTTTAATTTATGCCTTGTAGAAAAATTAGTTATCTTAAAACACTGAAATGACCCTAACTTATTAAACAGGAGAAATGAATTGATGGTCACATGTAAGCATAGAAATAAATACCTGTTGAAATATGTTGATCCAGATTAATTTCTGCTGTAGATTATAACCTTTCCTTTTTAATTTTCTTTTGTTTACTTATCTTCTGTCGAGAATATATAATTTTTTTATAGTTATAGGTACATTTATTTTAATACAAATTTTAAAAAAACATTAATTCCCATTTATTTTAAATATAAAATATAAATCCTGTCTATTTTAAATACAATTTTATTTTTAAACAAGTAATCCCCTGTATAATATATGGACTGCACCAACAGTGTGTTAACCAGACATTTTTATTAAAATTTAAAGTATGTAAGTCAATCTACTCAGCACCTGAACATTGCATGAAACTCCAAGTCATGCTACTGGTTAGGAAAATATATATATATATATATATATATATGAAGAAATATAGTCTTAAGGTATGCTTATATTTATGGGATAAAGTGCTCAATATCAGAGATAGAGCGTGTGTAAAATAAAAGTGAACATAAGTCAACACTTAGAGGCAACAGTCTGTTTCATGCTATATGCAATTGTCAGGCCTGACGATTGCATATAGCATGAAACAGATCTAAGTGTTACTTCTATATATATATATATATATATATATATATATATATATATATATATATATATATGTGTGTGTGTGTCCCTTTGTTGGGGAAACTACTTGTATAAAAGATATTCTTTTAGTGCAGAGAAAAGTAACTGTAGTAAGCCATGTTTGTGTTACTGTTGTCAACATATTTCAGCAAATTTTTTTAAAGGTCGAATCCATAAGGAAAAAACTGGCATGGGCATATCCTATTTTTATCTCTGCTCTATTTTATGGGACTTTTCTTTGTAGACAGGATGTAGACCGTGCCAAAGATGATTTACAATGGCGGCAGGAGATTGAAGATGAAGTAGAAGACCTGAGGGCAATACACAATGAGGAATATGAAAGACAATTGAGGATTTATCAAAGAGATTTTGAAAATTGGGAAACAAAACAACGCTTGAAAGTAAGTAAAAAGTTCACCAATGATGACCTCCATGTTTTTTTATGTCTCATTCGTTTCTGAACATTTATCATCTGTAATGATATTTTTTTTTTATTTGCAAATTTCAGACAATATAAAAACTTGATTATAATACTTGATTCATGTATATAAACACCATGCCATCAATGAGAATGCCAAAACATTTGCTTTGTCATCAGACAGGAAGCCATTTTAGAAGTAAATTACTCAACCCCTTTAAATGAAAGCAATGTTTTTTGTTTTCGTTGCCTTTTTCTTTTACTTTTTTAGTTGCTTTTTTATTGGTGGTTGCTATTTTTATTTATCATTAATTTTTTCTTCTCAGTCGTCTTTTTTCGCTCCTTTTCTTCTCGGTCGTCTTTTTCCGCTCCTTTTCTTCTCGGTCGTCTTTTTCCCCTGCTTTTTTTCAAGAGAATTTTTTTCTTTTTTTCAAGAGAATTTTTTTCTTTTTTTCAAGAGACCTTTTCTTTTTTTCAAGAGACCTTTTCTTTTTTTCAAGAGACCTTTTCTTTTTTTCAAGAGACCTTTTCTTTTTTTCAAGAGACCTTTTCTTTTTTTCAAGAGACCTTTTCTTTTTTTCAAGAGACCTTTTCTTTTTTTCAAGAGACCTTTTCTTTTTTCAAGAGACCTTTTCTTTTTTTCAAGAGACCTTTTCTTTTTTTCAAGAGACCTTTTCTTTTTTTCAAGAGACCTTTTCTTTTTTTCAAGAGACCTTTTCTTTTTTTCAAGAGACCTTTTCTTTTTTTCAAGAGACCTTTTCTTTTTTTCAAGAGACCTTTCTTTTTTTTTTCAAGAGACCTTTTTTTTTTTTTTCAAGAGACCTTTTCTTTTTTTCAAGAGACCTTTTCTTTTTTTCAAGAGACCTTTTCTCTTATCTTTTTTTCAAGAGACCTTTTCTCTTATCTTTTTTTCAAGAGACCTTTTCTCTTATCTTTTTTTCAAGAGACCTTTTCTCTTATCTTTTTTTCAAGAGACCTTTTCTCTTATCTTTTTTTTCAGTAGACCTTTTTTCTTTTCTTTTTTTTTCAGTAGACCTTTTTTTCTTTTCTTTTTTTTTTCAGTAGACCTTTTTTTCTTTTCTTTTTTTTTCAGTAGACCTTTTTTTCTTTTCTTTTTTTTTCAGTAGACACTTCTTTGTTTACTTTTTTTCTATAGACTTTTCTTTTTTTCTTTTTTCTTCTTTCTTCTTTTTCTGTTGACTTTTTCTTCTTTTTTTTCTTCTTTCTTTTTTAGTGATTTTTTTCTCTGTTTTTTCAGTATATATTTTTCTTCCAAAAGAAAAAATCTTTTGGTTGCTTTGAGGACATTTAAACTGATAAGTAATTTTCAAAATCTGAAAGATTTTTCTGTCATTTTGCTTTTTTACTCCCTTGACACATATTTTGCAATAAGTGTTTTTCATCACATAAGTTTTGGACACAAAGTTTAGTCCACTGGGTCAACTGCAGATAACTGGATGTTTTACATAATTCAGAAACAAACATTCTATCAATTACTGACTTTCTTATATCACCATTTAATTCTTCAAATGTTGTACAGAAAGATAAATTTAAGTTCTTGAAACATTTCACAAGTTATGACTCTATTTAAAATCTTCATCCTTGTATCTGCTATGTGCTCTTTTTCAAAATTGAATAACTTCTCATAAAAATAGACATTTTGAATCTGTTTTATTCAATTAAAAAAAATTATTCTCTGTAGCCATATAGGAGCATAAAAACAAAATGTTTCATTAGTAATTGTAGTTGTAATCTAACTTAAATATGTGGAGACTATAGTCTCCCCTAGACAAGAACAACAGGTAATCTATATTCAGTTTGTGTGACTACTGACTTTAGTATCAGCAACTATGATTAAATAAAGGACACATTTTTCTCCATTGTAAAGTTGTAAAGTTTTACTTTACAACTTTACAATGGAAAAAAATGTGTCCTTTATTTACATATGAATGCAAATGTATTGCATTGTTCCATTAAATAAAGATACAAGCAACATGTTACAGCATTGTTAACTTTGGTCCATGTACAACGTATAATATTTGAAGAATTAAATTGTGTGATAAATGTCAATACAGTGGAATCTTGGGTCATGAACACCTCTCATCACAAATAAATTTTCTGAGCAGAAAATGTCTCAGGGAAGGTTTGGTTTATTTTGTTTTACAGCATATCAACCACAATGGGTTATTTAATGCCGACAAAATTTTTTATTGCTGGTAATATTTTGTTTTGTCAAAAATCTGTTTCTGGTAAAAAATTTTCCTTCAAAATTGTATTACGGGTAATAATTTTTTTTCACAAAAGAATTGCTGGTAATAGTTAACTATTTGCCCATAGCTGGGACCCTAACAGGTGCTACCTCCCTGGGTCAGGGTGGATCTGGGAACACCAGCAATTAAGAGGTGGTTCCACACTCCTCAAAACCTCCTTATCAGAGGCCTTGCTGCTGGATGTAGTTTATCGTCTTACCCAGGATGAGTCTCGGGTGACGAATGGTGTCTTGAACACCAAATACATGCAATGTGTGATGGTGGAGGAATTGTCTTCAGATGAAGGGGTAGGACAAGAGGATGTTCCTAGTTCTTTGACAAAGCAGTATCAAGCCACAGTGTAAACATTTTCATTGACAATGCCATGTCTTACTTTAGACAAAAACAAATCTCATTGGACAAATTTTTAGTGAGACAGAGGCTGAGCGGGTCTCAAGACTAGTCAAGTGGTACTAAGAGATGGAAAAGAGTAAGAGAAGAAACTCCGGAAAGACAGTTATCTGATGTTTCTATGGAAGACAGACTCTCCTTCCAAACAATAACATATCTCCTCTTCACCTTCAGTAGATACTACAGAATGATCCAAATTGCCAAGAGGTCAGAGTTGTGATGCTCTACAAGAGCTAGGAGAGGAAGTAAAGTACAAAACAAGTAAAGAAGAATGTTGAACAGATTTATTAAGGAAACAAGTAGGGAAATTCACTATTTGACTGAGAAACTGAGCAACAAAAAAATTGAAAGTCTGAATACTGACAATATTAGAATGCTTAAACTGCTTAATGTGATTAAAATCTTGTTTGTCATTGCATAAACATTATACAGACTTCATGTATCATGGCACTACATTCTGCTTTTTCACTTCTTAAAGCACATAAACCAATTTGATTTTCATTGTTATTTTCATTTTATTTTTGCTTTCAGAAAGAAGCTGTAAAACGAAAGAAAAGTCGTTTGAAGAAAAGCTCTAAAAGTACACCAGAACTTGAAGATCAAGTTAGTATTATTTGCTTATATCAAAGAATTTTCAAACATGCACATCCACTTTAAACTCTTTTCAATCTCTTTGTATATAAAAACAATTAACCTTTTCCACTCTGTAGTTAGGTTTAGTCACTAAGAGAAAAGTTTGTCCTGTTACTGCAGGAAACTCTGATCGGTTTCTGTTACTCTGGATTCTGATCTCTGAACATCAGTGTTTTGAATTTTGTAGTCGTGTTCACATGTCCTGCTATGGAAACAGTGAAAACAATTTAGACTGAAACTGAGAATGAAGATATTGCAGTTAAGGGGAAGAATTAGAGGAAATAATAGTTGTAAATAATGGAGAGTGGTAAATGTTAACAATGCTTTATATATAATTTATAAGAAATATTTTTTAAAAAATGTTACCGTTAATACTGCAAATGTATATAAATAAGAATAGATATCAGCCAGTTGCAGAAAATAAGGCATTGTGATATTGTGTCACTATGATCGAGACACTTACATAGAAAATGAATGTGTGATACTATTTTGATTTAGTCTAGTTTTATAAGCAGCACCCACTTGAGAGAAAAGGGAAAAGTGCAAGAAAATATTTGGGGTCAAGTGACAACAAACTGGACAATGATCATTTCCAGTTACTGGTTTATATTAAGTCATGCTTGAGATCAGGCTAGCTAGCTATGGTTTGCCCTTGATGGTGGACAAAGTCCTTCACGTTATTCTGATGCCACCCATTCATATTGCTAGTTGTACATTGAGGTGTGTCAAAGATTGAAGAGTTGAGCTGTTAGATTGATATAGCAGAAGTTGTCCCCAGGTGCCAACTAACTACCCAATCAGATAGGGTAAGTGAAGTCCTGAATATAAACACCTAATTTATAATATTGGAAACAGAGTTCATATTATAATGGGAGTGCATGGAAGAAAGGTTTATTCTCCCATTTGTATTTCCCCCATTATGGACATTATATCCATGATATAATAACACTGTAATTCACAGACAGAATGGAATGTTTGAAAGGAACAGGTATAACAAACATGCTTTGTTCTCTGAGAGACTTTTATAACACAAAGACATACAAAAAACTATATATACATATTTACATGTGTCCCATGCAGAAAAAAATATAACATATCTACACAGTCAATGAAAGGAGAACAAAAAAGATAGGGTCTTGCATATAATATAGAGATTCTTCTGTATTTCTGGACAAAGCCATGTTTAGGACTCCAGACTCTAGTTTGCCAGATTATTTACTATGTCTCAAGTGAGTACATATTCTGTAAACAGGAAACAACAAATCTTGGGTTTTCCCAATTTGAGGACTGCCAGCCAGAGTTTCTTTCTATATCTGAGGAAGATACATTCCCAAAGGGAAACTGCGCCATGGACTTGTAAGCAGCTGGGGAGGCAGATTTAGCTTCAGCCAAACAAACGACTGTTTCAATTGACTCCTGTAAGCTGAATGAAATTGACTGCTACTTTTGTCATTGTATGGAGTAATGTCACTAAGTAGCTGTCACACAACTTTATATCGACCAAAGGGAGATAATCACCTTTTTGTATCCTCACAGTGTCATCATCTCTCAATGTGGTACAAGTTTTCCATTTTGTTACTTTGTGAACCAGTCAGTGGAAAGCTGGGTAAGGGACATATTGTATGGTTATAATTTATTGAAATTTGAATTGCAGCTAGTGATCTCCATGACCTAATCATTAAGACAGCTGTCACATTACATATGGAAAGAGAATATAAGTATAAGTACCACCAGAGGTTTTTCGTTTTTTGATTTGCATTGTTATTCTACTGTTGTTAGTAAACAATATGAAAGTTGCTATAAAAAGCAACTGAAATTGAAATGAAACACACACCAGTTGAAAAATTAATGATAATGTATTTCAAACATTATTGAAGGATTTAATATCAGAAGATGAGAAAATCTTATCAGAAGAAGGTGCTCCCAAACCTATACTTCCAGAAAATTTTGATGAACGAGGGGCTCGTGAGAAGGTTAGATCAAAAGCTTTGAAAATCAGACGACGTCCAGGTAAGTCATAAATCAAATCAAATTATTCTATGACTGAAATTGATGGTTACGTTGTCATAGTCAGCCAGACAGTTATAAATTAGTCTCCACAAATGATGGCTAAGACTGATTGTAAGATTCTCTCAGAAGACATAAAATATATTATCTTGATTTACTGACCAAACATACCAAAATTTTCAAATTGGACTAAATTTGAAATTGACTTCTCTTTAGTAGCATAAGTTAATAATACTAACAGAAAATTAGAATTAATAGTAATTAGAAGTTTTCTTAATGATTTCTCTTACCACTTCAACAGAGACTGTTACTTGAATTGGCTAGTTCATACATTGTATTTTATTTATACATGACATGCGGATGTAGTAGTAAACATAAGAATACATGCAAAAATTTAGCAGAAAAAACGTTTGGCACTATTATAAACTATGACTTGAAGAGTAGAAACTTTCTAATAACTTCATTATATATCTTTAAAAACTGAAACCTTGCAAATTAATAATTTGATACATGTTTTAAATGTGTAAGTTTTATCTTTTGCCATAAAGTTAATGAAATTTTACTTTACAATGATATCTACTCAGTAAGGGTATCATCTTATTGTAACAGGACGTTGGCTCTGGTTCAACATTTAGTTGCATGAGAATACAAAATAGTGATTTGACATGATTAAAAATTTATAAATAAATTGCAAAAGACTCACAAAAGGATATCTTAAATCAGTGGTTCTCAAATGTTGCGCCTGGGCACACTGGTACATGCTGGAACATGTCTAGGTGCGCCCTGACATTCCAGAGAAATATGTGTCCAGATATAAGAAATAAATATATTTACTTTATTATGGTACCTGTCTCATTCATATTTATGTGAATTAGGCTTTCCTGCTCTCACCACAATTAAGTGCAAAAAGAGAGGAACTCTTCAATGTATTGACGAGGAAATGAGTTTGTCTATCAAATCTACACCCAAACATTGAAGAAATCACTGAGACCCATCAGGCTCATGTTTTTCATAAACACAAGAATGAATAAACTTAAGGTATGCTTCAATTTATATTTTTTATTGCATCATTTCTTTTCTGCAATATTTGACTTCATTATAACATATTTTTCCAAAATTTGTATATAGTGCACCTACAATTATTGGTAGGATTTCAAGTGCACCCTGACTTCAAAAAGTTTGAGAATCACTGTCTTAAATGATTAGAAAAATGAGAAAAGAAACGGAGAATTAAAATTAAATTAAACATATAAAATGAAGTTGATGAGGGAACTACTGAGAATTGAACCCTGAACGAATTTGGTGAAAAGTCATTAATTGTAGAGTTTTATGCAGGTGATAAGAAAAAATATTTACTTGGATTTCCAAGCTGAAATCTAATCCAAGAGAGATAAATTCTTAATACTATGATGCTAGGCACATAAGGTGATCCCTATTAAAACGTTTGAGAAATAGTTTGGGGGCTGGGGTCATGTGTTTTTTGGTCAATGAAACTGTTGAGATAATACGGGCAAAAGTGAAAATTTTTACATACATCGATGTCAAACTTCAGCAGCCATGAGGAGATCTCTAGACAGTGCTAAGAAAATCCATATCACTCAAAGACGAGCACACATGCATTCTGTCAACAGGGAGGACACACAGACATAAGGAAAACAGGAGTGTTGCAGACATACTGCAAGGTGAGAAGGCAGCTGCTACTTGGAATGTCAAAGCAACTATATGGAGAATGGAGAAAAAAATTACTATAATTTGGTGAAAAGTGAAATGAAAGTGCTCAAAATACTTTGCAGTAACTATTTTGCTGCATAGAGAATAGAAAATGCATGTTTGTATAATATTCCCTATTAATAAACATTCGATGATCAGCTTTGGAATCATGCGAGAAACAAATTTAATATACTACCTAGAAGACTTTAATAACATAGCCGTATGTGACAAAACAAACCACTAGATGATTGTCATTGAAAAACAGGATTCACTTCAGACAGACCAGAACGACCAACAAAGATACATTTTCATATTTGGCCTGCCAAGCATACTAGACAAGAAAATTACTATGTACGTCTGGAACCCCACAACCCCAATTCACACCTGTATTTGGTCAGTGTCTGTTTAGTTTCAGTGATTAAAAGCGACCTGGTCACAATCGATTTCAATGAGCTGCCTTCGTTTATGAATCCATTTATATTATTACTAATTTTCAATAAAAAAGTTTTTTTTTTTTTTTTTTTTAAGTGATAAATTAATAGAATATATTCTTTTAATAATATTTTTTTAAGTCTTTCTTCACAAACACTACAAGATCAAAAAATTCATTTCTATAAAGATTTACCAAAGAGATAATTGAAGCAGCCGAAGCTCAAAAGACTCTGACAAAACTACATATAGCTTTTCTAAATCAATAGGCTTCTACTTCCTTTTCTGCTGTAAACTGTGAGTAATGACATTTAATAAATATATAAATGTTTTCTGAATTAGATACGTATTTTTTTTTCTAATGAACGCAGATTTTATATGACAGGAAATAGACTAGACATGGTGAACTTTTCTTAATGAATCCTCTTAACACTTCAACACAGACTCTTACTTTAACTGGCTAATTGATATGTTGCCTTTTATTTAAGCATAGCATATGGACATAGTAGTGAACACAAGAATACACACAAAAATTTAACATTTTAAATAATGAGGTTTTACAATGGAAAGATATAGTCACAGAAAATCAATTTATATACTAATTTACATACAAAAACTTTGTTGTAAAAAATTTAATTGCAGTTTTAAATTTTTATTATAATTAATGAAAGTTTATTTACTATATTAATTGTGACAAATTCCCAATGCCTGTGTGTGATTGGGGGTGTGTATGCATGGTCAAGGACATTATTTGTTATTCTCCTGTGATGATAAAGTAAGTTAAAAGTGGGTGAATGAATCTCCAGGGTGTAAATGTATGAACACATTTACTTTGTGTGCCAAGAAGATAGAATATTGTTCATGGTTCTCCACAACTTCTTGTTCATGGTAGCTCTTAGCAACAGTTGTCTTTTTGCTATCTCTCCAAATCCCTGTTCTACAAACCATTTATACAAGCTTGTTAGATAGGTTATTCACTGCTTTCCTTTGTCCCTCTTGCAATATTTAGCATGTCCTGTGAGTGTTAGCAGATATGTTCATCTGTCATACTCCACCTCAGTCCTGGGTATAATGACAAACTACATTCGGCACCGAGATTGGAGGTTTGACAATCGAGTATAAACTCGACCCATTCTTACACATTAACTCAAGTATAAACCTTACCAATGTAGTCCTGGGTATAACAATAAACTACATCTGGCAACAGGACCTCTGATCAGGAGATTGGAGGTTTTGAGTAGCATGGAACTACTTCTTAATTGCTGTTGTTCTCAGGTTGTGAACCCCTAGACAAAAACAAAACACTATGAAAGTATGAAAATACATATTTATAGCAAAATGATCAACAATACATTTTATCTGTAGTTGAAGGCATACAATTGCATTCAAAATATTTAGATTTTGGCATCAAATAACCCATAGAAGTTGATATGCCGCTAAACAAAATCAACCAAACAACAGTACCTATTTATAATAAAATGACCAACAACACATTTTATCTGTAGTTGACGGTATACAAATGTCTAAAAAATATTTAGATTTCAGGTTTAAATAACCAATATAAGGTGATATGCCACTAAACAAAAGCAACCAACTATACTCTTCCCCTGTCTTTTAAAGAAGAGCAGAAATTTATTCCTTGTTTCTTGTTTAGGAATAGGTTTCCAGTTCCTTCCAAAGCCTTTTCCTCTTCTTTCACATCCAGTGGCCCCTTGCATCTTGGTGGTATTATTGCCTTGCTTGGGGTGGTGCCTCTGAAACTCTTTACTTCGAATTGGCTCTTGGGTCCTTTTACCAGGTGAATGTCATTGTAAAAAAAAAGGAAAAAAAAAAGACAACTTGCTTTTCTCATATGCGCTAGAAATTTCAACAATCTCTTTCTGATTCTAAATGCAATTGTCCTTCTTGTTTCCATTTTCGTTAAGACTTTGTCGTTGCTTTTATGTTTAGTCCAAAGTATTCTCAGCATCTCTCTGCAGGACTACATTTCTGTTGTCTCAAGTCTCTTCTTCATCTGTGAAATTGCCCAGCATTCACTTCCGTATAATCACCCACCGAAATAGATAAGGGGAGTGAACTCTTGACTTGAAAATTCAATGCTTTATTAATTCCCTTGCATTTTTTTTATTTCTTTTTAAGAAAATAAATTTACTCATTAGATTCATAAAGTAAAACCTAATGATTTTGAGTAACTATCTCTTCTTTTTAAATTTTTTTTAATTTGAAGGAGATCCAAAGTTGTTTCCAGAAGTGCTCTACACTGCTAACGTTACACCTACTCACCAATGTCCAAGGTAAGTTAATAAAAGATTGATATTTTTATTCTATAATATGAGTTATAAGTTAAGGCATTTATTTATATACACAATATTTAACATTTCCTTTTATTTCAGAAAAGTGTGTACCTTAGAAATATTTAAATATCTTCCATATTTGCCAGACTATAGTGTAGGAAATTGTCATCCGTCTTATTTTATACTAAAAATTTGAATGTCTGAATTTCAAACAATAAAATAATGCATAAAACATTGTTGAGTTAGTCTTTAGTTAGTTGGTTCACAGAAATTGCTATGGTTTAGAAAAGACTTTTAAATAATTGATTTCATAGTAAAAAAGAAAAAAAAAGCATTGGTTGAGAAAGTTTTTTTTTTTTTTTTTTTGTTAGCAAAAATTCATTGTCTTTGTTCTTGGAGATGATTCATTTGAAGTCACTGAGTGGCCATCCATGCTGTTGTGGGAGTAGCTGATGTGTTTGACATTGCCAAAGTACATTTCTTTCACCATGCACTGGAGGGAAAGAAAGAAGTGATGTAGCCATGGCATGAAGTCAATCACTTATCTCGTGTTTTGAATGGCTTGGTTTCTGCTTGAAAGTCAAAATTTGTGAGTTTTTTAAAGAAATTTTTCACAAAAGTAGGCTTGAGAAAAATAGGGTTTTAGTTTTCTCTGATTGGTCAAATATTTCATATGGTAATGTTACTTTCTAACCAATAGACACTTTGATTTAAATGGTGTGTTTTGCATTGTGGAATCTTTTTGACATGTTTGTAATATTGTCTGTTATTGGATAGAAAATAAAGTTTGAGCATATTTTAATACAGTATGTATGTGAGGATGTAATTGTGTTGGAAATGGGGTTGTTTCCTATAATAATATAGCTATATTTTTGAATGTGCAATACTAGACTAGTGTTGAGATCTCATCAATTCACAGTTAAGTTGGCTAGATGTTACCATAAATTCTATGCTAACAGTTTATTTTCTTGCACTTCTCACTGATGGAACTCTCTTCTGGCTACATGCTTTCCAGTCAACTTTAATCTGCAAAAATTTAAATGCAATGTCAATCACTATCTACTGTCCCCCTGATTACTCTTTCTGTTCCTAATTCTTTCACATCCTGTAACCCCTTGTGGCTTTACTGCTTTGCATGAAGTGGTACCAATTTTTAAAAAACAAAAAACTTACATATGTAAGATACACTCCTGTTTACCATGGACATTAAAGAAAATACTTTATTCTACATTCTACTGCACAATTGCATTTGCTAATTGACGTCTTATCCATAAAAACAGCAGATTGGATGCCATAATATTTCAATATTTTTCAAGATTATCATATAAGCTTAATGATAATTATTGCTATTATAATAACAATAATTTCTTTATTGTGCTATTATTGTTATTATTACAGTTGTTTTTATGTATCAATTTTTATTAGATATGTTGATTTCAATCTTACTGGGAATGACTGCAGAACACTTTCTCCTCTCTTTTCATAGGCAGAAGCACACAAATGCATGCTGGGATTTTTTTCTTAGCCAATAAAATAGACAGATTTGCAGTTCGACATGACTTGGTCCCAATCTACCTTGTCTAAAAGACAGAACACTGCTTGTCTGAACTTGCTTTTGTGTCCATGCCAATTCTTAGTTTGTGAACTTTTTGCCTTACTTTTAATTTTCCTTGTGTATATTGTTTGCTTGTTTGATATTGTTTAATTTTTGCCCTGTTCCTTTTTCTTTTTATTGCAAATTTCTGTTTGTTGGATAGTTCTGTTATTTATTTTACATTTAAACATGGCTACTGACTCCACAAGATAAAATGTTTTGATTAGGAGGAAGAATTGTTGCTTACTTTAAATTTTGTGCAATTGAATCATTTTATATTGTTTTTTTTTTTTTCTATTTCAGAAGTGAGCAACGTCGCCAAGACGATGTACTGAAGTACAAAATTTTTGTGAAAATTCTGTTTAACAGTAAAGAAGTTTTAAGAACAAACAGCAAGTGAGTTTGGAAATATTGCAATATGGTTCACATGTTTTTATTACAAATATTTACATTATGCCTGGAAATTTGATCTTTTTCAGAAATTAAAGGTTTTTACATGCATATACAATTCATTTGCTGTCCATGTGTAGCTAAAATAATTATATGAATTGTATTTATAAGCATTTTAATTAAAATTCCTAAGCATTCTATGAAAAATGTCTTATGTTTAAATGTATGTTCTTACCAGATTTCTTTCAATTTTATTAGAACATTTTAACATCATTTAAAATCTAAATTACATTTATGATAATTATTTTTTTTATCTGTCATCTTTTCATAATCAGTTTTTTTTATTTTCTGGCACTTTGTGGAAAGAAAATTTGAATCTCATCATAAAAAAAAAGATTTCTGAAGTGGAGAAAAACAGCTAAGTTTATCTATCTCAATCTGTACATCTCTCTGTGTGTATGTGTGTGTGTGTGTGTGTGTATATATATATATATATATATATTAATAAAATTCTGTGACTTCCAGCTGTCACACCCTATAAAATTGTCATACATTGACCAATCGAAACCAAATTTTAAAAAGTGCAAACAGGTGAGGGCTTACAAAGTACTAAACCATCTGAATATCCTTTCAAATGACAAGAATCCAGTTTCCAGTTCAGCCTGCATTTACAAGAACTAGAAACAAATCACAAAGCCAAATGTTTCAAAAAGTTGTAATTTCACTCTAGAAAGAAATATTTATGCATGGCCAGTTGTATGTTACATGCTCAAAAGTAAGAATTCCTGCTGTTAAAAAGAAAAAATATAAATTTTCTTAGAATATATTGTTTACTATGAAGTCCTATAAAATTAAATTATTAAACTGTGAAATAAATTTTTTTTGTCAAAGTATTTTTCAAACAAATCAGCTTATTCAAATTTTATCGATTGGTTTTCAAAATTGAACGAAACAGTTTTTGTAAATCTCAACAAAAAATGTTAACAAGAACTTCAGCAAAACGAAAACACTGTAAGGATTTCAATATGCATCAGCATGTTGCAAAAAAAAATTCTAGTATATAAATTTTCATCAAAAGCAGTTTATAGAAATCTAATTAAAATGAATTTCACAAAATCAAAAGTCAGTAAAGAATCTTCCGAAAGAATTTAACATACTTGGTATGATGATAAACTACATCTAGCAACAAGGCCTCTGATAGGGAGGTTTTGAGAAGCGAGGAACCACTTCTTAATTCGTGTTATTCCCATGTTCACCCTGACTTGTGGTGGTAGCAACTGTTAGGGTCCCAGCTATAGTTAACCCACAAAATGGGACAAAACATTATGAAAATATGAAAATAGGTTTTTATAGTAAAAATACCAGTAATACATTTTTAAAAAAAAAAAAAAAAATATTACCAGCAATACATTTGACACTAAACAAAATCCTTCTTTACAAAAATACACCAATGATTAAACCTGATTTCTTAAAAGAATATATATTCTATTCCTATGAACTTATCCTAAAACTCTTGTCACCATTAAATAACCCATTGAGGTTGATATGCCATAAAACAAATAAACCAAACCAAATAATTTGACTAGTCCTATCCTCTAAAATGTCAGAAGTCAATCAGTTATATACTATAATTAATATTTTTTTCAAAAAAAGGAAATCAAATTCCGTTTTTTTTTTTTATTTTAACAAGTTTTCACATTGGTCTCTTTTAGCAAAAAATTTTTTTTATTTACAGACCTTTGACTCAAGATTTCAAGGTGACATTTGGTCAGATCTATAATCTGAAAATTGTTCAATGGCCTGAAAGTGTTGCACTCCAAGTAAGTAAAGCAAAACAAAGTATATGTTGCCAACTTCTTCAATATTGCATTAAAAAATGTTCTATTTTTTTCTATCATCTCTCAAAGGTTTTATAAATTTCTAGTGAAATTAAATTATTTAATATTGCCTTCTCCCTCTCATATATATGTGTGTGTATTGGTGCAGCAGATCATTATTAAAACATATATTGTTAAATATAACAGACAACAAATGTCTATTATGTTTGATCATGAGCCATTCTAAACTTCATATAGTTGCTTTAATTTTGAGGCAAAAGAAAACAAGATGAAACACTGTTTTCTCTCCCTCCTTCCTACATGATGATGACTTAATATTTTTCTTTCCCCTACTCTCTATATGGAATCACTATTAATTTTTAAACCTAGAGTAAATTTTTCCATTTTTATTTGGTTTAGAGGTGAAGATTTGAAGCCTTGTTTTATCAGCTTCAATGAAATAAAATATCACCTATGGTTTTTAAGTGTTTGTTTGTCATTATATATATATATATATATATATATATATATATATATGTGTGTGTGTATGTTGATAAATTAGGGGTAAGATCTCTGATTGATGCCAAATCGGCCAAGTTTTGATCCCAGCTTGAAGCAATCGGACATCTAGCCACACTGAAGAGCTGTGATACAGCAAAACAGTCTGTCTGTGGAGGACATATGTATATGTGTTATTTTACATCAAGGACTGTTTTATCAACACCAGAACCCCTGTATAATACTTTAATTCTATTCTAATAGTTTCTTTTCTTGCACTTCTTGCCTGTGCAATGCTCTTCCAATTTTTTGCTTCCATGCCAACTACAATCTTCAAAAATTTTAATGCAATGTCAATCACCAATTTTATATATATATATATATATATATATATATATAATTGTGTATTTGGCCAGCAATCCCTCTTTTATACAAGTTTCATTAAAAACAACTGGCAAGGTACTGCGATTAAGTTTTTTATTTTTCTTGTGTCCTTATAATTGCCTTTTCTGGACATAAATTATGTAGAAATTGTCTGAATATTCTGTATGTTTGAACACTTTCAGTGGTAGGTAACTGGTTATAAAAAATCATTTTATAACCAGTTACCTACCATTGCCTAAGGGAATACAATCATAGTATTGAAACATGAAAGCTTTTGTGTTGCAATTTAAAATGTTTTTTTTATGTTAAAAATGTTTTTTTTTTATGACCTCTCATAATACAAATATGATAATAATGTGTGTGTGTGTGCACACATGTACACTTAAACTTGCTTTTAGACATAAGAACCCATCAATTTATGTTTTAATTGCACTGTGATTATTATTGAAGAATATTAAGTTTAGGTTGAGAAAACTTGCTAAAATAAATTTAAGTTTAGTATTATCCCAATTTCTTGTTCCTTTTTAAAGTTTGTTTTTTTATTTATTAAAACGATTCTAAACTCGTTGATGAATTTTTAAAAAATTAAAATTGAAGGTCTTCAATCTTTAACATGGTAAATTTTTAAAACAATGTTTAACTTTTTATCTAAAATCTCCCACACCAAAGAATTACCACATTTCATTGTAAATAATGCCCAGTTTTTTTTCCCACAAATATTAGGATTTTTTAGATCTTTGTAATAAAAGCCCAAAAAGAAACTCATTTTGAAATGTGTCAAATAAGGAAGTTGGATAAAGTTCCATCAATGTTTGATGAATCATCCAATATTTTCTTTAATATTCACTGCAGAATTGTGTGTGTGTGTGTGTATGTATGGTGGGAGGGTCATATGACCTCAAATACAATATGTGCTTTTACTTATTAGATTTATGAAAACACTGGTTTCACAAGCCATCAGCTAGCTGAACTCTACCTTAATATTCCGGAAGCTTCTGTGACTTGTAATAATATTGAAATGGAGAATCATGAATTCAGCTGTGATTTGAAAATTCAGTTTAACCACGAAGGCGTTGGCAGTGGTAAGTTAACTTTTTTAATGATCATTTGTTTGTAGTCCCCCCAAGTCAAGCATAAAATCACTATATTTAAAGATTTCAAGAAATATAATTCATTTCTTTAAAAAGATAAAAGCTCTTAAACATCTTATAACAAAATTGATCATGTTGCTTTTCAATTATATTAGGTTGTAGTATTCATCATGGGAAATAACTCATGCAAGCTTGCTGTAATAAAGAGACGTCACTGGAGAAAACAAAAAGTTTACTGGTTAGCAACTGTTTGTTTTTTTTGTTGTTTTTTTTATATACCATGTCCTCTCAGGACGTAGGCTCTCCACAACTTCCTGTCCCTAATAGCTCTAAATAAACTTTATTTTTCCTAAGCCCTGTTCCACTATTCCTTTACTCAAGCTCACAAAATGTTATGCATTGTCTTCCTCTATCCTTTTTTCCTTCTATCTCTCCTGTGAGTATCTGATTTTCCAGGCCTTCCTTCCTCATTATGTGCTCCAGAAACCTTAACTGTCACTTTCTGATATTAAGTATAATTGTTGAAATACATTTCTGTCGATGTTGAATATTTCTTACACTGACTATACATCTTTATGTGCTGTGTCTCCTCAGAATGTAGGCGATCATGGCTCTCCACAACTTCCTGTCCCTTGTAGTTCTTAATAAACAGTTTCTGTTATTTCACCTAAGCCCTGTTCTGTCATCCATTTACTCAAGCTCACTAAGTATGTTATGCATTGTTTTCCTCTGTCCCATGAGTATCAGATTTTCCAAGCCTTCTTTTCTCATTATGTGCCCCAGAAACCTCAGCTGTCTCTTCCTGATGTTAAATATTAGTTTCCTTTTTGTTTCCATTCTCTCCAAAAATTTGTTGTTTTTCACATGTTCAGTCCACAGTATCCTCAGCATCCTTCTGTAGAACCACATTTCTGATGCTTCAAGTTTCCACTTAATCTTTGAGGAGATTGTCTAGCACTTGCTTCTATACAGGAAGACAGATATTACATAGCAGTTTAGTACTCTTTTCCTTGTTTCTAGCAAAATTTTCATATTTCTTAGTATGCTGCTGAATGCTTTCTTGACTATCCCAATATGCTTTCAGTTCTCAGTGTTGCTGTTTCTGTACTATGTGTTATGGTCCGGTTCCTTGTACCACGGTGATAGTCCAAGGTAGAACCAATAAAAAAGAACTCGAACACGGATATGGAATAACACAGATATATTACAAACAGGAATATATACAGAGAAGTAGAAAGTGTTAGTACGAAACAATCAGGTTTAGTAGTACTTGTCTGAACGCAATTCTGTTTTGGACTGCCTCTGACTCGACTGACTGACTGACAGACTCCTGACGGACTTCACTCGAGATTTCAGACTGAACTCTCTGCTTCCTCTTGAGGCGCAGTATTTATTACGTATGGAATAGTCCATTATGTTATTATGGGTAAGGTCCCCTAACACTGTTAAAACACTTCCCAGATATTTAAATTTGCGCACGTTTGATTTTTGTATCTCCAATTTGCAATTCTCACTTTGGGCTCATCATTTTGCTAACAAACATTCATTCTGCCTATTTGCAGTTGATGTTTAATCCCTTCTTCTTGCTTTCCTTTGCTACCTTCTGTAGGAATTTTTGTAGCTTTCTTTCCGTGTCTGTTATCAACACAGTGTCATCTGCATACCTCATGTTAAGATTGTGGCTGCCAATAATGAATCCTGGTAGGTCTTCTAGTTCTCTCAGAATCGCCTCTCTGTATAGGTTGGATAAGTCTGGTGAGAAAACACATCCTTGTTTTACACTTCTTTCTACTTTTGTATATCTGCTGAACTCATTTTCTATCTGTATGCAGGCAGTTTGCTGAAGTATAGGTTCTTGATTATTCTAATATCATTCCCAAATATATCAAGGTTGCTGAGCAGTTTCACGGTGTAATCTCTAAAAACAGTTACATGTCCTTCTGTATCTGTATTGCTCTTTCCGATAACATTTTAATCATAAATATCGGGTTTCTTGTTCCAGTGTTCTGACGAACCCAAACTGTTCTTATCCTATTTCCAATCTGATTTTGCTGCACACTCTTTTCATCAGAATTCAGCTGATCAGTTTCATTATGTGGCTCATTAAGCTGATTGTCCAATGGTGTTCGCATTCATTACAGATTGTTTATGTTGAATGGATCTACTATATAGGTCAAGTCATAAGTAATTTCCGAAGGCTAAAGTTAATAGGAAAAAAACAGAAATTATTTATGACTCAACCTCATAGAAGAATATTTGAGTCATGAGAGAAAGCCTTATGTTTTCCAACAATTGATTCTTGACCATCGTTATGTTGAATCTCTGGTACAGAATTAAATTATAACTAAAGATAAAATATAATAATTACCATGTTTTACTGTTCAGGCCAACTAGGAAAGCTGGTTGTACTAAACAATTTTTTCATTTATAAATCTATCATTGGTCTGTGCATTGAATATTAGTGCCATGTCTGATCTGGTGTTCTGGTCACATGTCTTGGGAATCTCAACAAAATCCAAAGAAGGGTTTGTAATGTTAATGAGCCTGTCCTGGCATCTTGACTTCAGTCACTTTCCCATTGTCATGATGTGGTTTCCCTCTGCTTTTTCTATAAATATTTTGTGGTTTCCCATTGTCATGATGTGGTTTCCCTCTGTTTTTTCTATAAATATTTTTATAGCAACTGTTTTAATGAGCTCTCCTCCTTGGTGCCTTGACCACATGAATTTAAGCTTGCTACTAGATTGACAACTGGGTCTTATCATTTTACTGTTGAAATAGCAAAAGATGTAACCATATATTCTATTCTAATAGTTTTTTTTCTTGCCTGTGGAACTCTCTTCTGTTTTTTTGCTTCCCTGCCAATTACGATCTTCAAACATTTAACATCTTGTCTTCATGAGACCTGTTCTTTTATTGCCCTATCTCCTCAGTAAATTATTCTCTTTAAGTCCCAGTAAGCCCTGGTGTCTTTGTGGTATTGTCTTCTTGCTTCGGGTGAAATGATTAAAAAATATCGCCCTCTGCATCCCTTTACAGGCATAGTAGAAAACAAATCGCAAGGTATAAAATGGAAATTCATAAACCTTTGAGTTAGTATCTACTTAAAACATAAATATCAAACTTTGTAACAGGTCAACTCAAAAATATATGCTTGTCTGCACAAATTTATGCCAAAGCAAAATTCCTTTTACCTAAAAAGAGAAGTGATGTGGCTAAAACCCAAAAGACTAACCAACAACTGAAACTACATAAAAGATGCTTCTTGAAATCAATAGGCTTCTATTTGATTTTTTTTATTTGTGGTGAGTCCAAATGTAAAAATAAAATATGAAAAAATATTAAAACAAAAGAATTAAAATTAAAATAAGGCATTTGATTTCCTTTAAAATTCATGTTTTTTTCTCTCTCTCCCCTTCACTTTCTATGCTACTCTCTCAACTAATGAGAAGGCAACCCTTAATTGCTCTGGGTATGACAATAAACTACATATGCATCCTGGGTAAGATGTTAAACCACATCCAACAGCAAGGCCTCTAATCAGGAGGTTTTGAGGAGCATGGAACCACCTCTTAATTGCTAGTGTTCTCAGGTCTACCCTGACCTGGGGTGGAAGTACCTGTTAGGGTCCCAGCTATAGGCAAATAGTTGACCACCCCAAACTGAGGTCAAAACACTATGGACATGTAAAAATAAGTTTTAATTCCAGCAATGCATTTTTGAAGGAAAAATTATTAACAGAAATATATTTTCAAGAAAAATTTTTTTACCAGCAATACTTTTATAAAGGAAAAACTATTACCAGCAATACATTTTTAAAGGAAATTTATTACAAACAAAATATTACCAGCAATACATTTTTAAAGGAAAATTATTACAAACAAAATATTACCAGCAATATATTTTTAAAGGAAAATTATTACAAACAAAATATTACCAGCAATATATTTTTAAAGGAAAATTATTACAAACAAAATATTACCAGCAATACATTTTTAAAGGAAAATTATTACAAAAAATATTACCAGCAATACATTTTTGAAGGAAAATTATTACAAAAAAATATTACCAGCAATACATTTGTGGAAAAATATTACCAGCAATAAAATCTTGTCGCCATTAAATAATCCATTTAGTAAAACAAACCAAACCAAACAACCCTTAAATAAAAGGAAGAAAAGACTGAACAACAAGTTCACTGGTCCAGGGTCTAGTTACTCTAACTAGAAATCTACCAAAATAGGTGAGGCACCATGCATAACTTCTGCTATAAAAAAAAAAAAGAAGAAAGGAACACTAGAAAATAAATAAAAGAATTTTGGCCAATTAAAAAATCAAAGCGACTTTTGATGTTAGCCAAAACCAAGCTTCATACCAAGTAGTCTAGAGCCTTTCTTAAGTGTATATAAAGAGATAGCCAACAGACAACTGTAGAGAGAAGGGTCAGCCAGAGAAACCAGCCATTGTGTCACATGAAGAAACTAAGCAGTCATCTGCTTAAGACATTTTTCTGCCTTTCATGAGGACTGAGAAAACTCTGCATTTGACATCTGCAACATGTTTCCAAAGTAAACACACTCCTGACTACTACCAAAGTCTGACTTGTAAACTATCCACTACCCAACCAATTTCCCTTTCGCCAACCAAAATTACAGAGGAATCAATCAAAGTCAAATAAATAAACGTATTATTTGTATATGCCTTTTGATTTGATTATTCATAAGTTTCCAAGAAATATTGCTAAGACCTGGCATTTCTCCACAATTTTTTTAATATAATCTACTTAATTTTGGATTAATTTTTAAATATATTATAAGAAAATCAACTTACACACCCATTTACATACAAAAATTTTGCTGGATGGGCACACTAAGAAAGCCAAACTAAAAATAAAAAAAACACATCTTCTGTACAGAGGCTCCAAACATCACATCCAGCTCACAAAACAAATCCTCTCAAAAAATATATAAAGTATAATTTCAAAAGAGCCAATCACAAATGTTACTGTTAAATCTAAAGGCATGACAAAGAAAACACTCAATCACAATCCACACTGTCAGCAGATGCGGACCAGTGTGCAAGCTGTTATACGTCACCTTGGTCAGCTGTTCTAATATGTGTATCAACTCCAGGTCCTACAGACACTCCCCATCCTCCAAGTCACTTCCTTTACACACCTTGATCCTTTCTAATGACCATACAAAGAATTTTATCTTGATAATTTTTGCCTTCTTTTCTTTCTGCCTCACTGGCGGTACCATGTCATTTCATGCTACCATATGTACATTTATAACAACCCTAAAAAAATTTATTTATGGTGATCCTATTATTCAAATTCTAATTTTTGTATCAAATGTTTATCTTAGCAAGTCTCTGATTACTAAATCAATTTTTTTTATTTTCTTTTTCTGAAGGTGTAGCTGTTAATTTTGATTCCAATTCTGAAAATATTGCTTTTCTGAACACATCTGGAATACTAAGCTGCAGCTTAGCATGGGCAGTGGATGAAAAAGGAGTTCCCCTTGTGCCACCAATTGGAACCAATAGTTTGAATAAATTGTACAGGTATGAGAAAATAAATGATTTAACAAGACCTAATTTCATTTGAATTTCATATAGTTTAAACTACATATCTGATGTTATTTTACATTTGTTTTTACGTGTCATCATATATTTTGCCTCTATTTACATCATTCGGACTGTTGTCCTCATCTTTATTGCCATATTCACAAAGTTTCTGCCTTTGTATGCTCCAGCGTTCTTCAGGTTATATTTCAGGTCATGAGTCCTCAAAGCCACATGGCCTAGTGGACAAAAGTGTTGGTTGATTTGAACCAAAGAGTTATGAGTTCAATACTTGGCCACAGCAGAGGGAACAAAAACTTGGAGAGTTGAGTTATCAAAGGGAATTAACTAAAAACTGAGATATCCAAAAGCATGGCACATGGAATTAGAACAATCTACTCCCTGTGGTTTAAAGAAAGGGTTTGGTTTGCAATTCCAAAAAATATTACCTGAAGAAGGCCGCACCATGCAACAGCTGAAACATCATGAATACAGCAATAAGGATGAGGACAACAGGCCAAGCAATGTAAATAGTGTGTGTGTGTGTGTGTGTGTATATATATATATATATATATATATATATATATATATATATAATCTCAAGTATAGGATTGGTGTATACGGAATAAATTCCAATAACCAACAAGCACTATTCTTAAGAGTGCTCAATACAGAGTAGAGCAAATATAATTATTTATTCAAAAATTATAACATAAATATGTTATAAAATCACTACAAAAATAGCCATTTTGTTTCAACACTTCTGGCGTCTTATCAAGTGATGGTGTTGAATGTAGAATAAAGGGTTTTTAAATTAATCAAACACCCCTGACTTGTGGAAACACTGTTACATAAGCTGCAATGACCAATCAAAATACAAGTATATGAGAATTCAAAAAACTTGACAACAAACTTTGGTTATAATAATTATTTAATGCTTTAATGTTAGGGTTAGACTAAAATAGAATTCATTCTAACTGATTAATATTAAATTATACTATAAAATACAAAATTAACAATTTTAAATTTAATCTATATTAAGTTTAAAATTATAAAATTATTTAACGAAGAAACTGAGGAAAAAATACGTTTTGTTATTTATTTTGTTTTTATTAAAGTTGGAATAAACGTTAAGATCTAATGTTGTTCCAAACTTCGTTACAACTTAGATACAATACATACACAATCAGATTATGATATACAAACACGCATACATATTTAGATATATAAACACACAAGAAGTGACGAGACAGGAAATATGTCCACGACCCTTAAAAAAAATGACAACATATACATACAATGAAAGGCACATATAATCAATTATAAACACATACATTGATAAAGACATGCACGTATACCCACCAAGAAGTATTCAAATTTGAAAGTGTTAGTAAACAAATTCTAACATACTATTAAATTATAACTTATATGGGCAAAGATATATAGATAAAATTGGTTGAATAGATAGTTTAATATGGGTAGAATAGAAAAACAAATATTCTTCAATGAACAACATAAGGAAAAAGGACATTAAAATATACAGAAATGGATAGAAAAATAAATATATACGCATAAAAATAACACAATCTAAACTTATGACTTGCTATGTATTTCTAGTGCTTGTTACCTGGATCCCCTGGCAGCTATTGGTTTTTCTGGCATTACTGATCCGGAACAGTTATCCAAGTGGGTGGAATCTTCTCGACTTGATCCAAATGATCCTAACAATGCAGATCTAATCTATTCATTGAAGGTCAGTAATTATTTTTGCAGTTGTCTTCTATATAAATAAATGCAAATGTCAGTGTGTCACACACTTTCAACTTTACTCCTGGAGGCCGTTGCCCAACATATAGTCCATTTTGGAATCAGTTTGCCTCCACGAGCAAATTAAAAATATTCCAGGTTGGATTCTGGACACACAATCCTGAAATTTTGGATTTCCAAGTTTTCATTACTACAATTGTTATAGATGATTTTTTTTTTAATATGATTTTTTTGCAACAAATTTTTTGTACGATAACAATTTTTATAAATTGAAAATAAATTTGGGAATAATCAAAATTGATTGAAAATTCCAGTGAAAGTCACGCATGGAATAAAAATAATTGTTTATATGGAAAGTAAAGGACTACGTACATCAAATTGTCTTTAAATTAAGTGGTGCCAGAATAATTATCATTGAACTTTTAAAAGGTAAACTTAAATATTAATGCAATGCTTAAATGCAGCAATTAGTTTTGAGTTCTGTAGTTTATTGTTGCCTATCGTATTTACTCTCCTCTACTTATTGTGATGAAAGCCCAATCAAGAGCCCTCTGCAGGAGCTAGTCTAAATGCTGCCCTATCGGGTGGCTTTTAAGCTAGAATAATAATAATTACAGAAAGATTTAATTTAATAAATAATTTATTTTCTTTTAAGGTAGAATTCTTATACATCATATGCATTCAAGCAATTTTATATTGAAAATAAGAACTTGCTATTTCACACCAGTTTTACAAGAATGCTATTTTAATTCTTAAAAAAAAAACACTTCTGTTTTCTTCAGACAATTTTCAGCATTAAGATAATGGTAATTTTGAGAAACATTATTGGTTATCAAGATTAAAAAAACAAAAGGACATGGGCAAATTGTAAAACTTTTAGATGCTTATTTACACTATTTATATTCAGACTATTGTCCTCATCTTTGTTGTTGTTAGCAGAATGTTTCGGCTGTTGTGTCCTCCAGCCTTCCTCAGGTGTATATTGATCTGGGTAATCTACAGGGAAATTTTGAACTGAACCCTTTATTTAATCTACAGCGGTAGACTGTTCTTGTTCCACTGCTCATGTCTAGGGATATCATTTAGTTCTTATTTTTATTTAGTACTGTTTTTATATGCTTACTTCATATTTTATATGCTTGCTTCATATCATATTTTGATGTATGCTTCACATTGTTGTTCCCTTCCATTTATTGTCTGTGTATAAAATTCAAAACTTTAGATGGGCATGAGTAATAGTTCTATACCATAATTACTCATGTATAATATGTACCCCTAGCCTTAGACAATGAAATTCCAGAATGAAATTTCTTGTGTATAATATGCAGTAAAGTTTTTAGAATTTCTGGCAGTTAAACCTAAATTTACAGCCATGCAGATAACATTTTAAATTAACTTAGAAACATTTTATAATAATCTGTACTCATTTTTAAACAAATTCTTCTAAAATCTTTTAAAATTTGCTTTTTTTTATAATTTCTAGGCATCAGCATGACTTTGTCAAACTTCATGTAATGCAATAAATGTCACAAAGTTTGAGATGAAACTATAACATGTCACTAGTAAAATTCTGTGTAAACTTAAATATTTAATAATTTCACCTACAATGATCAGCTGAAAAGTTTATAGGCTGACAAAGATGTAAATATATCTCCATTCCTGAAAGAATTACATGTTATTTAAAATATATAACACAAAATAAACCCAATGTAAAATAATTTAAACATTAATTTGCATAAAAAATAAAACTTTCAAGAAAATCATTTAGTCTATTTTATTGAATTATGTCACTTGGTGCTGTAGCATACCTACAGACGATAATGGGTATACCCTCATTCCCATAAATACATTAGTGAATACTCTGTGTTGGTTTGCGGTCTGCAGTTCTAGATTCATTGTGGAATTCACTAGGCTCATTTCTAGCAGTTGACAACTTCTTCTATGCGCTACTGGCAAATCTTATATGTCTGTTCTTGTTCTAAGTATTATCATTCATTACCAACCTTTGTGTGATTATTCTATTCAGTAACCTTTCCTAGGTTACAACACTTGGTGTTCTCTATAGTTTGCCTAGACTTTTCAGCTAACCTGATAAATTATGAGTATTTTGTAAATTTAAAAATTGAAGAAAAAAAAAACAATATTCTAGCTCTTGTATATAAATACTTGTTACAAAATAAAATCCTTGCATTTGTCTTGATAAAGTCAATCAGATGATGAAATGTGTCAACTAAGTTTTCCTTTAGTGTTTATTCATATTGTCCTTTTACAGATATATTCTATCTGAGATTTTACACATAAATATAAGTAGATACACCAAATGGTAGACTAAAAGACTTGCAAGTGTACCAGAATACAACATATGACCAACTGGCATGTCTTTTAGTCTACCAACTGTTGTGTTCACTTAAATTTATATTTTGGTCAGCCTAGGAACTTTCCAGCTGATGCTTGTATTTCAAATTTATTTCAAAGCTTCAAATTAAATAAATTTCTGTCATTGCAGCCGCGTTCTGATGCCAAAGGCAAACTGATTTCTCCAAATTATTTCCGCCTGGAACAGTTTCAAGAAGAATTCAATTTCTGTACTGATGAAGACATACACCAGAATAAAAGATTTCAGCTGCTGAAGCTCCGTGATAGAGAAATACCAGAATTCTGTAACTACAAAATGGTGCCCTCTTCAGAGAAGGAAATCCCTAAAAATATATTTAAGGTAAAACAAAACTTAATTTTTAATAATTTCTTTTCAAAAGTTGAATTATGCCGATGTGAATAATATTTTGGCATTCTCGATTTACTTTGCACATTGTTCTCTTTCTATTTTCAGGAATATGACCGAAGGAAGAAAGAAGAACAAAAGATTCAAATCCTGGAGGATATTGAAATGAAACGAGTAACCGTTGCTCGATACATCCAGAGAGTAAGTATTGAAATATCTTTTGGGCATAAGTAAAGTCTTGCTTAGAACTTTTATTCTTACCTAATTCCTTCTTTTATCTTTACACAAGTCAGATCAGACCAAAAAATGGATTATTGATGCCATATTTGGACTGGATCTGCCCAATCCTTTCTTTTGAGCCTTGACAGAGTTCAAAAGCTTTTACACAGCCTTGTGGGTGATGAATTATTTTCAACCCTACAACCCCTTTCTACTCCATTACTATTTCCATTTGTTTGAATGAGCTATATATTCTTTAGTTCCACCAGTTCAGGTCTTTACAGCTAAGACATATATACAAGGTTGACTAATTCTTAATTTTTACATACATGTGTGCGTGTGTGTGTGTGTGTGTGTATATATATATATATATATATTTGTATATTTAGGCAGCAATCCTTCCTTTATGCATGTTTCATTAAAAACGACAGACAAGGTACTACAGTTGAGCTTTTTATTTAATTTTTCTTGTGTAAGAACTGTCCGAAGAAAAATTAAATAAAAAAGCTCAACTGTAGTACCTTTTGTCTGTCGTTTTAATGAAATATATATATATATATATATATATATATATATATATATATATATATATATATAAATAATATAATAGGTTGGTTAATAAAACAAGGGAAAATGAAGCACAGAGATTAATGTTATTAGTCTGAAATTTTCGGGTACACCTGTGTCCTTCATCAGCGATGCAAGAAATAAACAGACAAACAGGGGAGACTCACCAACAGTGTTTTTTTTTTTTTGGCTTATGTGAACTCATTGTGGATGGTATTATTAGTACAAATCTGATCCCTTCTTTATTCCTTGTTCGCGAAACTTTTTTTGAAAATGATCGGGGTTTTGTCAGTTTTGTCTTTATCGGTGTGGAAGGTGGAGGGGGGTATGATTTTGAACTAGGGGAAGAGGCTTTTAGAATTTGGAGTGGGGAAGACGTCCCTTATGTGGTCAGTGTTGATTGATTTGGCTAGATGGGTAGAGATTGAGGAGGAAAGAAGCTAATAAAAATAAAATGAAAGGGAAAAACAGGATAGGAACCGCAAGAAAAGGAATAAAATATTTGGATATATATATATATATATATATATATATATATATATATATATATATATATATATATAGTGTTCATAGGTATGGTATATAACAGTACGGTATATATAGTGTTCATAGGTATGCTATATAACAGTACGGTATATATAGTGTTCATAGGTATGCTATATAACAGTACGGTATATATAGTGTTCATAGGTATGGTATATAACAGTACGGTATATATAGTGTATTAGCAACAACATGATGAAGATGATGAAAAAAAAGAGTTGCCTGTGCATTTGAAACAATAGAGTTGTAAACGCTGGAAATTCTTAATATCACAATATTGTTATTCCATCTTGCATCATCATCGCTATGACCTGAACTGCCTGTACCACTCAAAAAAAACTTGACCCCTTCATGGCATGTGCACCATAAGCCATTTTTAATAAGGCTATTATTTCACTAGCACTTTTATCAATTTTCACACAAAACTTGATATTATGCTTCTGTTGTAAATTCCTTTCACTTATTATCTGTCAACAACATGACCACATATGACTTCATCTAATGCTTGGCAACAATTGACTCATCTGGTATGCATCTTGAGAAAGTGGAAGTTTGCATATCAGGACATGCTTGGGTACAAATGCCTACTTGATGCATTACCCCAGTGACATGTGACCATTCCAGAAATTGTAACAACTTATATATAAATGTGTTTGTGTGTTCACAAAACTTAATATTACTATCCCAATTATTTAATATTACTTAACATCACATTATTATTATCCCAGTACTTAATATTGTTTAATATTACATCTTCTATGTGCTCTGTCCCTTCGTGATGTTGACGTTCATGGATCTCCGCAATTTCTTGTCCTTTGTAACTCTTAATAGATTGGGCTTTTTTTTCATTATCTCTCATAAATCTCTTTCTGCCATCAATTTAGGTAGGTTATGCTTTTTTTTCCTCTGTCTCTCTTGCCTTCAATCTGTCCTGTGAGTATCAAATTTTCCAAGCCCTCTTTCCTCATTATGTACCTTAGAAATTTCAACTCTCTCTTCTTGATGTTGTGTATAAGTGTTCATTTTGTTTCCATTTTCTGTAAAATTTCATCATTGCTCACATGTTCAGTCCATGGTGTTCTTGGCATTTTTCTGTGGAACCACATTTCTGTTACCTGAAGTTTTTTCTTCATCTAAGAGGAGACCGTCTAGCATTTACTGCCATATGTGAGGACTGATATTACATGGCAGTTCAGTACACTTTTCTTTGTTCCTAACAAAATTTTTCTGTTTTTTGATACTTTCCTTACCTTTGGGAAGATATCATTCACTATCCCAATGTGATTATCACAATATTATTATCCCAATACTTAATATTACTTATAATTTCACTATAGGTTACTTTATTAGTTGAAGTTCCATTTTCCTTTATATCTGTTGATTTATATACTTTTTTCATATATCAATAAGTGGCATACTATTATTATTTTATTTATATTATATAGCAAACTTGAACGTTTCTGCCCACTAAATAACAGTGAGGCATAATGACAGATTTTCCATGAGACCACTATTATTAACTACCTTCATTCCTTGTCAATGTTCATTGTTCTAAAAAGTGATGACTAGAATTGTAATAAAACCTAAACATATGATGAAAGGGAATTTATATATTTTTTTTTTGTCCTTGAGAATTTATAACAAAAATAATGAGCAGTATTTATTTATTTATAAGATTGTTTATTAAGACTAATATTTATTGGAATGAGTGACAAAACATTGGCTAATTTCCAATTGATTTGAACTTTATAAAATGATAATAAGGATTTTCTTTTATTTAGTTCAGATATTTTAATAATTTAGTAAATGTTTATAAATTCATGAATAAAAAAATTGTTTTCATATTTATTTCTTTATAAATTGGTAAATGATAACTATTGCATTGTATTAGTTTTTAGAATGTTGTAAATATAAAATTATTCTTTTAAATAAACAATCTAAAAAATAATGTATAATATTTTTGTTGTAAATTCTCAAGAACAAAAATGTGTGAATACACTTTCATATATTTAGGCTTTATTACAATTCTAATCATTGCATTTTAAATTAGTAAACATAGCTCAGTAGTGAAGGTACTTAAAATAATAATGGTGTAAATGGAAAAATTGTCCTTTTTTCTTTTTTTTTCTTTTTTGAAGGCATGAAAGCCCAAGTTTGACTGTTATATATTAGAAGTTAAATTGTTGCAAAATAGTTTTAGTTATTTTGGAGCATTTTGGGTTGGAAAGGCAACTAAAATAAAAATTATTAAGTTTTATTTATGTAAAATGTTTTTATTTATGGCATAAATTGTTCAACAAATCTTCTAGAATTAGTGGGTAAGAAAAAGAAAGAACCCAGGTTATTAAACATCATTTTCTTTGTTTTTTACCTGACTTTAGATTAGAGAAGAAGTAATGAGGAGGTTCAAGATAGCTTCTCATCGGAAAAGGCGTGAAGAAATTATCAATGAAGATGCTGTTCCAAATATTGGGTAAGTATATTTATTTCTATCTGAATTTCTGAGATGAGGAGTCATCATTATTTACATTCAGACTATTGTCTTCATCTTTGTTGTTGTTATCACCTGATTACCTTTTGTCTTCATTTTTTGGGATGAGGAGTTATCATTATTTACACTATTCATATTCAGACTATTGTCTTCATCTTTGTTATGTCTTTTTGTTTAAATAATTTCACTCCAAGTAAGGCAATAAAGTCACTAAGACTAATTGCTATTATGGAAAAAAGTTAAAAGGATAAGAATTAAAAATACAGAAGATAATGATTGATCTGTAAAAATTTAAATGACATGTCAAAGTTGACAGGAAAGCAAGAAACCTGAAGAGTGTTCCACAAGCAAGAAGTGCGATAATAGGAACTGTTAGCATAGAACTTACAGTTACATCTTGCCATTTCAACTGTAAAAGGATGAGACCTTGCTGCCGATCAAGTACTGCACTTAAATTCATAGTTTAGGTACCATAGAGGAAAGTCATGAAAACAATTACCATGAGAGTATTTATAGAAAAGACACAGGGAAGCTATGTTACAGCAATGGGAAAGGGACTGAAGCTGAGATACCAGATCAGGACCAATAACATTGCAAATTCTTTTTTGGATTTTATCAAGTATTTCTAAATATATAGCAGGAGCACCAGACCAGTTAAGGTAGCAATATTCTAAGCATGAATAAATGGTATACCTGTGACACTGTGAAAATACTAATAATTTGAAGAAAGAAAAAAGCTTAAATTAAATCGAAAGTGAACACAAAGGTGGAGAAGGTAGTAGATAGATTGAGGGACATACTGAAAACAAAAGAAAATATACATTTATCTTGTTTTCTCATTTTGTGAGTAAAGGACCTCACTAGAAGATAGCACTGAAGTCCACTTATTCATCTGGTTAAAGTGAAGCCCAAGAGACCTTCTGCAAAGCAACAAGGGCTGACAATTTTTGGATGGCAATCACTAAGTTAGTCACAGATAATAATTTATGGCTACAAGTAGGTGAAGAAGAGGGTACAGAAATAATTCTATGTCACTTGTTGATAGGGGTGGAAGATGTGCATGTCACTAAATGAATAAGATTTCTTTAAATACAATACAGAATTTGAATGACAAAGAATTTGATCAATTGGTAAGATAACAATTTGATCAAAGCCTTCCCTGAAGACAAGGAAAGAAATATTAATTATCCAAGATGGAAAATCTGACAGAGCCATCAGTAGTCACGAGAACCAAATTTGTTAGAGGCTATATTGTGCCTTATTCTATCAGCAGAAGACATTAACACCTCAGATTGTGTGAAGATAGAAGGGATAGAAGACTTACTCTTATTTAACACACTATTATAGAGCCATCAGTAGTCACAAGAACCAAACTTGTTAGAGGCTATATTGTGCCTTATTCTATCAGCAAACAAAAACTTAACCACTTTGAGGACACGTTTACAATTATTTTGAGCAGACACAAATAGGTGTCTGTTGTAAACAGAATTATCATGCTGGTACACTTGGAAAAAGTGATTCCTGTGGGTTATAGCGGTATGAACCAAAGAAATGATTATTGTTTCACCTGGAAATTGCAAGAAGGTACAAAAGAATCAATGGCTATTTTAACCTCAGAAGAAACCTCTGTAGCATAATTGTCAATAAATCTGTTAAGAATATCAATCCAAGAGGCATCTCATTTCCAATCTGTATGCTGGTAACAGAAAGAGGTTTTGTGATTAGGAGGTCCTTTTCTAATAGACAACTCAAAAGAAATATCAATACACCTGGAATTTGCAAACTTGTTAGAGGCTATAGTGAGATCCGAATTGCCATGAGGACAGAATTGTGATGCTTGACAAGGGCCAGGAGAGGAGGTAAGGGACAAATCAAGTAAAGAAGGGTGTTGATCAGATTTATTAGGGAAACAAGTAGGGAAATCCACTACTTGACTGAGAGACTGAGCAATGGAAAAATTGAAAGTATAATTACCAGCAACATCAGTAACATTAGAAGGCTTAAGCCACATGACGTGATGAGCATTAAAATCACCAAACACAAAAATATTTACAGCTGAATGTAGAGAGAAAGACATTTCTATATTATCAGAAATTTTGCTTAATATATTACAGTCCAGAGAGAAAAGGAGAATGATAAAGAAAAAAGAGATAGCTAACAGAGTACAATATCAAAAGTCGAAAGCACATGAAAGATACATCTGGGGATTCAAGAAATAATTCTCTTGCAATTTGGAGATTTTCCCAAATATGAATACTGAGGCCATGCATATACTAGAATTTTTTTTGGCAAAGAGGAAGATAGCTCAAAATAGGGAATTCAATGGTAGCAATAGAATAATTTAAATTAGTTTCACAAAGAGCAAATATACCCATAGTGTCTCAAAAGAAAAGATTCTACATGACAGAAATTGAAAGGAATGCCACAAATATTGGAGGAAAAAACAGGTTGAGTGGGGTAGGTGAGTTTTGGTTTAGACATATTTCCTTTCATTGTATTTATCATAAGAAAAAAAAAAAAAAAGGCCAAAATAATTATCACTATTGTCTATGACAATACAAACTGTACCTAGTCTATTTCCTGTCAATGAAAACTACCTTAATTTAACTGGACTTAAAAAAAAAAAAAAAGAACAGTGTGTGTCTGGTATAAATAAAGGACAGTCCGAGGTGATAGTCTGAGTAGCAGTCAGAGTAACACTTCCTGTTGCAGCAGTAAGTCAGTCATTAAGAAATTTTCCTGTGTCTTGTCTATTTCCTGTCAATAAAAACTGCCTTCAAAGAAGAAACGACTTAAAAAAAAAAAAAGGACAGTCTGAGGTGATAGCCTGAGTAGCAGTCAGAGTATAAGTTTCTGTTGCAGTAGTAAGAAGTTATTAAGAAATCTTCCTGTGTTTAGTCTTTTTCCTGTTGTGTGAAAACTGTCTTCAGGAGAAACTGGAATTAAAAAAGATTTTTGTAAAACACTAACAATTTCTGGGTTGTAAAAATTAGGATTTACAATTTATCTACTTTCTTTTTTTCCTTTCCTTTCCTTTTTCTTTATGGACACATTAAATCTTTTTTTTACAAGATCAAATTTTCATCCCTCAACCTTCCACACTTTATTTTTCTCTTTCTTTTCATCATTATCTTTCTTTCTGTCATCACTCTAGCATGATCGGTGAAAGTCTACTTGGTGCTTTTCGAAGTAAGCATCCGCTCAAACCTGAACGAAAGGAGAGAAAAAGAATTGCTCAAGGCATCAAAGGAGATGAAGTGAAGATTTTAGTCAATGTAATTCAAGCCTTCAACATACCAGTTCGTGACCAGAAAACCCTGTAAGTTTTTTTTTTAAATTTCTTTGTTTTAAATTTCTTTGTTTTATTTTATTTTTTTTTTATGTCTCCACCCAGTGATCTCTGTCATCATTGCCATGGATATACTACCAGTAGTGCAATCCCATGAACAGATTTATATACAGCTATGAGAAAACAATATATATCGTGAACAATTTTAGGAAAATCTATGACAAAGTGGAAAAAAATTTTGTGACATGCATCGTCCTTTAAGAATTCATCAAAATAAAGTGATGTTTATGTTGATGTGATTATCCATATGCCTGAAGAAGAGTGGACACTGAATTTGTAAATTTTAATTTTTTTCTTTTAATGTTTTTTTTTCTTTTAATGTTTTAATGGGTATATAGCTTAGTCAATTTCATTTAGTTACTTTTTCTCTTTGTTTTTCTCAATTCTATTATTAAATATCCCACATTGTGATAATAGATCTGACAAGAATAGTGAAACATAAGAACATGGACATAAATTTATTCTGGATGATCTAGTGATTAAAGCACTTTCTATACATTTTCATCCTATTAATATCCTTTCTCTTTTAATTAAAGTAGCATTTTTTTTATTTTATTTTTTTTTTAAATCAAAATTATGATCATTCATTACAGTGAGTTACTAATGCACTGAGTAGGTTGTTTCATAAAATATTCATTTTGTATTCATATAATCTTTTATTTAAATTTCTTGAGGTTTCTCCTATGTATTTCTTGTGGCAATTATTACTGGTGATAGAGTATTTCTTTTTCAAGTTTCAGCTTATTATTAATTTGTTTTATATTCTGTTATTGTTTTAGAAGTACCTGACAGCAAAAATAATAAACACTATGTATTTATTAGTGTTTATTGAAATGGTTGCTAAAACATTGGTTAATTGCCAATTGATTCAAACTTTATAAAATAGTAATAAGTATTTCCTTACATATTTTAATAATTTGGTAAATGATATATATTTCATTGCATTAGTTCTAATTGTATTAGTTTTTAGAATGTAAATATAAAATTATTCTTGTAAATAAGCAAATAAATAAACAGTGTTTAATATTTTTGTTGAAAATTCTCAATAATAAAAACTATATAAATTCACATTCATCATATGTTTAGGTCTTTTTACAATTCTACTCATTGCTTTTTAAAACAAACTTTGCTGAGGAGTGAAGGTAGTCAAAATAATGGCAGTGTCGATGAAAAAAATCATCCTTTTGACACTATGGGTTTTTTTATGAACACAAAGTTCCAAGTTTGCCTTATTTTTAATCCAATATTTTTATTACTTCAAACATTATTATTAATGAACACTCCATATTTCAAATAGACACCCAATTTTTAGTTATTAAACAGATATAAAATTAGTTTATGTCCTGCTGGCCCTGCCTACATCATTGACCAAACTATATATCTATTTACTGTAGTTAAAAAGTGCAGCTGTAATTAAAATAAAAATAATTTTGATAAAACTGATGTTTTATTTAACTGTATTCAACAATAATGCATGTAATATTCACATTATTATCGTATTATAAAATACAAACATAGTGAATATGTATCTTTTTCCAGTGTTTACGTTTATAAGATGTGTAGCTGTTTCTCGTTCAGTTGTTTATGGTTGTACACATTTACCCAATAAGTATAGCATTACTAACAATACTGCTATCATTCTCTTTTACTTTTTGACCTTATTTAACTAGAAGATGGGATAAAGAGATAGAGGAAAAGAAATTAGTCTATTGTAATTTGGTCTCTCAAGGAACTCACAAGATACATGATAAAGTCATTTTTTATAAGTGAAAATTTTGGGGTTGCACAATATGCAAGATCACACATTATAGGAGTATATACAGTATATAAATTCAAAATGCATACATCTTCATGTATTTGCTACAACATTTGCTCTTTTCTTACGCAGAGAAATGATTAAAGAAAGTAGCAATTTGGACAATCATGAAACAATGATTAACCCATACCAAGAACAGGTTTGTCAAATTATCATTTAAGAACACAGTCTCGTAATTTTAAACTTTTTCATACATTTTTTGATTCCAAATGCTGTTTAGTTTATTGCTTTAATCAATTTGATTCTTATCTAGACTTTTTTTCAAGAAACTGAAATATTTCAAATCACACTTTTATTTTCAATATTAGAAGCAATATGTATATGTTGTACATGTAACGATATGTATATGTTGTACATGTAACGATACGTATATGTTGTATATAAATGTAAACATAATGATAAATAGATTAACCAATTTACATAGCTGAAATACACAGGCTATATAACTACTCTGATTTGGAGGAGAACTACTACATATGATCATTGAGTAGTAACACAAAAGACATAGGACTTCACAACAGTATATATGATAATTAGTCAAGGATGTGACTTGATAATATCTGCCTGGGGAGACAATCTCTGCATGTAATACCATTGGGAAGTCACTTGAAAACCACCCAAACCTGCTGTTGACATACTTATACAGCTTTTATGAAACTTGCATTTTCAAAATATGTAATGTTGATTCCTAGTGTTTGTGTTATAAACTAACTGACATTTAATGCTATTTCCAGACCTATGTTCATCCTGGGTATAACAATAAACTACATCCGGCAGCAAGGCCTATGATTGAGAGGGGTCCTGGGTATAACGATAAATTACATCTGGCAGCAAGGTCTCTGAAAGAGAAGTTCTGAGGAGCATGGAACCACTTCTTAATTGCTGTTTTTCCCAGATCCACCCTGACCAGGGGTTGTAGCCCCTGATAGGGTCCCTGCTATGAGTAAATAGCTAGCCCCCAAACTGGAGTCAAAACTCTATGAAAGCATAAAAATACCAGCAATACATTTTCATAGTTAAAGAAAATTACAAGCAATACATTTTTGGAAAAAATAAAGATATTACCGGCAATACATTTTTGGAAAAAAAATTACTGCTCCCAAGAAAATTTAATTTTGGTATTAAATGACCGATAATGAGTGGATATGCCACTAAACAAGCAAACCAACCTATGTAGATGTATAGTAAAGTACAATAACACTAGTCCTCTGATCTATTTTTATTATATTGTATGTTGGGCATGTCGTTTAGCTTAGTCCATACTCCAGAGTATCAGATCAAAATTAAAATGGCAGCATGCATGAGAAATATGAGAATTTGGCATCTTTTAAAGTCATTTAATTGCAGTGAATAGAAATTTCTTGTTTTTTTCTAAAATAGGTCAGTACAGCCAGACAACAATGTTGTAACAATGCCGCAGTAAAAGAGTTAAATAACATGTGCCTTAACATCATGTGTTGTTAACAGTATGCAAGTCAAAGAATACTCTTTATAGACATTCCAAGACAACACAGGCACCAAGAAAAATAAAAAGTAAATTGGATCCATGTCAATTCTGGATTTATATAAAAAGTTTAAAGTATAAAAAAATTGAAATTTCAATCAGAAATCCTATCTACTTTTCAATTTCTTTTTTTTACAGACTGTGCACCCTTATTTGGAGGTTAGTTTCCAGAGAAACACAGTAAGGACCCACACAGCTGATGGACCCAATCCGAGTTTCAATGAAGAATTGATTATCCCATTTCAGTGAGTTTTTTGGTTTTTTTTTATATATATATATGTGTGTGTGTGTGTGTGTGTGTGACTACTCCAAGTCAGGAACTTGGAGCCTTAAACTAACTGACATTTAATACTATTTCCAGACCTATGTTCATCCTGGGTATAACAATAAACTATATCCGGCAGCAAGGCCTCTGATTAAGAGGGGTCCTGGGTATAACGATAAATTACATCTGGCAGCAAGGTCTCTGAAAGAGAAGTCCTGAGGAGCATGAATGCTTATAACAACAAAGATGGAGACAATAGTTCACATGTAAATAATAATGGTAACTTAAAAATTCAGACAGAAATGTGCCTAAATATTTATCATTGAATTAAGTGCATTGACAAGGAAGGAGATTATGCTGAAAAATCAATTTCTTGTGTAAAATAAATGTTTTTTTTTTTTTTTTTCATCATTAGGCTATGGACTTATTGATTTCACAATCACAAGTCCCTTAACCCTCGAGGGTTGTAGGAGCACCACGTGTATTGCAGCTGCAGTAGAAGTGGTGTTTCTTGGGAAAGATAGACTGACAGAGCACAACCCTCTCCAGGCTTGTTTGAATTCAGAGTTTCCTTTTAGACTGGTTATCAACCAAGGCTATAGGACCCAGTTTCTGCTATTTAACCATAGCTGGGGGTGAAGGGGAACAAACGAGCCTCCTCAGGTTTTGAATTCAGAGTTGTCCTTCTCCTATACCAGTCGCCACCCAAAGCTATAGAACCCAGTCTGTCTTGGTATTTACCCATAGCTTGGGGAAGAAGATATAGATTCATACCTTTCCCATGGGTATTAGTGTTACGGTTTTTTTGGGGTATATACCGCCTATAACTAGTGAGCGAGTCAGAATGACATTTCCCTTTATAGTCGACCAATGGAAGGTTGACCAATCAGAAGCCGCCCAACACTGTATTCGTCGTGTATAAAGGCGGCCATCTTGTTTCCTCCTACCGGAAGGACCAAAGGCGACCAGGAGAAGGATGAACTACACTCTGCTGTGATATCCACTGCGAACCTAAAGTACGCTTTCCTACTGTCTCCGAAATATTCACTGCCAACCTCTGGATTCAATACTCAAGGACGACCGTCATGAAAATGTCTAACATAGGTTATGAGGCCCAGATCATGATTTATTTTGACGGGAATGAATCTGGATATGAATTATGGGAGACAGTTTTTTTTTAGGCTACCTAAGAATATGAAAACTCCATGACATCATCTTTTGCAAGTCGACCAGGAGGGGGGGCATGATGATTTTATGAAGAAATGCGACCGTTTCGCGGAGTTAATTCAATTCCTGGATGACTGGAGTTTGTCTTTTAATAATGAGGGAGGCCAAGGACAATGGAAGCCGAGCCCTACACAAATTTAAACGAATACTATTTGTTAAAGGGTAAGCCTAAAATTATTGCTTCATATACTTGAACTAACCGCGAATCAGTAACCAATTATTTTAGCAGAGAATGTCACAAATGCTTTAAAATTGCAGGTGAGACTATCTGGGATGGGCTGCAAATAGCCATGGTCTTGAAGGGTTTGCCACCTTCATTCAAAACTTTCACGACAGTTATAACTCAAAAAGATAAATAAGTAACTTTCACTGAGTTTAAAATTGCGTTACGTAATTATGAAGCAATATGATAAATATGTACCCCCCAAAATCGAGGCAAAAAAAAATGTTGTTTTCGTTGTGGTAATAATGTCGGCCATGTCCGTGCGGAAATGTCAATTTTATACACGGAATGACTTTTTGTAAACAAAAAAAACAAACTTTTTCGAATGGACGTGCATATGCCTTTTTTGTTTGGATTGAGTACTGTGCCCAGTACTTGTGATTCGGTCAATTCGGGTGCGACAAATCGTGTAATTATAGATGTAACAAAATTTATTAATTTTGACCCGAATTTTGAGCTCGACTGACATTTTATCGAGTTACTGGACGGCACCAGAGCTAATAATTTAGCGTCAAAGTGAAGTAGTGCCTGTATTTATCTGCGAAATACTAGAGGAAATATATAGAATGTCTATTTAAAAAAAACAACAAAAAAGGCTTTATATATTTTAAATTCAAGATATCCAGACAGAACTGGATTTAATATACAGCAATATGGACGTTTGTATTATTTGAAAAGTGTTAAGTCTGCGAAGATGGCCACACATGACTTAAGAACTTGGCATAAGATATTAGGCCACTGTAAGAATTTTGATGTTAAGAGATTGCAAGAACATGTCACTGGAATAAAAATTACACTTCCAAATGATTTAAAATATTGTGACACGTATATTAAAGAAAATAACTTAAACTTTGTTGCCGAATACTCAGGGCTTATGATTTACTTTCTGAAAGTAAATTTGATAATCTGCAATCTACGAAAATCTATTTTATCCGAGAACTCCCCCGCATGGAAAATTAAAAATAATTCAAACAGATAATGGTGGAGAATTTACTTCTGATGCTTACAAAAACCTCCTAATAAATTAAATACATGAAGGCATTAAAACATGAGAAAACATGTTCTTATTCTCCGCATAAGAACGGAGTCGCTGAACGCAGTTGGAGGACATTATTAGAAATGGCTAGATGTTTGTTAATAGAATTTAAATTACCCAAGGAGCTGTGGTTTTATGCATTAAGAAAGAAACTAAAAACTCAATGAGAGCCCAATATGAGTGATATGCATATTTTTGATATAATCTGCTGTATATATGTTGACCACAGGGCAGAATTAGATCCAAAAAATGAAAGGGACATATTTATGGGTAGAATAAGCCAAGTCCAGACTATATGATTTAAAAGAAAAAAGATGCGTCAGATTGATAGATTCCTTTGAGCGAGGAGAGGAACCTTTAAAAAAAAAAAGGAATATTAATTACGAGGAACTAGTCCAACCCGAATTAAGTATGGCCTAATTATGGGTAAAAAACCCGTTCAGAGTCCACAAGCAGAGGAAGGTACTATACCAGATGGGGTATACGAGAAGAAAATCAGGTGCAAATTCCGACCAAAATGGAGAAAAGCCAGACTATTGTGAAATGAATTAATGTAATATTAACTGTTGTTATGCAGTACAAATGTATCTCAAGAAACTACCAAGAAGCCATACATTTTGTTAGGATCAGAGTGGCCATGCCTTCAAAAAGGAAAAAAAAAGAAATTTAAGCCTTCAAAAAGGAAAAATAAAGAAATTTAATCTTTAGTATTGGGGGACACTTTTTGAATCAAAATGCCCCGGATGATGATGATGATCATCATCATCATCGGCAGCCGTACTATAGAGCGGGCTGAGGATAGAAAGTCAGTCTACAAGGTTCGTTTTATAGTTAACGGATTTTCATAGCTATAAGGGGGGGGGGGAACGACGACTTATGTAGAAATCTTAAGTCTTAATTAAATTGATGACAGAAATATCATTGGCAGCCGTTGGGTTTACACTGTAAAGCGAACTAAGAATAGATCGCCAGTATGTGATGTTCGTTTTTGTAGCTAACGGATTTATTTTTATAGATATATGGGGCGGATGACTTATGTAGTAACATTAAGTCTTAATTAGGGTTTTGATGCAAATGGATGCCCATTGTGGTAGAGATCTACATCATATGGATGTTAAAAAAGGCTTATTTCAGAATGCACCATTGACTATGAAATGTATATGGAACCACCAGAAGGTTTAAAAAAAAAAAAAAAAAAAGCAAAAAAGTGATGATTATGTATGGAAACTTTAAGAAAAAAACTTAAAAAAAGTCGCTATATGGACTCAAAATGAGTGGAAAAAACATGGAATAATTTAATCCGTTGTTATTTAATGAGACAATAATTTCAATCTCCTCAAGTTGACCCATGTCTGTACACAGACATTTAATGAAATATCAGTAATTGTAGTTATTTGGGTCGAAAATATGTTAATTGTATCAAAGAGTGAGGCCGCGCTATTAAAAATCAAGAGTTCTCTAGAAATGAGTTTTTGAAATGACCAATTTGGGTCGAACTGTCATGTTTTTCTTGGTATACAGTAAAAATTTAAAGGCAACACGATTTCAATGAATTAATCGAGATACATGGAAAGGCTTTTATCGAAATTTAACATGTAAAATGGCAAAATAAGAACTACTCCATGTGAAATGGATTGAAACACAATTAGGAATAAAGATGGTATAGCGGAGTGTGAAAATGAATACAGAACATTGGTCGGAAGTATTATTTGCATGATGATATGAACTAGGCAAAATAATCTGCTATACGGTTACTAAGTTATCCCAAAACTTAAATAAACCGTGGACTGTACATTTTAACAATTTTTTGAAGCAAGTATTACGTTATCTGAAATGGACTAATAGTCGATGCCTAGTATTTTTTGATAATCCAATAAACTATTAAAAATTGGAGGAACTTTGTGATGCTGATTGGGCCAATTCACCAGACCATAAGAATATAACAGGCTATTGCTTTAAGCTAGCGGATGGTAACCCAATAATCAGCAGGAATTAAGAACAAGCGAAAGATTTCACTTTTTACTTGTGAAGCTGGATGTATTGCATTGTGAAAAAGAACACAAGAGGTTATTTTTCTTAAATTGCTAACGAAAAACAATTATAATACTGGCAATAACTGAGCCAATTATTATTTACTCGGTGATCAGAGCAGTATTGCTTTGTCTAGAAATTCAACATTAAAGATCAAAGCATATCAATATGAAATATCAGTTTGTTAAGGGACCAACTACAGAAGAAAACAGTACAAATTGAATATGTTTAATCGGGAGATAATATGGCGGATTTATTTGTAAAAATACGATTATGAAATGGAAACTACAGGCTTTTTGCTTCTGCAATGTTTGGTGCTGACTTCTTAGACCCTTATTATGGTCCTGGGCAAGACGTAAAACTGCATCCATTAAGGCCCTTATATTAGGTCCTGGGCAAGACGTAAAACTGCATCCATTAAGGCCCCTATATTAGGTCCTGGGCAAGACGTAAAACTGCATCCATTAAGGCCCCTATATTAGGTCCTGGGTAGGACGTAAAACTGCATCCATTAAGTCCCTGTAAGGTCCTTATTAGGTCCTGGGTAGGAGGTAAAACTGCATCCATGAGTTACTGTCCTAAGAAGCGTCAGTTCAGTTTTTGGTATGAATGTAAGTCCTTAGTTTCGGGGTATAAAGGTAAATGGTCCTACCTTGAGCCCAATCCTCTTCTAAATGATTCCCTGGATCACTCTGACCCGGAGTGATAGTAACTGTTTTAATGGGTCCCAGCTATGGATAAAATAATAAATGATTTTTCTGGATCACTCTGACCCGGAGTGATAGTAACTGTTTTAATGGGTCCCAGCTATGGATAAAATAATAAATGATTTTTCTGGATCACTTTGACCCGGAGTGATAATAACTGTTTTAATAGGTCCCAACTATGGGTAAAGTAACAATTCTTTCCACTTTTTGCTGTGATCGCAATCTAAACTTATAATATTGTTGTTCATGTTCTATTAACCCGAAGTATTTAACTGTGAGCAAAGTGATATAACTAATTTTTGTGAATATTAATTTTCAAGGAAATATAAAAAAAAAATATATAAAAATAAAATTTGGAATACTAAAGTATTTGTTACATATTAATATTACCTTTTTAAAAAAAAGAAAAAGAAAAAATATTATTTTTTGGAATTAAAGTATTTATTAACTTTACTAATATTTTGAACGAAGATTCCATATATACCCAAAATAAGGGGGGCTGTTACGTTTTTTTTTGGGTATATACCGCCTATAACTAGTGAGCGAGTCAGAATGACATTTCCCTTTATAGTCGACCAATGGAAGGTTGACCAATCAGAAGCCACCCAACACTGTATTCGTCGTGTATAAAGGCGGCCATCTTGTTTCCTCCTACCGGAAGGACCAAAGGCGACCAGGAGAAGGATGAACTACACTCTGCTGTGATATCCACTGCGAACCTAAAGTACGCTTTCCTACTGTCTCCGAAATATTCACTGCCAACCTCTGGATTCAATACTCAAGGACAACCGTCATGAAAATGTCTAACAATTAGCATGTAAGACAACTGAACTTATTGACTTACCTATGAATAAAAGAAAATCAATGTCAACATTATTGTTGATTATGTTTGAATGTCTTAAACTATATTATTTATAAATGAAAACAAAAGAAATTTTTATTCACATTATCATTACAGAATATTTCTTTAAAAAAAAAAATGAAAGGCAAACCATAAAATTAAATATTGGAGAATAATGTTTGAGTTAATTTTTTTCTTCTTTAATTTCCACCATGATCTTGTATCATAACACTGATTATACAAGATGAGTTTGAAAATAGTTTTTTAATCTTCTATGTGTCATATTCCTGCAATACATTGATGATCATGGATCTCCACAATTTCATGTCCTTTGTATCTCTTAGTAAATTTTGTCTTTTTACTATCTCTCCTAAACCCTGCTTTGCCATCTATTTACACAAGCTCATTTTCCACTGTTCATTTTGCTTTCGATATATCCTGTGAGTATCAAATTTTTCAAGCCCTCTTTCCTCATTTTGTGCTCTAGAAATTTCACCTGTTTCTTCCTCATGTTAAGCATGTGTCCTTTTTGTTTCAATTTTCTCTAAAACCTTCTCATTGCTCACATGTTCAGTCCATGGTATTCTCAGCATCCTTCTTAAGAACCACATTTCTTTGGCTTCAAATCCTTTTTTCTTTATCTGTGAGGAGATTGTCCAGCATTCACTACCATATAGGAGGACTGATATTATGTAACAGTTCAGTACACTTTTTTCTTTTTTTTTTTTCTTTCTGTTGTTTCAAGTCTCTTCTTCATCCATGAGGAGATTGTCCAGCATTCACTGCCATATAGGAGAACTGCTATTGCATAACAGTTCAGTACTCTTCTTTTTTTTTTGTTTCTAACAAAAATTTTCCTCTTTGTTAATACTTTGCTTAGCTTTTGGAAGTAATTTTACCCTATCCCAGTGTACCTTCATATTTTGGTGTTGCACTTTCCATCTTCTGTTTAAACAATTCCAAGATATTTAAATTGTATTTGCTTGATTATGGTATCCCCAATTTGTAATTTGCATGTTGGGCTGCTCCTTTTGCTGACAACCATACATTCTAGCTTCTTGCAATTGATGTTTAGTCTTTCATTCTCACTTTCCTACCTTCTATAGGAGTTCTTGTAGTTTCCTTTCTATGTCTGCTATCAACACTGTCATTTGCATATCTAATGTTGTTAAGATTGTGGCCACCGATAATGAATCCTGGTAGAAATTCTAATTCTCATTGTAACCCTTAAATAAAGCTGGTGAGAAGACACACCTTGTTTTATACCCCTTTCTATTTTTGTTTAATTACTGAATCCCTGTTCTGTCTATATGCAGGTGGTTTGCTCCCAATAATACTAGCAGGCCACTCATATTCAAGAATACCTGTCTACTAGGGTGGCTAGCTAATCCCTAATTCAGACGCTCACTCAGGCACATTTTGTTTTTGTTCAACACCAACAGTACCCACCTGTGGTTTATACTGCAACTATGCTGAGCAGACCTTAGTTACAGTTTCTGGGAGGAAGCATGTTATCTATAATGATCAACAATCTGAACAAGGCCAGCACTCTCAAACCCTTGGTCACAATGGATTGTGACTTTGTGCTAGCACAGCTATCGACAGTCCTCCAAATTCTGTCTACCCAGTTTCACTCACAAGGCTTGGGTCAACCCATGCTATGGTTTTCAGGCACTTTCCAAAGGTGCTGCAATCTGGGATTGTCCCCATCCAGGCCAATAGCATCAGGAAGTCTCCTTCCTGACAAATCAAACACGTTGAGATTTGAACTCTGGTCTCATGGTCAGAAAGCAAACATTCTAACCACTTGGCCACGTGCATATATATATATATATATATATATATATATATATATATATATATATATATATATATATATATATATATATATATATATATATATATATATATATTATATAATATATATATATTATATATATATATATATATATATATATATATATATATATAATATATATATATTATATATATATATATATATATATATATATATATATATATATATATATATATTATATATATATATATATATATATATATATATATATATATATATATAATATATATATATATATATATATATATTATATATATATATATTATATATATATATATATATAATATATATATATTATATATATATATATATATATATATATATATATATATTATAATATATATATATTATATATATATATATATAATATATATATATATATATATTATATATATATATATATATATAATATATATATATATATATATATATATATATATATATTATATAATATATATATATATATATATATATATTATATAATATATATATATATATATATATATATATATATTATATATATATATATATATATATATTATATATATATATATTTATATAATATATGATCCTATCCTTCCTAAATATATCAAGGTTACCTATAGTTATTTTGAAGATAAAACTGAATTTATATATGCTGGAATTATATATTCATGCATGCTTGCAATTTCTCTTTGCAGTGCCCAGAACAATAACTTTACACCCAGTAATCTGCAAACAATTTCTGATGTTTTATTTTTCAACCTATTTGATGAAGTTCTTGTTGATATTCTTGAGGTAAGCAAGAAAATTGCAACTTTAAAAAAACAATTTACTTATAGCCTTAAAAACTACTTGTTTATAACTTTGACAATTTTTATTTTTATTAATCCTGAAAATGTATTTATAACTTTAAAAACAATTTATTTAAATTATAACCTTAAAAACTATTTAGGATATGCAAGAAACTATTTTCGGATGCATTTATCTTTTTTTACACAATATGTTTAAAGTAAAGTTCCCCTGAGTCATCATCAATAAGAATAAAAGGTTATATTCTAATACATGACCAACAAAATCCATCTAGACATTAGAAGTGATTTTTTTAATATATTTTATAATAGTTTTTACAGCGTTAATAGACATTAATAGATATATTTGTAGATATTCTAGACTTGAATGGCTTACGGCTATATCACATTATTCTAATATGATCACTGAAGTTAAGCAATGTCGAACCTGATCAGTACCTAGATCGATAACTGTTTGGAAATACCAGGTGCTGTAATGGTTAATGGCTTGGAATTGGAAATTGGAGGGTCAAGTTCAAATTCTAGTCGGGTTTATTATATACACTTATGCGCAAATACCTTTGGGAATGGTATGAACCCACTTTTCTTCCTCCCTCAGTTATGGGTTAATTAGTAAAAGTTGTATCATTAAATCTTTATTATCTCAAAAAAATTCTTATAATCTAAAATTTTTTCTGGTTTTAAATAACCTGCAAAAAGTTGATAAGCTATAAAAAATATAAATGAATGTATGAATAAAGTTGGATAAAAATTTAACATAATGGTAAATAAGGCAATTTGAAATTGTGTTATGTGTACATGAATATATATATATGTATGAATTTGTTTTGGATGGGAGTGGGGTTTACAGCTATATCATGCTGAAACACCAGCTCCCGTACAATCACCAATGTTAAGCAACATAATAATCTTGAAGTTTTTTCTTGTTATTTAAAGCCGTTTTGTCTGAAAGTGTGCTCTGAAAAAAAATGAAAACAGTAAAACATTTTTTTGATTAAAAGTATCATGGAAGATAAATGTTGAGCAACATCAAGCTTGGTCAGTACCTAGATGGGTGACCATTTTTGAATACGAGTTGCTGTAAGTGTGGATGTGCAGGTGGTGTAAAGAATAACATCTTGGAATTGAAAATCGGAAAGATGAGTTCCAGTTCCAGTCAGGTTCTTTATATTCATCTTACACATAAATTCTGTTGGGAAATGTATAAATCCACCTCTTCTCCTCCAGCTGTGGGTTAATTAGTAGAACTTGTATCAGTAAAAATTATTATCTCCAAAAAATTTTTACAAGTTAAAAATATTTTCTGGCTTTAAATAACCTGCAAATGATTGATAATCTGTAAAGAATAAATGAATTAATCAATGAACAGAAGCAGGTGGAGCATACTCTATTGAAGTGTTTGCTTTGAAGGCAAGACACAATCACAGTGCCTGAGAGACATCCAAATGGAATTGAAATGTAATAATATAATGTGTGGACACTTTCTTCTCTCAAGAGCGGGTTTGGTAAACCATCTGAAGTCACATGGGCCAAGAAGGAATCAAGCAGTTTACAAGGAAGATTTACCACCACGGTATACCTGCTCTACATGAAGTTTAGTATGTAAGACAGCTTGTGGTCTGACAAGACATTCTGAAATACACAGAGATATATTTCAACCGGTGACCTTGAAAGATGGATAGTTCAAGTGTCACATCTGCAGTAGATTGTGAAAGACTGAGTGTGGGCTGATAAGTCATATACGTGCACATTGTCATGCGGTGATTAATGAAGAGATGGCATTCTTCTGATAGAGAGCAATCACTGATATGTATGTACATGAATGTCTATATGTGTGACTACTTTGTTAATGTATGTAGATCGGAAGAGTGTGTTAATCCAAATTTTCAGTCTGTCATGTGACTTCTGATTTCAAAACATGTCATTTTTAGGATGACACCAAACAAGACACAGAAATTCATCAACGTGTGGAAAGAAAATGGCTGGGAAGCTTGAAAATTCCATTCTCAACAATTTATTTTAATGGGAAGGTGAGTGAGATTACTTTCTGCAATGCCCTGCTCAATAAATGTCATCTTTTAAAAAAGAAGAATATTTTCAGTTCTGTCTGATTTTCTGGGGTGGGGAGACTATTGTTGTCATCTTTGTTGTGATAACAACAACAAAGATGATGACAATAGTCATGTAAAATAAGCACAGTAGAGTAATGGACTGTGACTCAGATTAAGGAATCGGAGAGTCGAATGCAAATTCCATTGGAGTTCATTACATTCACTTACAGGAAAATCAGGAAAGGTATGAATACGACTCTTCTCCCTCCCGTCAGCTATGGGTAAATAGTAGGACAGACTGGGTTCTATAGCCTTAGGCGGCAACCAATATAGGAGAAAGAGAAACTCTGAATTCAAAACTATGTAGCCCTAGTGAAGCACATACTATGCAGCTAAAGTAAAGAATCATTCACATTAACGATGATCCCAGCTGCAATTGAGTCCTTTTCCTTTTTTTAAAAAAAATAGTGTAAATAGGAATATCTTAATTTATTAGTTGCTGGTTTTTATTTGTTTTTAATAAACAAAAGATTTTGGTTTTTATATACCTACATCTGCTATAGTTTATGGAATACCTTTTAAATAGAAAATATCTTTGCAATTTGGTAGATATTCCAATTCTACCACTGTCTTAAAAATGTCTTAAATTTGTTTGTAAATGTTTGTTACATTTCTAAATCTAAAGGATAAAACTCATTAAAAATTAAACAGATTATTAAATATCTACTCTTAATGTTTGCAGCTAAAGCCTCACTGTTTGCATGGTTTCCTTCCTTATTTGGGATAAGGTCATCATATATTATTTCAAATGTTACAAGGCTCCATTTTGCCCTACCTATTTACACTTACACTATAAAATACAAAACCTAGCTTAAAATCATGACTTAAATCTGTAGCTACTAGATGCCCTTTTTACCTTACGAAAAGCTCCCATTCACCAAACCTTTTAGATTTCATAATAATAGAATGGAACTTTCTAGAAGTCTCTAGAAACTTCTACCGGGTTCTAGTGGGTACAAAAAACATATATGAACAGGAGTTCATACCAACTAGCCAGTTTGCCTCCTGACCCCACAGCCATGACTACTGATGTTGACTCCGGTCCGTTTGATTCATGAACAAAGCTTCAACCGAAAGAATCTAAGTTCCGACAGTCATCAAAAAGAAAAGGCTATCAGTAAATACTTCACCTTTTTATTCCTTGATATTATTGACCAAACTCCTTTATTTTATATACATGTGAATATCTAGTTATTTTTCTAAGAAGAAAATAATATTATTCTTTGATTAGCGATGAATTCTCATCCATCACCTTAATCTTAACTGTATAAGGATTTCCTCTTCCACTCCCTCACATGTTAAACCAACTACTTTCTGGGCTCTCACCTGCTTATCAACTCGGCATTTCCTAACGTATATTGATTAAACCTCAGCCCCAGTGTTTATAAAAATTATTGTATTATATTAATTAAATAAAACCCATTTTTCATTATTACATGTAATCTCTTTTAACTTTAATTTCTAAGAATCTGTTTCATCTTATTTTTGTGTTGCGCCAGCCGTAACACAAAGTATACATGGGACAGGATTACAGCTGGTTGAAAAATGAGAGCCAATATTTACAGGACGGGTTTGGATGGGTTGACTGCTAAAGGGTTAAATAATTTACATATGAATTTCTGGGATGAGGAGTTATCATTATTCTATATTTGGACTAACATCTTCATCTTTGTTGTTATTATCACAGGGTTTCAACTCTTGTGCTCTCCAGCCTTCATCAGGTATCTGTCGATCCAAGTAGCCTTTGGGGAATTTCAAATTGAATCCTTTCTTAAATTTACAAAGGCTGATTGTTCTTGTTCTGCTGATCATCTCTAGGGATATCTTGTCTAGTTTTTCTTTGGTACTGCTCAGGTATTGCTTGCCCTATTTCCACTCAATCGAAGTCTGCCCAACCCAGGGAATGAAATCACAATTAATATATCACCAAATTCACAAACCAACACTTTAACCTTCTAAGCTAGACCTGAACAGTGGAACAAGAACAATCTGGACCCTTAGATTAAATAAAGGGTTCAGTTTGAATTTCTCTGAAGGTTAAGCAGATCACAGTGGCCAAAACATTGTGATAAGAGTAATGAAAATGGGAACAATATACCAAATGTAAATAGTATAAGTAATTTAATTTAAATATTAGCATATTTTTGGTATTTAAAATAGTGTCAGGCTTACTGCCATATCATGTTGAAACACCAGTTCCCATACAATCACCAAAGTTAAGCAATGTCAAGCCTGGTCAGTACTTAGATGGGTGACCACTTGGGAATACCAGTTGCTGTAAGCCTGAATGTGCGTACGGTGTAATGGATAATGGCTCAGAATTGTTAATCAGAGAGCTGAGTTCCAATTACAGTTGGGTTTGTTATATTCACTTACATGCAAATCACCTTGGGAAAGGCATAAACCAACCTCTTCTCTTCCCAGCTATGGGTTAATTAGTACTACTTGTATCGCTAAATCATTATCTTTAAAAAAAAATTTTTTTTTAATCTAAAAATATTTTCTGGCTTGAAATAACTTGCAAAAGGTTGATAAACTGTAGAAAATGCATCAATAAATAATAATTATTTTGGTGTCTCATTTCTATGTCATTTTTAGATTACTGTAAAAAAAAAAAATACAGTAATAGATCATTTTATTATTTACATTATTATATTTTGGACTATTGTTATTACAACAAAGATGAGGACAATAGTTCGAATATAAATAAAGGAAATAACTCCTCATCCCAGAAACTCAGATACATTATTTCAATTATTTGTCATTTTTAAGATTTGCTGCAGGTTTTCTTAAATTTCCATCTCTTGTTGAGATTCCCTGTTAAAAAATTTAAACACAGCAGTTTTGAAAATTTTAGATTTTTGTTTGCATTTAAATAGTTTGTTTCAAGATTCGTCAGGTGTAAATGAAAAACACATAGTTGTTGCTTGGACTTACAGACAACCTTTAATAACTGTTGCCAATGGTCAAAAGAAAAAGGTAAATTTAGCAACTATTATGGTACAAATGTAGTAATATTTATTAATAAGTGTTGTCAATAATCAAAAGAAATAAATATTTAGATTAGTAATTCTCAGCTTTTTCTTACCCATGGACAACTTTTACTCTTAACTTTTTTTTTGGTAGATCCCCATAACCATTCAATGAAAAAAGGTTATTTTATTTTTTTACTAATAGTTAAGTTTAGGAGTCTTTATATAATTTTCTTTTATATATGTAATCCTTCCTTTATATCTCTATCTCAGTTTTTATTCAACTTTTACAATCAAAGCATCTGGAAGAGTAAAAGGAACATTAACTTACATCGCTTGATATTGTTTTCTGTTAGTTTTAGATTTGTTTTTCTATTTTTTAGTATTTTAATATGGCATAGAATACTGTAGAAATTCCAATTCTCAGTTGTCACAAGTTCTGAAGTGAAATTGCTTCATGGACCACTAAAATATGACCATGGACACCCAATTTGCTATATTTTGCATGGACTCTCAGTAATGTTACATGGACCTCCAGGGTCCATATTGACCCCAATTGAGAACCACTGATTTAGATGTTTAATTCTATCATATTTTTTTTTTTTTTTTTTTTTTTTTGAATAATGATGATATCAAATAGTATTTTTGAGTGACAAATATAATTGCCGAAATGATAAAATTATTTCAATTAACCCCCCCCACCCAATGCAATACATAATTAGTACAGAATGGCACATTTATTTTTCAAATAATTCCTTTGGTAGCATAATTATTTTATCCATTTTAAACTTATACCGTCATTTTATAAGTTGAAAAATTCCCATTTAGAATAAACTTCCATATTATCAGTCCTGTTTTGGCAGATCGGCTTCAGTCACTTTTCTGCTGCCATAAGGTTGTCTCCCTGTGTCTTTTCTCTAAATACTTTCATAGTAATTGTTCTGATGAGCACTTCGCTATGGTACCTGGGTTTTTTTTTTAAATTTCAGCACAGTACTAAACTGGCATTGAGATCTCATCATTTTAAATTTAAGCTAGCTAGATGTAACTATAAGTTCTATGCTAACAGTTTCTTTTCTCTCACTTATGGAACTCACTTCTGGCACCATGCTTTCCAACAAACTTTAATCTGCAAAAATTTAAATGCAATGTCAATTACTACCTACTGTCCTCTTGATTATTCTTTTCTCTTCCCACTCATTATTAATGTTTCTGTTCCTAATTTTTCCACACCCTGTAACCCCTTATGTTTTAATGGCTTTTACTGCCTTGCATGGGGTGAAACCAATTTTTAAAAAAATAAAAATACAATAGAAAAACGTTTGTATTCAAAAATATTTTTAATGATTTTTTTTTTGTATCTTTGGGTTTTTTTTTTTTCATAAATTCATTCTCCTTTCTCTTTTTTTTTTTTTTTTTTTTTCTTTGCTCATCATTAATAGGTGGATGGGACAATGTGCCTGAATGCTCCACCCTTGCTACTTGGTTATAAGTATACCCAGAATGCTGTCCCGGACATTGATACAACAGTCATTCCTCTAGCTGATACGTATCTTACTCTATTCATCACAATCCAACCAACTCTTATTCCTCCAGAACCAATCCAAGAAATGGTAAGCAATTTTTATCAATATATGAATGATAAAATATCTCCATTATTTTATCTGTAAGTTTAAATGTTAGATTTACCAAATATATATTAGTATATAGTAGTACCTGGTACAGATATTTAGTCACATAACGAAAAATAAAGACTTTTAAGGAGAAGTCAGAAGAATGTCAATGACGGTTTTATTTTTTACAAGAATATGCTATCAAAATGTAGAAATGTATTACATTGTTCATTCTCCGAAATTTTGAACAGGAAAGCTATCAAATGTTACAGAAGTCTGACTTTACTCATAAATCCAGCATGTCATGTTGCAAGAACTTGTGTTTTACCCACATGTCAGGCAAGCATCTTCTCCAGAACTGTTTTCTGTACAGGAGGCTTCACTGACTAGCCAAATTCAGTGTGTATAAATTAGGGTAAAGGAAGAAAAGTTATCCCGGCAACAAGATGTTGGAAAAAAAATAAATTCACTTTACTTTATTGACAAAAGGAAATCTAATGTTGCATTGTCAAAAAAGCTAAAAAAAAAAAAAATCCCAAATTTATAATAAAAAGGGTGGGGGGGAGGTCTTTTTGCTTTCCTTAATTATAGTTTTCTGCTAATTTTTTTACCTTTTTACTATTTCTCTGTCTCCATTCTGCCAATCTTTCATACAAATTCATTAAGTAGGTATAATTATGGTTCTCCACAACTTCCTGCCTTTTTTTTATTCTAAGTAATTTTTGACCTTTTACTATTCCTTCCTGTCTCCATTTTGCCATACTTTCATACAAACTCACTCAAGAAGGTGATCATGGCTCTCCACGACTTCCTGAATTTTGTTGCTCTCAGTAATTTTTAACCCTTTATTATTCCTCCCTGTCTTCGTTCTGCCATTCATTCTAAATAGTTGATCATGGCTCTCCACAAGTTCCTGCATTTTGTTGTTCTAAGTAATTTTTTATCTTTTACCATTCCTCCCTTTCTCCATTCTGCCATCCCTTTATACAAGCTCATTAATTAGGTGATCATGGCTCTCCACAACTTACTGCTTTTTGCTCTAAATAATTTTTGACCTTTTACTATTTCATCTTGACTCTGTTTAGCCATCCATTCATACATACTGTTTCCCTTTGATTCCCCTGCTTTCAATATGTCTGTGTGTGTTAAATTCTCCAGGCTCTCTTTCCTCATTATGTATCTCAAGAATTTCATTTATCTCTTTCTGATTGTAATTATATTTTTCCTTGTTCTTCCTATTTTCCTTAAGACTTCCTCATTGCTCACATCTTCTGTCCACAGCATTCATCAGTAGAACCATGTTTCTGTTGACTTAAAGCCACATGACATTGAAACCACTGGTTCCCATATAATCACTGAAGTTAAGCAATGTCAAGCTTGGTCAGTATCTAGATGGGTGGCCACTTGGAAAAACCAGGTGCTGTAAGGGATTGTTGCGGACACCATTACATTTGTACAAAATGTGGGTCCACTTCACAACAAAAGAAACATAGAATTATATATGTAATTAGTGATATTTATTCAAGTGGCACATACATATATATTGATGTTTCATGTTGTTGTTAGTCAGAAGGTAGTTTGGTACATTTTTCACTGCTCTAGGGTCAGGCATCAAAAAAGAGAAAGAATTTCTAAATTGTCTGCCAAGGTGGAAACAAGGCAGGGCTGGCATTGTCTCACTTGTTGACCAATCAGAGGACTCATTAGATGCTGGTTACAATAATGCTGTGAAAGAGACCAAGTTCAAATTCCTATTTGTTTCATTATATTCACTTACACACAAATACCCTTGGGAAAGGTATGAATCCATCTCTTCCCCCCAGCTGTGGGTTAATTAGTAATACTTGTGTCACTAAGTAATTATTGCCTCCAAAAAAAGAAAATTCTTACAGTCTAAATATATTTTCTGGTTTTAAATAACCTGCGAAGGGTTGATAAGCCATAAAAAACAAATCGGTGAAATACTGATAAGCATGTCTTTTACATTTATTTATATTCTCTAGAATATAAATGTATAGAAACTACTGTGGCCACAAAGTGATGGTTTAGTTTATCAATTAATTATAATATAAAATTGGTCCCCCATTTCCTATCCACATTATAATTTCTTATTTATCAAATTCTAATTCACCTTTTCTTTCCCCACCCCCTATGGGTTAATTAGTAGTACTTGTATCACTAAATCGTTATTAACTCTAATATAAGAATTCTTACAATCTAAAAATATTTTCAGGCTTTAACATTCACAACTTTGCAAGCATACATGTCTGCTGGCGATACTTTTTCTTAATATTCTCCAGGCAGACATGTTCACCGAGTGAAAGACTTTTGTTTGAAAGGGAAATTACATTTCTAAAAAAAATAACCTATTACTACAGAAATGTCATCATTAAGCTTGTGATATGAACTGGGAATGACCGGATGTCAGCCATTTTGTCCTAGTTATTTTAATAAAGTGTTTTAAAACCATTCGTTTTTTGATCACAATGGTGACCCCCAGGGCAATGTGTGGATCTGTTACATAGACAGTGGCGTAGCTAGAATAAATGTCACCTGGGGCAGTTCGCTCAAATGTCACCCCAATGACCCCGATTCACCCTATGCTGAATGGTTAGCTGTAGCTAAATTTTCATACATGCTCTACCTCTACTTTACTCTACTGACCAGTACGTTACTGTTTACATGTATGATCCAAGACAAAATCCAATATCACAAAATAATCAGTTCAAATTAAAAGATTTTTAAAATACAACTGTTCACTTTCAGAACAACTAAATACAAAACACGGCAATACACAAAAGTATGACATTCGATACTATGGTCTTAGAATGAATGTTTTCTTGTTTTCATTGTGGCAAACTGGTCAATGACATCATCAAAATCTGTGTGTCTTGTAAGCTCGTTTTCAATGGACAGCACAGCCAGATCTGACAGACTCGACTGACTCATGGTTGACGTAATTTTCTGTTGCTAATTTTCCGGTGTATCATTTTCTGGGTACCATTTAATTATCAATGATGTTTGAAAGTATTTTTCTTGACAAAAATGTTCTATTTAATTTTTAAGCATTTTTCGGAACATTGTAAATCAACTGCATTCTTTTAAATATTTACCTAGAGAATTTGTGCAAAGTTTATTTTTTTGTTTTTCTTTATACAAGTAAAATAAATTTACATCGTATTTTGATGTTATGATTTTAGTTTTAGTGATAATTTAAAAACAATAAATATTTATCATTAGTACCAATAATGGAAAATTAAGTTAAAAATTTAAAAGAATCATTTTTGGAATCGGAAAATAGGCACAAATTTTTCCGATTTTGATACTGTTTCCGATACCCCAAAGAGTTCCGATTTTTGTATATCGCTCACTCAATGGAAAATTGTATCTCAGCGAATTGATACACAGGCAAGACTGAAATTGTTGAACTTTTGGCTTCGTATTTCACTTTGTTGTTATTAATGATGCAGAGTTAAAACACCATATCATCCGATAAAATGTTACAACAATGTCTCTTGTTAGTAACCAAGATTGTAGCAACTGAAACACATGAAAGCTGAAAACATTGCTATTTTTCCTACTCACAAATTTCCCGACAATTTATTAGAAAATTTCTGACGAGGGGACAAAACTGGGGGGTCATAAATTATTTCTGGGGGGTCATATGCCCGCCTGCAAAACCCTGTGTTTCCACCACAGACTATTTTTGGCACCTTGGCCTGGTTGAAAAATTTTGTTGGGGGTGACATTGTGTCGCCTCTCCTGTGCTGGCACCCGAGGCAATCTGCCCCCCCCCAGCTACGCCACTGTACATAGAGGAACTTTTCATGGACAGTGAGATTGATAAAGAAGAATTTCTCAGATTTACTCACATAGACATTGGTGATGTATGTGACAGTGATACTGAAAGTAATTCCAACAAAGAAGTTGGAATTTTCAAACCATCAAAAGTATACGACCACCTGTGGCTACCAGAATTTTCCTATATTCCTTGACCTACAAATGTTGATCAAGAAGCTTTGTCTATTTTTATCTGACAAAGTTATTCAACTAATGGTAATGGAAACTAACCAGTATGCAAACGATATGAAAACAAAATTAATTAACAGCAAAGCCCAACCCACAAATCAGAGCTTGGAAAAACATTTGCTTTGAAAAAATGAAAGCATTTTTGGCTTTGCTTTTGTTGATAGGTTTGATAAAGCGACCTTCGTATTTGTCTTACTGGACAACAGACCCCCCTTTTATATATGCAAGGCTTTCCTGATATCAGGATTAGGAATTGTTTTTCATCAATTCTGTAAAATTCTTTTTTAGTTTTCATGTTTTGTTTGTTTTTTTTCCTCAAAATTTATATGTATAGTAAAAAAAAAAAAAAACATGTCTACATTTTCTATATCCTTTCATGCAAATACTCTGAAAATTTTATAACAATATCTCTAAAAGTTAGTGATGTGGATCCATGGGACACAACTCCGAAATTTTTGCAGAGTTGTAACGATTAAATAACCGGCAAAGGGTTGATAAGCCATAAAAAATAAATCAATCAAAAACATTTCTTTTGCTTAAAGCTTCTTCTTCATCTGTAAGGAAACTGTACAATATTCCCTGCCATATAGCAGATTAGATATTACATGACAGTTTAGACATCCCTGTATTCTCTTTTCATTTTTTTTTTTTTTTTTTTTAAAAGCAACTGTTTTTTATGTCTTCATACTTTACTTAATTTCTGGAAGACATATTTTCCTATTCTTATGCATCTTTGGATTTCTGTGTCACATTTTCTGTCATCTGTTACTACCCAAGTAGTTAAATTTCTCTACCTGCTTCCTTTTGATGTACCCAACATGTAGCTCACACCTTAGACACTCTCTCTTGCATCTTGTCTTCCTATAGCGAATAGTTAGTCCTTTCTTCTTGCTTTCTTTTACTGTTTTGAGAATTCTTTCAGTTTCTTTTCTGAGTCTGCCATCAATCGAATTTCTACAAACAGCTCAATTTCCAGAGATTAGCAAATTTTAGAGATATTAGATCATCCATTGCCAAACCAACTATTAAACAAAAAAATCTTTAATGAAAAGTAAATACTTTATAAAGATTAATTTAATGCAATGTTTCATCTAATAACGAAAAATGAAAACTTATGTTTATCCTTTTCCATTTGTTGTATTTATTTCTAATTGTTACTTCTTTTGCTGAATTAAATGAAAATTGCTATTTACCATATATACTCAAGTATCATATGACTTTTAATGATCAGTTTTTTTATGCAAAAAATATGGGGTCGCACAAAACACAGGTATTTTTTTTTTTTTTGAAGAGGATAAAAATCATGCATTTTCGGTAATCAGTTGCACTATACATATAATTTTTTCTGGAGGGATTAAAATACATTTATTTTCAGTGACCATAATGTACCTGGGAGGCACGAATTCTCATGGTACATTTGGCTAACCCTAATGGTACAGAGCTCTCTTAGGCTGCCTCCCACAGCCTGCATTCTTTCTTTCTGCTGCTACATGAACAGTAGAATGTCATTAACTATATGTTCTACTTAAAATCTGCAAATACCTTATATAAATGAAAAATTAATGTTTTTTTTTTTTCCCTATTTCGAAGCATTCCTCTTTGCATTCCTCTTTGTTTCATGCATGTTTACATCAGTATTGGTTTTTCAATGGAACCCCTTTTGATATGTATCTATACCATATATGTTCTACTTAAAATCTGCAAATACCTTATATAAATGAAAAATTAATGGTTTTTTTTTTCCCCTATTTCGAATTGCATTCCTCTTTGTTCATGCATGTTTACATCACTGAAGTATTGGTTTTTCAATGGAACCCTTTTGATATGTAAAATCTATACCATATATGTTCTGGTTTTTTTTTTTTTTCCCCTTAAAATCTTTGTTCAAATACCTTATATAAATGAAAAATTAATGGTTTTTTTTTTCCCCTATTTCGAATTGCATTCCTCTTTGTTCATGCATGTTTACATCACTGAAGTATTGGTTTTTCAATGGAACCCCTTTTGATATGTATCTATACCATATATGTTCTACTTAAAATCTGCAAATACCTTATATAAATGAAAAATTAATGGTTTTTTTTTTCCCCTATTTCGAATTGCATTCCTCTTTGTTCATGCATGTTTACATCACTGAAGTATTGGTTTTTCAATGGAACCCCTTTTGATATGTATCTATACCATATATGTTCTACTTAAAATCTGCAAATACCTTATATAAATGTTTTTCAAAAAATTAATGGTTTTTTCCCCCAAATATTTAAATGAAAATTAAATTTTGCATTCCTCTTTGTTCATGCATGTTTACATCACTGAAGTATTGGTTTTTTCAATGGAACCCCTTTTGATATGTATCTATACCATATATGTTCTACTTAAAATCTGCAAATACCTTATATAAATGAAAATTAATGGTTTTTTTTTCCCTATTTAAATGAAAAATTGCATTCCTCTTTGTTCATGCATGTTTACATCACTGAAGTATTGGTTTTTCAATGGAACCCCTTTTGATATGTATCTATACCATATATGTTCTACTTAAAATCTGCAAATACCTTATATAAATGAAAAATTAATGGTTTTTTTATTTTTTTTTCCCCTATTTCATCATTTGAATTGCATTCCTCTTTGTTCATGCATGTTTACATCACTGAAGTATTAATTGCATTCCTCTTTTTCAATGGAATCCTGAAGTATTGGTTTTCAATTTTTGATATGTATCTATACCATATATGTTCTACTTAAAATCTGCAAATACCTTATATAAATGAAAAATTAATGGTTTTTTTTCCCCTATTTTGAATTGCATTCCTCTTTGTTCATGCATGTTTACATCACTGAAGTATTGGTTTTTCAATGGAACCTTTTTTATCTATATATGTATCTATACCATATATTTTTTTTTCAGCATTCCTCTTTGTGTTTTCCTTAACACCCTTTTGCATTATCTGTTCTACTTAAAATCTGCAAAATTCTGAAATGAAAAAAATGTTGGCATTGGAAGGGTTTTCAATATCTCAGCAAAAATAAACACCTTATATAAATGAAAATTAAAAGAAGATGAATGCATGTTTACAAATTTTTCAATAGGAAAAACTCTAATTTATATAACATATTTGTAATTTAGACCCCAAAATGTTTTAAATATCTCAGACATTTATGAATATCTAATTTATATAACATATTTGTTGATTTTAGGATGATATTTTGTTTTGCTCTTCATTTAGTGACAAAAGGGAAGAAACTTAGGCTATGTAGCAGGCATGGCCAGGGTGAAGTAGCTACCGTAGTCAGGCATGAACAAAAACAAAAGTACGGTATCTAAATCTTTGTATCAGTTATTTTAAGATAAGTGGTTTTTCTCATCATTTTGGGAGAGTATTGTACAAAAAAGAATGAAGACCATTTATTTCCTATAAAATATATCCAGAATGATGCCCAGTACTGCAATATCTGACTACAGTAGTCTTACTAGTATTGCTTAGAAGCTAGTCGAAATTATGTACCAGTTATATGAAAAAATCAGGTTTTTCACAAAAAAAATTCAGGGTCATGCTATACCTGAAGTAAGCTTATACACGAGTATATGCAGTGACTAATTTTTGTTTAAGTGTGAAATCATGGTAAACCATCTCTGTCTTAATTTCTGGAATTAATTATTTATATTATTTACATTTGGACAGTTGTCCTCATCTTTATTGTTGTTATCACAATGTTTTGTTCATTGTGCCCTCAGGACTTCTTCAGGTGTCTATCCCATGTGAAATTGCTTAATGTAGTGTTTCTCAGCCTTTTTAAGCAACAGCACACTTAGAAGCAAATGAAAATATCATGGCACACTTAGCGAAATTTTTAAAGGGTATACATTTAAATGTTATGAAATAAAACTATAGATTTTAAAAATACCCACACAAATATGAACTTACTTTATTTCAACTCATTGTGCAGCTTATTTAGTGTAGAACCTGTACCTGGTGTTTTTTTTTTTTTTTTTTTTTTTTTTTTTTTTTTTGCGACTTCTGGTCAATGTGCAATAAACAGACCGTCATTTCTTCTTCAGTTGAGCATAGTCTTTTTCACTTCTTATATTTGATGTTATTTAGGGTTAAGAAGCCAAATTCACTTAAATAAGTAGAAAATTGCAATAGAACTGATAAAGACTGTTTAATACCTATTCATTTATCCAAATATTAATGCCGTATCATTACAACTTCCACACACAAACAGATATATGGATGCTTTCACAATATTTTGTGGCACATTTGAGAATTACTGGCCAATGAATTAAAGCATTGGTTAATGAATTTGGTAACATATCTCCTTCTGCTTTTTCTATAAATAACAAATTATTAATATAAAAATATTCAAAAGAAAAAAATGAGTATATTTTCAAAAAGAAAAAAGCAACTGGCTGACAAATCATTTGGCAAATTTTGTAGGTATTTTTAGAAAAAGTAGCAACAATTTTAAAAAATAGGAGTGGGGGACCTACAAATGCTGGATTTTCAGGCCTTGGTTTTCTATTGGTTATGCATCTTTCATCCTAGATTACAATTATAAAAAAAAAATTGGAAAATTAAAACAAAAAATAATCTGAGATGAATATGTACTATGTTGGGAAAAATCATGTTTATTTAAATTTTCTTGTTCTGTAGTTAATTGATATTTTTAGAAAATTATGAATAAAAAAACTTGTTTCCATAGTTATAAAATGGTAAATAATAAATATTGCATTGTAGATGGTTCACATATTTTGAAAATTTTGTAGATTTTTATAAATTTAAAAAAAGAAATAGGTTTCTTTTCAAATTTTTTTCTTTATAAAATATTATTGTATGATTACATTAGGTCCTATAGTTTTTGATTTTGTAAACTTTTATAAAAGTAAAAAAGTACAATTTTCTTTAACCTTTTTGTGATTGTATTCATTTTACACTCAATGCCCTTGAGGAAGATAGAATAAGAATAAATGAAGTAATTATAAAAAAAACAGAAAAAAAAATAAACTGGATTTTAAAAAATTTATATACAGTAATTATGTAAAATGTAAATATTTTGAAAAATTTAAAAATGTAAATATTGAATTTCAATTTAGGTTAAATATGTTTTGTTTGTTTTTGCAAATTTTTATAAATGTAAGATACAAGTTGTTAACTATGCTGACTCTTGTGATCCTACCAAAGATTGAACTCGTCATCCTTGGCTAATAAATTTCTGGATATATTAGGCTCCCACTCCTCAGTTTATTGGATATGTTCTAAGCAGTAGCAGTAGTTAATCTCCCTTCCAACTGAAGTGGATTAAACCTTTAGGAATTATTTAAGTTGACTGAAATTTTTCTAGTTGTCAGGTGAATTGCTGTCACTCAATTTGTTGATCAAGATCCTGTTTTATTATAAGTAATTGCTTGAAAGTCGCAATTTGGATAGATTCTTCATTCATGACTCTTATTTTTAGGGATTTGTTCTTCAATGAAGACATAAATATATTCAAATGACACATTTGTTTCAGCTCTTATTTTCTTATCTTCAAATGTTGTAGTTTTCCAGCAATGAAGACGAAAAATTACTACTCTATGCTAAGAATTGGCAGAGTCAGCTTGAAAGCAAGTGGCCGTCACGATCTTACAAGACAACTGTCATTGATATCACTGGCAAATCAGTGTTCATCACAAGATTCTTTAAGCCTCTGGCCGCTCCTGCTGAATTCACAGAAGGAAAGACAACAAGTGCTGCAACTGTAAGTCAATGATTTTCTATTTCTTATCTGTATAAGGGCCCAGTTTTTTTTTTTTGTTTTTTTTTTTTTATTTTATCATTTCATACTAATCAAGGTGATAATGCCACTAGGTTGCCGGGGATAGGTGAAAGAAAATGAGAAAACTTTAGTAAGGAAACGACAGTTGGTTCCAATCCCCATGGGGAATGATTGCAAAAAATTTTATTTTGTTTATTTAACATTTTTCACTTAATTTACATTATTCGGACTATTGTTCTCATCTTTGTCGCCATATTTATCACAACGTTTCAGCCATTGTACGCTCCGGCCTTCTTCAGGTGGTTGGAATGTCGAACTGAACTCTTTATTTCACTCAAGGACACATGGCACAGTGGATAAAGGCGTTGGTTAGATCCAGTGACAGGACCCAAAGAGTGTGAGTTCAACACCTGGTTAAGGCAGTGAAGGACTTTCAGAGGGAAATTAACAGGAGATAACTGACATCCATCAAACATGGCACGTGGAACTAGAACAGTCTACCCCGGTGAGGGAAATAAAGGGTTCAGTTCGACATTCCAACCACTTGAAGAAGGCCGGAGCGTACAACGGCTGAAACGTTGTGATAAATATGGCGACAAAGATGAGGACAATAGTCCGAATAATGTAAATAATGTACATAACACCTCATCTCAGAAATATAGACAGACTATGATCAGCTTAATTTATTATTTGCATAATCTGTATTTATTTTTCAATAAAATAAGATAAAAAGTTTGTTGAAATTTGACCCCACTTCTTATATGGTAATGTAAAATTTTATTTCTTTTAAAAGAAACAATTTATTAATACAGTTTTTTTTCTAGTCTTTCTTCTTATAAATAAAACTCTCAAAAAAAATTAAATTTAATAATAATGTTTTATGCTTAATTTTTAACACTTTTCTCCCAAATATTTTTTCCTCAATTCTGCAAAATTTATATAAAAATGGCATTATTTGTAACATAAAGTTAATATTTTTCTCTATAATATTTATTCATAACAACAAATATAAGGGTGATAGAATTTAGTTTTTATGAGTACCATATTTTCCAGCTTACAAGACGCACTTTTTTCCCAAAAAATACTCAGAAAAATATGTGTGCATTTTCCAAGACAAATGTAAGGCAACGCCCAGGCTCAAGTAAACTTGGACCTTATTGGCTTCACTGAGAGAGACGTGGATTTGTATGTTGATACTGTTAACTATCTATCTAATTCAGCCTTGTTATATAATATAACCTCAGTACTTAGCTGTTACATGTATTTCCAAGACCATAATCTTTCCTGGGGCCAAGCCACAAGCTTAAATATGCTCAGTTTACTAGCAGCAGCGGGAACTTTTCTGCTCTTGACTAGTATGTCATTGTCATACAAACAAAATCAGACGAGTGATTAATGTAAACAATACGTGGTGCCGGTATGTGAGGGACACATGGTGAATGTGCTGTTGTATGAGAATGACGTATTTTCTTAGAAATTTCTTTCCAGTATTAGGGTATGTCTTCGAAGCTGCAGTATCTTGTAAACTAGAAAATACGGTAATTTCTTTTTCTTTCTGAAAGGTATTTTTAAAAAGTTTGTTGAATTTTAGTTTAGCTTCCTATAAAAAAAAAACATAAAATAAGAACAAATATTTTCTATATTACAAATAAAAAAGTCATTAAAAATGCTGTTAAGAGTAAAGTTATGTAAAGTCATATAATTAAATTCAATAAATTTAATCCACTATTTTTAAATATCAAAAACAAGGTGTTTGAAACATTAACTCCTGACTCTGCTACTAAACTACACATTTTTAAGACTTTTTTTTTTTTTGATCCTTCTCTAATTATAAAAAAAATGTATATTTATGAAAAAATAAATCAGTGCAATGATAGTTACTTTATTTCTAAACAATAAAATAAATAGTTACTTTCAAGTTTATCTTGTTTCATGTCATGTTTTTGTTCCAGAATTTGTAGTTTCAATGTGGTTTTTATTTCATTAAAAAAGTTGATTAATTCAAAGATTGAAATGCATATAACATTTTGTCCACCATTGTTAATGAGGTGAGAAGTGATGGATCTGAAGTTCTTCCAAATTGTTGGAAGACTTCAGAAAAGAAAAAAAATATACCAAGATAAAGAGGATTAATTTTTCAAGCCAAAACAATTCTGCTCTTAATCTCTACTTTTTTTCTTTGAATTTCTTGAGCCGACTACAACAGTGAACTACCTCAAAAATTAATTAAACTAAAAATTGTCACTCTCAGTGGAAAGTTGAAATAGGCCTCCAGTTCTGGCCCCTCTGTTGATGTTGGTTCCCATCTTCACTGGGAATGATCGCAAAACACTTTCCCTTCCCCTTCCCCAGAGTGTATGTCAACACCAGTTCTTAGTTTGTGAACTTTTTGCTTTATTACTGTTGCTTTGTCTTACATATATTCTTTGCTTGCTCAGTAGGATTTTTTTTTTTTTTGCTGTTCTCTTATTTTCATTGTTTTGTACAAATTCAATTCTGTTTTTTGGGCAGTTCTGCCATTGACATTCAACCAAGGCAACTTACTCTACTCTAATTGGCCTGAAGTAAAGCATACCATGATCCACTATTGCTTTACCCAAGTTGTGAACACTGATGGCAAATATGGAATTGATATTTAGTCCTATTATTAACATTATTCACATGTATATCTTTTCTAATTCTTCTTGTTGTTCTCCACTTCTTTACAGTTTTTTCTACTCAAGGCTTTGTAAATATCTTTGAACAATTGGCAAGGACAATTCCAACTGGCATCACTTGTGCAAGGAAGATGATTATGTCCTTTGAGTATTATAAGATGTAAGAGTTGGGGTTTTTGTTTTGTTGGTTCCAATGCCCATGGGGAATGATTGTTAAATACTCCCCCCCCCTTATTCCCCAATTTATAGGCAGAATCACACAAATGCATGCTGGTATTTCTTCCTAGCCAATAAAATAGACCAGTTCTTGGTTTCATATGACTTAGTCTGTCGTAAAGTCAAAACGCTATGTTTATTTATCTGAATTTGCTTTTGAGTGTCAACCCCAATTCATAGTTTGTGAACTTTTTGCCTTGCATATATTATTTGCTTGCTTTATATTATTTTTTGCCCTGTTCTTGTTATTGCAAACTTTGTCACTTCTATTTATTGGACAGTTCTGTCATTTATTTTACATTTAACCATGGCCACTCACTTCAAACTTTTTATAAAAGTTCAAATTTTTTTATATAGAGTTTAAAAAAAAAATGAAAATTGATTTTAATTTTTCTCTTCTGACCAGGAAATGATTCTCCGATACGTGTCTTTGATTCCATACGTGGCAGATAACTTTATCCTTCCTGGCCATTGTGATATTTGGTCAACGTGTGAAGTAAGTATTTAAAATTACTAAGAATAACGTGTGTGTCATTCATTATATGATCTATTTTAGGGAGAGAAGGTGCAAGGAGATGCATATGATCTCTTAAAGATAAGCAAAGTATTAAGAAACAAAAAAATTTTGTTAGAAACCAAGAAAAGAATATTTAACTATTATATAATGTTGGTCCTCTTATATAGCAGTAAATGGGAGTACTTCAGAAATTAGTCTTACAGATTGAAGATTTTATACGAAAGATGAGATGGAAGGCATATTTTTTCATTAAAGACCTGAGAGTTCTCAACACAAAGGATAAATATGGATTTAAAAATCTGAACACTGCACCTCTCGTTGACAAACTACTTTGAGAGAGATTTATTTGATATTATCAATAATATCACTTTCCATTACTAAAAATAATTTTCAAAAACACTTGGACACGTTGGTTAGGGATATAAATGAATCAAATCAGGTTTTTGTGAAATCTGATAAAACTTCAAATTTCTATAAACTGGACCCTAAGGAGTACAAAGCTTTGGTAAAGAAAAATTTAATGAAAAACTACAAAAAAGTCAACATTGACTATTCTAATTGTATTAATACTCTAATATTCTGTATTCTAATTGTATTAATACTATCCACCCTTCAGCTAAACAGATCACTAACAAGTTAAAAATCAGTGATAGTGTAGTCAAACTCATTACTAAGGAGGCTTATGTGTTATTACAAGATCACAAACCTTGTTTGAGCCTAAAACTTTTCTGAACCCTCTTGTGTGTGTGTGTGTGTGAATATTTGCATATCTGCTATGTATGTACACAAGCTTCGCTACAGTCATATCCACTCAGAAAAACATTGATATTTTGACATGAGGAGATTTTATTTAATCAGTCAAGATTGTATGTTTTTTCTGTCTACTTTAAACATTGATTTCTAACATGGTATATTTTGTTTATTGACAGCAATTTCTTCACATGCTTGTTGGGGATGATGATGAACACAGTGTAATGTTAGCAAATTTCCTTCTTGGATTAGGGAAAAAAACTTGGCTTTGTTTAGGTCAGTAATCTTTTTTTTTCTTTTTTTTAATTTATATTCACCAATATTCAAAATAAAAGGTTTTTTTATTGGAACAGAATTTAAATGGACATATTTTAAAACGCTAAGTCTAACTTAATATTTTAAATATATCCTTTTTTTTTAAGCCATAATTATCACCCTTGTAATGACTTTTGTTTTCTTATGCACCATTTTTTATATATATATATATATATATACATATATATATATACACACACACACTACAGTTCAAAAGTTTGAAGCCACCTCCAGAATTAGAATGAGATGAATTTGACAGAAAAGTGAAAAAAAAATAAAAAAGAGCTTTTAGAAGAAAGCTTTTGAAAAAAGAAAACCTATATTTTTGCAATGAATATCAAAAATTTGTGTTGGTGTAATTGAGGCTAAAGGAAGATATTTTGACAAAAGCGAAATTTAATCATAAAATGCTTTTTTCTTTTTGTCATAATAAAATTTCTGATGAAAATCATGTCTCACTTTTTTAATCATGGATAATAATTTTCTCTTATAATCATGGATAATAATTTTCTCTTATAATCATGGATAATAATTTTCTCTTATAATCATGGATAATAATTTTCTCTTATAATCATGGATAATAATTTTCTCTTATAATCATGGATAATAATTTTCTCTTATAATCATGGATAATAATTTTCTCTTATAATCATGGATAATAATTTTCTCTTATAATCATGGATAATAATTTTCTCTTATAATCATGGATAATAATTTTCTCTTATTTAAAGTACAAAACAACTACACTTGGGGCTAATTTTAAAAAAATTACCAGGGTGGACTCAAACTTTTAAACTGTAGTGTATATGATAGGATAAAGAACAAATAAGAAGTGCATACAAATAAAGATTTGAAATTGACCATTTTTTTTTTCATTAAATTGAAACAGTTGTTAAACAATTCTATCTTCCCTTCTTTTTTTTTCATTCATTTTCTCACTGAAATCAAGTATTGTCTTTTCCCATCTTTCCACACAATCAAAATTGAATAGTTTGTTATTTATGAGGTATTGGCAGGGCATAACGGTTGTATATAACATAGTTCATTCATAGTACAACTTAAAGCTTTCTGGTTTTACCAACTCATCAGGCATGAACTATTAGTTTTTTTTTGTTTTTTTTTTTAAATACTGGGTCTCATGTTCCCATATTGAATTATTGCTCTGACTCTGATATTGGAAAACATAGTGCATGGTGTCCAATTTTTTAGACTAATAAGTTAAATAGTTCCACCACCAAGCTTAGTAAGATTTAATTAAACGAAAGAAAGCATGAACCTAACTAATTAATTCAAGAAGGTAGCCCCAAACTTTAAATTTCAGTATATTTTGCCACTGTATTTTTGAAGACATTGTTTACAATGTATTTGATAGACTCCTGCTTCTGACGTAAAGTTTACTCTGTTTTATACAGATTACTTTTTTTTACTGATTTTGACAAATCCTTCAAAAATGGTTGAAAGTTTAATCCTAGAAAAAAAGGGGCTAACTTTACAACAGAAGCAGGAGTCTACTAAATAAAAAAGAAATGTATATCTTGTATGGCATTGTGGATTTCATTTTCTAAAAACATTCAGACATTACCCACCACCACATTTTTTTTTTTTTTTTTTTTACCAACCAAGCCAAAGCCAAAAATGAACATTTCAGTTTTTATGTCATTGTTTTTGACAATATCTGTGAATTAGTAAGAAAGATAAATAATAGAATTGGTTGTACTTTCTCTTTGCAAGAAAATGAATTTCCTTCATTTCTTCATTAAACAGGCTCTGGAATTCCAGATGGCCTTTCAGCATACGTGGTTACGGCTGAGGGTAGTAACTTCTTTATTTGGGACGCAAAGAATGGAAAAGTTTACGACAGCAGAAGCAACCATCTTCCTCTGCAGAATGTAGGATCCATGGTCAACCAGGAAAATGTCAGGACATTTTTTTTTTTCTTTCATTCAATTTCAATTGGTCACAAAAATATTAGCTACCGTACTTTTCTATTTTTACATATTCATAAACAACACATTGTTTTTTTTTATTCACTTAATCAAACATTTAGCCTGTAGTTAGAATTTATATTTACACTATTTACATGTGGACTATTGTCCTCATCTTTGGCTGAAATGTTGTGAAATACAACATTGTGCTCTTTGGCGTTCATCAGCTGCATGTTGATGCAAAATATAGATGGAAATTCTGATCAGTGTGTTCATGTAATACCAAGTGGTTGAATCTTTTGGTTTAATTTTTATTTTATGAAATGTTATAGCTAGTCATAAGTCTGGGCTGTTGTGGTAAAATGGGGAAGTTTTTTTAAGTGAAAAGTGGTTGTGTCTTACAAAAAAAAACAGAAAATGATAAACAAAATATTTGTACATAAGTTACAGCATTTATATGTGTAATTTCTACACAGCATTTAATAACTATTTGAGGATAGAAGTAGTAGTTAAAAAAAGAAATGGCTGATTCTCAATTGACAAGGAACTTATTTGAATTAAAAAAAAAAAAAAAAACTAACCATGATATCCTTCTCTAAATACCATATGCACTAGTTTTGTATGCATACATTTTATGCAAATAGTACCACATGTCATAGGAATTTTACACTAATAGAACCAGATCAAATAGAAATATTACTTCTAGTATCAGATGTAATAGCAATTTTACACTAATAGAACTGAGTGTAATAGGGATTTTACAATAATGGGACCAGAAGCAATATATAATAGGGGTTTAAAACTAATTTTACACTTATAGAACCAGATGCAATAGATATTTTAGACTCCTAGTAACAAATGTAATAGGAATTTTACATTAATAGTACCACATGTAATAGGATTTATGATAAATAGTCTTGTGTGTGTATGTATATATCTCCTTTGGTTATAAATAAAACCATACTCAATGCTAAATAACAGCTATTAAGTATATATTAATAAATATACATAATACCCCATGCCAACAAAACAACTCAGTTTCATGTGCATAAGGTGATGCAGATTGTGTTGAGAAAAAATGTTTAGTGCAACATAGTGAAACTTATATATAGTGTGTGTGTTCCTCAGTTTGGTGCAACTCTGAACTTCCTTAGTTGCACCAAATGACCAGGAACAAATATTTGGGTAGTAAAAATTTCAACTCTGTTATTTTATATTGAGAACTGTTTTATTATCACCATGACTCATTATGCGCTATTATATATATAATGTTGTAAAAAAGAAGAAAAAAAACTGTCTCTCGACTGCAACACTTGTAGCCAAATCACAGTTCAAACGGTAGTCCATCATAATAGGCAACATAGAAACGACAAAATGGTTTCACACATCCAACCTTCACTTCTCACCAGCAAAAACACATGTTCGTCCACCATGCTCAGAAAAATCTAATCCGCATAAGCGAAAAACAACAGCTTTTGTTCACCAAGAGATCTTTCTGATTGGTCACACCATTCAGAGGAGGGAAGAACATTAGCATAGATTCTGGTCTTTAAAGTAGATTTTTACTAACTACTTTTTGGTAATTTTTCTTTGGCAGATTAAACACAAACTCTTTTTTGAGGTAGCTGATTATCTCTTTCACTACAATAAATATATATATATATATATATATATATATATATGTGTGTAATTGTTTTACATGTGATGTTTATTAGCCTTCCTTTTTTAAAAAAAAAAAAAAAAAATGCCAGGATGCAGCCAAAATAATCTTGTCTATCACACTGAAAACACCCAGTTCTTGATAATGACCGAGATGGTTAAAAGTACTGAACAAATATAATAAAATATCAACTTTGGACAGTTTATGCACAATTTTGATCATGATGTACAATAGTTCATTGGAAAAATATTAAAAAAAATAAATTAAACAGACAGGCTTTGTTGTTTGAATTTAACAATACCTTTTTTCCAATATCTTCCATAAACCCCAATTAGAAAATAGGAACAGTCAGTTAACATGTGCAGGGTAATATTCAAGTGAAATTTTGTCAATTCTCTCATGTAAACTTATATTTTTATAAATTAATTCAAGTAAATAATTTTTGGGAAAATTAGAATGAGATTTAATCTTTACCTTCTTTTTTTTTTTTTTTTAGATTTGGGCCAACATTCAAAGTACGGATATCCCGCCACGTATTAATTTCAACGTCAATGATACTACTTGTTGGAAGCCATTCTTCCATTCTGGCTACACAAACCCAGGACTTTCATCTGTACAAGTAAGAAGACCTCTGTTAATTGGTCCAAACTAGCATTTCTTATGACATTGGCTCTCCTCCCCACCATCACCAAAATAAAACAAAATGTTTTGTCTGTTATGCAAACATTTAATAAAAAGGGTCAGTATTGATTTAACACAGTAGAGGGGACTGGACTCCATAGCTGTGTCTACAGCTAGTGCAGTGATGACACAGAATCATATGTAATGCCACAGTATTACCTGCTACATGGTTGGGTCATCAGTAACTAAACAAGTTCTCCCACCTGGTTTTTCTGATGAAGGAGGTGTCTAGACACCCAGCAGGATTAAAAACGAAGGCTGGGGAGATAGTTTCATCAGATCAACAGCCATCTATCACAGTGGGGTAAAGAGGGCTCCATAGCTATGAATGCAGCTAGTGTATAAAAATTCATCTTTTGTGTGCAAAATATAAAAAATTAAATTTTCTTATACAAAAACCAATTATTTGTAGGGATAGGATGGAAAAAGAAAGCATATCGCCCTCTCTTATCTCAAATGTTAAGCAAGGCACAAACAAAGTGAGACTCAAACCACTACGTGAAATTTAAAAGAACAAATATTTATTAGAGCATATATTTAAAAAAAAAAAAAATTTTTTTTTAAATCCAATATTTTATAAATAAGTGCTTGCACAAAAATTTCCTTTTGTGCACCTTATTCAAAAAATAAAAGTGGATAACATTTCAAGCAGTATACATGATTTAAAGAAAGATTACAGTTTTAGAAAATGAAAAAATTTTAAGCCAAGGCAAAATCTGATAAGGCAAAAAATACAAAAGGTGTGCATCCACCCAATTGTAAGATGGAAAGGAATGTCTTAGCACGAAGGGTCTTGAGTACGCCAGAGACAGACCCTAATTAAAAAATTTGGGAGGGCATGAGATCCTGTCTCTGATCAGTAAAATTTTTTTTTTTTTTTTTTTAAATTCAAAAAATGAATCTGGCAATATTTGACAGACAAATGTAACGGTTTTTTTATAAACTGTCTAGCTATAGAAACCTAGACAATACAACATTACTTATTTACACTTTTTCATTAATTATTAATTTTAATCATTTTACACTATTAAAATATAATATTTTTATAAGTGCAGTGATGACACATCATCACTAAGAAGGGAGATTCCTAGACCGATCAGCTTCCAGAGCTGAGAGAGCCCAACCCCAGTAGAGGTTTATGGTCAAATCATGCTTGACCTGTTTTATCACCAAATTTAAGCAGAGTTGAGTCAGGTCAGTACTTAGATGGGATGACCCCTTGGGAACACCAGGTACTTTGAGAAACACAAGAACAGAGGATTTTCTTAAATTTTTTTGTATTATGTGTCTGATTTTCTTCAAGAATTCCAATAATCTCAAATCTTTTTTTTGCAGGTCGATTCTCTCTCTTATATTCCAACAGACAACAGTTACGTTATTGATTTACAAGAAAAGATTGAAAAGACCCTGAAAACCAAAGTCACAGAATGGCGGCGCAAATATCTGACACGATGGAATCGATACTTCACACAAAATATAAGAAGTCTTTTACCCAAGTAAATTTATTTTCAGCATCATTTTTTTTATATATATATATATATATATATATATATATATATATATATATATATATATATATATATATATAAAAATTTTGTATTTGGGCAGCAATCCGTCTTTTATACAAGTTTCATTAAAACAACTTTGGTTAAGTTTTTTTATATAATATATTATAGAAATTGTTCAAATGTTTTGTATGTCCAAGCACTTTCAGCTATACTTTTAGCCATTATCAAGGATTCATTTTATTTTACTTTTAACTGAATATATGAATTATTTTATGTGTGTATCTGGAATTATAAGAATATTTTATTTTCCAAAAACATTCAGCACATTGTGGCTGTGTTGATAGTATTGAGTGTTTGCATTTACTTTTTTATTACTAATGCATTATTCCATTATTTTTAGCCATTTTGTACATGTGGATGAGGCTATCATATTTTTATTATCAACAAGTATGTTACGGATAGAGTTTGGTAGGTCTAAAAGTTAGCTAAAAGCACTCGAACATACAGAGCATTCAAACAATTTCTACATAATTTATGTCCAGAAAATTAAAAAATTATAAGACGAGAAAAATTTAGTAAAAAACTACCTTGTCAGTTGTCTTCAATGAAACTTGCATAAAAGATAGATTGCTGGCCAAATGCACAATTTTTTTTATATATATATATATATATGTGTGTGTGTGTGAATGAAGACAAAAGGAAAACTTATTTTAGCCAATGCATTTTGAATTTAAATTTAAGAAATTCTCATATGAATTTAAAAAAAAAACGTATTAGTGAACACAAAAAGTATCTTATACACAACAATTTATCAAATGTATTAGTTATACATAGGAATAAATTCAAACACAACTGATTTAAAAAATGTCACACTTATTAAAAGAGAAAGTGACTTACCTAGACACAAAATTCTTGAGTGCCACTATCAAATCTTATTAAAATATAAATCTGCGCCCTGAATTTTTCCAAATATCTCCATTCCTGAAAGAATTGCTCCTTTCCTAAGTCAACATACATGACAATAAAAACGGTTAAATTCATAATCTCATGTTATTTAAAATATATAATACATAAATTAATCCCAAATTGAAATAATGTGAATATTGATTACATTGGATAAAAAAAAATTTCATCATTTATTCACTTTTGTTTATTAGATGTTAAATTGCATCACTTAGCATCTTCCATAATTTACCTCAACCTTTCAGTTAACTTGATGAATATTTATAAGTGCTTCTTAAATTTAAAAATTTTTGAAGAACTAACATTTTTACTTTTGTTTATAAATAAAATCCTTACATTTGCCTTGATAAAGTCTATCAGAGGACGAAACATGTCAACTAAGTTTTCCTTTTGTTTTTATTCATATTGTCATTTTTCACACACACACACATTATTCCTCATGACAGATCACCTGGTCTACAAACGAGTCATTTATAAATAAACAAGGAACATCAAGAAGTCAGTAGTCTCATGATATTTTATACATGTAATTAAATTTCAACTTAATCTCCATTCTTGTTAATGCACTTAATTCAACATTTCTCTATTAATCAAATAGAGCAAACATTATACATTGAAAATTTCAAATCAAAATTTGTCTAACTGTATCAGCCTACAGACATTGATCCAACCTCATCTTTAGAATTGGATATTATTTTTATTTTTTTTTTATTTATTACAAGGTTAGAAGAAAATCGTGGCAGTGTGATTCTGGCAGAGCACCTTAATGAAATGGAACATCAATGGGGATCCTATAAGGTAAGTATTAACCTGTATTTTCCAGGTAACTATCCCTCAGAATCACCCTTGTCTAATTTCATGTGTATGGCTTTACCCATCTATCAAGTACCAAAGGGGTAAGTAATCTATAAATTCAATTCAAAGCACTCATCTGATTAAAATTTCAGGAAATTCTTTGGTTTGATTACCATATACTAAACACATGATCCTGGAGGCAAATGACAACTTAAATAAAACAGTTGACTCAATGGTATTTTTTTTTTACAGCTTATCAACCCTTTGTTGGTTACTTAGAGCCAAAACTTATTTTGGATTGTAAAAATAATTCTTTTTTTGCAAGTGAATATTGCAGGAAGAATTTTCCGGCAATAACAATGATTTTTCCATATTCAGAGTCCTACTATTTAACCCACATCTAGCGGGGAGACAAAGAGATGAATTCATACCTTTCCTAAGGGTCTTTGCACATAAGTGAATATAATGAATTTGAACTCAGCTTTCTGAAGCTTTGGCTATGGAAAACTGGAAGATATGTGCAGTCAGTCTGATGAATTGGCTGCAGCCTTAATTTTTACACCACTCACCAGACAATCATGGTAGATTTCTTACTTACTGAGATATTCACACATTACAGTTTTTGTCAGCGACAGACAAGTTTTGTAATAATACACTTTTTTGCGATTAGACTACAAGATTTTCAAAGGTTTCAAGCAGAATTACTTTATGCAAGAGTTTGAGGTGGTTCCTTTTTTTTAAAACTGCCTGCTTTGCTCATTGACCTTTCTTGAATGAATGCACCTTTAAGTTCTAAATTAAATTGCAGTCCACAGGGTTTGCAAGCCAGTCTGTAACTGTGATGCTGTTGCAAGTTGCTTTCCCTAGTACTGGACTAGTGATGAGATCTTATCAGTTTACAATTTAGTATAGAAGTTGAAGTTACATCTAGCTAACAGTTTCTTTTCTCACACATCTCACTTGTGGAACTCTCTTCCGGACAACTTTGCATTTAAACTTTTGAAGATTAATGTCAATAGCTATCTACTGTCTTCCAGATTATTAAGGAACAAGAACAATAGAAAAAGTAATTTTTCTGTTTTCTAATTCTTTCACACCCATTACTGCCTTGCTTTGGGTGAACTCAGTTAAAAAAAAAAAAAAAAAAAGTTATATATCATCAGTCTCTTTATAAATGATCATAAAAAGGTACTTGTCATGTAGGTTAGAAGTTTAGAGAATTGTTTAGTTTAATATTAGGTGAGAATAAAGAATGCTTAAAGGCATTTTTATATTATAGTTTCTTTGACAAGGACATTAGTAAAAAAAAAAAAATCAGCATCTTAGAAACCAAAAATGCCATTATCAGGGTCATTTGCTGTTCAGTATTTAAAGAAATTTGTTAGTGGAATTAACGCTAAATTTATTTGTAAGTATGATAGGATCAATTGGTTTTAACTTTTGAATAGTTGATATATGAATTTGTGAAAATATGGAATATCGAAGTGAGCCAAGTTTGTATGTTTTACATTTCCATATAGGTAGCCCAGGCAATACTCACCCAGAAACTCATTTTAATGAGACTACTATCATTTTAAAGTGAAAATAAAAATTAATTGCCACCTTATTTTTTACAATTAATGATTTAATATTGAGATATTAATTTACTTATCAAAAAATACAAATTTTTTTTCACATGTATAAGGGTGTTAAGGTATTTCCTGTGTCATGTCGCTTTAGGGCTTTGGCACTCCCAACTTCCTGGTTTTCTAAGCTCCTTAGGTTATTTGCCTCTTTTCCCCTTGCCTTCAGTCTGTCCTGTGAGTGTCAAATTCTCTAAGTCCCCTTTTCTCATTATGTCCCTAAAAAGTAGTAAAGTATTAAATTTTTCAATTTTTTTTTACTATGATTTTGTTTTGAACCAAATGTTGTAAAAATTTAAAGAAATTTTTATATTTTAAATATTGAAATTGCAGAATTTTTGTTAATGAACATGGAAGATTAAAATGAAAGACTGTGTCAATATTTGCATATGTGTTAGTAATATTTATTACCCAATGTGCAGATACTTTGATCTTTTTCTTTTATGCTATTAATAAAATAATTCACTAATTTTTTCTCCTTTAGCAAGACCTAACATTTGGTTGCTTTTAATTTCAGGTGTCTGGATTTCCCATCAACCTACCATTCACAGAACTCTCAAACATTGTAGAGTTTGTGTATGCAACGGGTGTGCATAATAACGATGCAAGCAACATTGAGTTTGCCTTGGCTGTTTATATTCACGCTTATCCAAACAATGTTCTTTCCGTTTGGATTTATATTGCTTCATTAATAAAACAACGATGAAATATTCGACTCCTCAGAGTAAGAAAAATTAATCCAAATACTTTTTACCAAAACTATTTAAGATTTATGCAAACATTGACCACAAGATTTTAAGTCAAAATATTTTTTTAATTTATTTATAAACATTCAATCCGTCCCAATTTTTATCTATATTAGGAAATTCCAAGATATAAATTTACATTTTCTATTTCAATGTGGTTTTTGTTTTGATTATTTACAGATCATGACATCTATCAGAGATAAAATTTTGAAATAATGCAGTAATAAAAATTTAAATTTCAACACATCAGCATAGCTATTTATGTCAACAACTGAGCACAAATAGTAAATTAAGAAAATTAGTAATTAATGTATAATATTATCCATAACTACATGTACAAGAATGTTGCTTTTGATAAAAGTTAAAAAATACCTATAAATATGTAAAAAAAAAAAAAAAAATAAAAAGAAAGTATATTGTCAAAAATTCCTTTCTCCACATTATAGCTATTTGGGCTATGTTAGTTACAATGCTTATTGCTTAAACAATAATAATACTAAATAAATTTTTTTTTAAATATTAAAGTATATTTAATCACATCTCCCTAATAGTTGTCGTAATCAGTTAATAAAATCATTTCATATGCAGCAGAAATCCATAAGAAAATCCATTATAAATATTTTAAATTTTTATTGAAAAAGAAAAAAAATTTCACGCCATCGATGATATTACTTAATCGTAATGCTGATAATTCGTATGTCATCATATGGCTTGTCCGTTTTAGGATTGGTTTTCACATTGCTGATGGCTTGGATAACTTCCATTCCTTTCATTACTCGTCCGAACACGGTATGTTTGTTATCCAACCACGGCTGAAATAGAAGACAAGTAAAGAGTTAAATTAGCAGAACAGGCTGAGCTCGGTAGCCTTGCTTGGCAACCAACCTAGGAGAAAAATTGATCATCCTGTAAAAAGCAAACCCTAGAGATGTATTTTCAGACTGTTTTCCTTCTTTGTCATATTCACGTTTTGGCTTTTGTACGCACCAACTTTCTTCAGGTGAGATTGTTCTAGTTCCACGTGCCGTGCCTTTTTTGGATATCTCAGTTTCAGTTATCTCCCTTTAGTATCTGAACTCACAACCCTTTGAGTTAAGTCAACAGATTACTTCAACCAACACTTTTATCCACTGGGCCATGTGTGAAATTCCAACATATATTCAATACTTTCAACCTTCTTCAGATGATATGACAATAAAGATGAGGATAACAGTCCGAACAATGTAAATAGTGTAAATTAAGCATGTCCACTGTTTTCGCGGAAAAACAGCATAGCGTAAATGAAAAATGCCACAAACTTAAAGAAAATAAAGTATTATCAAAATGCTTATGTTATTATTTAGATGAAAGAAAAAAGTATTTTTTGAAATTTTTTAATATTTTCTAACACGTTCGAAATTTTGGTTAAAGTCGTCTTTGTTTACGTCATCGCAGCGACGTTTAAAATAACAGTTTTTTTTTGCGTTTTTTTACCGTTGAAAACGTATTGATTTGGAAATTCTTGTAAAAATAAAATAATTGTCCAATCTTAATGAAATTTTCAGGACTTATCACAAATCAATGAAATTATTTTTGAAATATTTTTTTTTTTTAGAAAATTTTGGTAAAAATTATATTTTTTTTAAAATATGTTATCCCACATTTACTTACTTTAATGAAATTTCGCCCAAAACCTTTTGGTTCCTGAAATTTTTTTTTTTTTTTTCGTTAAAAAGTAGGAGTCTTGAAGATGGTAAATAACCTTTTTTTTTTTTTCAAATTTGAGCTATTTAACTGAAAATCTGCTCTGAATTGAAAATAATGAATCAATAAAACTATGATATTACTTAATTAGAAAAGCTTTTAATTGCTTTTGTAAATAAGTAATATTAAGGACATTATTGTCTGAAGAAATAATTTTTTCTGATGAATAATTAATTTTTACAAGAATTTTTCGTTTTTAAGAAATTTTAATTATAATTTATAATAGTTTTAAATCGTGTAAAGCTCTGTATTAGGAGGGTTCCTCGATATTATGTAGTAATTAAGTAGAAAAAAATTTACGAATCCAAAATTGCTAAGTTTAATAAATTTAGTTCGCTTACTTTTTTAAAAATAATTTTTTATGTTGTATTTTTTACTTAATACATTCCTTATTTCCATGTATGATATACAGAAATTGCCATTATTATAACAAGGTCACGTGATCTAAGGGTTTTGTCCCTTTACGTGGCCTTTTCAAAACATTTCGTTTCTTAACAGATTATTTTCCGTTCAGCTGTAAAAGTGTAAACTTTAAATTTTAAATTATTTTTTCTTTTTTTCATTTACTATTTCACTAAATAATTTTATTTTATGTATTGTATTTCCATTAGTGTGTGTCAAATAGAATATTTTTTTTAAAAACTCAGACTTAAAAATTATTTCATTTATGGTCATCAGTAGTAGTTGTCATCGGCTCGTCAATCAACCATCATCAATAAGATCGAACAACTGAACGGGACCGCTCGTTAATAATTGGTTGTATATTATTTTTTTATGCTATAAGTAACAAAGATTTCTTTGAAATCAGATTACTTTAACTTTAAATTTTTAATTTTACTAAAATAACGTGTCAGAATTTTTTTTAAATATTTTAAAAATCGATAAATTTGTGTTTGTTTACAAATTTTTTAAAATTAAGAAAATGGCCGTTTTTAAGAAAATTTAAAAATTAAATTTGACAATCAAATGTATATAGTTTCTATCTGAAATACACCAGAATTGTTTAATTAATAGAAATCGTAAATTTAATTATTAAACTTTCAATTAAAGCTAAAATGAAATCTTCAAGAATGTTTTTTTCGTTGTAAAAAATTCATTTTAAAATTCAATATAGAAAATTTATGCCGAAATAGTGGAGGTACTTAGTGTAAATTAATCCTAGTGTTGTCGAGTCTATGGGACTTGCATGAATGATCCTCTTTTGAGGACCTTGCATGTATTCATTTCAAAGCATCAAAGCATAATGTCTGATTGGGTTCAGTTTTCTTGATACAAGGTGATAAAGCCTCTAAGACTCGGGGAGGGGGTAGTGAATGTGAAACAATCCGAGAAAAATAAAAGAACAGAATTCAAGGAGACAGATGATGACAATTGACACTGATCTTCAAAAATTTAAGTACAAAGTTGACTGGAAAGCAAACAGCAAGAAAAGAGTTCTACACATCAGGTTAGCAGAGAACTTATGATTATATCTGGCCATCTCAACTGTAGAATGATGAGACCTTGCTGCCAATCTAGTACTGTGCTTAAATTCATAAAGTCTAAACACATTACCATGAAAATATTTATAGAAAAGCCACAGGGAAGTGACGAGAAAGTGACCAAAACTGAAATGCCAGGTCATGGCCAATAACACTGCAAATTCTCCCTTTGTATCAAGAATCTCTAAATACATAAAAGCACCAGACCAGTTGTGGCAGCAATAAGCAATGAATGGTAGACTTAAAATATGTAAGATAGACAATTTTTTTTTCTTGATCCAATATAATCTTTCCACTTCATGTCAGCCTGAGGAAGTGAAATGAGTTCTTCTACTGAGAAAGAAAACAGTAACAAATTGTTAAAAGGTTGTGTAGATCTTCTGACATAAGCATTGGCAGCATTAATATCTTTTATGTCATGAAATACTTACAGTTGGGACAACAGTAATAAAAAACTGGGAGCCATTAGAGTTTGACCCAGCATTTGCCATACTGAGTGTGTAAGGACGATCATGACGCAGACTTGGATGGAACTCGTCTTCAAATTCACCACCCCAGATTGATTCACCACCTGTACCATTACCTGCAAGAAAAACATGCAATTGGTGATTAACCCTGATTTCTTTAAAAACAAAAAAATCAATTGTGTAAGTCAAAAAGTACTGATTTTTCAATTTGCTCGGCTGATAGATTTAGGTATTAATAGAGAAGAATCCGCAACTGTCAAATTAGTAGTTGGCATCTGTCTATCTTGTGAAATGTAGTTAAATGTGTGTCTATGGCTCAGATGCCATTCGTACAATACATGATACCACTTGTTCAATCCGCTGTTCTTTCATTCCACACACTTCAACGTAAAATCGTTCCATCTCCTCTTTTATCAGGCCAACACCACGGCCGACCAACCAATCAGCATTCTTCGCTTTTATTCTCAGTTACCCAGGCAAGTAGCTTCCTCCAATCAGCACACGACTTGCTATTGGTTGAAGCATGCCAAACTGTATGTTTGTTTGTTTGTTTGTTTGTGTTTTACGACATATCGACCTCCTCAGTCATTTAATGTCAAATCAGGTTATTATTGGAATATTATTTTCCAATATAATAGACCCTTCCATTTCCACAAACGGAGAGGTTTGCCATGCTGAAAAAGGTTTTTAGAAATGAAATGGTTTGTAGAAAAAACCTGGTTCTGTCAAAAAAAAATTTTGTAGAGAATTGTATCGTAGGAAGTTTCTTCCTTTTTTGAGAAATGGTATGCAGAAAGAATCAGATTTTGTTGAAAACATTCCTTGCAGCAAAAGTTTGCAGAAAACTCCCAACTTTTTATGTTTTTAGATTTTTTGGTACAAATTGACTGCTTTCAGGAACGATATTATGTTATCCATGTCAGTTTTTTGGAACAGTTCCTTCATGTTACTTGCACTATAAAGCGTTTCTCTTATATGGGCTAGGTCAGTACATTCAATGAGAATGTGTTTCACTGTGTATGCGGTCTGGCATGCATAACACATTGGTTGTTGCTTTTGCTTCAAGTAAGTAGGAATGTGTTGTCCTTGTATGGCCTATTCAAGTCTGGACAATATCACTTCCTCTTTTCTATTTTTCCTATAGCTCTGTTTCCATTCTCCCAATTCAGGTTTAATTTTTAGTAATTTATTATTACTATTGCTGTTCCAGCGTTGTTGTCTTTGTTGCAGTATGTATTTATTTATCTTCATTTTAAGGTCTGTATATGGTATTTTGAAATTTTTTTCTATGGTCATATTTAGAGTAGACCTGGCTGCTTTATCTGCCTGGTCATTTCCACCGATTCAGTGTGACCTGGGACCCAACATATCTGTATATCATTATCATTTGATAGGTGTTCTAATTTACATAGTATTTTCACTATCAATGGATTATCAAACTTCCTGTTTTTAGTGATTCTAATACTGATAGTGAATCAGAAAAGATAATGAACTTGTTGTTCCTTGATTCTGAGATGAGGTTAAGAGCCATATTATTGCAAACTTCTGCACTGAATATAGAGGTGTCATTTGGGGAGATGTTTTTTAAATATTTTCCTATTTACATAGGCACATCCTGTTATTTTTCCTACTTTAGATCCATCTGTGAAGACATGTGAGTGCCTAGGATATCTCTCCTTAACTTTCTCTAATTCCTCTTGGAAAATTAGTGGGTGGGTTTTATTTTTGAAGTATTTACAGAGGGTTAAGTTTATGTTTGGGGTTCTTATGGTCCAAGGTGGGATATCTGGTATGATTGTTTTATGGATTTTTGTCAAATCTACATCTGCTTCTTCTATAATTGTTTCCATCCGAAGTCCAAAGGGTTTTATGGCTTTTTCATTCCTTTGGAATAATTCTTTGTATTTTGGATAGAAGGTACTATTGTACGCAGGATTTGCTGGGCATGACCCTAATTTGACATAGTACTGGAGGGCCAGTTTATGGCTTCTACTATTTGCAGGTGCTTCGTTAGCCTCAGCATATAGGCTCTCGACTGGAGACGTTCTAAAGGCTCCAGTACTAACCTCAAACCTCCATGGTAGATCGGGTCAAGCATTTTTAAATAGGATTTTCTGGCTGAACGGTATATAAAAAAATACTGTAATCAATTTTGATCTAATTAGGGATCTATACAATAATAACAGAGTGTTTCGATCTGCTCCCCATTTTGTGTGGGCTACCACGCCATGCAGTAGTTGTAATGTTTTGTTACATTTGGTTTTAAGTATTTCAGGTGGGGAATAAATGTTAGTTTTTTTGTCAAATATTACCCCAGAAACTTGTATTCATCTACAACTGGGATCTCTGAACCGTCAAGTTTCAGCCTAGGGTCATTATGGAGTTTCCTTTTGTGACAAAAATGGACACATTTTGTTTTTGTTTTAGAGAACTTGAATCCATTTGTTGTTGCCCATCTGCTGATTTTATTTAGACCCTGTTGCAGTTTTCGATTCGATTGTGTGGATATATTTTGATTTATAACATATAAGGTCATCCACATATAGTGATCCATCGGTTCCTGGTGGTATTTCCTTGATTATAGTGTTTATTTTTTATGTTAAATAGTGTTACGGACAATATACTGCCTTGTGGGACACCCTCTTCCTGATTTTTCACATCTGAAAGTGTAGAGTCGACATGAACTCTGAATTTTCTTTCAGATAAGAATCCATCAATAAACTGTGGCAGTCTACCTTTTATACCCAGGTTACTCAAGTCCCTCATTACTCCATATTTCCACGTCGTATCATAAGCCTTTTCTAGATCGAAAAATATAGCTGTAAGGTGTTCCTTTTTGATAAATGCTTCTCTAATATTTGTTTCAAAGGCGTATTAAGTGGTCTATTGTGCCTCTTTTACTACGGAACCCACATTGTAAGTTGGAAATAAGATTGTTTGATTCCAAATGCCAAATCAACCTGTTGTTTATTATCCTTTCCATTGTTTTACACAAGCAACTGGTTAAAGAGATAGGTCGATAGTTTTGTGGGTCCGAGCCATCTCTTTTTGGTTTGGGAATTGGTATCATTGTTGTCTCTCTCCATATATCTGGGAACCTTCCTTCTGTCCATATTTTGTTAAATATTTTTAAAAGGAATTTTAGTGATTCTTCTGGTAATTTTTTTAAAAACTCATAGTGGATTTCATCCGGGCCTACAGCAGAATTATGGGATTTTTTTTTATAGAGTCTTTCAATTCTCTTAGTGTCAATAAACTATTATAATCTTCAAGATTTTTTTGATTTAAAATTTAGTTTACATTTTCTGCATCTTCTTTGATGGTTATGAATTCTTTTGTACCATTCAGACTGGATGAGTTTTTTGGCAAAGGTTTCAGCTAGCAATTCTGTTATAGCTTTTTTATCTGTTATTATAGAGTTGTCTTTTGAGAGGTGTTTTATTGGTGTTATTTCTTGTTTGCCCATAATTTTCTTAATCATTTCCCAAATTGCCTTTGGTTTAGTTGAGCAATTCAATTTGCTGACATAATTCTGCCAGCATTCTCTTTTTGCTGCTTTTTTATCTCTTTTCGTGCCTTTGCTCTGTTTGATTTGTATTCCATCAGATTGGATGTTATTGGTTCTTTTGGAATTTTTTTTAGTGCTTCTTTTCGCAGTTTAATTGCTTCTTGGCATTTGTTGTTGAACCAGGGTCTGTTTCGTTTATTTGGAGTTGTAGTCTTGGGAACACTGTCTACTGCTATAGAGTTCAGTGTTTCAGTGAAATACTCTATTGTGTCATTGTTTGACTCTTTGTGTATTAGTTTTTCTTTGCATTTTTCTTCAAATTTTTCCCAGTTAGCTTTGTCTAGTTTCCAACGGGGCATTTTTTTCCCATTAGGCTTTGTGTTATTTAGAAGTATTGGGAAGTGATCACTACCACAAGTATCATCATGTACTTGCCAAGTGTAGTCCATATAGATAGATGGGTCACATATGGTTAAATCAATGGCAGAGGTATTCCCACTAAATTGGTTTATATGTGTTTGAGTGCCCGTGTTGAGTATGCATAGATCGTTTTTTAGTTAACAATCCTTTCCAGGATTTTACCTTTTTTGTTTATTTCTTTGCATCCCCATATGATGTTGTGACTGTTAAAGTCACCCAATAAAATGAATGGCCTAGGGAGTTGCTGCAACAGTTGCTCTAATTTGGTGTCGATAATCTGATCATGTGGGGGTATGTATATAGAGCATACTGTTATGGTACGATGTAAAGTGGCTGATGCAGCTACAGCTTGAAGATTTGTGTCAAGATCTATTCTGCGTTGAGGGATCTTGTTATTAATTAGTATGGATGTGCCGCCTGAGGCTCTATCTGTATTATTATTTATATAGTTATATGAGGTAAAATTACGAATTTTTACATTGTCATTCTCTTTCAGAAAAGTCTCCTGTAAACATATTATCATTGGACATAGGTTCCCAATTAAAAGCAGTAGTTCATTTATGTTTGGTTTCATACCTCTTATGTTCCATTGGATGATTTTATTAGTCATGGTTCCGGTATTTTGATGTTTGATTACTTGTGGAGCCATGTTTTAATTTTTGGCGGGATTTGTTTTGAGGTTAGATTTTTCCTTGATTGGGTTTTTGCTTAGTTGTGGGGTCTCATCTTCCGTTTCCATTATTTCCAATGCCTCAGATTTATTTATTTTTGGGGCAGTTCTTGTTCTTGAGGTTGATCTTGATCTATTTTTATGCTCCTGCCCATCAGGGTTTTTTTTCTTTGTAGTTTCCCTATTGGGTGAAGTCTGTGATAGCCTAGTGGTAGAGGCCACTTCAGAAGAGAGTACTTTTGGGTTCTCCTTGTTAGGCTTTGCTTGTGTCTCTTGGTTTGTTGATGTTTTGGTGTTTGAGTTTTCCTTGGAGAGTTGTTTGTTTTCTGTGATTGTTTTTATAATGGTTTTCATTTCTTGGATTAGAGTTCTCATCTCGTTCATAAGTTGAGTAACTACTTCAGGTTTTGTTATAGGTTGATTATTTTCGTATGTTTGGTGTCCTTGTTGGTTTGGGTTTGGTATATGTCTTTTTGATATTTCTGTGTATGTCACAGTGTTTATTAATTTCCTTGCTTCTGGGAAAGTAATATTTTGAGTATATTTTATTTTGGAAATATCCTTTTCTTTTTTCCAGATTTCGCAATCTCTGGAATTTGCGGGGTGATTTTTTTTTGCAGTTAGTGCATTTTGCCTCCTTCTGACAGTCAGTGTGTCTTGCGTTATTTTCACCGCATCTTCCGCATACTGGGGGTCTAGTACACCTAAGTGGATTCGGTATGTATGTCTCAACTTTTATTTTTATGTACCCTACATTAATTTCATTAGGGGGTTTTGGGATATTAAAATTTAATATGTATGTGTTTGTGTTTATAGTTTCTCCATTTTTTTTTTATACTTATTCTTTTGATATCTATTACATTTTGGTTTTTTTAAATTTGTTTTTATTTCGTCTAATGTGCATAGTGATAATTCAGAGCTTTTCACTACGCCTTTGGATGAATTTAAGGTTTGGTGGAGGGAGGTTTTAATTTTGATGTTGTTGAAAGTTTCCCATCTTAGGATTTCTTCCACTTGTGTTTTTTGAACTTCGATTAGAATTGTTCCGTTTGTTAATTTTTTTTGTTGTTTTTGGTTTTATTTTTTAGAAAGTATTTGTTCGATTTTGAAAGGTGATATTTTAGTTATAGGTATATCTTCAGTTGATTGGATTACCATATATGTAGGGATGTTTTGATATATTATTTCTGGCTCACTGTCAGAGCTTTCAAAATGTGGTCTCTTGGTGGATTTCTTTGGAAACATTTGTTTTTTAGGTGTTGTTTGCCATTCCTGCTCCCCCACCCACCTCGGAGTCCAATTTTATGGGAGATGCCAGGGGGAAACCCATTCGCCCTGGCACATCAGGGCTACAGGAAAGGTATATCAGTATCAGTGGAAGCCACAAGCACCTGCATTCCCTTGGCTTGGCTGGCCAAGTCCAGTGATGCCTCTCGGTGTATACAGCCATGTTGTGGCCTTCTTCCTCAGAATCGATTGACTCTTAGCCACCGCCTTCCAACACTCATGTGGGGAGTTTATTATTATTATATATATATATTTATTTTTTTTTTTTTTTTTTTTTTTTAATAAATGTCATTTTTTTTTTTTTTTTTGGAGGATAAATTGGCAATTATACTAATACACAAGTTTTTTGGGGGGGGTGTTGAGTGTTGGGGCTTGTCATGACCAGCCGATTGATCGGAGTGGGCCTCTCCGACCGCCCGTCTAGCTCAGGTAAGGGCCAAAGTGGAGTGTTGCAGTTAATGACCACTTATCACCTGGGTCATGACCTGCTCAGCCACCAGGATCCCGTCCCCAAACATCACGGGTCGCCACCCACGGCAAACAGGTGGCCCCCTTGGGGGACTTTTACCCCCTGCAGAGGTGCAGTCGGCGTATTCTGAAGCCCCGCCGACAGGGCTGGCCAAACTGTAGTTACAGCACATACTGCTGGAATCGTTAAACAGGAGAGTAATGCCATTTTCATGGAGCAAAATGCTGATGCCATGTGATGCATGTTGAGGTAAGACATTTATTTTTCTTTACACCAGATTGCTTCTACATGACTGTTCACTACATGAGATTAGAGTGATCTCTCTGAGGTGCAGTCCTGGGCAATGGTATCTGGAGGCTGTACATTGCCCAGGTTATATGCACACCCCTCGGCCATATCAACAAGATCCAAAGGAATACAAGGCATTATTTTTGGAGCCAACAAAGACTATAAAATCATGCAAATAATTTTCTTAACAACAAACACAGTCTGTCAGTGGAAAATTTTTGAATCCTGAATGGATATGTGATGTCGATTAAATTTACTAAACTCTAGCTCAACTGCAAGGGATCGACATTTCTGCTATCATGAAGCAAATTAAAAAAAAATTTTGTTAATTTAATTCCATTGTTTTGCAGTCAATTTAATATTAATTTTACCAATAAAACTGATATTTATCTATCTGCAAAATTCTTTCAGCAAAAACTCTTGAAAAATTTTGACATGACATATTTAAGCCAATTGAAATTTTATTTCATTAATCTTTGTCTTTTTAGTCACTCAAAGAAAATCTAAAAGAAGTTTAATTTTATTTTACTGTGTCTTTCCAAACAGCAAGAAACAAATAACCTTTTGATCTCTTTATCCAAAACAAAACTATCAAACCAATTGCTTCTACATAGTCAAACAGATTCTTTCACGTTCACATCATGACAAGTATTGTCTAACACTAAATTTTTATCAATCAAAAAAGTCAGTAATTTCAGATCCACATTTACAATGAATGACATTTGACTTACCAAGGGGATCACCAGTTTGTACCATGAATCCTTTGATAACACGATGAAAAATATGACCATTATAGTAACCATTTCGACTGTGCACACAAAAATTCTCCACGGTTTTGGGACACCTACAAGAAAACAACAACCTAAAATAAATATATGGTGATCGATGTCCTGGATATTAAATCTAAGTGACCTTCCCTCTGTAAGGAGAAGAAATGGTTGCCGGGCCTTAAATGTTATCCACCTGTGACTAATGGCACTGATTCTCTCATAGTATTTATTTATTTCTCCTGCTCCTATTTTAGTAATTGCATGCTAACAGCCATATCACATTGAAACGTTGGTTATTGTAACATCACCAAAGTTAAGCAATATCAAGCCTGATCAGTACCTACATTGTTGAATGTTTATCTACCACTGACCATGGACTAATTAGTAAAAGTTGTATCAGTAAATCATTATTATCTCAAAAAGAAATACATATATAATAGCTGGCCACTCACATTCAAGGATACCCATCTACTAGGGTGACTAGCCAATCCCTACTGCAGATATTCGCTCAGGCACATTTGTGTTTATTCAACACAGAACCAACCTGCAACTATGCTGAGCAGACCTTAGTTACAGTTTCTGGGAGAGCGTGTGTTATCTAGCGTGATCAACAATTTGAACAAAGCCAGCACGCTCAAGCCCTCAGCCACGATTTGTGGCATTGCACTAGCACAGCTATTGACGGCCCTCAAGAGTTCCATCTACCCCATTTTTACTCACAAGGCTTCGGTCAACCAGTGCTTTGGTTTTCAGGCACTTTCTAAAGTTGCCTGCATGCTGGGATCAGCCTCAATCTATTCCAATAACATCAGGAATTCTACTTCGTGACAAATTGACCCTGGCAAGATTCAAACCCGGGTCTCATGGTCAGAAAGCAAACATTTTAACCATTCGGCCATGTACCTATATATATATATTGTTATACCATAGTACCTATTCTGTTGTAATAGACTCTCCCACAGATAAGTAGCAGTGGCCAGTGGAGCTCAGAGGTGTTGAGCGAGTCAGTCAATATAGGACATTGAAGTACCAACCATCACAACTAGATTGCTGCGTCATTAACTCTTATTTCAAGTTCCTAACGTTTTGTACGTCGAACCTAATTTAGGATGACTTATTGAAATACAAGCCTCCACTGTGAAAACTACTCTACAACATATATATATATATATATATATCTATTAAGAGGAAAAATTAATGCATCATCGAAAACTTGGTTATAAATTATAATTTATTTCAACAGATAAGTTTTTAATACCCATCACAAATTACAAATGGTTTAAATTTATCCAGACAATATTTAAACAGAAAGTTTAGATGCTTGACCTAGAAAATCTATTTTCTGGGGATTTATATTATTGAAAAGATAGGTGGCGGAGGAGGAGCAGCTGTCAACCCAATGTTCATGTGTGGTGGTTGGGAAAATATCAGTAACAGTTAGAAAAATACATTAGAATAAAATCTGCATCATCATAAAGATAAGATTATATATATATATATATATATATATATATATATATATATATATATATACACACACAAACATATAAAAGGCAGAAGTGAAAATAATATATAAAAAAACAATCTTAAATTCAATATCTAATATGAATTGAATATATTCAACAATACTAATTACTGTGTGTATTTCGTCACACATTAGCGTGTAATTATTCAAATTTTCAAAAATCTCTACATTAAACTAAATTTTTTTTGTTGTTCTTTCAGTTCTCCCATTGAATGTTTGCAATTCTTACAGGTCTTCATTTCATATCCTCTCAATCTGGCCAGAGATACAACTAATACAGTTATTAAAATTGAGAATGTTACTTACTCCCTGGGGAATAATTTACAGTGAATATCTCCGGATGAGGTGTGCACAACTGCAGATTCTGCAACACGTGTATAAGAAGCATCCTGCAAAGGAAACAAAACTTTTTAGCATTCACAAAAAAAAAAAAAAAACTTTAAGACTCAATTTTCTATTATTAAAATAAAGATTAGAAATTTTATGTCAAAATTCTTGTTGGATACAAAACAAGGAATCAGTTGGCCATTAATTGCCATTTTATGCCAAAATCTTTTTTTTTTTTTACATTGGATTTCAAAGGAGTACATTTTCCACCTAATATTTCTTAACTAATGATATGTTTAACATGTTCTATTTACAAACTTTAATAAGAATTTTCCCGACAGTTAAATCTCTTCTTTATGGTATTACCCCTGCGAAAATATGATGTATTAATGTTTTTTATATGAAAATAATAATAAACTAACACTTAAAAGGATACATTTACTATTGCCTGTATTGATTCTGCTATTTACCCATAGCTGGGGGGAGAATGGATGCAGTCATACCTTTCCCAAGGGTATTAGCACATAAGTAATGAACATGACTGGAATTTGAACTCTGCTCTCTGATTCATCAATGAAAGTCACTATCCATTACTCCACCATACCTCTCAAAATTTGTTAGAAGCACATGTCTAAAACAATAAGAGATTCGATAGAAAACAAAATAAGTCAAAACTTGAAAGAGGAATTTGCTCTCTCACCTGTAATAATTGCCACAAGGAATGCATAGGAGAAACCTCGAGAAAATTTAAGTAAAAGATTATAGGAACACAAAATGGATCTTTTACAACACAACACACTCAGTGCATTAGTTGCTCACCATAATTGAGTCTGGCCAGAATTTTGATTTCAATAAATGCAACTTTAATTAAGAGGAAACAATTTATTAAGACTAAAGTGTTTTGATCGTTAGATCATCCACATTAAATTTGTATTCAGGTTCTTACAACATTTCACCTTTCTTGGCAGATCTTCTATTATTACAATGTGGAACCACTAATAATGAAAGTGATAGAACCAAAAGCATAAAGAAAGTAAATTAAATTGGTGAAACGAAATGCCTAGACACATCTATCAATAAAAAAAAATAGTAAATTTTAAAATGTCAGCATTTCTTCCCTATGCATAATTATGACAAACGTTGGCATTTTTATATCCCCCCTCCCATATATAATTACAACAACAAAAACATTATTTTAGTCTGATGAAGTCCTAAAGGATAAAATGCATCACAGAAAATAATTTTTTTCCACACTGTCATGAATTTCCCTTCTTTACTAATTTTTGTAAATCCATTCTTCATGCACAGTATTCGGGAAAGGAGGGCCTTTTTTTAGCAGACAAGGAAAAGTTGAAATTTCCCCTTTTTTGTCTCACAGATCAGCTGAATCATTAACACTAGCAAATATATGAAAAAAATAGTTCAACTGTTGAATTGGTGGGTAAGAATAATTTTCATTTAAAACATCTTCCTGTCCAAATTTTTTTTTTTTTTTTTTTAACCTAAAATAGTTTAATTAAACCATTTGTTATATCTATTGATCAGCTAGATGATAAAAGCTTATAAAAATGTTTGATTTCTTACATATGAAAATATCTCATCATTTTTTTAACCTAAAATAATGATAATGATTAATGATAAGTGATAATACCACTAAAATTCAAGGGACTACTAAGAGTGAAAGAAACTGAAAAAAAAAATTAGAAGGAACCAGAAACACACTTTTAAACAGGAAACAAGGGATAAAACTCTACTCCTGTTCAAAAGACCAGGAAGGAGTGTGAACCGGGTAATAGGCAAACCTATCTACTCCTCCTAAACTGACAAATGAAATCTAAAGCAATGAAAATGTTTAGTGTTTAACAAAGTTATAAATATTTTCTCTAATTATCATTATCATTTGAAGAATTGTTTTCAATGCTAATCATATTCTTTGAATTGCATTTGTTGTTACCAAATTTTGACCGTTGTATTTGCTACTATTGTCTGGTTTGCCTTCACCAGAAATAAGACTCCTTTCTCTTTCCTTATGGATTATACACCTGAAGAAGGTTGGAGAATGCATTGGCCAAAATGTTGTAGTAAGAATAATAACAAAAACAAAGTAGTGTACCATTTATAAAGCATGAACCAACCTGGGTAGCAGCGACAAGTTCTTCTTTGGAAGGCTTCTCGTTGAATATGTCTCGTTCAGCATCACCACTGGAAAAACATTGAACAAATTTCATTTATATAAATCTATATATTTGTAAATTATTTCACTTATACTCAGTTTTATAAACTTAAAGAAAATTATTGTCAATAATTGTTTTTCATAACAAATGCAGCACTTTGCTATGTAAGAAATGCAAGTATAATTGTTTCCCTTTTTGAAGAGTCATGAAAATGATGAGGCATCTAGAGTAAGTACTGAAGAATTTTCAAGTGTTAAAAAAATCCCATAACAAAGTAAGATTCTTAGTAAAGAAGAGCAAGCCATTGTGAAAACAACAAGCATAAAAGTGACAAAACCCCCAGGCAAATTAACCATGATAATGGCCAAAGAACCAAAACTGATAAACTCTTACTTTTAGTATAGTTTTTATTGTTGCTTCGGCACCCATTTTAATTCACTGAAAATCTTACATTAACTTTCTCTGCATTATTTACAACTATTACTCCTCCTTCCACTACCTTTTTTTTTTTTTTTTTTCAAAGGACACTCCACTATAGTAGGACTTATTTGATTTCACTCTGTTGCCATAGCAGATGAAAACACAACAGTAAAATTCAAGTACACTATTGTTCAGCACTCTGAGTCATTTACAGTGGCAGAAAAACTTTTGTTCAGCAAGTCACATACACAAGTGCTAAAAGTTTCCAGTGTACTTGCTATTCAACATTTAAACTAGCAGTACCGATGAAAATTTCATAGCTTTCCCATTTTAATTTTTTCTTTTACTCACTGAAATCAAACGTTGTCTCTGATATGTCTTCTCCGTCTTATGATCAGAACAGAACAGACCATTATTTATGAGGTATTTGCAGGGCATTTCCTTCTTTCCTTCACAGAAACCAAGTGACATTTCCAATATGTTTTTTCCATCTTTCCTCAAGAGCAAAACAGAATAGTCCATTATTTATGAGGTATTAGCAGGCCATAATGGTCATACTAACAAAGGGAGGGAGGGATAAGCAGAATTATAATAAGATTTTTTTTCAGTTAACATTTCAACACACTCCTGAATGCTATAAGAAAAAGATTGCTTCTCCCATCCCTTAATTGTATTATATATATATATATATATATGAAAATTGCTGTAAATAATAAGTTAAGGTAAACTTCCTTGATATAACATTAGATTGACTGAATAATTTATACACACCTTATAAAAACCTAATACTAATCCTTTGTATATAGGCTCTAAATCTAATCATCCTTCATCTATAATTAAACATATACCTTTATCTATTGAAAAGAGAAGAATTACAAATTCAGCAAATGAGAAAATTTTCTATAAACATAGTAATTTCTATAATAAGGCTCTAAAAAAATAGTGGTTATAAATTCCCAAAACTCAATTATATAAAAAATGAAAGTGTAAACCATAGAAAAATCATTTGGTATACACCCCTGCACAACCAAATGGTAAAAAAAAAATTAGGACAAAACTTCCTTGCATTAATCATTAAACACTTTCCTAGAGACAGTAAACTCAGTAAAATTTTTAATAAAAATACCTTAAAATTAAGTTACAGTTGTACAGAAAACTTGGAAATGATTATAAAGAAATATAATGCTAATATCTTGGGTAAACACTTAGACCAAAATTATCAAAATTTAGATAGTAAAATAAAAAGAAATGAAAATAAAGGAAAATTATGTAACTGTAGAAATCCTCAAAACTCCTCTTAATAATAAATGTAGCACTAAATCAGTAAGTATATATATTGGATACACAAGTTCAAGAAGAGTTAACCAACATCAAAGCTCTTTTAAAATAAGTAAATACCGGAATTAAACGAAACCAATAAAACACCTACTGTAAAGTGGAAATTACTAAGAAAGGCTAGAATTTGTAGGTCATTAAATGACCCATGTCTTTTGTGCATACATGAGAAATTATATATTAAGTTTATAAAAAATGAAAATTTGCTTAATCAAAGAAATGAAATAGCTATTTTCTGCAGACACTATCAAAGATTTTCCTTAAATAATTAAATATGATAAAAAAGATGAAAAATGAAATATACATATTTAAACTTGAACTTAGAATTACTTTTATTTAAAAATTATTATTCAAATATATTTATTTCATTTTAAAAACATAGTCTATTAGTTATTAAAAGTAGGGAAAATAATTTAAAATTGAGGGAATAGATTTTAAATATTAAAAATACAACGTACTCATATTCAAAGGAACCTTTTGAGAAAATCTTTGTGTATAAAATTAGAAATTAAACAGCAAAATAAAGATGTCAAAAAACTCTGTCAATTAAAAAAAAACAGACAACATGCAAAAAACAGATGTCATCATTTGTTGAACAGGCCCCCGACCCCCACCTTAACTTAACCTGATTTTGAAAGTAGCTTAGATTTGATACAGAAGTTGTTGATGTAAATGAATACCCTACCACTCCTTATTAATAATGATTTAAATTTCCTGTAACCTTGACAACTAATAATATAAAGATTGTATGGGCTTATAAACCCAGTAAATTTCAAAATAAGTTGTTCCAGAAATCACTTGAAAATGAATCGGAGATAAAGATTTTAAATTTAATTCTATAATTTAAAGTTTACTTTCTTATTTTGAAACATGGTAATTCCTGTGTAGCGATGGAACCATATTTTTAAATTAGTAAATTTATAATGTTTAGACTCTACTGAATTGTATTGAGCACTGTTTTTTTAAAAATACAAATAATTAATAAGAACACCAGATTATAAATCTTACTGTTCTTTCTCATTATATATTTCAGATATACTATATCTGTAAAAGGACAATATAAAAAAAGGCAAAAGGAAAACTTATTCTAGTTGATACATTTCATCCTCTGAAGGATTTTATCAGTGCAGATTTGCCTTGCTAAAGTCCCTCCTTTTGTCTTTTTTCATCAATGTCTATATATATATATATAGATATATATAAAATACCAATTTGTGACTGGTAGGGATAATTTCAATTAGGATATTAATCCAAAGAGACCCCCAATGTAAAATACAGTAAAGAGTATTATAATAATAATAATAAATCAAGTAAAAATCTTAAAGATCCATTTCGGTTATATCATCTCTACACAATAAATTATAACAATATTCATGAAAAAAATTTATAACCAAAATCGATCTTTAAGGTTTTTTTCTTGATTTATTATATATATATTCCTCATCCCTTTAATACAAATTATAGATAATACAAATAGTTGATTACCTTTTTATATCTTCAGGTTCCCGCTTAGTAAACATGTAAAATCGATTCTTTTTAAAAGCTGTGCAGAATAAAGTTGGATCAACCATAACTGTGTGCAAGATAGGGTTGTCAGCAGCTACCATGTCGGCATCCATCGTTGCCTTTTTTTTCTTGCCTGATCCTTGGAACAGGCTAATCTGAAGGAAACGAGCATTCTCTGGTTTTCCCAGAATCCGCACACATTGGTTTGTGTACAAGTTCACAACTGCAGAGAAAATAAATTTGCATTATTTTTTTTTTTTTTTTTTTACATATGGACGTTAAATAACCAATTTATATTTAGGCTAGTCTGGTTGAATATTACCAATGGGTAGCAAGTTTAATCCTCACTGGGTGCCACATAAAAAGTAATTTAATGATGTAACCCAATGAACGTTGGCAAGTTATAAAACCATCAAATCATTAAGCAAAACTTTTTCATTGTAAAATCATTTCCTTGCTGTAATGTAATGGTTAATGAAGCCAGCCTCGTTAACCATTACAACTGAATGGGAGTTCTACCCTTAGTGGGTGCTGCAGACAAAAATCCAAGATTAAGTAACTCAACAATATTGTGAAATTAACCAACTTTCTTTCATATAATTATTTAGTTTATTTACAAGGCTCTTTCAGTCTGGCACAAGACCTCAAGATGTTTACAAGGTCTGATATTACTCAGCAATCATCCACTTTACTTCTGATCAGGTTTAATACTGCTTAACATCAGTGGTTATACGAGAACGAAGGTTTTCTAGCATGGCACAATGCCACCTAATGTGGATCAACAAAAAGAGAAAAGATACTGACAACAACACTGCTTGTCAATTCAAAGACTGCAACCCAAACTGAGGATCATAAAGATATTTCCAGAAAGTGATAGGATTGTTTAGAAGAAAAAAAAATTTAAAGGAAAATAAAGAATCTGTGAGATTTAGAGAAGTAACTGCAAATAATAATACATCAATGTCCAATCGTGAGTCAGCCAAAACCTGACACGATTGTGGTATTGTTTTTTACTTCTGACTTTGCTATTTTGGACGACTGATATACTGTATACACATGTATATACTTTTACAATATGGGTGCATGGACAAGTGGTTGGAACATTCGCTTTCCAAACAGGAGGGTCTAGTTCGAACCTCTTCTTTGATCAGGAACTTGACTTCTTGATATTATTGGCCTGGAAAGGTGACTGAAAACTGCACCATGGTCTGACCCAAGTCATGTGTGAAAATGGCTAGACAGAAATGTTCATCAATGGTTATGATAACACAAAGTCACAAGTCATCATGACCAAGAGTTTGAGCATACTGGCTTTATTCAAACTGTTGATCATGCCAAATGATGCACTCTCTTCAAAAAACTACTTTAAGCCTGTTCGGCATAGTTGCAGTATGAACCACAAGTGAACTCTGTGGGTGGTGAATAAATACAAATGAGCAGGTGTCTGCAACAGGGATTGGCTAGCCAGCTGTTATATATATTATACTTTTATATAAAGTTATGGCTTAGTATTGATTACAAAAAGAAATCAAAGATTTATTGATTATTCAATCCACTTTAAGAAAGTTTACTTTAATAAAGCTGAATGAAAAAAACTGTTTCTACCCTGAGTGTCATCAGGCCAAAAACTTTTGTGTTCACGGTCACAGCAAGAAAAAAAAAACCATCAAAGACTAAGAGAATTAAAAAAAAAGAAAAAATTTTTTAAATGAATATACATTTAAAATAAAAAACAAAGATAACATTGAAACAGTTGCAATTTTCCATTATGAAAAGAGCAAAGATCATTAAATAAGAAAAGCAAAATAAAATCCTTGAAGAAGTTGAAAGCTCATAATCAAAAGTAACTTACCTTTAATCCCTAACATAGTGCTGTAAAGAATGAAGTAGCCACTTTCATCAAACACTTTAAAAAAGAAAAGAAAAAAGGAAAATATATATTTCTAGTTTTTTTTTTTTTTATTTGAATTTTTTATGTAAACAAAGAAAGAAGAGTTTTAAATTAAGTCAAATTCTCTGATCTGCCATTTTCATGAAATTTGAAACCAACCGCTAAGCTTTGTTTGCAAATGGGCAATCTTTAACCTTCATGTCCACAAAAAATGATGTGTCAAAAGGACAGTTTTTTCCCCTTTGACACCTCTATTATTATTTTAACTACCTTCACTCCTCAGCAATAAAAAATTATAATAACACCAAAAAAAACAAAAAAAAACAGGTGAAAGTGAATTTATACAATTTTCTTGAGAATTTACAACAAAAATATTATACACTATTTATTTATTAGATTATTTACAAGAATAATTTTATATTTACAACATTCTGAAAAATAATACAATTAAAACTAATGCAATGCAATATTTATCATTTACCAATTTATAAAGGAATGAATATGAAAACAATTTTTCATTCATAAATTTATAAACATTTGCTAAATTAATAAAATATGCAAACCAACTATAAGGAAATCATTATTTGCCATTTTATAAAGTTTGAGTCAATTGGCAAAATAAATTATATATATATATTATAATAATAATACAATAAACTAAATACTCACAAATATTACTGTATCTGAAAGAAGAGGATTTTTCCAGATCCCGTTCAACAGCCATTCTTCGACCAAATTCCATGTTGGGTAGTAGTTGTTTTATCTGAGAATAATACAAAGACAAAAGTTGGGAACTAAAGGTTATAAGATACTAATACCAGTTTGCTCAGTCTTAAACCATTACCAATTTTAAAATATTTATTATTATAAAAGTTATGGCAATTAGAAAAAAAGATACAAAATTACAGACATAAATGCTTAAGATTTAATCATCAGTCAGTAGTCCCATGACCAGGTGTGGTTGTAGGATCATTGAGAACCTGACCAGTTCCTTACTTATCTGGGTTGAAAGTTTGTGTAGCATGTCTTCAGTAAGAAGAACCACAGAGCTCATCCCTCTCCAGGTTAAACCACAGCCAATGTCCTCCAACTTGAAAGCTTGCCTTGGTCACAGACAAATTGCCATTGATTCCATCAGAGGAGCCCTCCACCCAGCAAAGCCGTGTCCTCACCACATTGGCTGCATCCATAGCTATGGAACCCACTCTACCCCATTGTGCTAGATGGCCACTGATCCTGCAAAGAAGGTCCATCTACCCTTTGACAGGTCTTGTTTCTAATCCTGCTGAGTGTCTAGCTACCCTCCTTAACAGAAAAACCTGATGGCAGAACCAATTTAGTTGCCAATGACCCAACCAAGCAGCAGGTAGCCCTGGGTTACATGATCAGACAAAGATTTAATACTACTAGTGCAAAAACGAACAGTAGTGTCACTAACTGGTTTGGGAGGGTTTAAACATCATTACCACTGACCCAAACCCCCAGCAATACCTAACAATATCACCAGATGTTGGTTTTCTGACACAGTGTGGCCTTCTTCATACATTTCCTCTTTTCTATTGGTGACAATCTGCGGTCAGTCAAGGCTGAATTCATAATAAAACCTCAGCATATCAACTTCAATTGGTCATCCAATCATCTGTCAGGTGTTGCATAGTTTGCCAGCTTACACAGATGTGCCCAGTCAATAGTTTCCTCAAAAGAAAATGTTAATTCAATGACATTATATCTAATGAAGTGGAATAAACCTGGAATGTCTCCTGGGCATTTTGGTGAGTTTTCCCCAATGTCAAATAAATTGTTTAATGATAGAAGAAAACTTGCCAAAATTGCAAATAATGTTCTGAACATTGCTGGTCTTCTTCTAGGGGAAAAAAGGTTGAAGTTATGAGACAGCCAGTGAAACATTTATGCTGTTAATAGTTTGAAATAAACACAGGTTCACATACTATGGTGGTGGAGTATATTATAGTGTCACATGACTAAAATGATGGCTCAGTGGTATTTTAAGATATGCACACCAAGATTAAAACAAATTTTACTGATGGTAGGTTGCCGTCATTTGATTTGAAGAGCCTATAAAATATGTATTCATTTTTTACAGTTCGATTGGCACAGTAATCACACTCTGATAGATACATAAGGCTAAGATATTGAGTATCATATTGGTTACTCTTTCTATTTATTTATCACATTGACAATGTTTTTTAAATGTTTTTAATTCAATATAATTTTTATTCTGCTCTATATAAAGATTTAATTTGATTTTAGCTTCATATTCAAATATGTTAACATACTTTGACTAATTTGTAAAATTAATTTAAATGAAAGTAAAACCATTTCCTAAAGATTGTTTGTTTGTAATTATAAAAATTCTTGATCCAATTCTTTCATTTACTCAAATTATTAATTTCGATCATAAAATCAATTATAAAAAAAGAATCCTGAAAATATTTAAATCACAAAAAAAATCCAAACCACCAATAGTGGAAAAATTTTTAAAAATGTCTTTTTACCTGTTGAGCTGAGGAAACTTGTTCTAAAGACTCGTCCAGAACTTTTGTTAATTTCCCTGTGAGAAATTTAAATACACGTACCTGAATTGAAAAGGTTTAAAACTTTATTAAGAATAAATGGTTTTATCACATACTGACATGTTTATTATTGTCTTATATTGTTAAATAAGTTTCATACAAAAATTGATAATCTTCCATTATGAATATTAACTATTATTGAATTCAATTGGCAAAAGATTTTCTTTTTTAAATTTTTGGTAACAAAAGAAAAGGAAAAGATTTGCAATTTTTTCTTAAATCTTGTATGTATGCATGCAAATGTGTGTGTGTGTGTGTTCCCAAGATACAGCTTAAATGATATATAATACCCCAACTAATTTAGGGGCATATTATGCCTTGAACTCTTGCTGAGTGCAGTGCCAAATTTCATTAAAATTACACAAGAAGTTCTTGAGCTAGGATCATTTCTCTGTTTTTAAGGCATTTTTTAATGGAAAATTCAGTATTTCTTTTCGATATGAATCTGCATGTATAAACACTTGCATATTATGTTCCAACTATTGTGCATGTGAAAAATAATAAACATTCATAATACATTAAAACAACATTATTAAACTCAATTTAAATTTACGTATATAACAACATATATTTATACAATTCACTATACTAAATTAGTAATTTTTTTTTTTAAATAAATATCTCGGATGTTTGACAAGTATGTGAGGATGCTATGAGGGTATGTCATTGTAAAACAATCTGTAAGGCTGGAAAATTGTGTCACATGACTTGATGGTAAATAAGTAAATAGATACATGTTGGTGTGCAGCCGTTATGTATTTTAAAATAAATGTGGAGAAAGAACAATAATTTGATGTGAGTAATAACTATTACAATAACTTGTATTGCAAATGCAAATTAAAATATGTGTAATTAATAATAAAAGTAATAATTTTGTATCATGAACTGCTTTTAAAATGAATCCAACAAACTTATGGATGGTCTAGTGAAACCTAAAGTCATAACTACACTACAGTGATTGCAGTTAAGTGTTGTATTTAGACTAAAGAGGAGATAACTGCATATGCAAGAAAGAAGTTTAAAATCATTGGAGGCAGGAGAGACAAAAAATAGGTTTTCATATCTTTCCCTTTTTCATAATGCTAAAAACTGATTGTCATCCCAATTAATTTTTATCTTTGTTGTTTTTTTTTTTTTTTTTTTTAAAAAAAAAAAAAAAAAAATCTATTTTTTAAAATTTTGATTTTGTCTTCGTTTTTTTTTTTTTTTTTTTCGGTATTTGCCCTGAACTTTGCAACCATATTTTTCTCTTTTCTTTATTGTTTTCTGGATGAAATTTTGCAACCTACATATTGTTCATTCTTGGTTCCTGCTCACATGATGGATAATTTGTTGGGGAAATGAAACAGAGGTCTGGGATTGATGAATTTGGGATAATCAAGAATGTGACGAAATATCTTCAAGTTTTAGATTAGTTTCATCATCATTTATTGAGTTAGTGGTGGTGGTGGTGCAAATGCACTGTTTTCACCACACCTCTCTGTTGTAATTGTGGTTCATGGTGACATTCAAGGCAAAATAGTGCAATGGCTTGCTGGTTCCTTTTGCACCTGGGATATTGTTACACTGTCCCTTCTCTCAGAAGTTCCTCCATCCACTGGTAAAGCTGTTGACCTCTGAGGTACAGCTCCTAAGCCCAGGCTGGCATCTGGCCAATGGCTGCTTGGCACAGGTAGTCAAAAGGGTTCCCCTCTGCAACCTATCTTCACAGTTCAGCTGGCAGTTAAATGCCATTGACTGGAGTTTAGCTGTTGCAGTGTCCATGCAACTTCTTCAAGCTACATGTGAGAGTTGGATGTAGGCCGTGGACCAGTACAGTTCCACATCCCAATTCACCAAAGTAAATTAGGGTTGAACAGTTTGCTGCAAAAAGATAATATCTCTTGATGATGAATCCCATAAAATAGTTTAATTATTGAAAAAAACAAATAAAAGAATACTTTAAAGCAAAAAGTAGAAAATCTGAGAATCTTTAGGGTTTAGGGTTAGTGTTTCTGCTGCAAATACATGTTCAGAATTCCCTACATGTTACCCAGATCGATATACACCTGATGAAGGCTGGAGGACACAACACATGAAATATTGTGATAACAACAAAATAGTTTACATGTAATGTATGTTCCTTCAGGAGGGAATGTGCCTTGAAAGACTCTTCAGTCTCAAACTCATACCTGACCTCAAGTGGAACTCTTACATATAATCCATTGTTAAAAATGCAAGTAAAATGGTTAACTCCCTGTACCACTCCAGTAAGTGCCTGACTCCTCCTAACTTAACAAGAGCCAGATCAAGCCAAAATTGGAGTTCTGTTGCCATATTTGGGCAGGAGCTGCCCACATCTCACTTTCCAGCCTTGAGTTCAAAAGGCATCTCCAAGCCCTTGGGGGTGACAAATTATTCTCCACCCTTCAATATCTCTCCTACAAGTGTGAAATGGTGAGCCTCTCACTGCTCTATTGCTACTTTCACAGAAAGTGCTTGGACAAACTACGTTCCTTGGTTCTGCCATTTCAAAACTTCACAGCAAGAACTCACCATACCACTTACGATGTTTCAAACTGCACACATTCCCTCCGCATTCCATCAGTGAAAAGTAAGTTCCAATCGAACAGTTTCTTCCCATGAACCACTGCTCTGTGTAACCGACTCCCAAGAGAATGTTTCCCCCCGATCACTACAACCATAACCCTTTCAAGTCTAGGCTCAATCTTATCTTCCTCTCCTATCTGCACAAATTTCATCTTAAGGTAACACTCTACATTGACTGGCCCTCAGGCCTGATAAATGGTGCATCTTACTGTAAAAAAATTAAAAAAGAGTAGTGTAAACATTTTTTCCAACAAAAAGAAGAATTATTTTTTTAATAAATTTTTATGAAGCCATTGTCAGATTTAAAAACTTATTTTGTTAAACACACTTAGTGATTTCTGTCTATATCTCTGAGATGAAGTATTATGATTATTTACATTATTCAGACTGTTATCCTCATCTTCAATGCCATATTCACAACGTTTCAGCCGTTGTACTCTCTGGTCTTCTTCTCTGGCACCCGGAACTAGAACAATCTATTCCGGTGGATGAAATAAAGTGTTTGGTTCAAAATTCCAATCAACTGAAGGCCAGAGTGTACAACAGCCGAAACATTGTGAATATGGCAATGAAGATGAGGATAACAGTCCAAATAATATAAATAAGTACTTAGGGATTAATGAAAGCTGTTATTGATGATTTATCAATAACGCTAATATTTTAAGAATTTCTGCTTAAGCTTCAGTTTTCTCTTTGTTAAATCTCTTAAAGTTGAGGTGGATTATTTTTTCTTCTTGAATGCTGGGCAGATATATTTACACTGATGATCTCAACCATTGTAATCATTTGCCTAATAAGGTATTGGTCTTCTTCCACATGCATACAAAACAACTCAACTGATCAGGCATGAATACAAGACCTGTAATGGTTTTCTCTAGGATTAGATGTCAAGATATTAACAGTACATCCTTTAACTGCTGTAAATTACATGATGGGAAATTTTGTAGAGCAAACTTATCAGTTCAACACATCCCTTAAGGGCTCAATGGGATTTAGATCTGGAGAGTTTATGTACTTTGTAGGGATAAAACCAAAAAAATAAAAGTTCTCTCAGCATTCAACAAAACTTTCCTGTCTGAGAAATGGATTTTTTGCACCTAAAAACACCCAACTCACTTTCTTTGCTACAGACCCTCAAAAATATGTCCATTTCCTCTCCTCAGCACCTTGCTTATCATAAGACGAAGTGACTTTCTTCCTCTGTTACATGCAAACTTAAAATACACATACACACACAAATACATAAACATAAATAAAATTATAGGATTTGAATTTACAATTTAACATGTTTTTAGTGTTATTCCCTTGAATGTTTTTTATTCCTGTGAACATGAGGCTATCCTTGCCGGTATGATGATAGTGACCCCATAACTTACTTTTCTATCAGTTGATGTAGTTGCCATTAACATACCATTTGGTGAAAAACAGATACTTAATGGCACACTTTTATTCTGAAATGCAAAACAGATTTACAAGATTATGAATATAAAATTGATGTGTATATATCAGACATCTTTAAATACACAACTATATTATAAAATGATTTGCTCAAATTAATGTTCTCAACTTGGTTGCTATTCTCATGTTTCAGTTGTTTTACACTTTGGACTTCTTCAGATGTCAGTCATAGTAACCTTGCTGAAATTTCCATAGTGACAGAGTTTTTCTTATGCCATAAGTCATATAACTTAATTGATTCTTGTGATGCAACTCGTCTCTTCCTCTGAACCAAGAGGATAGAATTTTTCTACGTTTCATAACCATTTAGTCAAGTCATATACTCTTGGTTCAAAGGATGGCACCAATTGCATCACAAGGATCCATTGACTAATATGACTTATGGCATGGACAGTGGAATAAGAAAAATACTAGGCCAACAAATTGAAGATTGTTTTCTTTACAGTTTATCAACTTATTCTGGGTTATTTAAAGCGAAAACATACTTTGGATTGTAGGAGGTTGCTTACAGTACCTGATGTTCCTTAAGGGAACCCCCATCTAATAACTGACCAGATTCAACTCGGCTTAACTTTAGTGATCAAATATGAACGGGTGTTTTGAGAGTGATTTGACTCTAAGCCATGGATTGAATAGAGGGTTTGGTTTTAAGTTCCCAAAAGGTTACCAACTCTGACATATCTGAAGAAGGTCAAATGGTACAACAACCAAAACATTATTACTATAACAACAAAGATGAGATTTCTAGTCTGAATAAATTGGTATTTAATAATATTAATTAATAATTTAAAAAATTCAGAGAAAATTGACAGAAATATAGTTTTAACTTTATCCACATTTGATCATTGTATTGAAACAAATATACAACTTGCATAATAACTTAAAATATCATTTCATTTATGCTAAGACATAAAAATAACTCCAAGTCTGATTATTACAAAAAGCTGTTCACAAAAGGAATCAATTCCAGTTTTCTTTAGTGACCAAATGAAAATAATTTAACAATCATCAGTTTGATCACATATAGAATCAATAAATTTTAAACAATATTATCATCAAATATTAATATGAAAACAGAAAGAGAGAAATAGTTTAAAATGTCAAACTGTAAAATTAATGACAATTTAATATTTATTAAATATAGTGAGAGCAAAAGACAAAAAAAAAAAAACCCCTGACCTTCATGAATTCATATAAATCTGTATCTGTTTTATATTGCCATTTCACACATTTAGGAAATGAATAATCCTTTTTTGGTCCAGTCCAATACTCTACCATTCCTGCCGTATCAGAAGACACAGCTACATCGAACACTGTATTGTACTGGAAAAAGAATAGAAGAAAGAATGTTTGAGGAAAATACATCTGAGCTTCACGGGAAATTTAAATTTCATTGCCTAAATGAATGTAGCTTATTTCTCTCAACTCGATATATTGTTGTTAAGAACTTAAAAGGAATTCAATTTTTGATATTGGAAAGACAATAAGGCAACTGTTTTTTACATAATTTATGTCTTGAAAAGAAAAAAATTTTAACTCAAAAATTAAATAAAAAATTTAACCGCAGTACCTTGTCAGTTATTTTTAATGAAACTTGTATAAAAGACAGATTGCTACCCAAATACAATTTTTTATATATATATATATATATTATATTTTCTGATTATACATTTTCTTATGAATACACTTATTTCAGTAAATGCTATTTTTTATTTAAACAGTATTAATTATATTTACTGACTGAAATGTTCAATAAATTTTGTAGAAATTATGTGTCCTCCAACAGGAATATCCTATACAGAACCGTCATTAAACCTGACGTACTATGATTGTTCAGCCACAGAGAACTTCTGGTTTAGCGATGCTTGAATTACTGCTTTTAAACACACACCATCACCGATTTTTATTGATCATATCTGCTCTGAAATTGTAGCCTAACATAAAAATGACAATATCTTATATGAAATGAATTAAATCCAACAAATATTTTAATATATTTTCTGTTTATACGTTTTTTTTATGAATACACTTATTTGAGTAAATGCTCTGTTTTTATAATTTCTTGAACATTCAAGCCAGTAAATGTAATTAATACTGTTTAATTAAAAAAGAGCATTTGCTTAAATAAGTGTATCCAGAAAAAAAACATTAACAGAAAATATATTAAAATATTTGTTGATTTAATTTATATATATATATATATATATATATATATATATATATATATATATATATATATATATATATATATATATTTAGAATTCACCCAATTAATGCATTTTCAATGAGTGTACTAAAATTTTTCTATACCAAAATTCAGTTAGTGCATGCATAATACTCAATTAGTGCAGTAACTTCAGTTTAACTATACTAATTGAAAATTGATTTTTTTTTATAGTTCCTGATTAATTAAAAATTTTCTAAAATTTAAAAATGGGTAACTATTTTGTTTGTCAAGTATTACATTATCTAATCAATTACAGTAATGTTCAAAAATGGAACAGTTATAAATAGATAAATTTTATAACATAAGCCGATAATAAAAATATATATTTGTCTCTATTAAAATTTTTTGAATATTTTGACTTTTTTCATGTTTATTTTGAAAGTCTTAAAAAGAAATGGACAATTTAATTAGGCACAGAAATTTATATTTATTAAAAATATATCAAAATATAAAAGATGTATACATTTACCATAGAAGAATTATAAAATTTTCAGGTTAAAATACTAATGATGATATGTTTGGAAAATTTGAAGGGGTAATTTCTCAGCACCACCAATTATATGAAGAACAGGAGATTACCTTGCGACAAACCACGCTAAAGAAGTTTTTCATAAATAATCAGATTAATTAAACATTAATTCATTGCATTTTTATTGTATCTTCTTATATGTATCTATAATTAATAAATACACAAATTAGAAATTAATTGAGTGAGACAAAAATTTGAGGTACAAATTACATCATTTCCTATAAGTTATTATATTCAATTAATGTGTATTGTTTAATGTACACATAAGCCACACTAATTAAGGGATCCCTGTGTATGTATATATATATATATAAAAAACTCTTAAAATGATTGTGGTTTAGTTCTGCATTTAATAAGACATCAACTATGCCAAAAAAGGCTGCACTATTTTCAACAGTTTTTCAATTTCTGAGGGTTTAATGGCCATTTCTTTTTTAAGACTTAAAGTTAACTTCTTCAGTTCCTATAAATATATTTATTGCAATTACCTTCATGCCCTATACCTTGAGCACTTATTATTCAACCCAAACCTTAAGTAGAACTCATACATATTGTAGCAATACAATTTCTCACACATCCTTAGGAGATGAAGAGATAGATTCTTTTCCCTTTTAAGTCAATTTAATGACCAGGGTTTCTCAGGAATCTTGTCTCCAGCCAATCTCTTGGTAAATTTAATGAACAGGATTTTTAAGGAATCCTGTCACTAACCCACCTTTGAATTGACAAACAAAATTTTATTAGCGATTTTAGATAGCCATAAAAGTAGCATCCTTTAAAAAGCTGTCCATCCAAAAGCTGTCTGGGTGGTCCCCTTTCTGGTTGGTGGAATACAAGTGAAAGGAAAGAAGTGGTGGGTCCCCCAGCCAGCAGTCAGTGAGACACTAAGGCAGTGAGTGTGTAGGGGTCCTTTTTCCATGTCTGGAAGTTAGTGAGATACCAGAAGTTTGTTTTCTTGAAGCAAAACAAAGACATTGCTGATTAAGCGAGAAATTGTATTTTGCTACTTTCCAACCAGTGTCTTGAAAAGCAGTTGTCGTTATTCTTTGTTGACATCGATCACACCCCTAATATTGAAACAACCTCGTGGAACATAGTGAGTTCAGTGTATTCACATACAGCTGACCTTAGATGTCATCATAGTTTGTGCAGAATCACATCATCACAATATGATCCATTGCTAAAGATGCTGGAAAAATGGTCAGTTCCCTATACCATTCCAGTAAGTACCTGACTCCTCCTGCTATCCTCTACATTTACAAGAGCCAGATCAGGTCAAAGATGAAGTGGTACTGTTATATAGGACAGTAATGGACAGGATCTTCACTTTCCAGTCTCAAGTTCAAAAGCACCTCCATGTCATTGTGGGTGACAAATCATTTTCCACTCTACAACCCTTTTCTCACAAACAAAATGTCACAAGCCTCTCACTATTCTATCACTATTTCCATGGAAAGTGTTCAGATAAACTCAGTTCTACCATTTCTAACCTCCACAGTTAAGACCCACCATGCTATGCACATTGTAGTGAACCATCCTTATTCCTTTTGTATTTCACTGGTGAGATGTAAGTTCCACTCAAGCAGCTTCTTCCCACGAATTGCTGCTTTGTAGAACCAACTCCCAAGAGAATGCTTCCCTGGTCACTACATTTTTAACTTTAAGTTTAGGGTTAACCATTATCTTCCCCATATATCCATATAAACTCTGCTTCTTACTCTGTAACCCTCTAAGCTCGAGTAGCTCTTGGGCCTTGTACAAGGTGAACATCATTTTGACATGTACCAAAAAAATTCTCTTTTTATCTATACCCACACAAAATATATAAGAGGGTTGATTGATCAATAAGATCTCCAATCACATAAAACAAGTTTTAGACCAGAGAGAATGAATGAGACTTATCAAGTAAGTTTATTTTTCTACACAGTCACCATTTAATGCAATATGTTTTTCAAAATGATCCATCTACTTTTTAATCTAGTTGCAAACAGCAATTCTGACTCTTGTCAGATGAAAAAGGTTGACATTAACCTTCAATTTTGAGGACAAGAATAAGTTTGATGGTGTCAAATCATAGCCATACAGCAGGTGTACAATAACTGAATTTCAAGCAATGTCCATTGCACTGTGGCCTTTTGTTATTCTAATGCAAAAGAAAAAAAAAGTTCTCTTTTCAGGCTGTCTTCTGCAGATTGTGTGGCTGCTCATACACCTGTGAATTTTGATTGGTACACAACATTCTCATGTAAATTCTATCACTGATTACTTCTTTGTTTACAACTCATGACTAAAAACAACTTTTATTCAATATTATCATGAAGAGAAGTGACACAGAGGAAATTTGAACAGGACTTTGAACACAACTGAAGACTTGTTCAAACATGTTTCTATCTTGACTATTAAGAAGACTTGTTAATCTTGTTATGGAGTTTTTAACTATTCATAACAATGATTGAAATGAATTTTTTATTCTCTTTCAATTTTGATATTTATCTTCCTTTTTCATAATCACGTGTATATTTTTTATTTTATTTTAAGTCTTTCACCCCAAGCAAGGCGAGAAGCCACTAGGACGCAAGGGGTTACAGAAAATTTGGAGCAAGATCAGATAGGAGTGATAGAAGAAAGGATGAGGAGAAGGGTAGTGGATAGATCAAGGCAACTGGAGATGTCGATTGACATTACATTTGAATAGCTGGAGATTATAGCTCACAGGGAAACAGGAATAGGGAAGGGAGTTCCACAGGCGAGAGGTGCGAGATATGAAGCTATTGGAGTAGAAGAGACGGCTACATTTAGGAGTTTCGACAGTGAAGGTGTGAGAGCAGGATGCCAGCCTCATAGGGTGCTTGAACTCATGAAGTTTGGGAACCAGCGAATGCAGCTCCTCAGAGCAATTGCCATGAAAGTATTTGTAAAACAGACAGAGAGAGGCGACAGCGCATCTGTGAGAAAGTGACTGTAGATGAGATGCCAGAGCAGGGCCAATTATATTGCATATCTGCCTCTGGAGCCTATCAAGAACCCCGAGGCAAACAGAAGGGGCTCCAGACCATATATGGCAGCAATACTCCATGCAAGGACAAATTGTTGATTTGTAGATCTGGAGGGTCGATTCCAAGGAGAAAAATTTCCTGACGCAGCACAGGGAGCCAACTTTCCTTGCGGTGGATGAAGCAATTGACTCAATGTATTTGTTCCATCTCAGGTCAGCAGTCAACATAAGACCGAGCAGCCGCAGAGAGGTGCTCTCAAGAAGTTGAGCGTCAGACAGTCTAATGGAGGACAGGGAAGGATCTCTGTGGTGATTAATAGAGAGCAGTTTTGTTTTTGAAGCATTAAAGTTGACCAGCCAATTCCTGCCCCAGTTCACAACCAATTGAAGGTCCTTTTCGAGATGCACGGCCAGGTTAGTTTTGTCAGTGACACTAGATTTGTTTTTGAGGCAGGAATAAATTGTGGTGTTATCCGCGTAGATGCCAACTTGGGAATTTATGGCATCACGAAGTTCATTTATGTAGATAAGGATGTTCACATATCAATTGTTTTTATTTTTTTTTTTTTTTAAACGAAAGTCAAATTCTTTAAATAGTTAATGAGAACCAAATTCAATATCAATAGCTCGCAAGAAATGTTATCAAACTCTTTTCTTTTCCTCCTTACCACAAATTATCACTCTGGACATGTGAAAAATTATTTGATTGAAATTTGTCATAATTGCACATTTTGGAGATAAATATTTTACTAGCACTCCATTTCCCTGTAAGTGTGTGTGTATATATATATATATATATATATATATATATATATATATATATATATATATATATAAAATGAATGTGAATAAAGACAAAAGAGAACCTTTTTTAACCATTTCTTTACCAACAGGTTTCATCCTCTAATGAACTTTTTATCAAGCCAAATGTAAGGATTTTATTTTGCAACAAGTATTTATAAACAGAAGTAGAAATATCATCAGGTTTTCAAAATGTTTAAATTTAGGAACACTCAAAAATATTCATAAGGCAAACTATGAAAATCCTATGGAGGATACTACAAAAAGGATCTGATACATAACAGTTTATTGAATGCATTAGTCATACATAAGTTCTACTGCAACTTTGATCCAAAGAATGCCATACTTATCAAAAGAAAAATTAACTTACTTAGATGAAAAGTTCTCAAGAGTGCTGCTATTAAATCTTGCCAAAATGTTAACTTTCGTGCCAGATTTTTTCCAAATATCTCCTTTCCTAAAAGAAATACTATTTTTCCAAGCCAACATACATGACCATAAAGATTTTTAATATTAAAAGAAAACTGTTGAATTCAAAACTACCTATTTTTGAAGATGAATAAATTATTTTATCATATTAAAACAAAAATAATAAATAACAATTACATTAATAAAAAAAGTAAATATGTATGTATGTGCATACTAACATCTGCAGAATTTAGTTGCATATTAATTTATTGCTAATTCTTGAGGCCCATACATTAATGGAAGTTTTTCTAGCATGGTTTACTGGGTGGTGGAATCTATCCACTTTCCCAGCTTAGCATGACATCCCACCCCCCATGCTCACCACATCATTTAGCCTGAGAGATTTAAGTCTCATCTCTCCCCCACCAAAGCCAGCATGACCAAAATCACTTCTGCTTTAATATCCATTCAATCAACCCAACAGAAAACTTTGCCTGTCTTAATGTAGATTGGTAATTTTAATCATTTTTCTGAATTTTTTCTCTTTCCCTTTACTATGTACATTTCACTTACTTCCTAGTAATTTTTTTTCTTTTTCTCTTTGTTTTAAACTATCTGTTAATATGTGGCACAGTAGATGTGTGAGTGTGTGTGCATGCTAATATCTGCATAATTTGCTTGCACATTAATTTATTGTTAATTCTTTAGGACCATATGTTTAATGGAAGATTTTCTGGCGTGGTTTACTGGGTGGTGGAGTTTGTCCACTTCCCCCAAAATTGGATATTGGGACTTATACTGAATTAAAACTTTATAGCTGTTTCCCACTCCCTGTCCACAACCCTCTCTCCAAGCCATAATGCTTCTCCTGAAATTTTTTTTTTCTCTTGAATAGATAACTTACTCATTGCAGGCCCCTAATCTTGTAACCATCTACTATACTGAATCAAATGGGGGTTGGGGATGCACATGTATCTCCAAGCAACCCTCGTTCTTCCCACTTCTCCCAATGGGTCTCTTAGTCCTCAAGTACATGAGTGAGCTTGTCTCGGTGCCTTTAGGTCTCAGACTGGTATGATGTTTCTGATCCAAGGAGGAGTTCTGTTGCTTTAACTTCTGGGCAGACACAACATGTCCACACTGACAACATGTCCACACTGAGCATCAAACATGTATTTTCTTTCCTGGGTTGATTGTCCCAATGGGGTAAAAACTGGCTGGTTACATTCAATACCTCAAAGACCAAGCTAGTTACATTCCATCATTGCTGATCTGACCCTGATCCTCTTGAGGAAGCACTATGCCTTGCTTCACTGACCTGAAGTGGAACTCGTACATACGATCTATTGCTAAGGATGCAAGTAAAATGGAGTAACTGACTCCTCCTGTTATTCTTTACAAGAGCCAGATCAGACCAAAAATAGAGTACTGTTGTCATATTTGGGAGGGAACTGCCCAGAACTCACTCTCCAACTTTGATAGAGTTCACAAGCGTCTCTGAGCCCTTCAACCTCTCTCACACAGGCTGGATATGGTAAGCCTCTTGCAGCTCTGCCGCTACTTCCACGGAAAGTGCTCAGACGAACTACATTCACTGATCCTGCCAACACAAACCTTCACAGCAAGAACACGCCATGCCAAACTTACATAGCAAACAACGTAGATTCCCTCTGTATTCCATCAGTGAGAAGTAAGTTCTACTCAAAGAGCTTTTCCCTGTGAACCACTGCCCTGTAGAACCAATTCACAATAGGATGTTTCCCTGATCGCTACAGTCTTAACCTGTTCAAGGCTAGGGTCAACTATAATCTTCCACTCCTATAAACACAAATGGCCTCCAAATGTAACCCTCTACCTAAAGTGGCCCCTGGGCCTTGTAAAGAGTGAACTTTACTGTAAAAAAATAAAAAAAATAAAATAATATATATATATATATATATATATATATATATATATAAGAAAATAAAAAATTCAACAACAATAACATTTACTCAATTTTGTTTATCATGCATTAAATTACATCATTTAGCATCTTCCATAGTTTACCTTGATTTTCACAGTTAGCCATAGGATTATTTTTGAGTGTTTGTAAATTTAACAATTTTGAAAAATCTTTACATTTAACTTGATAAAGTCCATCATAGGACAAAATGTGTTGTTAAAAGAAAAGTTTTCCATTTGTCATTATTCATATTGTTTTTTACTGATATTTTATTTATATCTTAATTTTTTTATATATATATATATATATATATATATATATATATATATATATATATATTTTTACAAAAATTTTTGTAGATTCAGGTCGATAAATGTATTTAATACTGTTTAATTAAAAACAGAGAATTTACTTAAATAAATTGTATCTATAAAAATAAAGTATAAACAGAAAATGTATTAAATAATTGTTGAACTTAAATCAGTTTCATTATATGTTGTCATTGTTTACATTAAGATACATTTGTGAGCAGATATGATTGAGAAAAATCACCGAAGATTGTATGTTTATAAACAGTAATTTGGACTTTGCGAACCAGACACTTCTCTGTAGCTAAATAGTATAGCATGTCAGATCAAATGTCAGTTTCCATATAGGAATACAGATTCGATTCCTGTTGGAGAATGCATATTTTCTACAAAGTTTCTCAAACATTCATGCTGGTAAATGTAATACTGTTTAATTAAAAACAAAGCATTTACTTAAATGAATTGTATCTATAAAAATAACGTATAAACAAAAAATATATTAAGTGTGTGTGTGTGTGTGTGTATAGTGTGTAACATTTATCTGTGCAGAAAGTAAAATCGCTGCACCATCTTCCATTCTGTTGTGTTCACTTTGCATGGAAAAGGCGTGAATCCGTCTTCTCCCAGCTATGGGTTAAATAAACCAGACTGGGCTCTCTTACTTTGGGTGGCAGCTAAGAAAAACTGAATTCAAACCTTGGGAGGACCGTGTGGAAACTTTGCCTTCACCCGTACAATGAAATCTTCTGTGTGGATAGTCAAGTTCTTCTGTGTGGGTTGCTCAGTTCTAAATAAAACTGTTAGTAGGCCCTCATATGTGAAAATCGACAGGAGAGTCCACTACTACCATTACTACTATTAATAAGGGAGTGGTGATATTATCTTCCTCTAGTATCACTTGAAAATATTTTATAGATACATTCATGTATACTTAAATTCTGCAATGAAAAAGGTAGTTTGGGCTCCTTTGCCTTGGATGACAGCCAGTCTAAGTGAAGAAACACTGACTTCAAAACCACAGAAAAAGAAACAGGAAACCACAGAGAAAGAAACAGGAAACCACTCCACTATATGTTATAGCAATACAAAGATGATAAAGAAAAAGGAATCTGTGGAGAGCCATGACTGCCTATGCCCTGAAGGGGGTATGGAATGAAAACATTGTATTAAAAGGAAATAGATGAGAATGTTAGTCTAAATAATTCCAAGGGAAGATAACTGACCACATTCTAAAGAAAGTAAAAATCAAAATTTATTTACAGAGATTAATGTCACGGGTTTGTAGTGAAGTTTATCAATAACTTGCAGAGGTTGGTTGCTCCCTTTGCTATCAAATACATGAATGCTGCTACTTTTTGTGTCCGATCTGTAAGATAATTATGAAAGTGATGTTCAAAATCTAAAAACATTTATGGACATGCTTAATAAAATTTTTTTTTTAAAAATAACAGACCAAGAATAATATGTCTGAAGGTCAGCTTTAGTGAATTCAATTTTTCTTTTTTCTTTAACCTGACAAGAAAAAGTATTTTTTTGACTTAGCCAAAATGAGGCAATGTTGCAAACACAAACACTTTTAGAAAATACTTGGGTATTTTATTTAAATTAAAAAAAAAAAAATGTGAGTTAAAAATATTTTTGAACAAATATCATATATAAAATATCTGAGTTCAATTTGTTCACCTAAAAATAGGGGATCATTTTATTAGATTATAAGAACATAAATAACTTTAATATATGATAAATATATAATTTTAAGCTATGCTATATTTATGAGTTAAAGTGCTCAATATCAGAGATAGAGTGCATGTAAATATAAAAGTAGACACCAAGGTCAGCACTGAGTGGTGACAGTCTGTTTCATGCTTAAATCGTCAGGCCACGTGTGTTGCATTTTGGCTTGACTATTTGAATATATGCTGGTCAGTGATGCATTACAGGTAGGTATATTGCATGTGCAGAAAATTACAAGCTGAAAATTGTCAATGGAGAAAATTTTCATTGAGAAAATTGCCAGTGAGGAAAATTTCCAGGGGTTTGAATCTATTTACCTGAAAGTGCTTTAGAATAATTTCAGAAAAACGAAATGAGGTTTTATTTAAAGCCTTAAAATTATAAAAGTTTCATTTATCAACATTTCGTATATAAAAAAAATATTCAGAAAAACAGGATGAAATTAAAAATTTATACAGAAATATTCTTAATTTTCTAAAAAGGTGCTAAATGCAAATTTTATTTTATTTGAAGTGCTTATTATTTTCAGGAACAAAACAAATGAGCTAACACCTACTGTTTAAAAAAAATAAAGGTACCTCTACAACAAAAAAGTGTACCCCATCCATAGCCTTGTTGATGCTCACCATTCTTTTGTACCAATCTATAGCTCGAAGTAAGCAAATATAAATGGAGAAATTGCAGTTTGGGTTTGAAAAAGCAATTATAAAACAAGAAATGGATAGTCTTTTTATCTTAGTAATATTCTCGTCATTTGGTTTTGACTTCAAATAATAAAATGAGCACTTATAAAAAGAGAAATGATAGTTTTGATCAAAATTAGTAGTCATCAAAATAGAAATTAATTTTTTTTCTTCTTTTTTTTTTTTACTTAAATTAACTGTATTTAGATTAGATTCTCTCAATCTTTTAATTTGTCAATGGCAATATTCTTCAACAGGAATTTTCCCCATGACAATATTCTTCAACAGGAATTTTCCCCATGGCAATTTCCAAAAGGTAATTTTCCTAAAACCAGTCTATTGTATTATTTTATTGTTTATTGGGTGGGCAGTAATGGTTATATTTTTAATTATTCTAGAGGTTACTGAGTGGAAATAATTATGGATCAACTTAATAACCCCTAGAATAATTCAAAACATAACTTGGTACATAAATGTGTGTCTTTATAGTCATTTATTTCCAGTAAATGACAATTTCCTATTTTACCCAAAACAGGCCAGCACAGCCAGGCAACAATGAAGAAAAAATAAATAAATAAATAAGGCAAGCTGAATTTATCACAATTTTCCCTAAGCAGATTCCGAGTCATTTTAAAATTTGTCCCCCCCCCCAAATTTTTTAAAAATCTGTATGTTTTTTAATATCATAAAAATAAATTCATAACTTTTTAATGACTACCACGTTTTTGATTTATAAAGAGAAATTGCAAAGAAAAGTTCAAAATGATGAAAACTCTACTGAAATGGAAATTATGTGTAAAATATAAAAGCTGAATTGTAATGTTTTTATTTTTTTGTTTTTCTATTAGACACTCATTCACTTTGGCTTCAACGCCAAAGAAAAAAAATCCATGTTCAAAAATATTCCTTATCTCCTGATGGCTCCAAACAACAAATAGAATTTTTCCTTTTTGATTATAAGACAAAATATGATGAACTGTGTTAGTTGCATGAAATGGATAATTATTTTAGAAATCAAATTCTTTAAATAATAAACTCTGCAGAATTATTTTTAAAACAATTTGTGTTTGTTTTTTGTAATCCTCTATGCAGATAACAGATTTTATTGTTAAAATTTTTGTCATATTTTTCAGCAATTTTGTTTGATGTGAACTTAAATATAGCCAATTTATTGGCACTAAAATAAACCAGCCAGCCTTAGGATTTGCAACTGTCTATATCTTCAACAGAAAAAAAAATATAAAGAAATTCAGTTGTCATATAAACTTAATTTTAGCTGGGTTTTTTTTTTTCAGTTACAGAATTATTTCAATTTACTAAGAATATCAACAGGCGTCATCATAACGAGTGAGGCATGTGTGAAAGAATTTTGGGGGTAGGCAGCCATTTGTTTGCTGTCAAGTGCAAGCCAAAAAAATTCTATTATTGTTGCTATATAGTTAATTGTTTTATTAACCCTTAAATGTCAGGAAAAGGTCACACAAAGATACGCGGGTATGAAATGAGAAATTTTTTTTTTTTTTTGAGGAAAGTTTTGATTTTTGGGGGCCTGAATTATCTACAAAAACTATAACCAATGATATTTTAAGTCTTTTAGATTATAAAATAAAGAAAAAGGGAAAATAAAACAAATATTATGTCTCTAAGTTTAATATTTTTAACACTATGATATTCGTTGAAGAATTCAATGACAATGGAGTTGTGCATTCTTTACACAAAGTTGTTACCTCTTTTCTCTTCGAGAATTTTACAAGCAGACATAGCACTGTCTTTAGCTTGTCTTTCAGATTTATTTGCAGATATTTTTTTTTTAATATATTCACCCCAAGCAAGGTGACAATACCACTAAGATGCAAGAGGGTCTACTGTGAGTAAAAGAGGATGAAAAGACTTTAGCAGGAACTGGAAACCTAATCATAAACAAGAAAAAAAGGATAAACCTCTACTCCTGTTCAATATGAATTCATTTTTGCAAAATGTAATTCAGATTTAAAATATTTTAAAATAATGAATCTTTAAAATAATTCAAATCAATTACATTTTTAAAATATTTCAGGAAATGATGTAACCTTGTGAATCCTAGATTTGCAAATAAGACATTTAAACTAAAATCATGAACGATTAATGTCCGTATCTTTGGAAAAAGTTTCAATCCTCAATTGATGATATTAGCTGACCTGCAATGAGACATCAATTGACAATGCCAAATGTTTCAGGGTTAAAAAAAATTAAAACGTTGCATTAAATAAATAATACTCCTCTTAAGTGTATGAAATGAGTATGCAAATGTAGCAACTATTATGGGACAGAGGCAGCATTAAATAAATAATACTACCTCTGTCCCATAATAATTGTTGCATTTAGTGTATGAAATGTTTATGCAAATCTAGCAGCTATTATGGGACAGAGGCAGCATTAAATAAATAATACTACCTCTGTCCCATAATAATTGTTGCATTTAGTGCATGAAACATTAATGCAAATCTAGCAACTATTATGGGACATAGGCATCATTAAATAATACTACCTCTGTCCCATAATTGTTGCATTTAGTGTATGAAATGTGTATGCAAATCTAGCAACTATTATGGGACAGAGGCAGCATTAAATAAATAATACTACCTCTGTCCCATAATAATTGTTACATTTAGTGTATGAAACGTTTATGCAAATGTAACAACTATTATACAATAGTGATAACATTGATATGATTGAAAATGATTCTATTTTGAAAATGTATAAAATTTATGAAGAAACCATAAGTACGTACTTATCTTTTAGGTTGCAGCATTGTGCATTGTATATACAATGTTTTATTTAGGATATTCGTCCCACTCTTGGTATTGTAGTTATATTATGGAATTTAGTAAATATTCAAATATGTTTCAACAAATAGCTTCATTTTTCAATGAGTTTGCTTATCTTGACAGATGTCCCAAATAAATATTGATTTACTTGAAAATTATATTTTATAATATATGTTCTACTTAACCTTCAAATGTCATTTTTGTACCTAAATTTATCTTGACCTAGTTTTTAATAGCATCAATAATTTTGTATTTTGTGTGATCATGACATTTTTTTTTTTTTTTGATTCACCCCAAGCAAGGTGATAATGCCACTAAGATGCAATGGACTACTATAAGTCAAAAAGAATAAGAAGACTTTAGAAAGAACCGAAAACACAATCCTAAACAGGAAGGAAGGAAGGGATAAACCTCTACTCCTGTTCAAAAGACAGGGGGAGGAGTGTGAACCGGACAATAAGCAAACCTATCTATTGAGGAGAAAATAAATAATTAGTAAAAAAAAAAAAAAAAAAATTTTAAATGTCATAGTTCAAGCAGAGATATTATAGAGTTGAAGTAGATTTTAGACCAGGGGGTCAGCAACCTTTTGGAGAGAGTGGGATAGACAGCTATGCAGTATCTCAGAGGAGGGCCATGATATTAAATGTACAATGTATAAATTGTCTCGACTTCAGACCACTCCATCCAGAAGACTGCCTTGGTCTGGAGATTTAGACAAAAAAAAAAAAACAAAAAAAAAAAAAACAACAAAAAAAAAAACAACAAAGTTAATGTTATATTATTTAAACAAAGTTCCTTATTTTACTACAGGAATAACAGACAACACAATCAACAAAAAATGCAAATTCCCTACAATAGTTAAGTTGGTGGGCTGGACAAAAATCCTTTGAGAACTGAATGTGGCTTCAGGGTTACCAACCCCTGCCTTAGAAGGAACCAGAAACCCAATCCTAAACAGGAAACAAGGGATAAACCTCTACTCCTATTCTAAAGATTGGGGAGCAGTATGAACTGGACAAAAAGTGGATCACACTCCTCCCAAGTAATATAAAAACAATATTGTATCATTAAGTAACACTACAAAGAGAAACTCAAATAAGCTATTAAAAACAAAATGTGCCATTAATAAATTTGAGTGTACAAAATGAAATTTACAGGGAGTGTGTGTTAAAAAAGCAAGAAGATACTTACATAGCAATCGCTGCAATAGCATCACCTGGAGTGTACAACCAACCACAACACAATGGACTGAATGAAATTTTCAGCATATTAATCATGTCTGAAATAGAGACAATGTGGTCTCATAATGGCAAGAAATTTAAATAGTTGTTAAAAAATGAAGAGAAAATTAAATGTACAGATTGTGGCTTTTTAGTTGAATGTTGACTTACATTTTTTCATAGAAGACAGTTTTTCTTTCCAGAATCCATCCTATATATCTATAAGTATAATTCAACCATATTTAGAATATTGCTGCCACATATGGCCCAGAGCCCCTGCTATTTACCTTGGGTTCCTTGATAAGATCCAAAGAAGAATCAGCAATATTATTGGTCCTGATCTGGCAGCTTGGCTTCAGTCACTTTCCCATTGCCATAAGGTTGCCTCTCTGTGTCTTTTCTATAAATACTTTCATGGTAAGTGTTCAGATGAGCTCTTCGCTATGGTACCTAGAGCCTTTGCATTTAAGTATAGTACTAGACTAGCATTTCATCAATTTACAGTCAAGCTGCCTGGATGTAGGCCATAGATTCTATGCTAACAGTTTTTTTTCTTGCATGTCTCATTTGTGGAATTCCCTTTCCAGCCAATTTTAATCTGCAAAAATTTAAATACAATGTCAGTCGCTACCTATTGTCCTCCTGATTACTCTTTTCTCTTTCCTTCCATTATTAATGTTTCTGTTCCTAATTCTTCATCACACTGTAACCCCTTGTATCTTAGTGGCTTTACTGCCTTACATGGGGTGATATTGATTAAAAAATGGCACTGATTGGTTTTTATGGCTTATGAACCCTTTGTGAATTATTTAATGCTGAAACCTATTTCAGATTGTAGGAGGTGGTTTACAGTACCTGGAGTTCCAAAGTAGCCCTCATCTAATGATTGAGCAGGGCAACAAAATAACAATGCCAAATGCAAAATACAGATCAAAATAAATTCTTTGACCTTCATGTCATTATTTATGATGACACTCAAAGTATTTATGTGTTTGCTCAAAATCCTGAAAATTAATCAAAATTCTGACATCAAATAAATATAGTTTTTAAAAATCACCTTAATGAGTTCATTGCCGGGAAACCACCAAAATTCTGGGAAGATTGAATCTTTAAGTTGAAGGAAAAATGAAGTTGTGCAACAAAATGGTTCATATTTAGTTCAATAAACATTTAATGACGTAATTTTGCTTTGTGTTTTAATTTTCCTCAAAAACTGGCATGAACTTTCTGGACAACCCAATACTAGGATAGATCTAAAATGTCAACTATTTATTTTTTTGTTTAGAGGTTAAATAAAATAATTTAACCTTTAATTTCTCAAAAACCATATCTTTATTTTTTTTTAAATTTGACAACAAATTTGTCTGCCTTATGGCAAGATATATACAAAATTTTGTGGTGGACTTTTGACTGTGGTCTGGGATACAAGGGTTTTACTGAGTTGGGCCAAATTCAAAACGGCGGATTTTAGTATTTGCCGCTATATGCTAACATTTTCATATCTCCCAATATGGTCAAGTTGTATATCTTTAGCAAACTCTTTGAATGCTGATTAATATTCACATAAGAACTATGATCATAAAAATCAACAAAATTTGTGTTATTTGTGCTTAAATATCAACCAATTCAGTGGAAATAAACAACCTTATTTTTGATTATTTATTTTTTTATTATACAACAAAGACTTTTTATATGAAAAAGTGACATAATGAAAATTATTTTAAAAAGTGTCATGAATTAATGTTAAGATAATAAAATATGAAAATATGCAGCAAACAACGTCAATGATTAACAAGTTTTTGTTTGCCTCAGTTTTTATTTTGCTGATAAAGCTTGAAAAATAAACCAGTTATGAGGAGAAAAAAGTGGGAAAAATTAAAGGAGCAATAGCAAAGACAAACTAATTTTGACTAAAATTTCTCATCAAGTGTCAGTGTTAGTCAGACACTTGTTGGTTTGACATGGAATGACTTGTGCTTTATTTATATCTTGCCCAAACTTAGTTTTTCTTGTTTAATAGAGATAACTAATTTGTATATTTCGTTTTATCATTTTGATCTACAGCATGTGACAAAACATTGCCATTAATAACAACTAAGAAGAAGATATTAGTCCTAACATAAATAATGATATCTCCTCCTTCCAAAGATTTAAACAGTAACTGTGTTTTGTTATTTCCAACTACGTGGCTTTTGGCAAGATTTATAAATAAGTGATTTTTTTTGTTGGTGGCTTTTACAATTAAATCATTTACTTATTCAAATAAATCCATTTTCTGGTCAGAAAGTGGTAACTACCTTAGCAATTAGATCACAGCTTGATCATAAACTGTTGCCATTGTCTTTTTATTTAAAAAAAGAAAAAAAAAAAATGGAAAAATCTGGCTTATTACTGTATACAGTCTCAAGAAAGTAGGTGCTTGGAAATTTCACACGCACTTAATACAAACAACTGGCTGCAGATTAATGTTTCAATTTTTAAGAAATTTCTTTTTTGTAGACCAGTATTCAGTGATAAATAACTACTTACCTACCTCCCTAACTTGAATTTTATTAATAATATTAATAAATCTATAATTCTACTACTCCTGTTAAAAACAAATTCAACAGGTTTTTTATATATATATATATATATATATATATATATACACACACACACATTTGGTTGGATTGATGTGAGTTTGTTACCCTGGGTTTCACCTTTTTTATATATATATATATATATATATATATATATATATATATATATATATATATATATATATATATATATAAAATTTTTTTTTTTTATGTACTTATCAGGTCAACAAGTCTTAATTGTGTCTGTTTCTCATATTGTGGTCTACAAGTCCAAAGTTTGTTTTCAGATGTTATGTTCAGTTTTGACTAGACACATCAACATATCTTCAGAGAAATGGATGGGAAACAACACAAGGGGAAAACTGAAAGCACTCACAGGCTTTGTGTCTTTCTTTTTATTTAATGTTCTACTGTTTTTTACATTATTTGATTGCTCCATTGACACATACCAAGCTGTCGAGAGCACCGAGTGATGATGTCTCACACCCACTTGAAAAAAAGGACACAGCTTGCTTGTTTAAAGTACATTTGTACATTTAAAGCCACATACCCACCATGCCACCTATGGTGGCAAGGTGCACACACATGCCAATCAATGAATAAATAGAGAATATCAAAAAAGGATGTGTGTGTATGTATATATATATATATATCACACACAGACCAATAAACTAACATCAAAATGTGTGTGTGTGTGTGTATATATATATATATATATATATATATATATGTATGTATGTATGTATATATATATATATATATATATATATATATATATATATATATATATACACACACACACACACACGCGTGTGTGTGTATGCATGTATATATGTGTGTGTATGTGTGTATATACGTGAGTGTATATATCTATATAATAAATGCGAATGTCAGTGTGTCCCATTTTTTTTCAACTTTACTCCTAGAGTCCAACATATCATACCATTTTGGAATCAGACCAACTCTGTAAGCAAATTAAAAACATTCCGGGACAGATCCAAACCCATAATCCTGAAATTTTGGATTCCCAAGTTTTCATTACTGTGATTGTCCTCAGTAATTTTTTTTTTTACGACAAATTTCTTTATACGATAATTTTCATAACTTAGAAATAAATTTGGGAATAATCAAAATTAAACGCGAAAGTCAGCCATGAAATAAAAATAATTGTTTGTACGGAAATTAAGGAGATACGTAGATCAAACTGTTTTTAAATTAAGTGGTGGCAGATGAATTATTGTTGAACTTTAAAAGGTAAGCTTAAACATTAATTCATTACTTAAATGCAGCAATCAATTTTGAGGTTTTCTGTAGTTTGTTGTTGCCTATCACATCTACTCCTCCATATTTATTGTGATGAAGGCCCAATCAAGAGCCCTCTGCAGGAGCTAGCTTAAATGTAACTTTTAAGCTAATATATATATATATATATATATATGTGAAAAGTGTATATAAATATAAATAAATATAAGTATGTATAATTATTTATATATTATATCTTTTGGGGTACTTATTAGAAAGCGCTCAATATCAGAGATAGAGCTAACATATTTGGTTGGATAGATGTGAGTTTGTGACCCTGGGTTTCATGCGTGAAAGGCAGAGTCACAAACTCACATCTATCCAACCAAATAAATAAATAAATATATATATATATATATATATATATATATATATATTAGTGACCAATTTATATTTTTAATTTTGAGTCTTAGCTTCAGTCACTTTCCCACTGCCATAAAGTTGCCTCCCTGTGCCTTTTCTAATACTTTCATGGTAACTGTTTGAATGAGTCCTTTGTTAAGGCACCTAGACTTTATGAATTTAAGCACAGTACTAGACTGGCAACAGGGTCTCATCAATTTACAGGGTCTGTAATTCAGCTAAATGTAACAATAAGTTCTATGCTAGTTTTGTTTCTAGCACTTCTCACTTGAGTAACTCTCTTTCGGCTTCATGCTTTCCATTCAACTTTAATCTTCAAATTTTAAATGCAGTATCAATCGTTATCTACTCTTCACCTGATGACTGTTGTTCTCACTCTTTAGTAATGTTTCTGTTTTCTAATTCCAGTAACCTCTTGTGTTTTAGTGCCTTTACAACTTTGCTTGGGGTGAATTCAATTAAAAAAAAAAAAATACATATTTTACACAAATAATTCTCTAAGGTTTCAAATTTAGTTAAAGGTTTGGCCAAAGTGAAGCTGATTTTTCCATATTCCAGATGACATTCAACCACTAACATAACAAATAAATGAAACAATTCAGTTACAACAAAGATAATGAGTAATAGCAACAATAATGTCAACTTGTTTTATTTCAAATATTTTGAGACTGAATATGATTCCAAATTATTGTTTTTATTTGATTGCCTTATTACAATTTTTTTTTTTTTTACAATGAAGTTCACAAGCCACTCAAGGTAGAGGTTTACAGAGTAAGAGGCACAGTTTATGGGGATATGTTGGGGAGAGAAGGGTTGACCAGAGACAAACAGGTTAAGATTGTAGTGATTAGAGAAGCATCCTCTTGGGAGTTGGTTACATGAAACAACATTTCGTAAGAAGAAGCTGCTTGAGTGGAACTTACATCACACCAATGGAATACAAAGAGAATGAGGGTGGTTTGCTACACTGAACATGGCAGAGCGGGTCTTAATTGTGAAAATCAGAACTGGTGGAACTAAGGAATGTAGCTTGTCTGAAACTTTTCCATGGAAATAAGCAATACAGCAGTGCGAGTTTTTCCCTGGTCTGTAAGAAGTGGGTTATAGAGAGGAAAAATGATTTGTCACCCACAAGGACACAGATAATTTTGGACTCTATCAAGATTGGAAAGTGAAGACTGGGCAGCTTCTGCCCATATATGACAACAGTATTCCATTTTTGGGCCTGATCTGGCTCTTGTAAAGGTAGAGGATAGCAGCAGGAGTCAGGTACTTACTGGAGCAGTACAGGGAACTGACCATTTTTCCAGCATCTTTAGCAATGGATCATATGTATGAGTTCCATTTAAGGCCTGGGTTGAGTTTAAGTCTAAATAGGCACCCAAGGCATGGGCCTCTCTCATGAACAGTAAAAGTTCTGGGTCTGCTCAGTGATGATGGAACATCACTAGCTTTGTTTTCAAGGCAATGAATGTGACCAGCCAGTATTTAACCCCACTGAGCTGTTAAATCTAGACCAGAGGAGAGATCAACCACCAAGCTCCAGTTATGCAGGGTTTTGGAAGTGCATCCATATACTGTTGTATCATCATCATCCCCTTGACTTTTGTAATCGTAGGGCAGATCCAAAAGCCACATTAACTCTTCCACAACGGTCTATCAACGGCAGCCAACAGCAATTCTGGTACAGTGTTACTTGTTCATTGTTTGACATTTTCCAACCAGTTTTTGCATTGGCGTCCTCTCCTACATCCACCTCCAATGGTACCTTGCATAATGGTCTTGCACAGGTTGTCGTACCTTGTAATGTGTCCAAATCATGCCATTTTCTGTATGACAGTGACAAGAAGAGGTTCTTGGTGTCCCACAAAATGTTCAACCCTTTTCCACACAAACTCATTGGTTTTCACAAATATTCACAAATGATTGAAAGGAAATCATGTATGTAAAGTAGAAAGAGGGTTGGATCAAGAAGCAACTGGTGTTCCTGCTGTGAATCTCAAGATTTTTGACAAAATCCAAAGAAAGGTCTGCAATGCCATCCATTCTGACCAGGCATCTCATCTCTGGTCACTTTCCCACTGATGTGACATGGATTTCCTCTTCCTGTTCTACAAATATTTTCATGGTAACTACTCAAAAGAGCTTTTTTTTCTTTTTTATTTTACTGGTACCCCAACTACATGAATTTAAATGTGATACTAGATTGGCAACTAAGCCTTACCGTTTTATTGGTTAAATGCAAATGCCACTTCAACACTAACAGCTTCTTTCTTGCACTTCCTACCTGTGGAAATTCTGAATATCTTGCTTCCCTAATAATTACAATCTTCAAAAATTTAAATGCAACATCAATTGCCATCTTGAACCCTGTTCCATTTTTGTCATTTCCTCAATCCTTCTCATTTTCAATCTTCTCATTCTCTTTCACTCCCTATGCCCTGTGTTCTAGTTGCATGGTTGCTTCGCTTGGGGTAAAATGATTAAAAAAAAAAAAAAAATACAAAAATTTTCAATGCTCTCAACTCTAAGATTTTCAAAGAAAAACCTTACATTTGAATTTTCCAGTTATAAACTTAATTTATTTCACAGTTGGTTTACACTGCATCTTCAGACTGTTTTAAATGCACCAAACACAGAAAATAAATTGATTTAAAAAAGAAAGACAAGAAGGAAAGAAAAGAAAATGTTGTGGTAGTGGGAGGCAATAAATGACAGGAAGGGGTAAAAATGAAGACAAAAGAGAGAGGAAGATATCTTGTTGGACAAAGGGTCATGGGGTGAGTTTTTAATGAAACTGTTCCAAACATCTCTTCTGTCAAATGCCATAAAAATAGGTAATCTTTTAAAAAAAAAAAGATATTAAGTTTCGCATAAGGTCAAAAATATGTTACTTGAAAACACACATTTAATTATCTGTACAAGTTGTTATTCTCATACATTGAGTTATCTATTTGGAGTTTTACCAGGATTATTCACATAACCAAAGGATTATATATATATATATATATTTTGGTTGGTTAAACATTTATGGTTTTTAGAAGCTGTTTGCATCATCAAACTTGATTGGTCAACTTTATACAGACAAAAAGTGAACTTTCTTCATAATCTGTGTCTCTTGTGGGTCGTGAGTTATTTTCTTGTGTTTTATACTCACTAGGGGCTTATTAGCATCAATTAGTTTGTTAATAGTAATAAATTTATTTTAGTTATGGCTCCTTATGAACCCTATGACCACCCCCCCGTTTCCACCTTTTTCAGTTCCACCATTTTGATTATTGTTGTTCCAACAAATATTTCTGAAGAAGTGTTGGACAAAACAACATCCCTTTAAAAAAATGCATTCCGTCATTTATAAAGCCATATTTAAATTCTGTAGTACAAAATTTTTGTTATATATTATTTTTATTATAAAAAGATTATCACCAATTACTTAACATCACCTGAAGAGGCAAAAAGTTGCTGAAACAAAAAAGCTTTTGTATAGTAATTTCAACATGTTTTTGTTATAATCTTTTATAATAAAAATAATAATATATTGTTCTACTTTGTATTGAGCACTTTTTTTTTAAAAGTAAATGTTATGAACAGTAGAATTTTACTTCATCTGTTCTTTCTCTCATTTGGAGATTATATATATATATATATATATATATATATATATATATATATATATATATATATCTCAGAAGCAATAAAATATTGAAGTAATTGATGTATTGCATTGTTATTGAATTTTTAGCTTTGGAACACATTGCACCACAAGAAAACTCTAAGATTGTATATAAAATATCAACCAGGCAGACTACCCTCATATGCATTGGGGTGAAGATTCCTTGAAGTATCAAAGTCAAGATGGCTTGTGGAAGCAATTTTTTTTCTTTTATTTATGAAAAAATAAAAATAAATCAAAAGTATTTCTTTTGCTTGTCTTCCTGTCATTAAGAACATTAAAACTTTTGAAACCACCTTTCAGAAATATTAAAAAGTACTTCACAATAAATCTCCAGTAAAATTTACATATATTATTTAAGAAAAAATAAAGAAAAAAGGTAAATCATAGTTGTCTGGTTCTTAATAAATTCATGATTTTTCTAACAGATGAAAAAGTAGCAAAAGACATGAATCAAATGAAAAATACTAAACTGATGCAATGATAAGAAACTTACCAAAGTTGACAATGTCAAATATTTTTGTTGATTTATCATCAGAAATTGTACAGCAATATTCACCATTTTCACTTACAGCTAAATCCTGGATGTTACCTGAAACAATAAACAAAAATAAGTTTTTCAAAGGTCTTTTAGGATGAGATTACAATTTATTTTTCTCTTTCTTTTCTAAAGCGTAAACTAGATGAAAGTGTGTGTATATATATATATATATATATATATTGTATATATTACAACTTTTGAGAAACACAGCACTCAAACAATTCACTGCATATATTTAAAAGGCATTTTATCAATCTTTAGATCAGAAATAATTTTGTTTTTTTTCCCTAAATTATTGGAATTTTATGATATATTCAATAATTTGAGTTACTTTTTTTGAGGGATGGAGTTTATTTATTTATTGTAAAATTCTAGTGTATTTCTTTTATTAAAAATTTGCTTTTTCATGGTGTAGATTTATGAATTTGATTTTCTTGGAAAGCAAAGATAATCTTTCTTGCAGTCTTATTTGTTTTAAATAATAGTCAATGATTCAAAAGACATTGTTTTATTAAGTCTATAAAAAGGACAGTCATAACAAAAAAGAAAAAGGTTAATGAAAAATATATATCTCCGTAAATTGGTAATACCAAAATATAATTAAAAACAGCTCAACCAGTTTATTGGTCCACCTTCATCAGAGCAAAGATTGAGGACAAAAAAAAAAAAAAAAAAATATGTGAACAGCAACTAAAATATACAACCCCAGATGTTATATATAAACAAAAAATATAATCAATCTTGAACCTTTGCGCCTGAAAAAAAAAAAAAAAAATGTCAAAAGAACATTTTTTTTCCCTTGATACCACCATTATTTTAACTACCTTCACTTCTGGCAATGTTTGTTTTAAAAAGTGATGATTAGAATTTCAATAAAACCTAAACACATGATGAAAGTGAATTTATACATTTAATGTTCTTGAAAATTGAGAACAAAAATATTAAAAACACTATTTGTTAGATTGTTTATTTACAAGAATAATTTTATATTTACAACATTCTAAAAACTAATAAAATTGAATTAAGACTAGTACAATGTAATATTTACCATTTACAAATTTGTAAAAAATATGAAAATTGTTTATTCATAAATTTATAAACATTTATTAAACCATTAAAATATGTGAACCGAGTATAAGGGAATCCCTATTACTTACTATTTCATAAAGTTTGTATCAATCAGCAATTAGCCAATGTTTTGCCAACCATTCTAATAAACAATATAATCAATAACTAGTGTAAATAAACAATCTAATAAATAAATATTTAATATATTTAATATTTTTGTTGTAAATTCTCATGAACAAAAAATATATAAATTCACTTTCATATGTTTAGGTTTTATTAAAATTGTAATCTTGCTTTTAAAAACAATAAACATCGCTGAAGTATGAAGATAGTTAAAATAATAGGAGTGTCAAGGGAAAAATTGTCCTTTTGGCATTCTATTTTTTTGCAGGCATGAAGGTCCAAGATTGCCAAATATAACATTGAAGGCTAATTATCTTAAACGGAACTAGTGGTTGGTGGGCTTAAAGATTCTCTCTCTCTCTCTCTATATATATATATATATATATACACACACAGACACACAAAATTTTAAAAATACATGAGGGCATTTTTACCATCAATTCAGCCAACACCTTATCAGGAGGAACACAGAATATATTTATTGGTAAAAAGAATTCACAAATAAAAAATGTAAATAGTTCCAAGTGAATATAAAATAAAAAAATGGTACTCATGAACATCCTAAAAGATTGAAGGAAAGAATGAAATGCTCCTTTTGTTTGCAGAGTCAGTTGATGTAACTTAATATGAACAGCTTCAAGAAGGTGTAAATGATGAGCAAACTAAGCTCTGTGCAAAATTGTAAAAGAATTATTCACATATTTGTTGGCACAGTCTGGGTTGTCAAGCAAGTGTTGGCCAATGGCCAAATAATGTGCAGACTGAGTTACTCTCAAAGAGAAATTCAAGCTACCCAGTCTTATACTGGCAGGAATGTGCTGACCAATTTGGGTTTCAAGTCGCTGATTGGTTCATTCTACATATTCAGCTTCACACTGATATTTGAATTTATATACAATAGAACTACTTTGAAAATAGGACAAACCATCTTTAACAAATTAAGGAAACACTGAACTAGTCCCAAAAATAATACACCATCTGGTAGTAGAAAAATTGATGTAATGCAAGCCAACACTCAGTCAGCTAGGATTTGGCTTTTCCCACGTAGACACGGTAATTTTAAATAAATAAGATACAGGCTGGGAGCAAACACTACCAGTTTTTAAAGCATTTAAACTTGCACTCAACAACACATTTAATGACATTAACAGAATAACCATTGTCACAAAGAATACAATGAATGTTCTCCAATTCTTGATTGAGTCTACAAGGAGAACAAATCATCAATATGCGATGAACATTGTAGAAATTAGGTTTATCTTAGGAACAAAAGAATTCCAGTTGGTGTATAGATCTGTGAATATGGGCTTTCCCTAAACACTGGTAATGAATGAACCACATTTATGTTCAACCAGAACATCCAAAAAAGGCAAAGTACAATTGTTTTCCACTTCCATGGTGAATTGAAGTGATGAATGAAAGAAATTAAGTTGGCTAGGGAAAACCTCAGCATTGTTGATGGAATTGAAAATAAAAAGTGTCATCAGCATAACATAGATACACATGGGACTTACAATATTTTTCAAATAAAAGGCTTTCATAAAAAACAACAAAAATGTCAGCTAGTACTGGACCAAGGGGACTGCCCATTGAAACCCCATTGACTTGAGCATACATAGCATTATTAAAGATAATTCCACACCCTCCATTGCTGAACACACAAACTCCAAAAATAAACCTTCAGGAATTAAGGCAGAACCCAGGTGACCTCTATAAAGAATGTCAGTGCAAATTTGTAAAGTATCCTGGAGGACATTTGTGCACAGACTAACAATGTCAAAGGAGACCATGAACTTGCTTTCAGAGCACAAATCAGTGTCTTTAATAAAATTAGAAAAATTGAAATGAGTTTGAAATATAATAAGTGGAAAACAAAGACTGGCTGAAGCAATTTAGCCAACCATTTGGCCAATTGATGTTGTATGGAACCTACCATAAGCAAAAATAGGTCTAAGGGAACACTGTATTTATGTACTTTCGGTAAGCCATATATACATGGATGGTGGGACCCTACAGGTCTAATATGATCATACACCAGTTTAGAAATGATGTTGCTCTTGTATATAGAAAGTAACTGTCTATATCTATATCTACTACAGCATTTTGTAGCAAACATACACACACACATATATATATATATATATATATATATATATATATATATATATATATATATATATATATATATATATATATATATTAGTGCTCACTTCCTTCTCTTTCTCAAAGTCCATACAGTTACATCACATTGAAACACCAGTTCCCATACAATCTCCAAAGTTAAGCAATATAGAGCCTGTTCAGTACCTAAATGGGTGACTTCTTAGGTATAGCTGGTACTGTAAGCTTGGATGTGCAAGAGGAGTAATGGATATTGGCTTGGAATTTTTAATCAGAGAGCAGAGTTCCAGTTACAGTTGGGTTCATTATATTCACTTATGTGCAAATACCCTTGGGAAAGGTATACATCCACCACTTCTCTCCCCAGTTATGGGTTAATTAGTAAAATTTGTATCATTAAACAACTATTACTCCCCACCCCCAATTCTTACAATCTAAAAATATTTTAAGTGTTCATAAGCCATAGAAAACAAATTGATAAATCAATCTTGTTCAAAGCCTTTGTTTACCAGTTGGTTACAGGATGCATATTTTATGGCCATTGCACATAACTGATAGTACATCAGCAAAGACAGTTTTCTAATATGACATGAAGATTCCACTCTATAGACTGTAAGTCATATGCTAACAGTTTCTTCTCTTGCACTTCTCACTTGTAAAACTCTACTCTCTTCTGTGTTCTTGCTTTCCTGTTAACTATGCTCTTCAAAAATTTAAATGCAACATCAATTGTCATCATTTTTTAAAATCTGCTTTTGTTTTTTTTTATTGTGCTTTCTCCTCAACATTTTCTCAGTTTCTTTCACTCTCAGTAACCCTTTGTGTCTTAGCGGCTTTATTACTTTGCCTGGGGTGAAATGATTAAAAAAAAAAAAAAACTATGCCCATAACTTTAATGCAACTTTATAGCAATGCATGTATTTATAGTCTTGTGTATACTTTTATTACATTGTCTTATGTATGTTTTGGCTTGTGCATATAGCACATCCTCCATGCATTATGTTGTACTGTGTACACATTCATTTCACCATCTTGTAGTAACTTTCTATTTTAGTGTCTTTGCCCCACCTTTATTAAACCTAACAGTTAAACATAAACTGATCTTTGCAGCATAACTAATTTAGTCTAGTAAAAAATAAATAAATACTACTGCTACTAATACTCTTCTTAAATGTTATATTTCTTCCAGATATAAGCAATCATGGCTCTTCACAGCCTACTTTCTTTATTACACACACTTATTGGGAAAGATAGTAGAGTGGTTTTCTGTTGCCTTCTCTGTAGTTTTAAGTTCCACTTTTGGCACTGTGAACCATCACACTAATCACACATCCATGCTACTAATATTACTACCAAAGTAAATATGGTGCTAAGAGAGATCCCGGAATGGAGTGATGAGTTTATGGTTAGATTTCATCTTCTGAAAGTCATAAGACAACCATACCTCAGTCGACATGTACAAATAAGCTTCCCTGAAGCAAAAGGTACATCAAGTCTTACTGAGATCCCAATCTTTATCCCCTATCTGTATTGTCTACTCAATAGTAATAGTAATGGCAGACAATGATTCATCTGAAAGTAAAAATATAATACTACTCTTCTCAGAATACGTCATTTAAATTAATTACCTAAATGGCTACGGAAGTGTTTCACAAATTCAATGCCTTCTTCTTCCAGTTTCCGCCAAAACTTGACATGCCCGTCATAACTGGCAGTGATGATGAAACCAGTTCTAAAATAGGAACAAGCAGAAAAGTTTTCATTAACAGAAAAAAGAAAAATAATAACAATATGGAGGACATTGAAATTTAAAAATATAGAAAAACAAAGAAACTTACAAAAATACACACTTGAAATTTTAATATTATAAATCTGATGAAAAAAAATTATTAGGAGGATTTAAAATAATCATAATTTAGTAATTTATTGAGTCTAGAAGAATCCTCAACAGAATGCAGAAAGCACTGGACAGTCGTTTCATTGGTTTTATATAGGATGTAGTTGCTAGCTCACTGTTGAGACCATCTCTTTTAACAAGTTTTGATACCTAGTTTGTCTTTTTCCCAGACTGATTACCATCCAAGGCTAGAGAACTCAAATTACACATATAATAGGTTCTTTTTAATTTGAAATGAATAAATTGATATTCAAAGTTGATATTCTATGAACCGTTTTAGAGATTAAGATGAAATAGCACAAAGCAAATTTTTTTTTATGTGCTGTGTCCCTTCAGGATATGGGGATCATGACACTCCACACCTTCCTGCCATCTGTTGCTCTAAGAAACTTTTGACCCTTTACCATTCTTATTTGTCTTTGTTATGCCATCCATAAATTTCTTTTGTATGCTGTTACTATTTAAAATATGATCATGGCTCTCCACAACGCCCTGTCTTTTATTGATCGAAGTAACTTTTGACCCTTTACCATTCTAATTTGTCCTTGTTCTGCCATCCATTCACTCATTAAGTTACTTTTTCCCTCCATTTCTTGTCTTCAACATAACCTATGAGTGTTAGGTCCTCCAAGCTCTCATTCCTCAGATATTTCAGCTCTTTCTAATTGCATGTATAAGTTTCCTTGTAATATCTATTTTCTACAAAAACTTCCTCAATGATCAGGTTTACATTGTTTTTAAAAATCCATGATTTATTGAAACGAGGACATTTGCCTAATTTCAAAACCCATGGATTATCTATATCTCTACTTTATAATGAGTTTAACACAATCTAGACTGCAATAGTTCCTCTTCAACATCTAAGTTATTTGCCTTTTTCAATACAGTTTGATACAAAATGTCATTCTATGATCAGGTCAATATAACAATTGTGACAAAGTTAGCATACAGGAGGCGATTATCTCCCTTCGGTGCAGATAAGTCATGTGAGTCACATAATGACCGTTTAGTGACATCACTTTATACAGCGGCAAAAGTGGCCAGTCATTCAGTCAGTAAGCTTATTGGTGTCAAGACACATGTGTTTGTTCATCCTGCCTGAGCTTCCACCCAAAGCAGCCAGCTGCCAAATGCTACAGCTTACAATTGCATGGTGCCATTTTCCCTTTGGGAATATATCTTCCCCAGATATAGAAAGAAACTGCTGCTCACAGTCCTCAATTTAGAAAAATCCAAAATTTGCCTTTTCCTGTTTGCAGAATGTCCTCTCCTGAAACATAGTAGATGAATCTAGCCAGTTTGACTCTAGAGTTCTAAACATGGCTTCTCCAGAAACACAAAAGAATCTCCATATTATATGTAAGCCCCTGTCTTTTCATTCTCTTTACACACTGTCTGCCATGCAAATATATATATTCTCTGCACGGGACATGTGTAAATATGTATATATAGTTTTGTGCATATCTCAGTGGTATATAAAAGTCTCTCTGAGAACAAAGCATGTTTGTCATTACTTTTGCTTTCAGTAATTCTGTTCTGTCCATAAAAATACAGTGATATTACATCATGGATATAATAATGCCCAAAATGGGGAAAATATAAATGGGAGAATAAAGCTTTCTTCCACAGCCCTCTCCCGTTATAGTGTCATTGTACAAATGTTTAGTAATCCTCCTTCTGGATTCATTGCTGACTGTGCTATCATGATTTGGATATGCACAACAAAATGATTTTAAAGCAATTTACTGTCTTGAGCATTGAGTGGAAGTCATAGCAAAGGATGGCCAAACTTGAGAGGTGTCAACAACAACCTCAAGAAATGACATGGCCCTAGATAGAATTAGAGTACGTACAGCGAAGCAGGCTTCCAAAACACCCAACTTGTTTCAAGGAATAAAGATAATAAGCCAGATATTGATTGAGCAAATTCAAATAATTCTCAGTATAATTTAACTGTCTTAGTATGCTTAAGTTTGTGTGTATTTGAACATTATAACTAAAAGAGAAAAATCACATGAATCAATATTTAGCATGATTGCAACAAGACCTCAAGTAATAAAATAGGATAGGTGAAGGTAATCTCTGTGGTCAGCAGACCAAGTAAAGACAGAGAAAGTAAAAAAAAAAGTGGGGGCCTAAAACAAACATGCCGGTTTAAAAAAAAAAAAAAAAAAAAAAAATAAATAACCACTTCACACTTGGCATTCCCTACTGCAACAAATTTCCCTGCTAGGAAAGTGCATTTAGAGAAGGGTCCAAAGTAAACATTTCAGGGTGGAGCAGAGTCAAGCTGGGTCTAATGAAAGCTCATCATTAACATTTATAGCAGAGGTCGGCAACCCCCAGCCTGCAAAGGATTTTGGTCCAGCCCACTATCTTAACTATCTTACCATACTTTTTTTTTCCTTTCCAGAAGTCAAAAAAAAAAAAAAAAAAAAAAACCCACTGAAAAGACATCTGAGCAAAAATAAGCCCATGGAAACTAACAAAAAAATGTTGTGAAAAAAAAAAAAAAAAAAAAAAAATGAAGGAGAGAATATTTAAAAAAAAAAAAAGTTAAATATTAATAACGTCTCAAAGTCTCAGGAATAAACTTTTTCTTTTCTTAATAGAGAAAGAGTTTATATTTTCAGCTGAACAAAGATTCTGTGTATTATGGGATAACAAAAAAAAGAAGGGAGAAGAATATTTATAAAAGTTTTATTTGAAAAAAAAAAAAAAAAGACTTACTTTGCCACAGCTACATGAGTTATGACATCTCTGTGCATATAACTCCGTTCATAAGTCTCTGCAGAGGGAAGATTTTCAAGGTAGACTTTTTCATATTCAAGTACTGAAAATGAAACAAACATCAATGTATATAAAAAGCTAGTAATTTAATGAATAAAAAAAATATCATTTTTAGCTAACAGATTTAGATTAAATACAATAAAAGACAGTCAAGTTTATGCATGGATAAGGTGGGGGGGGGCTGAAAGCTCTTGTTCAAAATGTTCAGACCTATATCAGTTGTGCTCTGACATCTAGTGACTCAACATAGCTCTAGGCTATCTCCAATCTTGGCAAAATTGTTTAACAACTGCCTAAAGGAGAAATATTTCTCAGGTCTATGGAAAGTGTCAGCTGTATGCCCAGTTTTATAAGAATGCAGCTGAGTCACTCATCCCCATTGCAATATTGCTCCACCAGCCCCATCAGAGTCATCAGCAACCTTTTTGAGGCTATCATCAAGAAGATCATCAATTCCTTCAACAGTTGAATTGTCCTCTTTCCTTTTGTATTCCATTTATAAAGAGGAAGTTCCACTCAGTTACTTCTCCAGAACTATTGCAATGTGTAATGAACTCTTGAGGGGATACTTCCCTGATCATTACAATCTTAACCTTTTTAAGCCAAGGGCCCACCATTATCTAGCCTACATATCCTCATAATATGCAACCCTTGATCCCTCACTATACATCCTTAAATCCTCCCCCATTAAGTAACCCTCTAGCTTGAGTTTCTCTTGGTATTTGTATTGGGTGAACAATAGTAAAAAAAAAAAAAAAATTAAAAAAAAAAAAAAAGTCTGTTTTCATAGGATACTCTTGGAAAACTTTTAAAAACTTTAAATATGATCAGTTAAAGATTTTTATAAATAAATATTGAGTGATCGCATTCTCTTAACTAGTTGAAAACCCAATCTACATAAGGTGGGATTTTAAGCTAGCTCCTGTGGAAGACTTAAATAAAAGATCACAAATTTGAACAATGTATTCAATGAATCATACCTTATTTAAAAATCATCACCATCATTAACTCTTGGATTAGATTTTAATTTAAATATGTATGGCAATTTTTATAAAGCTTTCTAATACACATTTTTGAGAAATCTAGATATTTTTCCCTTCCAGGAATCATCATCTCATATTTGAAAAATAATTTCTGGACAGAATTTATTTTTTAACTTAGTTCACTTCTTTTGTTGCATATTAAAATTTATTACATAAAGTAACCATAAATTCATTCATTCCACTTTTTATCACAGCATTAACACATGCATAACACCAAAATATGTTTTTGTAAGGATTTATAAATATTGTTGAGAGGATAACATTTATGGCCCTATGGTGCCCACTGCTCATACTACAAATGTAAAGAATATTTTTTAAAGTGATAATTTTCCAGTGACAAGAAAAAAACTGATGAAAACAAGTTCACATTGGTTTCTGGTGAGGAAATTTTTAAGTAAATATTTACATTATATAATTAAATTTAAAATATAAAAAATTTTCTTTAGCTAACCTAATGGATACAAAGTAAGGATCCTGTTTAACATTATATTTGCATTGTAAATTAAATCACTCCCTAAAAATTGAAAATTTTCAAAATCTATGGTTCTGTGGTGCCATTAATAACTACAGAGATGCCAGTAGCCATAGCTGGAATTGCTATTCTTAAATTATGCAATAATAAAAAAAAAATTTTTTTTTTAAAATATAAGAATTCAGAAAGTGCTAAATGCTTTTTCTACTTTCTTAGCAGAATTAAAGTTATTGGCTGGGTTGGTTGATTTTACAACTTATTGGCTATTTAATGTTGAAATCAGTCTCTTTTTTATATTTGAGTCTGTGAGAATTTGCTTGGTTCCAGAATAGCTAAATATTGGTTGTTCATATTTGAGTCTATAAGCATTTACTTGGTAAGTGGTATCTTTTGGGAGTAGTGAGTCTTACACCTCTGTAGAATATACAGTCAGCATATACTAGGCTCTTACAACATAGAATTATAGTTGTATAAATCTTGTATTTATTTATATAAGTAAGGTTTCTTCTTTAAACATTATCTTGCAAATATAATTTAATAGCTTCTTATGCTCTAATATTCTAGATTTTCATTTTGCACTACATAAGCATCATGTCCATGTATGGGTCACTGATATGACATCTCCGCCTGAACCATGGAATACTCTACAAGTATACGAGATGGGAGACATGGTTTGTGCTAAGACTCCACAAGGGAGGTGTATGACCAAGTTTAAGATGGGCTACATAACCAAAGTTGACAGTTTGCAGTCAGAATTCCCCATCATGTGAAGTACTTGTGTTCTTTTTGGAGGTTATATTCTCTATCTGAACTATCATATAGGAAGAAAATGAGTAACTACTGACAACGAGGTTTGAGTATGACACTCTGGACTTATATGTTTTCCACCAGGTGTATAAATAGCAATGTCAGGCTACTGACTGTAGTGGTTATTGAGTGACTATTAAGTGGACTATCCAGTCGAATTAGTGTGAATTATTGTGCGTCAAGGATTTGGATTTCAGATTTACCAAACGTTAATTCAAGCTGCGCTACTAACAAAGTATTCACTGAAATGGTTAATTATCTTTGGTTGACTTTTACTTCTTTGTTCTTGTTAAGTATTTATTTGCGGTTGTAATTAATTACTGTTTTATTTTAACATTGAAGTCTTGAGTTATACTTAATTATTAACAGCCACCATACGTCACAAAAATGAACATAAAGTGAGCTGTTAGTTGACTTGAAATTGATTTCGCCAGTCAATTCTCCTGATACCAGCAGCACTGAGTCTGGCACAGAAGAACCCAATGACTCATCCAGTGGTGATTCATCTGAAGACAAAGCTTATGTTGCTCCTCCTTGGAGGAGTATACAGCAGAAGAGGCCTCTCCCTGGTTGCATTTGCTGTGATCATATCAAGGGAGAGTGTAGTGAACTGCTGCAAAATACAGAGAGGCCCAGGGTTGCATGCATTTTGACTTACCTCCAGTGCGAACACAGGTCGAACGTACCTCATGTGTAAACTGTCCAAAAAGGAAAGAAATGACGGCTTCACAGATTACACATTTAAAACAGATAGCTTCTCAAGTCAGAAACTCACTTGCAAGATTATCTTTTCACCTATGTAAATTTTGGCTGTGAATAAGGAGATAAAAAATGGGTAGAATGAGGTGACAGGCAGAACAGTTACTGCTGTATCAAAATGGCCATATAATTGCTGTGGTCAGTAGAGTGTTTGAGAGGAAATGGATTGCAGAAATTATTTACAAGCTAGAAGAAACAAAAAGTTTACAATCTTTTCGCTACAAGCTATTTCGGCAGTTAACTTTTCTACAAGATGGTGTAGACGGTATTTGATATCTGATTGATTCCTGAATTTAGTAGTGTTGCCACTGATTTACCAATCATGGAGCAGATTGAGAATGTCAAGTTGGTATGTGAACTGTGTGACATGAAGAGGATTGAGTGTGTCCTGCTGCTATGATTGAGAGGTGGGAGCTACATTAGTACTTAAACCATAGTGCATCACAAATCCCTCTCTCTCCCTTAATCTCTGCCATAAGTAAAAAATCTTGATACCGCCGCTGATGGAGTTGCATATTGATCTCTATTGGAGGTCAACCATTTCAAATTCTTTGTTATCTATTCCTCATACTTCTTGTTTATAGAACTCTTCCAGTTCCATGCTTTCCAGTCAACTTTAATCTTCAAAAATTTAAATGAAACGTCCATTGCTATCTGCTTTTCTCTTGGTTATTCCTCTAATGTTCCCACTCATTAGTAGTGTTTCTGTTTTCTAATTCTTTCACACTCAGTAGCCCTTTGTGTTTTAGTGACTTTACTATCATGCTTGGGCTAAACATGCTGTCAAAAATAAATATTTACTAAACTACAAATAGGTAAACATTTCATATAGAAATATTGAACAATCAAGGATATAAAAATTAAACTTTGAAAATTTGATGGTGCTTCAAACAAAAACTTTCATCATAGAAAAGAAATTTATCGAAATGTAGTCAACTCTTTCAATATCATGCTTTCAAATAATTTGCTTTACAGCAAAAGGAATTTTGTCTAATGTTTCATTATATATTTTTCTAATTTTCTCTTATGCTATTCCCTTTCAAACAATTCTCACTTAAGATGCTTCTTGTTTATAAATATTACATCTATATAAATAAAGCGCAGTGTACGTATGTCCGTCCCTTTTTCAATCTCAGTGAATCATAAAATACCTGAACTGCTGTAGTTACACACGATTAAAAATTAACTTAGTAACTCATTTAAAGTTAAATTTAAATATCAAACAGAGTGAAGGTTTTAAAAAGAATTCTTTATTAAATGCTTAACTTTAATTTCACTTTTCATCGCAGCTGCAATTGATATTGTCTAATTAAACTGTAATTAAAACTTAAGCTGGGTATGGTATGTTGCTCATATGTTTTTTTTTTTTCTTTTTCTAGCATGCATACTGTAATGTATTCAAAATATTACAAAGTTTGTGTTCTTTAATGTCTTTTAAGAGTGACTTTATGTAAAGGAATCATAGAAAATGAAGATTTTAAAAGAAAATAAAAATTGCACACAAAATAAATGTAAACAAACTACGGAGATCTGTTGCGTATACGAAGAAAGATTATGCCGAATTAAGGTGTCAAATAAAGATAAAATAATTTTATTACTTCTAAATTCTTATAACTTTTACATAAATAAGATGTTGAAGATAAAAAACTGAAACCCAAAAGCCGTCTGCAGTATCTAGCCTAAAGTCCGCCCAAAGGGTGGCTTCTAGGCTAGTCCATTAATATTCTTGTATTATTGTGAACTACTGTTTTCATTTTGATATAGATGCTATTAGAGACAAGACATTTCAACCAAGTACCTCTGGTCATCATCAGGTGTCCACTGTTTGCATATATGGGATATCTGTTGATTATTGCAATATTTTGTCCCTGTGATATCAGTTATTGTCCCTTCCTGATGAACTGGTGTGGCAGTACCGGATCCAAGGATTGAACTCATGACCACTAGATGAGAGTAACAATT